AAGGCTAACAGGGCCTCCTCTCCATACACAATCTCGTACTACATGCAGGCTCGTTTGTGCTTGTGGCGAGGATTTTTGCGGTTGCAAGGCGACATGAGTATGACCATTGCCTCCGTGATCGGAAACAGCGTCTTGGGCGTTATCATCTCTACCGTCTTTTTGAACTTGGAAAACAACACCGACAGCTTCTTTCAGCGTGGAGCACTTCTGTTCTTTGCTATTCTGATGAACGCTTTTGCTTCTTCCCTGGAGCTTCTGACCCTTTGGCAACAACGACCAATTGTTGAAAAGCACTACAAATATGCCCTTTATCATCCATCTGCCGAGGCTATCGGGTCCTACATCGTTGAGCTGCCGTCGAAAGTGATGATCGCTATCGCATTTAACATTATTATCTACTTCGTCCCGCATCTTCGACGCACTGCTGGTCACTTCTTTATTTTCTTTCTGTTCTCGTTCTCCACGACTCTAGTAATGTCTAATATCTTCAGATCCATCGGTGCTATATCTCGCTCGATGGCTCAAGCAATGGTGCCCGCTTCGATTTTCATGATGATTCTGGTTATCTACACCGGGTTTACTATTCCAGTCAGAGACATGCATCCATGGTTCCGGTGGCTGAATTATTTGAATCCAATTGCTGTGAGTATTTCCGTTATCTCTCCTTAAAGAACTGATGCTAACCACTTTCTTTTAGTACGCCTTCGAAGGCTTGATTGTCAACGAGTTTAGCGGACGCCATTTCCCTTGCTCCACCTATATCCCATCCGGTGGTTCCTACGATTCAGCACCGCAGGGTTCGAGGATCTGCTCGCAGAAGGGAGCTTTTGCCGGTGATAACTACATTGACGGAGATACTTACATCAACACTACTTTCAACTATTACAAGCAGCACCTGTGGAGAAACTTTGGCATTCTGGTCGCATTTTTCTTCGGATTTTTAGCCATTTACGTTGTTTCTAGCGAATACATTCGGGCCAAGCCTTCGAAGGGCGAAGTTTTAGTTTTCCCACGAGGCAAGATCCCGGCTTTTGCCAAGAGGGCCCGCCAGGAGGACTCCGAGGCTGCACCGTCGACCGAAAAGCATGAGATAGTGGATAAGGAGAGCGATGGAGCAGCGGCTATTATCAAGCAGACCGCGATTTTCCATTGGGAAGATGTCTGCTACGATATCAAGATCAAGGGTGAAAATCGCCGCATCCTGGACCGTGTGGACGGATGGGTGAAGCCCGGAACCTTGACGGCTCTGATGGGTGTTACTGGTGCAGGCAAAACATCCTTACTGGATGTCTTGGCAAATCGTGTCACGATGGGTGTCATCACTGGTGATATGCTTGTTGACGGACGACCACGGGATGGCTCATTCCAGCGAAAGACCGGATATGTGCAGCAACAAGACTTGCATCTTGAAACAAGCACTGTTCGCGAGGCTCTCGTTTTCAGTGCCCTTCTTCGACAGCCCAGTAATATTCCATACGCGGAGAAGATAGCCTATGTGGAAGAAGTTATCAAGATGCTTGGAATGGAGGAGTACGCTGAGGCTGTCGTGGGTGTTCTGGGCGAGGGTCTTAATGTAGAACAACGCAAACGACTAACCATCGGTGTTGAAATTGCGGCCAAACCTGACCTGCTTCTCTTCTTTGACGAACCTACCTCTGGTCTTGATAGTCAAACTGCCTGGTCGATTTGCAGTTTGATGCGGAAGCTTGCCGATCACGGTCAAGCGGTTCTGTGTACGATTCATCAACCCTCGGCCATGTTGATGTCCCAATTCGATCGGCTACTTTTCTTAGCCAAGGGTGGACGCACTGTTTATTTTGGCGATCTCGGACCGCGTATGCAAACCCTGATCAAATATTTCGAAAACAAGGGCTCTATCGATTGTCCAAAGAACGCCAATCCCGCTGAATGGATGCTTGAGGTTATTGGTGCTGCTCCTGGCTCCCATGCGGATCGTGACTGGGCAGAAGTCTGGCTGGAAAGCCCGGAAAGAGCCCAGGTCAAGAAGGAATTGGCCGACATGAAATCTGAACTACGACAGAAGCCAGTGCCTCCCCCAACAGCTGGATATGGGGAATTTGCAACCCCGATCTGGTACCAGTTCCTTATTTGCATCCGACGGATGTTCCAACAGTACTACCGCAGCCCCGGATATCTCTATTCCAAAACCGCTATGTGCGTGTTTCCAGTAAGTATTCCTCTCGCAGTGGTTCTTTGATTCCACTTTCCCACTGACCATCGAGTAGCCCATTTTCATCGGTTTCACCTTCTGGCGAATGCCCAACACTCAGCAAGGTCTCCAAAATCAGATGTTTGCCATCTTCATGCTGCTGGTCATCTTCCCCAATCTCGTCCAACAGATGATGCCCAGTTTCTGTACCCAGCGCTCACTCTACGAGGTGCGCGAGCGACCGTCCAAAGCATATTCCTGGAAATCTTTCATGCTGGCTAGTATCTTTGTCGAGCTTCCCTGGAACATCATCATGGCGCTACCCGTGTACTTCTCATGGTACTACCCGATCGGCCTATATCGCAACATTCCGGCGGGTGAGGTGACAGATCGGGGCGGTACCATGTTCCTGCTGATCTTGATATTTTTGATGTTCACCTCAACATTCAGTTCGATGATTATTGCCGGTATTGAACAACCAGAAACTGGTAGTAATATCGCACAGTTGATGTTTTCTCTGTGTTTGATTTTCAACGGGTAAGTGATCGTCTTAGCATTTCATTTCATCCCTTGGTGTACGGAGTACTCTGTACATTCCGGAGCATCTACCTACTACTGTCGCGACGGTCGGTGGGGCCGGTTGAACCTCGGAGAATCTCGCTAACAGCCTCACGCAGTGTTTTGGCGAGCCCTGCCAAATTAGGAAAGTTCTGGATCTTCATGTATCGAGTGTCACCCTTTACGTATCTTGTCTCCGCTGTCCTATCTACCGGCTTATCTGGAAGCGCAGCGACCTGCTCAGACATCGAATTGCTGAAGGTCGATCCACCGAAGGGTCAAACCTGCATTGAATACCTGGGCGACTACGCGGAGTTCGCGCATGCCAAAGTGTTTAACGGCAATGCGACATCGGGTTGTGAAATCTGCTCCATAACAAGTGCAGATCAGTTCTTGCTTCAGCTGAACATCAAATTTTCGGACCACTGGCGAAACATCGGACTGCTCTTTGTCTACATCGGTGTCAATATCTTGGGTGCCCTCTTGCTATACTGGTTAGCTCGGGTCCCGAAGAAATGGTCCCGCAAGGTGAAGGAGGAGTGAAGAGGCGAATAAAATTTAGCGGAATGGGTTTATTCTGTTCGGTTCAGTTTAGCCTAGCCTATAGAATTATGTTGAATAATTTCCGAATGGGGTGCACTTGTATGAGATAGGGAAAAGGAGGCCCCCCCGCTGCATAAGCACAAATCTTGATCGAATTTGGCAGCTCTTGGGGCCTCGCAAGCATTTATTTCTCAAACGCTCAGGTTTGGGAGGGATGGGTCCAATCAGCCAAGACCAGTTAGGACCACCTGCTAAGATTAGATTAGACTCTCTGGGCCAGTGTGCAATGTGCAATGTGCAATTAAAGGCAGTGAGGTCGAAGCCGTCCAGTCAGGCCCACCGGGTGTTATCGTGGAGGCCGATGATTTGGATATGATTTTCCGAATTACCAAGGTCAACGCCGACCCGCCGTGGGGGCCGAACCGAACTCTGATGCTATTCCCAACCCATCCAGATCCATTTCCAGATCCGCGGAGTTGAGCCTGACAAAATCATGTCGATGATTTCAGCATAACGATAACGGTTGCCAGGGGTGTCGCGCCCTATACTTGACAACTCGGCTATATGAACCCCCATTCAGGCTAGAAGGAATCAAACTAGGGCCACGCAAAATCCAATAAAGCAAGACTCGGAAATTTCTCTACCCTCTACGAGCTAGAGGAACCGACAAGCTGGTCACGACAGACTCCGACTCGCTTTAGACTAGATCCTTGCTATGCCATGGCTACAATTGGCTTCATGATCCCCGTTGTCTAGTGAATCCACAACAGCCGAGTCGAGGCTATTTGTCAGGCTGGCGGGAACTTGGACGCCTTAGGAGAAAGGAGAAAAAAGAAAAAGGAAAAAGGGCAGAAAAAGCATTGATCATGCAACGGCCGATCAACACGGGGAACCCTACGCGTATCCCTATGCCTAGTCCCTCTAACCTCGATGAAGAGCCCGACGACCGAAATGGGAAGGAGTTTGCCCTAATCTCGCATGGTCTGCTTCATTAAGTTAGTTGGGCTAAACTTCTCTCGGTAGGTAATGTAATCCCATCGTTCTGGGATGCATACACTTAGCAGCAAGCTAATGTGGGCATGACTCGAGATCGACAGACTCGTGGGTCGTGAGTTTGGGGTCCAAACTGATGTGGTCTAGTGCATCGATCTTCCCGTTTTCCTTTTTCCTGACTGGTGCTGTCGTCAAGAGAGTTTCTAAAAAAGAAACACAAAGAAAAATGACACCTTTTCACCTTGGGTTTTAATTTTCTCTGTCTGCTTGACATTGACTCACCCTCGTCACGGCTTAGCTCTGGGATGGTCGCCATCACAGCCTTCTGTCGCCCACATTGATGCAAGCATATCGGTCCTTTTCATCTGCTGTGCGCTTCCTCTCTCATTCGCTAAGCGGGCTCTTGATTCAGCCCGTCAACTTAGTCAGGTTTGGTTTTCCCACATCTCCTCGGCCCACGTTTGGGGCTTCGTTGAGGCTCATTTTCCGCCCCACGGATCCACCGCACCAGAAGGGCCATCATGTTGTTTTGGTAATCAGTCACTTCTTCGTATTGATGCAACGCACTGGACCCGCCAGCATGGCTCGGAAGAAAGCTCATTTTCATCTCACGCTGCCCAAAATCCGTTATATATACCGTCCCCGGTTCCTTTTCCCCTGATCCCCGAACCCTATTATCGCTCCCCAGCACCCGGTAGTCTGTCTTTCCTTGAACAACCATCCAACACTGGGCAACATGGACTCCTACACGCAATTCGCAGACAACCCCCATATTATGCCTAAGACAGGTGTCTCACACTCGTCTTACGAAGCTCACGACTCCTCACTACCCGCCGATCACCCATTTGTCACCCGCGCAGCGCATTTCCAATACCAACTGTCCCCTATGGACGAACAGGTGAAGGCCAGCGAGGCCTCTCACAGCGTGCAGCCATGGTGGAAGGCTGAAGAACAATCTTTCGCAATGGGCTACATGCCTCCGGACTTGACCTACACCGATCGCTTTTCGGCCTGGAATAGCGGTATCTCCACTATCTCCGACCCGCAAAGTCCGCGCAGCAGCAACAGTGGCAGCGTGCCTGCGATGAATTGCCTTGCTTCCCCAGGTTTCCGGCAAGAGGATAGTAGAACTATGACCATTGCCGGAATTGATGATCAAACCAGCTATCCCGCCCCGGATGGACTCGTCGAAACCACAACCACAACCACAGCTCTCGACCACTCCCTATTAGCAGCAAAACCACGCATATTCGAGATCCAACCTGACCACCGTTCTCCCTATGAACCAGACTTTGACACTTGGTCCGGCAGTCAATCAGACCGCAACGCCACACCTGATCAATCATGGCCCTCCCCAGTCCCCATCGAGGGCATAGCATTCCCGTCTTCGAATCGGCGCTCCAGCAGCCGCCAACCTAGTACTTCCACACCTGCGGCCTCAACGACATCAACATCACGAATCCGCAAAGGATCCACGAAACGACCGACCTCCACACAAGGCCGCACCCGCCGACGAGGCGCAACCAACGCCGGCACCGGCGAGAACAGCAACACACGCACCTTCGTGTGTAGTTTCGCTCCCTACGGCTGCGAAAGCACCTTCGTCTCGAAAAATGAATGGAAACGACACGTCACCTCCCAACACCTCCAACTCGGTTTCTACAGATGCGATGTGGGCAAGTGCAGTATACACACCCACTCCGGCCCCCAACCACCAAACACAACCACCTCACCACCCGTCCAACCAAACGACTTCAACCGCAAAGACCTCTTCACCCAACATCACCGCCGAATGCACGCACCCTGGATCACATCAACAAGACGCACACCCAGCGACAGCGAAAAAGCCGCCTTCGAAACAAGTCTCGACGAAGTTCGGCGTCGATGCTGGTTCGGACTCCGGAAGGCGCCGCAGCAGAGTCGTTGCGGGTTCTGCCAGGAGGTGTTTAGTGGGGAGGGGAGCTGGGATGCGCGGATGGAGCATGTTGGGCGACACTTTGAGCGTGAGGATCGGATCGGGCTTGGGGAGGAGGGTGAGGATGTGGCATTACGGGAGTGGGGGCTGAATGAGGGTATTCTTACTCTTGTTCATGGAGGGTGTCGGTTGGCGTCGCTGGTGGGGGTGGATAATTAGGTTGGTCCAGTATCCAGTATCCAGTATTGAGGGGATTGACTGGCCGAAGCATCAGTGTTTGCTTTGAGAACGGCATTCCGAGGATTTTTGCTTTTTTAGTCCGTCCTTTTTCGTCCGTCTTGTCTTTTTTCTTCTGGGTTGAGGATTGGGTTGGGCTGGAAACTTGGGTTTTGCCTGTTTTGTTTTGTCATGTCATGCTTGGTGTTGGTGGGTCTACATTGATGATTTTATTCGTTTGGGTTTCGATTTGATTCGGAATGCTGTGTTGATATGGTTTTCTTTTTCTTTTTCTTTTCTCTCCCAGTTATAAAGGTACGGGTTTCGAGGGCTGGGGTATGATTTACGATATACATATACATAAATGCATTATACAATACACATTATACTACAGAATACACCGCACATGTCCGAGTACCAGTGGACCTAAAACGAATAGCAGAGGTACCTACCATTAGGTAATCAGATTTTACATGGGCACCTAGCCACTTCCAAGGTTGGCCCGCCTCAATAGCGTAGAATGAATGAATGAATAAGGGACCGAGGAACAGAAAGGTTAAACCGATCTCCGTCAAATCCACAGTGAAGAAGCCTCTGACGAAGCTTTAAACTCGGAGACCCTCGGTCATGACTCAAGTAAGCCCCTACCTAATCATATGGAGACTACTCCGAGTCCGTACTTCCCTGGATGCATATAGAAGTTATATGCTCCAAGATCCCAAAATGGGTTAAAAGCCACGAGACAGGAGCAATGCTAGAACCAAAGTCGGAATCCTGAAATCGATTAGACCCAGATACTTTCGGTACAAAATTCCGCTCTCGAACTCCCGGAAACGAATCATTGGCAAGGCGGTTTTATGTTCGCTGTCTGGTCTCCAAAAAGGATGCGCAGCCTTTACAAACGATCGACGGACCTTCATTTCCAGAAATAGCCCTAGAGCTATGGACTAGTAGATCGATAGAGCTGCTTGGATCACTGAACCCTCTTCTCGGTATGAAGGGAAGGGGACAAGTACAATGCTCCCCGATTTGGATTTATGATAGCCAACACCGAATTTAAGGCATCCATCATTCCCCATAGTTTTTAGCTTGAGCGATGTGTTATGCATTGGTTACTCATTCTAGACCCTCCTCTTCGCAGACCGGAGAGACATGTACATACATTACTCCGGACAGCTACGGAGTAGACACCTCACAACACGAACACGGACCATCAGCCGCAGAGCTAGCACGAAATACTAACGAACTAAGAATCCTGGTGCGTGTCAACGTCTAGTCAAGACTCGGAGGATCAAGGCTGACTGCGCTGCAGACAGGCGAGTCGGGGCATTCGGACTGCGGATTGATCTCGTAAGCCTGCCGTAGGCAGCATTATTACCAAGGTTTCTTTTGGGTTCGAATGGGGGCGAGTTTCCATATTATACGATACGTGATTGCTTGAATCCTTTGAGAGTTTCTTTTCCCCCTCCCCACTTGCCGAGAATGTACATCAGAAAGGAAAACTAGCATCTCGTAGTCCTGGACTGTAAGAATTCTGTAGAACTCCGCAGTCAGGCCTACTGTCAATGTGGGAACGTGGATAGGGACAAGTGAGCGATATAATGAGTTCGGCTTGACAAAAAGAAAAAGAGAACAGTCAAAAAATGGAATACATAACGCGCTGAGTGGAGAATGGTGGATCTGAGTACGAGTATGGATCGGCAATGCATCACGGAGGAGTACTGGACATGGCTCGTCCATTCGATGAAACCCTACGTCTGACCCCATCAAGCTGAGAGAGCGCAATCAATTAACCCGTGCTCGATGGTGGGTTTATGAAGTGACTGACAAATGGTCCCCGAACCCACGGCTAATCTTGTTCTGCGTTTCAGTCGGTGAAACTAGGCGAATCTGTGTCTCGGCGTACTCCGTGCGCTTTATAGTGGGGGCTAATGGTAATACAAACTCCAGTGTCTGCAGTGTTGATTTTGTCCTTTCCTTGTTTTTTTTCTCTTTTATGTAGTACCCGTACCGAATGATTAATTGGGTCAGGGCATATCGGACCACTCAGGGCCGGGGATAGATTGAGGCGAGTGCGACCAGTCAAAAAATGTGAATGGCCCCCAATCGCACTTTATTTCCCCTTTGAACATGGACCAAGGAGACGGGATTGCATCATTGTGGCCGCGACTATGGCAGAGAAAAATCCTAGTGGAGAATTGCAGAGAGAGGTGGACAGTTGACAGTGAGTGATAATCGGATAAGCCCAAGTGCATCGAAGTATGCCATACTGCAGGGGGACATCACGTCGATTTTAACATGACGGCTCACAGATTCCCCAGATGGAACCAGTTAAGGTTAAATGGGGCTCCGGCAACCGAACGAACGTTCATAGCCTTAGCAGGAGAAAAAAAAAAGGGAAAAAGGGCATTTCCTTTAGTACGTGACTCTACTCCACCATTGCCAGAAGAGGAAACCTCGACGACGCCGCGAGGCTGAGGCGGAGACCTTCCGTCGCAGACTTTTTTACATCCATCACCCCCCGACTTTATTCATGCTTAGTTGCTACCAGCGCTTGATCGATTGCACCTGGCTTTACTCCATGCCTTTCGGATTTTAGCTAGTCAAAGGTCACTCTGGGGCGGGCCCATAGGACCGAACTTGCAAATATCACAACTAGGTCACAGATGATGCAGCGCCCAGCATCGATCGTGGAGCTTGGTGAAAAAGGTTGAAGGATCGAGGGTTGTTCCCGCATGCTTTGAATTGTTGGTTTTATCTGCGACCGAGAATCGACTGAGCTGCCACTATATTTCGACCTGAAAATACAACTTGACAGTCATGCAACTTGAATCTCACCCGTTCGACATCTTCTTTGCCTTGGCATTGTATACAAAGTATTTTTCTGGTGCACATGCCCGGTAGTCGCCAGAAATCTACACAGTCTCTCAAATGGGAAATTTTATGAGAAACGAGCTTCTCGTCATTTCTCTGGTTGTGGATTGCCATATTTTTTTTACTTCGACTTGACATGCGTGCATGTGCTGGAGTACAGTGCATGATTTGTAATATTGTCGTCTACTATTCCAGACATTCAGGCGCCGGGGTCAGAGGTTCCATCGACCAAAACATTCGGAAGAGCCGAAGTATATATGGGAGACCTAGCGGTAAGACCAAGGAGAGCCCATATTGACCTGTTTCTATACAATTCAAAACTCTTGTTTGCTCTCTTTGCATGTGAAGAACACCATCCATTGCTAGATGTCTGGATGTGTACACGTCAAGCTACCCTCAAACCACCTAATCGCTTTGTCGATCAAATTGTCAAGTCAACTAACCTTCTTTTTTCAACTGCTAATTTTTAAGTCATCATCATCATTCTACATTTCCGGGTCTCCGTCGCTGATGATCTATTTAGGGTCGGCCGAGGTATCCGTATTGGGAGCTCAAGGCCGACTTTCGGCCCTACGCCTCGGTCTTACGCCTCGGAGATGAACCACCGATCTATACGATCTCAAGGACTTTATCAGTATCTTTATACCGGGACAGCCTATACATTATAACATACACAGTTTCTCGCAAAGAGTTTATCAATATTGTACACTTCAATTGGACGCTGAAAATCGACTTCTTGAAGGTATCTTCGGGCCAGCGTCGTACGCTCGAGACAATTCTCGACATGCCCCCACCGGAAGCTCAGCTTGCGTACATCACCATTAATTAACGCCGATGATGATATAAGGTAGATTTAACAATGTATTTTTCTAGCTCTCCCACCATATAAAAGGGACTCGGAAACACTCGTTATGTTCTTTCAACCCCGCCGAACTCTCCTCTTTCTCTCAAATCTCGCCCTAATTCCTATCAGTATATACTATCTCCAGTCCTTCCCTTCTACTCAGAGCATCACTAGTACCCAACTCTCGAAAATGCCCCCCCTCAAATCTCCAAGACGTGTTCTCCCAGCGAGCCGATGAGCTCCGCGAATACATCTTCACCCAGCCAGCCTCCACCTTCACCCACAATCCCTGGGCCCTAGCCAACGCAATCGACACCTTCGCCGCCGAAAAGGGCCACATGATGATCTTCAAAGACAAGAAACTCGACGCAGCTCGCGCCCAGCTAGAAGCGCAGCATCCCGCGCCCCGCACAATCCTAGAATTCGGCACGTTCGTGGGCAAATCGGCAATTGCATGGGGAGCTATCCTCCGCGATATCCACAGCGAGAATGTCCCCGCAGACGTGAACGTATACACCTTCGAGTTTAACCCCAAAATGGTCGCCCTGTCGCGGGATCTCATCGAGTTGGCCGGTATCGCAGATGTGGTGCATGTCCTGGAGGGACCTGGCTCGGACTCTTTGAAAAAATTGCATACTGATGGGATAGTCACGAGTGTTGATATGGCGTTCTTTGATCACTGGGAGAAATTCTATCTCCCGGATCTGCAGCTAATCGAGGATTTGGGGCTCTGGAGGTTGGGCTCGCTGGCGATTGCGGATAATACGGACTTCCCTGGTGCGCCGGATTACTTGCGGTATGTTAAGGATGGTGGGGAGGGGTTTGAAGGGTCGGTGAAATATGAGAGTACTTCGTTTGAAACGGAGAGTAAGCAAGGCAAGCCGGTAAGTGTTTTCAGTCTGATTTTACTACTATTTATTCAGGGTTCAGAGTTGTGTATGTCTGATGCTGACTTCAACTTGAATTGCAGAGTATCGTCGAAGTTAGCAAGATTGTGGCTATTTAATGAGATTTTGACGGCGAATTAGGAATTAAAGTATCTTATAATGCTACTATTATTAGTAGTCTGCCATTTTGACAATTAACGTGAACCCCCCCCGGTCCCTTTAGATTCGAGAAGAGGAATGTAGGAAAAGACAGCATTGTATATCTTTATCCTAAGGCTATGATGCTTATATTAAATAGACAGAAAGAAAAACGAAGTACCTGGGGGAAGTATCAATGACCTGCTCCTCAACATTGCGTTGTTCTCCTCAACCAAGAATGAGACCGGAGTCAGGTGACATCCTTTGGGAAATACTTAACCAATCGATTCTGTCTCGAACTTTTTCTTTTCCAAGTTTCAAGTTTCAAGTTTCGAGAACTAACGCTCTACCAACATGAGCACCCGCGGACGACCCCCCCGGCAGCGTCCCTCGGCCAACCACCCCACCAGACCCCACCCTCACCACTCGCCCAGTCCCAAGGCATCGCAATTTTAGGCCAATTTGTTTTGGGCAAGGCACAGCTTCAGATATGCCATTCCGATCCGTGGTTGAACTAGATGTTCTACCTGAAGCCGACCCTGCATTATCCAGGGAAATAGTCTATTCCAGGTCGTATGATGAAGTACGTGACTTACTGGAATTAGTCTGCCACCAAGAGCTCACCACAAACCCGGATGAAGTCCCTTGTTGTATTTCAACATGGGGGTTTTGGGTCTTCGTCACAGAATATTCCTCTCCGGTTCTTGAAAAAGTACCTCAGGCAATGGAAAACCTAGTGAAAGTGACTGAACGAACCCTAGGCCTCAGCCTACCAGCCTATATAAGGGAAGCAGCTCGCCGCTTTAAGCTTAACGTGGTTCAAGATAAAGAAGCACTCAAAGGTGCTTCAGATGATCGTATCCGGGAAGAGTTCAAGTCATTACTTCGTGGCCTTAATTTTATGAACGAACTTGAAGAGGACTATCCTACCCCTATGTTCGGATGGACTATGGCTTGTCTTGTCCTTGATGAGATGGCTATTACTATGCTTGCAAATCTCAAGTTTGGCGAAGAAGATACTATGAAAGACTACAAAGCCTTTGAAGGGAAAAACATCAAAGTTGTAGATGTCCTTTGGGTTCGTCAACCAACTGAATGGCCAGATTCGGTCCCAAATGCTCGCCCCTACCGGGGTGCGGACGAGTGTCCTATAGTCTTCTTACGATCTTTGTACCTTCATCTCACCAAAGGTACATGGGGAGGGACTTTGGAGGAGTATTACCCCTTGCAAAAAAAGTGCTATTAGAGAGGAGTTGATTTTAATCGGCATTGAATAAAGATGCTACCTTAAATACCAATATAACTAGGTAAATACCGTATGTATAAATTGAACATAAAGAAAACCTCGGTATGTTGGTTAATACAGTATTTATATAATAGTTAATGCTCAATACCATCATAGTCACGGTATTTATACCGTATTGTACTATGGCCAAATTGAACTTGAAGGGCCCCTTCAGTTGGGAGCAGTCGAAAAGAACTTGCAGTACTACCTTTACTACTAAGACTACATATATTTTCCAAGATTCTACTCGGAACTGCCAGTGCCAGACCCCCACTGGCAAGACCCAACGCCGAAAAGGTCATCTCAAGTAGAACAGCATGAATTGGCAATATCACTGGAATGTTCACATAAATGTATACTAGTAATATCCATGGCAAATTGTTCAAGTTAGTACTGGAGTATATACGGGCCATCCTTGGGGCGTAACGTGCGGCGGTGGAACTCCGCCAGCTAACTCCGCTTCGGCCAAAACTCCCCGCGACTTCTGCTCATCCAACAACAGTGCAACTTCTACTTCTCCTGCTACACCAATTGCGACCCAGCCTACCTAGACTACAGTACTACTATACCATTACCAACTGGAAATGCTGCATGCGCAGTAGCTCCCATTGATAATTACTTCCACTCGGCCACGTTGCTGGATCCTTACATCATGTGCGCCCCGTTCCACTTCAAACACCACGAATGCGCCACTGACTACCTCCCAGGACTGTTCTCTCTCTCATAGTTATCAACAAGGCTGGAGGTCTGATCTACCAGCGGGAGTTTCAACCCGGCCTGCGTAAGCTCTCCACCAACGACTACCTCGTCCTCGCCGGTACCTTTCACGGGTCAGTCCGAATACCCTTCCCCTGTCCTGCGTCCTCATAAGTTGAAGCTAACTAGTTGATCGCAGTGTACACGCCATCACTCGCACTATCACTCCCAAGCTCCCTCTCGCTCCTCCATCTACCTCACCTGCCGTTTCGTCCCCCGGGAACACCGCCCCCGCTACGTCGGGGTACAGCTATCCCAACCCGGGCGTCCCCACATCAGGCTTGGAATTCCTCGAGACGGATAAGTTTCGCCTGACATGCTTCCAGACCCTGACCGGGACGAAATTCCTCCTCTTCACCGATCCCCTGACCGGCAGTGTGGACACTGTTATGAACAAGATCTATGAGCTATATGCGGACTACGTGATGAAGAACCCATTCTACCAGCTCGAGATGCCGGTACGGTGTGAAGCTTTCGATAGGCATCTCGGGGCGTGGTTGAGAGGACGAACTTGACCCATGGACGCCGTGGGCTGGAAGCAAGTGGAATAGTTGTATACCCCAGAGGGCTGGGCTGATGACCTTACGAACTAGACATATCTTTGATCAGTTTACTGTGTTGGACCTGACGGGGGATCATGATGACCATCATGATCGCCTCAGAATGTGCATAATACCAATCGCATCAATATTTCCCTTTTGCAGTCGACGAATGTGGCCATCTATGATACCACTAAGTAGATAGACAAGGAGCCGGCACTCGAGTATACAGGAGAACATAAAAACAAGAAGCAAACGCCGGGTATGCATCGAATCATTTCAACCAGGGACGGAAGACGGAGAGTAAATAGGGATCTACGCAGTATCCATCTTGTCGTCGTCCTTCTTGTCTTTGCTGGACTCGCCCTGCCCTTCTTCGGGAATGCCACCCAGTTCCGTCTTGCCCTCGGCCTCCTCGAGGTCCCGCTTCTCCTTCTCCTGTCGGTTCTTCTCCTCCTCCAACGACAATCGGAGAGCAAAGGCGAGTTCAGGGTCGTCCTCGGCCGCATCCTCAAAGTTGAATCCACCCGCGTCACCACCTGTCTCCCCACCGGATGCACCCGCCGCACCGGCATTCTCACCGGCGAGGATTGGGGTCTGCTGAAGCTCCTCACTAAGGAGATGAGGACCCGGCGGGATGATGGCGAGATAGGAGCCATCACCACTCGATACATTATCCACAAAGGCTTCCAGTTTCTTGGTCTGGTCGGACTCGAGATCTCCGAAAGCAATGATGTCGATGGAGACGTTGTTCTTCTTCATTTTCTTGGCCAGCTTGACCAGGGTCTTCTCGTCTTCTTCAATGGGGGAGCAGGAGAATACGATGATTCGTTGGCGTTGGGATTTCTCGGAACGATGCTTCAGTGCCAACTATAGCAGTAGGAAAGAGGGAAGACGTTAGTAATTGCATTCACCAATTCAAAATAACCAGAAACGAAGACATACCCCAGCAACCTGGATACTCGAGCTCAAGTGCGATGTGCCGTGAATCTTGGTGCGATGGAGACCAGCCAGGATACCGCCAAAGTCCGTAGTAAAGGTTGATAGCACCTCAGGACCCTTGCCGCCCATGCTCATCAGGCCAACAGCCGACTGTGGGTGTACGCGCATCTTGACACTGTGAATGATGCTCACAGCATCGATCTGGGCTTGCCAGCGGGTTGATCTGCGAGAATTAGACGATGCGGCGAAGGTGGGATGGGGGTCGAGAGCTTCTCACGTGTAGTCTCCATTGCGACTGCTTTCGCTGTTGTCGACACTGCGGGCAGGGGTTAGCAGGGATGCGAGCTCGGCACGGAAGAATTGACGAACATGATCATGGTAGCTTCGAGCGACATGATGGCGGGTATATTACGAAAGGAAATGAAAGGATGTTTGAAGCGGAGAAGAGCAGGCTGCGATGTGAGGACGGCGTTGATGACGAGAGGTCTGGCAAGCTCGCATTCTGCCGCCATCCTCCGCCCGGGCACCTTGTTTGTTGTGGAAAGCAACTCCGCACTTCCATTCAAGTTCCCTCATACTCTACACTTTACACTCTGCACTTTTCGATTTCCCCACCACCACGGGCTCTTTCTCAATATCCACCATGGCTTCCTTGAAACGCAAATCCCCCGAATTTATTACCGCACCGGATGCCACCCCGAGAGGCCCCCCGGCCAAGAAATTGCGCCTGACGCAGGGCCAAAAGCAGGCCTTGATGGATAACCTACAGCTCGAGAGTGCGTGGGAATGAAGAAATCGCGTGATATTATAGCTGCTAATAGATATACAGTCACGGAACGAGCTCGCAAGCTTCGATCTCAATATGCCCTGCAGGCTAATGACCTGCGTGCCCGCATTGAACGACGCGTCAACCGCATCCCCATCTCCCTGCGCAAAGCCAACATGGGTGAACTCTACGAGAAGCACACCTCTCAGAACTCAACATCACCCTTGCGGAAACCGTCGCCCACCAAGAACAGGGTAGCGACCAATATTTCCGTGGACCCAGCGTCACCGGCTGGTCGTGCCCGACGCACAAGGCAAGGCAACCGATCCAGCCGCTCCATATCCTCCGCTAACAACGATTACAGCCACGAAGGGTTTTCTGATAAGGAGAACGCGCCCGCGACTGGTACACCTGAGGGGCTCAAAAACCCCAAGCGCCGCAATAACCCCAAGGCAGCGGGTTCGCGCGTTGTCTCCCAGGAAGTGCGCAGCAACGACCACCGCATTCTTTCTCCCAAGTCTCTCAACTCCCGCACATACCCACAATCGCCCTTCCGCGCCTCACCCGAGAAAGGCCAGCCCTCATATCTGTCGCGTCCAACTTCCCCGCTCAAACCATCAAGCCCACTCCGCGCAGCAGGCCCCGGAACACGCCCCCGCGGCGCGACGACCTCCACCGTTAGAGATGGCCTGCAGCCCATGCAACCAAAGAAGACCGGCAACCGTGCCGCGACCGGTCCCCGCTCCGTCAGATCCCCTCTGCCTCGCCCAGCTACCCGTCAAGGCGAACGCCGAATGAGCAATGGCTCGACCACGTCATCTAGCACTACCGTCACAAAACCTGCTCGTGCCACTGGTGCCCGCAAAGCAACCACGGGAACTGCGCCCGCTACGAAGAAACCCGCCGTACCTCGTGCCCAGGCCGCCTCGTTGGCCGTTAAGAAGACCACCGCCAGCGCAGCGTCCGTGCGGAAGGCCACTGCGCCGGCTGCGCCAGCGGTAGAGGCATCAGGCCGTGGAACTCGAGCGCTCCGGAAGCGTGTCTAGAGGATCTGGTCGGTTTATTTGATACCTTAGAATGTATTGATGTTAGAGGAGAGAGATGGCTTTTTTTCAGCGTTGGAGCCTTGTTAACTCGACTACGAGCATGCGATTGATTAAATATGGATATGGAGTATGGGGTTGGGTTGGGTTGGCTTTGTTTTGGCCACTTCATATGGGATGGATTCTTAATATGTGCTTCGCATTGATTTTCTTTTCGGGCCTTTGTGCCTTCTGCATCTGGAATATCATCCACTTTCGGATACTGCCTTATACTCTGGTTCTCGTGAACAATATTGAACTATGGAGCACCGTAATTGTAGGCGGTCATGTTGAGGATATCGATTATTCCTATTATCACGAACGCAAACATCAACAATAGATGAAGTAGTCTAAAAGGTATATGTAGCTGGAACATTCGAGCTCAGTTGTCTGTTCTACTAGTAGCGCCATTGTTATTTGCCATTCCATTCGACCCTTGCATATCGCCTTGAGGCTTTGGTGGACGGCTACGCTCAATCTTGCGAAGAATTCTCGCAGGATTCCCCGCCACAACATGGCATGCTGGAACATCCTAAATAAAGACGCATTATTAGTATGAGATCACAGATATGCAAGAGCAAATTCTCTGCCTATGAATGCTTTCCGTTACCTTTGTCACCACGCTGCCCGCACCAATAGTACACCCATCTCCAATAGTCACCCCTGGAAGAAGTATAACATTGCCAGCAATCCAGCAATCCTCGCCAACCGTGATATCACCACCTAGCTCCGGTCCATTGGTACCATTGCGCAAATCCGGATCTAGAGGGTGTGTACCGCTGAAGAAACACACATTGGGCCCAATGAGGGTGCGAGCTCCAATTGAGACTGTGCAGGTGTCGAGAAAGGTACAATTGAAATTAATAAACACGTTGCTTCCGACCTTGATATTGGCTCCGTAGTCAATGTTGATGGGCCGTTCAATCCAAGGGTATTCATGGAGAATTGCGTCCTCTTCTTCTTCTGTTGTACCTGGAGGTGGTAGAGGTGGAGAATCGTTCGTGATACTATGCGTGGTTTAGTGAATTGTCTTCACCCAATTCCAATTTCATCATGGTATGGAATTCAGATATCCAAAGTAAGTATTGGCCTTTTCTTTGGGACCTTAACGGAATTTAAACCTACTCTTTCCAGTACTCTGCCAACTCTCGTCGGGAAAGGTCACCTGCGCGATTCAATTGACTGACAATACGCCCGCATCGTTTGCGCGCAGCAACTAGATTTGGCGTGAAGGCGTAGTATAGTTCACCTCGTTGCATGCGAGCCAAGTTCTCATTCTCGTTGATATTCAGTAGCATGGCGTTTTGGTTTTGGGAGGAGAATGTAACTGTAGTTGTTTTCCAAGGTTGAAAGGAGTGAAGGGAATCTTCAAATTTATGTACGAGGAAGGCCTGAGAAATCCACAGTGGGTCACGATTGGGAGTCAACTAGAATCAGCTGGACAGGAATAGTACTACTACCACTCGCATCATCTGTCTCTAAGTTTTATCATTTTCCTGGCCACAAATTCTTGATCTGGGGATCCTGGATCTATTTCAAGTGGGGCTCTATCCAGTTACCTCCAACCATATAATACTCGGTGGAGAAGATTAGTCTACGGGTCTAGCCAGTTTCAGAAAGTAATAGCCGCGCTGTGGATCGAATGTGAGAAGCACGTCTCAAAGAAATTCATGCAGAGTATTGGAAATGACCCAGTGCCAGATAATTCAAGTTGCTGGTTTATCAATTATATGTGCAAAAAATCAAGCGGAAGACTTAATGCATTGAAGTCTGCCCAGGTGAGATGTCAAGCCAAGATGACCGGGCATTTCTTCCAGATCGATCCAATCTCACCAGATGCCTGCCGAGATCTGGAAGTGTCTGAATGGCAACTTGATCTTGAATGATTCAAGTGTTTGTCGCTGCGCCATTTCTCTTGAAGATATGCCGCACCCTTGGAGAATATATCAGATTGCCACACCTCGTGTATCTGACCCAATTTCGCGACGATTATCCGCTGTTGTCTGCTGGTTGTCGCTGAAAATCCAGCCACAACCAATGGCCAGCTCAGAATGCTATGTGACGGCGAGTTTGAAGGTAAAAGCCGTAATTGATTGATGAAATCCTCGACCAAGTAGAATGTTGCGGACTCTTCATCGGGCGCAGACGAGGTAAGGAGTTTCTTTATATGAATCTGACATGCTAGGCAGTATAATTCTGATGTCACGGCGTCGTTAAGGTCTTCGATTTTCATGTTGTGACTCAAGTCTGGTCTTGTATACTTGGATGCAAGCTCTTCTTCCAGTGACCTCAGCTCTGATATGGCAGTAGCTGCCTCTTCGGGGTTTCCAGAAGCCAGCTTTTGAGCGAGGCCCGAGACACGGTAAATAGCGATGAATAAGTGCTGCGCGGTTCCCATGATATGACCTGTTCGAATATGTTCGATGACCATCGGCTCATTAAAGATGCGGGAGGCTTGAAAAAGAGGTAGTTTAGACCCGAGCGAAAACGAGGCGAGAGAGAAAAAATAGCAGAATGTCTCAAATAAGAAGCCCCGCAAGCCAGTATCTTTGCTTTGGCGAGAGATTCGAGTTTGTAGTAGGAATACTGCTGCGTTGAGATGTGGCAGTATTCTCTCACTTTCCGTGAAGTTTTGAGTCTAAAACTGCCAGTCAGGACGGCCGTAGCAGTTTACCACGGGGTCTAAGATTAATTACCTCGTGCACGCATAGTAAGAGTACTGCAAGCGGCGTATAATCTGTGGGCTCGTATTAGCACAATGACTGTATTATATGAGAATGAGATGATTCGTACCAGGAAAGAACGCATATGATGGTGAAGCAATGACCATCTCATCATTAATTGCTGCCCTGAGGCTAGAAACTGCTTTTCCGTAGTACTCGACAGCAACACGACGTATTTCTCGGCTGCCACGGTCGTATTTGAGCAGATCTGCTGAAGCTATAGCGAGGATACAATTCAAGACCAAAGGACTCTCCGATATGGCAGGAGACAACCATCTCAAGTAGTCAGTCCTTCGAGACCCTGTCCTGGTCGATAACCATTTTGGACTGTCGTCAAGAAAGTGACCGAGCAAACGATAGACAAGGTCAGGCGTTAGAACAAAGAAAATGTTCATCCTCCTTTGTACTTCCTCGGGTAGTGAGGTTGAGTTTTCTGCCAAACGCGGCCTTCGGTAGCGGCTTCTAGGCCTCAAGAGCGAGTCACTAGACTCCCATTGACATTCCAGATGATTACGCTGACATCCTGCGCATGATGGACGGCTCTCATCACACTTCTTCTTGCGGCGGCGGAACGTCAGGCAGCCAGTTCTAGATCGCATTGGTCGTTTGGCTTGGATTTCTTCATGTTGAAGGATCGATAGATCCTCCGGCATTTTAGCATTGGGTACTTCATGAGTGAAAAGGAGGATAGATAGTGCAAGAGTGGTTCAAGCGGGGCGGGACTTTGGACAGATATCACGTGGCAATAGCCACAGAAGGTCGCAATGGGCAAAGGTCAAAGGGCAATGAACTATAAATCTCTAGTAATGTATTGATTTTTACTCTTGTCACATTCTTTCAGTGGAGTCATCTGAAACTGCGACTTTGTGACCAGGTGGTTTGGTGGGTGAGTAGTCGAAAATTGAAACTTGCGCCCGCAAAACTGATTAGAACCTGTCGATTCAGGCTTGTCAATAGTATATTCAAAATTAATTATCAACCGCGGCGTTATATTTAGCATGATCCGAGAGAGATCTACAAGATGGTCGTTTCTAACCCCACCAGACATTTAACTTGGCATGGCATAACCGTGTCGGGAGTGCTCCTAGAGTCATCCAGCGCCCTGATAAAAGTCCTTAGTAGCCTTCCTTACTAGCAAGCCTGCCATTTTAAGATCTTTTCTGTAACACAGCCCGTGTGTTGACTCTCCCGTTAATTTTTTTTTATAAAAGAAACACGACTTCGAGATCGCTAATTCTCACCCCATCGATTCAGCCCCCCCAACACACCGGCGAATCGTAGAAACTGGCCAATCCTGCCCGACGTTGAGCTCAGAGCCAGACCCACTTCAAACGTTTGACCTCCGGGGCTGAGCTGACCATAAATCTGTGCGATATTGATCGTTTCATTCCAGTCTTTTGACGCTTAATCTCTACAACACTTTGTTCCTTGATACTGATATCAAGCCTCTCTCAGCGAAAGATTCGCAGCATCGTGCCCTTTGTTCACAACCAGACCCATCCGGCGGGAGTCTCAAATAATTCCAAATGGACCTCACCTACGATCCAGGCCACATAAAAGGCCGAACAATCCTCATAACCGGCGGCGCCTCAGGGTTCGGCGCTGCATTTGGCACGCGCTGGGCAGCTGCCGGAGCCACCGTGATACTCGGAGACATCAACCCAAGCGGAGAAGAAGTCACAGCACGAATCCGGCAAGAAACGCAGAACCCGAACGTGCATTTCATCCAATTGGATGTCACCTCTTGGACATCGCAGGTGAATTTCTTCCGCGAATCTCTCAGACTAAGTCCGCATGGTGGAATCGACACGGTCGTTGCAAATGCAGGTATCAACGATGGCCGCGAGGCGAGTGTTTTTGAAAATCCTAAGGTCGACTATCTGAATGATCCCAGCCCGCCGGCTCCAAGTTTCAAAACGCTCGATGTCAATATCACTGGTGTGATGTATACGGTGCATTTGGCATTGTTCTTCTTGCCGAAAAACCCCGACTCCAAGCCTTGTCGCGATATTGCCAGTGCCCCCGAGTCCGAGTCAGAGAAGCTGCTTGGAAGAGATAGACACATTCTGCTCCTGGGATCAGTTGCAAGTCTACACCCACTTATGACGCAGGCGCCATACACCGTTTCAAAGCACGGTATTCTGGGATTATTCCGGTGTCTACGGATATCAGCCCCGATCAGCGCCGGTGTTCGGGTAAACATCGTCTGTCCGTACTATACAGATACCCCATTCATGCAAGCGCCGCCGCGGGCGCTTCTGGCAGGCTGCCCGCTGGGCAAAATCGAGGATGTTGTGGATGCGGCGTCGTATTTGGTTGCGGATAGAAATTGCATAGGTCGCTCGCTAGTCACGGGGCCGAAATTGAAGCTTGATTCTTCGACTGGAGGTGTTGGCCCCGAATACCCCGAGGGCAAAGATGGTTCGCAAGGCTCTCAGGAACGAGAAGGACCGGTCTGGGAGTGCTATCTACATGACATGGATCCTGCAGATATCTTTACCCAACGGATGTTGACGGCTGTCCATACCGCTGTGCAGGTACGAGGATGGTCTGGCTGGGCGTATGATATGGCGGGTGCTTTGACGTGGCCAGTTCGTCAATGGTGGAATTCTGGATTGGGTCGGAGGTAAATTTTGTATACTATATTATAAGAAGGGAATAAAAAGCTGCGAAAGTGCCTGGATATACATCAGCACAATCGTCGTCAAGATAAAAGCGTGTTAAGCATGATGAGTAGACATCATGGTCTATGATAGGTGTGAAAGAAACACTAAAGAACTCGGAGTTCCTTGAACTCGATGGGAATTGAATGATCCACTCATGTTCTAAGACATATCACTTTTCTTTGTGTTGTGCATTTGCCGCTCTAGTAATATACTTCAAGTTGTGTATGATGACACCGGCCAGGTCAACAACTTGCACAAGCATAAAAGTGAGAATTTGAAGCCTCTTAATCATCCCGGATACAAAAATAGATCAAGTACATAGCACAGAAGCAAAAAATGCCCCCACCCGGGATCGAACCGGGGCACTTCGCTAGCCAAGTTCATATTGATTCCTTTGAAAGGATAAACAACATAAGAACGATGCCATACCACTAGGCCATAGGGGCAATGAGATTAGATAATAGGGTCACTTTATTTGGTATACCTCTAGCATCTTTCTTAACTAGATTAAGAATTCAGCTATCATGGGGTATAAGCTCCGTTGGAAAGAAATGCCGCTGTTCATCCACAAAGTTGGTATTGTCAGCGCTGCAAATATGGAAACTGCCAGATCAGACTCCCCAGTCTCGGGAATTCGATCGCAAAAAAGTCTTGATAAATATTTGGAAATATTTAACATTGAGTTGCAGGAAATTTTCTTTCTTTTGAGTGGATCACGTGTGGGTCATTACACCCCTTGAGGGTGGGGATAGTGCGAATGTGCGTGTTGGAAACTACATTAAACATCTCGTGTGTTGAACGTTTGAACAAATATTGAATTCAATGGCTAGGAGGTATTATGCCTAAAAGGATAATGGGTATTGCTAGAAAGGGTGCGGTCAATACACCTAGCTAGTATTTACTATTTACCATTCCGATAGCATTTCTACATGCCGTCACTAAAGCGAAGAGAGAAAAGCAAAAAGACAATCACCAAAGGCGATAGCTACATTGGACTCAGCACAGGTATCATTGCAGTCATGCTGATTGACGAGCAAGTAAGAAAAAAAAAGGCGACAGAAGGAAATCGGGAAGGAAATCGGGAAGGAAAAAGGGGGGCTGCCCCGACCTTATAACCGCTAGGTCGGAGGAGAAAGAAAAGAAGCTGCAAAGAGAAGCGAGGAAAGAAAAGAACAAAGCTAGACGAGAAATGAAAAAAAATGGTACCAAGGTAAAAGCCGGAGCCCTGGTCCAGCAATGAGCAGTGAAGGAAGTGTGCCACACGGTCGGCGAGTAAATGAAAGCAGGATGGATGTGTTCCATTGAGAGTAGTTATGGTATGGAATGGAATGGGTATGGTGAGGCTGATCCCCAGAATCAGATGCAGAGACGGAGAATAGGAAAAGGAGAAGAAAAAAAGAAGAAAACGACGCAGTCTGGGCGTGAGAGTAAAGGGGGTACGATGGAGAGCCACGGACGCCAATCCATCGGAGCAAATCAGCTCGCTGATCACTTTTGGGAAATTTTGGATGTATCAAGTAGAAGAGTGAAGAAAAAGGAAAGGAAAAAGAATAGAACTCCGTCAACCAAGCCTGTCAGTCGAGATGGAAAGGAAACGAGAAAGAGAAAGAAACAAAAAAAACGCTAATCAAGCCCCCGAAGAAGTATAATAGGGAATGAAGTACACCACGGGCTATCGGATATGGCGCCAGGTTGATTGATGCAAATCATGGTCATCGATGAATGGTGTATCAGAATTGCAGCTGTGCAGAAAGTGAACGAGAACGAAAAAAAGCGAAAACACAAGCCTAGCCAGTAACGCCCATAGCGCCTTGACCGGGTCGAGTTCGATATGAGAGGTTTTGTTGCTGTCCATCAGACTGTTGGCTTCCGTTGCTGCCGCTACGTTCACGATGGTAGGCCGGCTGCGGAGGATTGAAATCAAAGCCGGTTTGCGCTTGCGGGGCGTTGCTATTCGAGTGAGAATGGCTGGGGCCTCCAACGTGTCGAACCGAACTTTGCATCTGCCAGGCTGCATCCTGAGACGGATCGCCTTCAATACGGGCCGAAGCGGCGGGTGTGGTGTTGTTGCGGTTAGAGTTGGTGATTGTGAATGTCTCACCGCCATTCTCTGGCTTGGGGGAGAAGCTACCACGAGCAATGTCTCCGTACCGCTTGAGGATTTCTTTCGACGTGACTTTGGCGTTTTCCTTGAAGAGCGTGGGGTCGCTCAGAATACCCTGGAGATCGTCCGGAATCTGAGGAAAGGTTAGGGGAAAAAAGGAACCTCTCGTAACTATCCAGCTGTTCACTTACCTCACACATGGTGTCATTGTACGTAATAAGAGCGTTGACTGCCTCGATGGCCTGGAAACTCTCATCCACCGTGCTGTTCTTAGAATTTGGGTACAGGATGTTAGGAGTCATCACGGTAGCCAAGTTGTGAATATCCATCTTGCTTCCAGACTCCTCATCCACATGGGAGAAGGATGATGTCCAGTTCAAGAAAGTGAAGAGAACCTCCATCGTATCACGGTGAGCCTTGGGCAGAAGACAGCATGCAAGATGGAGCACTCGCTTCCCCTTCTCGGGGTCGGGCAATTCTAGCGAACAGGTCAGTAAATTATCAGACACGGTTTAGATCATGGCTACTCACTTTGTGCAGTCACAAACAGCCGGTGAAGTTTGAAGGTCATCAATGGATCGGGCATCTCACGAAGAAATTTCTTCAGGAGGGCTGCAATCTGGACTGGATTTTCCTTGCTCATGTCGACTTGGTCATATCTGTTGTCGATCATCTCGGATAGGTCCTTCAGTCGTCGGATGTTTCCATTCTTCCGGAAGACACCCTCGACGGACATGTCCATTTGGCGCATTGCTGAGACCGCGTCGTCCACGACAGCCGGGATACGCAGAGCACCCGGACCCACGCCGTGGCTGGATTCAGTGCCTTCCTTCTCCAGCAAGGCGTCCAGGCTAACTCCGAAGACACCCTTCTTCTTGCCCTTCTTCTTCTCGTCTTTGAATGCGCGGCCGAAGATACCCCAGGCCGTCGGCTTCCGTGACTCGATAAGAGAGAGCAGCTCCTCCATGGTGAACTGACCTTCCAGCAACGGCTCCATAGACAAAACAGCCACATGGCGGACGATAAAGTATTCCAGAGCGCTAAGCTCGGAGAAGTATCGCTTGGATCGAGTTGCAGGCTCGACCAACATGTTGTTAATGTTACCGTCAGACATGTTACGCCCGTGACTAGGCCTATACCTGGCCATTGGCTCGCCGGCATCGACGAGTTTAGTACCAGCATGTCTGTATGCATTAGGGCGCTGTTCTTTAGCTTGCTCCGCGGCAACAATACGGGGGATGTCATCCAACGTGAGTGCATCCTGGTTGCCAAATGTCAGGTCTTTGACTGTTTCGCCGTTGGCATCTCTTTCTTCGACGATCTGAAAGCCGTGTCCGTTGGGATCACTCCCGTCATTACCAGACGACCCGGGTCGCGCACTCCTACCCTCGGGACCATCGATTATCCGCGAGGCGCGAGCCTTCTTGTAGGTTGTGGAGAGGGCCCGCTCGTTGCGAATTGAGCGCAGTCGGCGCATCTCGCCAACAGTTTGCTCCAACGAAGACTCTTCAAAGCCCTCGCGAGGCCCGCCAGCGCCATGAGCCATGGAAGGGCGAACGTACGAGTGACGAGAATTGGCAGGCAGAGATCGCGCGCTATCTCTGCTCTCGAAGTTAGGATCATCTAGGAGTTTGTTAGTGGGAACGACTTGAATAACACGCTCAAGTGGGAGACGGGGCACTTACCAGGCTGAGGCAGAGTTCCACCTGCACGGAGCACGGCGAGAAGACGGGCAAGGGCAACTCTCAGCAGGAAGACGAATTGTTGCAACTTGGAAACTTGGATGAAGCCACCTTGGACACTGGAACTGAGGTTTTGTTGGTGAGCACATCCCGAGCAGTAGGCGAGTTTTTCATTTTCGCTCCACAAAGCGTCCGAGACGTCAGCGCTTAAGTCTTTGTCGCATGAGGAACAGGACAGATGGGCCGGCTTGAGATGCCAGCGATTCTTCTCTCCCCAAAGAAGACATTCATCGTCGATAGGTTCCTTGCAAGAAATGCAGCAATCAGACAACTGGTCAGCCAGACCCTCAACTCCAGCTGTAAGGTCAATTGGCTGGTCCTCGTCTTCGGGCGGAATGAGCGATTCCAAATCACCAAGATGACCCAGGAAACTGTGCAGGCCATCAGGTCCTGACATCTCACGCTCAAGCTTCAGAGCACCCTGCAGACCGATACGAATGAGGAGTTTGAGATAGTGGGCGAGGCCAGTCACAAGGGAAAGTAGCTCCTGGGTGACACCAAGCTTTCGAACGCCGGTCTCTTGTGTTTTGGACAGAAGAGAGAAGAAAGCGACAATCTTTTTGCATAGAAGTTTCGCCTCACGGGCATATGAAAGATCTAACGAACCCGTGTTAGCATGCAATGCGGAAGGTGACTAAAGCAATAGCTGGCCAGCTTACCTTTTACTCCTTGAGATCTGATATAGTTGGCCAATTCGTCAACTGCGCCGAAAAGAATCTCCACATGGCCAATGAATCGTTTCGCGATGAGAACACCATCGATGTAGGCACCATTGCTAACGTGCAGGAGCATATCGGAGATGCAAGCAGCCGAGGACTCTTCGAAAGTAGAAAGCGTGCTCCAAATGTTGTAGACCTTCTCTTCCATCGTATCCTCTTCCTGGCGAATACGCTCCCGTTCTTCGGGGCTGGCATCCACGTCCACTGGAGGGGGCTCCCACGTTTGACCGGCGGGTGACAGCCGGACATTCCAAAATTTGTGGATCATGTAACACTCGGGATGCCAATGTTGGTTCTGGCCGTTGCGGAAAATCTCGACGAATTGTTTGAGGATGGCGGTCTGGCAGCCGTGGCAGCGCTGAGCGAACTGAGTGGAGTAGTGAAAGTGACAGTACACTTTGCCCTCGTGCTCGTAGTATGAATCTTGAGCACCGAATACTGTCGGGCAGACTGAGCAGGTGAAATGTTCGATATGGTACTTGCGTTCTAATGCCGTTATGTAGGATCCGCGAAGTGCACCACCGCACTCATGGCAGAGCAGACCGAGACGTCTAAAGTAGTCGGTTTCGCAGAGTGGATATTGAACGCTGCCATCTGGAGAGTCGACAGGGAAGAACTTGGAGGCGACAATCTCACCACAGTCCTAGAGTTCGAATACAGTCAGCGTGTGGTCGGAATTTCAACCCTCGTATCGTTCCCCGTAGGGCGTACTTACATCGCACTTGAAACACTCTAGATGAAAGGTACCACCGAGAGCTCTAACAAATTGGCCGGTCAACGGCTCATTGCACTTCTGGCACAACCGAGATGAGCCAGGAGATTTGTTGTGAGGTCGTCCATTGGTACGCGAACGATCACGGGCCCCGGAGCGGTCCCGATAACCAGGCTGTTCGGGTTCGAGGCCACGACCTGAGCGAACATCATCCTGACCCAGCGGGCTGTTGTTCAACGGGCTGTTCCCTGCGGTGCGGGTGGTTGGAGAGTCGAATGGGATCAAGCTGTCCTCGGGGGAGGTTGGTGTGTTCTTGGAGAGGTAGCTGCCTCCGTAACCTGAGGTGTTCAGCGTGGGGTGTGGCTTGCCTGCGACGAGGCTAGCCGGAAGTTCACCGGGGGGGCATGATGGTCCCCCGTTCGGAATCAATATAATCGAGTCGCGGGAACGGTGGGAGGGCGGAGATGGCATGCAAGGGAATCCGAGAGACAGTGGGGGGTGGTCAAGTCGGGCCGGGTCGAGTAAACACCGGGTATATTGTTTGGAGAGGGGAAGAGAGAGCGAGAGAGAAAGAGAGAGAGACAAATTGGCAGAAGTTGAGCGCGTACTATTTCTAGGGAAAAGAGGGTCTCGTTAGCCAAAAAAGCGTCGGCCTGGCAGAGGCGCCGAGTCTCTGGAAAGGGTCCCACATCAGCGTTTACTCACACTTTACGCCATGTAGACACCCACTTGGAGCGCGAGAACAAAGACGATCGACGGCCGAAAGGGAGCGAGAATTAGGTCGGACCGGAGAGCGACCACCTTATACCAGAAGGCAGGTGGAGGTGGATGTTGAGAAGGATTGCAGCCGAGGAGGAAGGGTCCTCTCTTAGCGCGCACAAGCTAGTTGGACGCGGGGGATCGAGGGGAGCTCTCGAGAGCGGGCACACGGAATGACAGCCACCACCATGCGCGGGTATATGAGTCTTGGTGAAAATGGGGGCGGAAAAAAAGAGCCTTGAGGAGGATCAAACAGGAGGGTTGGGGGGTGAGAAAGGGAGTAGGGGAACAAGACGAAGATGGAGATGGAGATGGGAGTGGAAATGGAGATGCTCTGGAGAAGGATCGGGTTGCCCCCCCCTATTGAGGGTCACGTGAGGAACTACGAGGGGAGTGAAATAGTCAGTATATTCTTCATTCTTGGGAATATTGTGGTGATTATTGTGGTAAATATTATTTTGACAGTATTTAAAAATCCAACAGCATGCATATAATTATCCTATATACTATTTGTGCTGTTGTTGTGCGAGTTGATGATCGTCAGTTGTTTTGTCTTTTTATAGCCCGGCGGGCTTGGCTGGTATGGGAGAGCATGGAGTAGGAGTATCAGTATACACCTAGGGTGTGATACACATTATCTGTGGTCTATTCTATTTATTTACTCTTCTATATCGTAGAATATAGTTATTTATAATTTTTGCAATTTTCCACAATTTTCTACACTGCAGTTAACTAATGAACCCTTAACCACCACACCACACCAACCACGGCCCCGCAATGGTGAACCCTGGACTAAACCTACCCACTCTTTTTCCCTACTCACTTCCTTCAGTGGTTGATGTTAACACGACGTCAATCCTTCAAGTTCAAGCTGACTCAAGGTTCATGTTGTTATAAACCCAACAAAGGATCGGTCGTTTTGATTTTGTGATTTTCGTCTTTGACTGCGCCAAGTCAATGCAGACCACCTCCCCCATTCTCTTCCCTTTCCTTTCTACAACCCGTCACCCGTTGCCTGTTATTCTCAACCGTACTCACCAACCAACATGATTGATCCTCCTTCCATCTCTCTCTAACTTTTAAACCTATCTCTTTTCAACCACTCCACTCACATTTCTCACCGCAAAACAACATGGGAGACCAGTGCACCCTCCGCTTGATGCGGGTGAGTCCACCGTCCATACCCTACGAGACACATGGAATGGACCCCCCCACTGACCTATCGCGATAGGAAATCCGACTCTTGCAGAATGGTGACTCTCTTGGTTAGGAAATACATGTTTCTCCTTGGTCGAAGAACCCTCTTCCCTGCTGATTCTGAGAACAGCCATGACGGTGCACTACAATGAGCGCGACATCTGCGACATCTGGGCTTTGATGATTGGCTCACCCGGCACCCCATATGCCTATGGTTTCTACCAAGTAAGTTTAAGTTACTACTTGCCTTCATCTTTGAGGCATCGCTCTTACCTCCACTGCAGTTCGCGATCAAAATCCCTCCCGGTAACTTGTGTCTCCACTCCATGCTCGTGTCGTGATCCTGGCTGACGCAGGTATATATAGAATACCCCGCCAAGCCACCCAAAGTCGCCATCAAGACCACAAATCGTGGCCAGACTCGATTCGGCCCGAATCTTTATTCCTGCGGAAAGGTTTGCCTGTAAGTTCAAGTATTCACTGGTGTTTGGTCACAGGCATGGCTATCGGGAATCTTGCATTCTAACAGTATCTCTCAGCTCTATTCTTGGGTAGGTCCCAGCTCGTCGCCAACTTGAATGCGAAGACAATACTGACACAGTGACACGCGACAGAACATGGCCAGGAAAGTCTGGCGAGCAATGGTCACCTGCACAAGGATTGGAGTCAGCGTTGCTGTCAATCCAAAGCCTGCTCTCCATAGATCCTTACTATAATGAGCCGGGATTCGAAAAGTCTACTAGTAATCTCAAGTCCGAAGAAAATCACGTCCAGGATTACAATTCAAAGGTCAGAGGATGGCCCTGGAGAAACCTACGGGCACAGACTAATACCAGTACATACAGATCTGCCACGAAAATTTACGACTGACGGTGATCGAACCCCTTGAAAAAATACTGAAGCTGAATGAACAATTCGGGCCAGAAGCGGGTTCATCGCCTGGTTCGTGGCACCAAGGAGTCGTCGATGACTATATGAAGCAGCGATTTCTATGGTACCTGGAGCAGTACAAGCAAACCATCGAAGAACAAAGTCAAGAAATTTCAATCCAGAAGCGAGACAAGGTGGAATTCCCCCTGGCCCGATTCGAATGTGGAGGGAACGAAATGAGAGGGTTCTGGGACTACCAAGACCTTCGGAAACGCCTCAACAATCTCGAGAACAAGCTGGTGGAAGAAACCTTGTCATGGCCCGAGAAAGGACTTGAGATGGTCGCCAAGGATGTTGGAATTGCAGTCAGCCTGCGGGGACAGCATGGTCAGATCGCCTCTCAAATAAACCGCATCACGGAGTCGATGGTCGAGCTGGAGATAGTCAATGACAACCCTTTTCTCTGGCGAGTGACATACTTTGGCCGACCGATGACCAGGTTTGATGGTGGAGTCTTGCGAATCAAGATCTACATCAGTCCCCGTCACCCTGTCGAGCAGCCGCGGGTGTTTTTTGAGACTCCAATCTTCCACATCCGTGTTTCGCCCAAGGGTGCTTTGATTTATCTCCCGGCACGTGCGGAGGAAATGTCACGGCATATCGAAGGAATAATCAACACTCTGGAGGAAGAGGCGCCGCCATATAACCCACTTATGACTGTGAATCCGGAAGCGACCAAGCTTTACTGGGGCTCTAAGGAAGAACAGAGGCTCTATAACCGAAAGCTTCGTCTCAGCATCGCGGAGGCTACTGAGTAGGCAATGTTCATCCCCTTTTGGATAATGTCAGCTAATATTTATTCTACAGGCGTCTACCTCAGTAGCTACTTTAGTAGCTACCCCCGAGTCAATACATCCTTGCTATGAGCTGTGGGCTCATATGAACTATCTCGTCGAGATAGTTAAAGGCGAATACCTCGTGTCACCTGTGATAGGAGTTGCCCGTTGCTTACGAATGATGAATTATCTATTTAGCGATGTAGCTCTTGAGCACAAGAAATGCATTTTCACCCAGACATTCCAAATGTAGCATCCATACTATGCATTCATTATACCATAAACATGAACGTGAACATGAACACGCTGGGGCACGCTGGGGCAGCTCCACTTGGAGTAGATAATAGCCTATCGCACGTGCCACCTGGCCGGAGGTGGGCACCGAACCCCATCCAAACCCATCTCCATTACAATCCGTCCCCTTTTCCCCCATCCCAAAGCACAAAAATAATCAACCATCACAATGGCAGCCCACCAGCGCAAAATTGAACTGGGCAATGTTCTCGTCGTCGGCGGCTGTGGATTCCTGGGCTGGCACGTGGTAGACCACCTACTGAACTTCCCCTCCGAAACCGACCCCAGCGTCGCCCTGCCCAAGCCTCAAAACGACTCGCGCTTCGAATTCCCAACCCTAGGCTCGCGCTACCCAACCTACAAGGCCAACGTCTCCGTCGTCGACCTCCGCACCACCCACAACCGTCTGCCCGGCGCAACCTACTACGATGGCGACATCACCTCCATCGACTCCATGCTGGAGGTCTTCCGCGCCGCCAAGCCGAACGTCGTGATCCACACCGCGACCCCCTCCGTGCTGGACGGCAACAAGCCCCTGCTGTACAAAGTGAATGTCGAGGGCACGCGCACCCTGCTCCAGGTTGCCGGCGGCGAGCACGGTGACTGGGGTGGCAAGTGCAAGGCCTTCGTGTACACCAGTTCCAGCTCCGTCGTGCACGACACCCAGAGCGATCTAATCAATGTCAACGAGCAGTGGCCTTTGATTCGAGGCAAGCTGCAGCAGGAGTACTACTCCGAGACCAAGGTATGTTAAACTCGCACACAGCAATGGCAATAATCCCTCACCACAAGACCAAGACAAAACTAACACCTCCACCTCCACCTTCTCCAGGCCGACGCCGAAGAAATCGTCCTAAAGTATAACCGCCAATCACCAACCGGAATGGTAACAGCCGCTATCCGACCCGCCGGCATCCACGGCGAAAAGGACACAACAGTAACCCACAAGATCCTGGAACACGGCGCAGCCGCCTCAGACACCGTCTTGCGCATGCAACTCGGCGAAAACGACAACCTCTTCGACTTCACCTACGTCGGCAACGTCGCGTACGCACACATGCTCGCCGCATTCCGACTACTAGCCAGTTACGAGCGGTACGACGCAGGCCAAAGCGGACCTCTAGACCACGAGCGTGTGGACGGCGAGGCATTCAACATCACCAACGACACGCCGGTCTATTTCTGGGACGTGACGCGTGGTATGTGGGCGCTTATTGATCGGGTTGTTGAGCCTGATCAGGTTTGGTCGTTGCCTGAGGGGTTGTTGGGTGTTATTGGGGGCATTGCGGAGTCTGTGCTTGGTCTTCTGGGGAAGACGCCGAGGTTGACGAGACGGGTTGTGCGATACTCGTGCATGACGCGGTATTATTCTATTGAGAAGGCGAAGTTTCGTCTCGCTTATCTTCCTGTTGTGCCTGTTGATGAGGGTATTGCTAGGGCTGTTGGGTATGTCGTTGAGAAACAGCGTCAGGATGAGGGTAAGAAGGCGTTGTAAGACAGTGTCAGTGCTGGACTGGAGTTGGAGCTGAAATCCTCCGTGGGGATAGGTGATTGGGGAGGCCGATGGAAAATGATTGTATTTGAGTACTAGTATTTTGTTTATACTGTAATAATATCCATTGCAAATTGAACTTGAAATTTGAACGAGAGCGTACTCACTAGTACTACTAGTAGGTAGTCCACCTGGGCAGTGGACTCAAATTTGCCAACAATCTGAGTCCGATTGATCATATGTTGAGAGGTGCTGGTGTATGTCAGCCCTTCAAGTTGAGAGAATGCCCGGGTCACGTTGCAGACTCAGAGGGATGCCATTTCAGATCATACTAGGATTTCCAATTTAATAGGTAGTACAAGCACAAACCGATAGATCAGAGACTGCACCAATCTCGCGAGTCCAGGTCCGTATCTCGGTTCTCTCGATCCGACTGCCAGTGGTACTGCTAGTACGTAGGCTCATCGTACCGAGCAAGCCACAAAGATCCGCCGACCCACTGGCACCCACTGCATATAAACTTGAATCAGACAGCCCCCACATCACGCAATTACTCCTACATATATCGACAACAGTGCAGGTGGGTAATACTTCGGCAGAGTTTCCTTCAAGCTTGCACAGCACAGAATACCTAGTGCTGCTAGCACTACATAGATCACAACCCAGATATTTTCAGGACTTCACTTATCAACATCCATGATAATTTGAAAGCATGGAGGGTATAATTATTCACATCAAACTTGCCGCATATCTTGAAAAAACGCCAAATACAAACGACCAATTACTCCGACAGATCATGCGACTTCTTATGTTGAATATCGATGCCCTCAACACTAGTGGAAACAGGTACGCCCTCATGGCGGACCGTTTCAACATCGAATGCAGCTCTGCTGTGAAAGATGGTCTCCATCTCTTCCAGACTGCGGCCCTTGGTCTCTTTCACGAAGAACCAGACCAGTATGGCCATTACGATGTCCAGCGCTGCGTAGAAGAGGAAGGTATAGCTGCCCCATGAGGCTTGCATGTAAGGGGTGACGAGGGAGAAGAGGAAATTGAAGAGCCATTGCGTGGAGACGGAGACAGAGGAGCCGATTTCTCGGATGCGGGTTGGGAAGATCTGAGAAGATTTAGATTTAAGCCACAGTTGCCACAGCATTGAATCGAGAATGAGGAAAATAAAGCGGGACTCACCTCGGTAGTATAAGGCCAAGGCAAGGGACCCCAACTAAACTGATAAATCGAATTGGTCAAGAAAATCATCGCAACAGTCGCGATACCGGAGGATGTAACCTCCGACTCAGGCTTTGGAGTCGTATTATTGACTACAGTAACGATAATAAAGCAAATCGACATCAGGATAGCGGAAATCCAAAGCGTCGGTTTGCGCCCCCCACATCTCCGAGAAGAAGAGGATGTAAATACCGACAGTGATGAACTTCTCCGCGCCGAACAGACCAGTAATGAGTAGAGAGCGACTACTATCGTTACCGACGAGTAGCTTGAAGAATTGGGGGCCGAAGTAAGCCAGGGCTGTCATGCCGGTGCATTGTTGGCCACAGAAGAGGAAAATTCCGAGTAAGAGTCGGTAGCGGTTGGCCGGCTCGAGGAGTTCGCGTTTTGTCATACCTTCGCTGGCGCGAATTTCCTCTGTGATTCCTGCACGAATTTCGGCGAATTCGGCTTTGACTTCGGGGCCTGGTGTGCGTGGTGATCAAGTTAGCAATTTTGCTCGGAGGAGACGGAGATGTATATGATTGCCAGTGCTCATCACATAGCGAAGAGGTACTCGGTACTCACCATCATCCGCGCGCATCCACGTCAGACTCGCCCAAGCCTCATCGTAGCGATCCTTCTTCGCCAACCAACGCACACTCTCCGGCTGGGTAAAAAGACCCAAAGCAAGGACAGTAGCTGGGACAAGCTGCAGACCGACCGGGATCTGCCATTGCTTCGATTGACCCGGCAGTGTTCGCTGAACAGCGTAGTCAATCCAATAACTGATCATCACTCCGAGCGCGAAAAGCCACTGTACGCCTGATCCCAACATACCCCGAATCTCCTTGGGGGCCATCTCGGCGTTATAAGTTGGAACGACGGCGGTTCCGGCACCCAGTCCGAAACCCGAGATGACACGACCGATATAGAAGCAGACTAAGGAGTGGGAGGGGACGACTTGGAGGATGACGCCGCAGCAGAAGACACACATGGCGATCTGAACCGTCTTCTTGCGACCGAGTCGGTCGGAGACGGGGAATATGGCCAGGGCAGCGATAAAGGCGCCGACATTTTGGAGGGAGACCATGACGGCGTTGACGGTGGTCTTGTCGGTATAGCGAAAGTCATTGCTGTAGGAGTCGAATTCGAGAATACCGCCTGGGAGGTTAGCAAAGTCCTTCTCCCCCAAAATTGCAACTCACCAACAATGCCGGTATCGTAGCCAAAGAGAAAACCGGCGGTGCAAACGAAGAAGCCAAAGAAGTATGCGCGGAAGGCGCCCAGGCGCGTTCCCTTAAGACGACCCATCTTACAGCAGCCCTGGAGTATAGCAATATGCTATTCTATACAATATATTTTAATTTTCATTCGAGCAAAAAGAGGACAAGGTGCAATATAACCTTTAAAAAGAAGAGCAAGCCACCAGGCACTCGGACCACACCTCGTGGCAGGTCACTTTTGCCCATCAGCACGCAAGCGTCACCTACGGATACGCCATAGCACGCCATGAGCTAGACACATCGAGACTCGGAGAGCTTCCTTCTACGCGTATGCTTATTTCAAGCACATTCATACTTCTATATCTTCTCTATATACCTAAATACCTATATTTGCCCACTGAAAATTGACTAGAATACTGAATGTTATGCTATGCCATGCTGACCAACTGACCTAAGTGGATGATAGATCGGCTTCCCCGCAGCCGTGCCAAGCTCCCCCGGATTCCTCTTCTCCTCCTTCTGCCAGTATTTCAGTCTTTGCATGTCAGTGGATCTTACCTTACGCCACGTCGGCTATCGGCTGGTCGCTACGATCGGCTCCTTTCAACCTACGGAGTACACCATTCACAATCAACCAAGCAATGGCAAATTGGCAATGTTTACACTAACACACTCTGCGGAGCTTTTTCAACCCATCATCCCATTATTTCCCCCTGTGGCGTGAGTTTATCTTATGAGATAATTACGGTCGGGTCACCGTAATGCACGCCGCCCATGTGCGTCGCATGGTAGGGGGGCCTTGCGTCGAACCAGGATTAGAGCTGAAAACGCCGAAGCGCAAGGGGGCGGGAAATAAATGGAGATCGGGATCTGGATCTGGGATGTGGATGCCGCTCTACGAATGTCGGTCTGTAAATAGCTGTCGCTAGAGCTAGAGGGATGCGATCATAGTTATAATTGATAGAATCAATTATGCCAACTAGAAGGTCTATTGTCTACTGTTCCTGTCGGTGAAAGTTCATGTTTGATGCCTTCTCCTGCCTTCCCCGCAATTAGCAGCATCAGGATCGAGATCGCCGTTTCGGCTTAGTGATGCCGGATTGGGAACTCCTGTCTGCTAAACATAAATCAAAAAGTAACACGTGGTCGCAATCATAAAGTTGATTAGAAATTGAGCAAAGTTTTCGATGAACCCTAACTAGCCTCATTTTTTGCGTAGTATTTCGGACCTAGCAGAAGCAGCTAGTCTGCAAGGGGCGCCGGCCTAAGGGTTAGCTTGGCTTCGTTGAATCTTGCGACTGGTGTATGGAGTACTGAGCTAGGATCCTATTACTGAGTACTTTGGAATTTGCCAGAGGATAATCGTCGATTGCCAGTGGATACACTTTTGATTGGTAGTTAACTAACTATTTCCAGATGGCAAAACAAGACGTGAATCAACTTCACTGAACTTGAAGCTAGCTCGATGGGCAGCATATAGAGCTTCTTATTGGTATGCTTATGAGCACACCAAAGAAATACCAGAAGCCTTAGTGATGAGGAGACCTCTAGTTTTCCCTGGGAGAATCCTGCTGGGACTCGGACGAGTGATGTTGATCCTGGTTTCCCATTGACATGGGCTCGTTCAGACGGCTATTTATCATCCGAGGCGGGTCGCTGCAGAGGAGGACATAATACCAGTTGATTTAATGAAGTATCGAGGTGAAGTCCCCGTTCCCAGGCCTGCGGCAGGTTGCAGTGATACCGCGGATGCCACGTCTTGGGTTGACGGGATAGATTCTGCGGTGGCAGGGTCTGCCGTGCCATTGGCTTTTCGGACATGAATAAACCAGTTGTTGATCTGTAAGATGCTTATCAGTCATAGGTATAGCAATTAATGTTATGCTTGTGTACTGCTCTTACTTGAGACATCGTAAGCCCAGTAAGCTCCACAAACATTAACTTCTCTGCATCAGTGGGGTAAGGATGTTCGGAATTTGCAGAAAGCCAAGAATGTAAAACATCGCTTTCCAGTATAGAGAAATTACTGCTTTCATCGTCTTCCTCAGATGAGGCTGTCATCTTGCGATATCTAGGCACCTCCGAATGAGTTTGGTTGGAGGGCCCATGGCCTTTTCGGTCTGTGAGAGGAATTGCGGAGATAGAACCTGTGCCAAAATCAGATTGGGTGGGCTAACCACTTGTTTCTGAGCTCCGTAAATTACTAGCGCTCCGAGTCTTGCCCGAGTTTGAGAGTCTGGAATAGTTGTTCCAAAGCCGCGCTATGGCCCGTTGTGCCACAGGGAATTGACGGTACCGATCGAGGAACTAGTTGAAGAGAGCAAACTCATCTCGTGTAAGGTCATCTTGGATCCGAGTCCACAGCTGGGCAAGGGCGGCTTCGAGAGTACCTGCTGTATGCATGTCTATGGGATTATGCCCACTCCGGGCTTCAAGGCATGGTGGTTATGATTCCTGATGGGATGCGATTCCTGCTTTGAGCCTTTTGAAGAGCCTTCCCTAATCCCACACGTAGTACCTCGATAGCTCGTCACTTGGACATGGAGAAATCGTCCACTCCTTGGGACTCCTCATCATATCCCACAGAAGACAGAATATTAGATCATGAGCACTAGTCAAAATATCGACTGCTTTCAGGTTGAAAGGTTTACTACGCCCCCCGAAATTTGGGGAATTGTAACAATCTAGCCCACCGTAGTGTGGGGACAGCAAACAGATACATTGGTAGGCACAACAACTTAGGCAGAAGGACAACAACAACCAAACAAGAGAAAGAGGGCAAACTAAACAAACCAAATGAATTCCCAGGCCTAGTTTCGACCTTTCGACCTGAAAAAAAGCAAAAAGACAAGGTAGGCACGCACCGGTCCCGTTGCGTCTCTTCAAAGCCTCCTCACTCTCTTCCCCCCGAATGGTCAAGGCTAATACCATTAGACCATTTCGGAGGCTTATTAACCAGGAATACTTGTTTGAAATTCCTAACCGATACTTTGCCTGCTATTTGGCCGGGGCATTGGGTTCTTTGCCGATATGAAGCGCCTTCACTATACCCTTAAGTGTCCAAGCTTCAACTTGTTAGGGGCGCCCCAGCGCAGAGCCGCTTGGCCCCCTTACCGCGTAGGCTAATGTTTCTGTTGTCAGCACACAAAACGCGTTCAACTCCCATATTCGCATGCTTTCGAGATTCACACAACTAACGAGACCCCAAAATGGCCGATAGTGCCCCCAAAACTGCTGCGAAAGAACGTCGTGAGGCAGCTAGCGCCGTTGAAAAAAAGGCCGCGACATTGGTCAAGCAAATACTCCAGAGCAAGCACTTCATCGTCTTCACTGGCGCTGGCATATCGACATCCGCTGGTAAGTTCCAGAAAAAAAGGTCAAGTGAGATCGATATACTCAGATTTATTCACAGGAATTCCCGATTTTCGTGGTCCTGATGGCAACTGGACGCTACGCGCGCAAGGAAGGCCCCGCACGAAGCATGCCAATACCTTACAAGCCATTCCAACGCCGTCGCACATGGCCCTGGTGGAGCTTCAGAATCGCGGAATCTTGAAATACCTCGTCAGCCAAAATTGCGATGGGCTTCACAGGCGAAGTGGTATACTACCAGTAGGGAGATACCTCCTACCCATATGATGTCACCTGACGCGACGTAGGAGACAATTTCAGAGCTCCATGGAAATAGTAACAGAGAGTCTTGCTATGACTGTGGCAAGGAATATATTCGAGGTAATCGTCATACCATCAGGTCTATGGATTATATTGCTCATCTCACCGACACAGACTTTCGTGCCGTCTCTACCTACGAGAAAGGCGATCATGACCATCGCACAACGCGGAAATGTGCTCGCTGCGGGGGCGCTTTATATGACACAATCATCAATTTCGGAGAGAGCCTCCCAGCCAAAGCCATGGAGCTAGCCCAGAAGAATGCCGAAATGGCTGACCTTTGTCTTGTTCTGGGATCTTCGCTCACGGTCACGCCGGCGAATAGCATCCCGGAGATCGTTGGCCAGACTCAAGGAGCCAAACTTACAATCTGCAATCTCCAAGAAACTCCCATTGATGATCTCACAGATCTCAGAGTATTTTCCGAAGCGGATGTCCTAATGATCAAAGTGATGGAAAAGCTCAATCTTCACATTCCTCCATTCGTCTTACGGCGACGCCTGGTGATTAAGGTGGAGACGAAAGACGGGGATAGACACCGAATTACAGCTACCGGAGTCGACACTGATGGTACGCCTATGTCTTTCCTGCAATCGGTCCGACTTGAAGGCAGCAGACGCGTTGCCCGAGCGGAGCCTTTCATCATTCTGGTCCGTGAGTCGCTACAGCCTGGATCTGAGTTGAAGCTCAACTTAGAGTTCATGGGCCACTATGACGAGCCGAATCTCGAGCTTGTACATGAATACAATGGCGAGGAGGAGGTTCTCTATATTCTGGAATTCAATGTCGAAAATGGGGAGTGGACGATTACCAAACAAGAGAGCCTGGCTGATACCACGGAGTCGTTGACGGTTGTCGAATAGTTTATATTTTGTGTTTACGCAAAGGTCATTTTGAAAATATGCATCACTGTTGCCGACAGTGATGAGAGAAAAAACGGCGAGATACATGCAGAGACTCCGGAATTAGAAAAAAAATATAGTAGTAAACTCTATATTCTAACAAATTCGTCACTGAGCTCCAGAGGTCCCTGTTCTTTTAGGAATCAAGCCCCTGAAAAAAGCGGCGTCGAATATCCTTACAGATCTCCACATTGTTTCGTGCTCGGTCCTGAGAATCCTGAGCGCGACGCGCCAGCCACTCGTTTCGATCCTTAACAAAAGCCTCCATTCTCTCATCCCTCTGCTTGACCATTGCCTGTTTCTGCGAGGACAAAGTACTCACGTCCACCTCGGGCACATCGTCTGCAGGCGGGAACTGAGGTTTGCGCGGGATGCGCTTCTCGACTGGCAGAATATCCAGCTTGGGGCCAGGAAGGGTCTGGTACCAGTATGCGGTGGTACTCCAGTCATCGCGGAGATGGTTGGCATGCCCAGACTCCAGAGTGACCTTGATCTTTTTGTTGAAGCGCACTGGGTCGGTGAGGTGCCAGCGGTAGCTGACCTGGTAGTTCGGAACATCCTCTTCGTGGATTATGGTGCCGCAGAATGGGTATGCATTCTTCTGCATGCCCCATCCTTGAGTGAAGTAGTCTTCACCACCGGTGCCGTGCATGCTGGGTGGCCATGTGTCGTCGTCGATGAAGATCATATCGTCACCCTCGCCCCACCAGGTACCTTGGAAGTGAGCGACAGATTGGTTGCAGCCGATAAATTGACCAGCACCTTCAGTCTCAAGAACCACGTAGTTGTCACGACCGTCCAGGTTGGGCACTTGCGTCTCAAGGCTATTCGTTTGGATGCGAGATGGAGCCCAGCCGTTGGTGGGATTCGCACGGCGCCAGTGAGCGTGGAAGTAAAGCGTGTCTGCAGGCAGAGGCTCCGGATACAGTTCGTAGTCGATATAGAAGTACTGGAAGTACGCCTCGTCATTTTGATTCTCGATCTCAATGCGTGCCTGTTTGTTAAAAGGCATGGTGAGGTAGCAGTTGAAGGCGGCAGCACCACCAAATTTCTTCTCTTCGGATGGCTTTACCGAGACCGTGAAGGGAAGTGACTGGAAATTGGCCGCCATAGAATGGCCAAGACAGAAAAAGTCTCCGATCGGGGCGATAACGTTGGGGGTTTCCGAGTCATCCCAGTACATCTTGATGAGCACCTTGCGGTAGTAGTCTGGGTCGCTGACTTCATAATTGAGGCCAAGTGCGTTGTGGACTTCCATCATGGCAACCCCGGATTTGGAGTAGGGGATCAAACCTGGTCCCAGGATCTTGCGGCAAGTTTGGACAAACCACAGGTGCGTGATGGCACCGGGGCCTTCGAGGTCGGCTAGCACAATTGACTCGCCTGGCAAAACGACAAAGGCGTCCTCATTGAGACCTTTCTGGTCCCAGCTTGACACGCGGGCGGTACGAGCCACCTTTCTCTTCGCCATACTGGCAAGTAAGTCGTTTCCAATGGGCATATTGAAGGTCTGATTGAAAAAAAAAGAGAATGCCGAGTGAATTTGTGTGTGATTCTGGTCATTGAAGGCGAGTCGTTGGGCGCCCTTTAATAGCCACATATATTACGCCTTGTCTTGCGTATCATGACGATTCCTATCCTCAAAACATCGGCACTCAATTGCTTTCTCCGCGAGAAACACAAACCAAAATCTTCGCGATTTTGCGGGGATTCTAGTGATATCGCGGAGCAGCGCCGATCCTCCGCGATTGCGGGGATTGTCCGATCCCCCCGGGGCCCCAGGGCGGAGGCCTTGTCTTCGTCCGCGACCTCCCATGACCTGTTCCAATCTCCATTCAACTTCAAATCTATCATGGAAGACCATCGTCCGAATAAGCGGAAGCGCTCGGCCCTTGCTTGTGATGCCTGCCGGGCGCGGAGAACCAAGTGCGACTCTCAGAAGCCGTCCTGCCGTTATTGTCGAACCCACGAAATCGACTGCATCTATCAAGAGGTTCCAGCAGAGCCTCCTAGTCGGTAGCGTATCTTCCCTACGTGGTTCCCTGGTTGCTACTAACTTGATGCGTAAGAATCGAAGAGGAATTAGATGCCGTGAAGCAGCGCCTTGATCACATCGTTAGTTTGATCCAGCCTGCCCCGGGCCTTTGTATGGGTGCATGTGTTGCGGATCGACAAAATAATTCCGATGCAATAGTGGTTGAAAATAATTCACCATTCGATCTATCGTCTAAGCTGCTGGGCAACTCATCTACCTTGCACGTTCTTGGATTGGATGCAGATTTCTCCCAGGCTCTCATTCGGCGAGAACGAGCCAACGGTGGTGAATTCCAAGGACTTGTTGGTCCACGGATGCTAATTGTACCCCAGGCACAGGCTATAGCGTAAGTGCAACTATGATATACACTTGATCGACGCTAACACCATCGTCAGAGCACTGGCTGCATTTTCTGCTCGGGTCCACATTTGGTACCCCATCTTTCCTTCCGACTTCACACAAGAGTATTTTCGGGTCCTTTCTGGAAACTTGTCTCCGTCATCGAGCTCTTGTCTTGTTCTACTGGTTGCTGCTGTCGGAAATCTAGCTCAAGATGGCGGTCAGTGCTCAGATGCCCCGTATTTCGAAACAGCTCTCGCCTCGCTGCCCATCATCATCTCTGAGTGCAGTGTTCGCAGCGTACAATGCTTCATGCTGATTAGTCTATACTACTGTTGCTCGATGAGACCCTGTCAGGCCCAAGAATATTGCCTGATTGCTTCGTCGAAAATCCAAAATATTGTCACAAGGTAATATACTTTCATCAGGGCTTTTAAGTTTCCCAAAGCTGATTTCCTTTGATTCAGTGAGCTGGAAGGTAGTGATGTGGATACTATCGAACTAACCCGTCGAACTTACTGGGGAGCTTTACTCTTGGAAAAGCAAGTCTATGTTGACATTTGATCCCGAATTATTATTAACAGTATCTATAGTGAGATTACGTGCCAATTGGATGTTGCGAAGAGCAGTATATGGCGTTTGGATGAACACGTTCCATTGCCCTCCTGCCATCACGTATGGAAGTACATTCCGGACGACACCCCGCCTGGTGCCACATCCGACATATCGAATGGGGCTATATCAATCGACCTGGACAAAGGAAATTCTGGCTCGTTCTTTCTCAGCCGAAATAGCAATGCGACGCATGCTACACCGGTGCAATACCGCGGTCAAGTCCACTCGAAGTGGCAAGTACATTTATGCTCCAGCTATTGCATTAGAACTGGAGCGCCAGCTGGAAGAATGGTACTCTTACCTGCCTGAAATCAATCGTTTCGATCGAGGAGATGCTTCCGTCCCACTGGAGCAGACCAATTTCCTTCGAGTACAGTACTATTGCTGCAAGCTTTCCATCTACTGGCCCGCCATATTTCAGGTTGTACAAGATGGAAAAGCTACTCCACTTCTGTTGGATCATTGCCAGATTTTCTTCGATTCCTATCTACAAGTGACGCCCAGTATTCTCGCGGCGTTTCATGATTGCGTGGCACATAGGTGGACATTATTCATAACGTACGTTTGGATCCTTGAAGGTAATCGCTGCTTGATGCAGAAATTGTCATGCTGACCTTGGCAGTATATTCACTAACACCGTGGCTGTCATGTCCGCCGCGAATACTGCTTGCTTAGAGGAATTCTTTTCGGATCAGCTTTATCAATCCCTTAGTGTGTCAGGCCATGCGGATCCGACAATACTGCAACGCAGTCCATCTTTGATGATGCTGCAAGGGGTTCTTGAAGAAAGACTGTTGAAAGCAGGACTGTGGTAGGCTAGAATGTTGATGGACCGTAAAGTATGAAGGGGAAGCAAATTCCTTTCATGTATCTGACAACAAAATACATCAACAAATTCACCTGGACCCTGGCACTCCGTCCCAAACGCGCAGCTCTTTTACCAAAATACTTTTCGGATCGCCGGACACAGAAATTGATATTCCCATAGGGGCTGTGTAGCCAGGAGAATACACCATAGTAGCCAGCGCAAACCGATCATTGGCATAGACTTCCAAGATGTCCCCATCGGAGATAACGCGAATATGCAAATCCTCGAGACTCTCGTGTTCCTCGACGGCGAAGGGATTCTTTTGGTAGAATAACGTGAAGGGGCCTTCCTCAGGGCAATTGCGAATACTGTGGTCGGGATTTGATTTTTCTCTGTCTACACGGATTGTCTCATTATGGAGAGAAAATTCGACTCTGGTGTAGATGGACAAGTCACGGTCGTGACGAATGTAAAAGCTCACTTCCTGACAGTTGTCTGGGTTAATGGAAATTATCCCTTGCAGCTCCCAGGAAGGAAACACTGTTGAACAAAGCTTTAGTGTTTTCATTGACAGCGACATGTCTTTCCATTCGTGGGTATGGATAAAGCGGTTCCGAAAACGAGATAATTCTTGAATTGGCTTGATTCCCAGGGTGTAAATGGTCATGAGTCCATTCGACTGTTGAATAGAGTCGATAGAGGCAATTTCTACCAGGGAACTGCGAAGCGAGCGGGTGACATTCTCTATCGTAAGGAGGAAGAGCTCGCGGGGGATAGCCAACGCACCATTCCATCCTTTTTCTTTGGCATATCCAGCAGAGATGTCCTCTTCTGGAATCCACGCATGCATGATATATCTTCCCGACTCTGGTTCAGAAAATGAATTAGCGGCATACAAAGATCCACAATCCAAGTAGCCGCCGTGTGTGTATTCAACAGAGGGTTTGTTGTTGTTGTTGTTGTTGTTGTTGTTGTTGTTGGACTTGAGATTCCCAAACATCCACAGAAGAGAACGAATGGTCCGTGGAGGTATAGAAGGGCAAGATTGGGAGTATTTTATGTGACCACGTTCCACGTCTCCTTCTGCTCCGATAATAAGACATGTTCGATTGTCATCTCCAGATCCCAGGGTCAAGAAGTTGACGCATTCCCAGTTCACGCCGAAGTTACCCGACCATTTGGGAGACGGCTGAAAGCGATTTGGCAAATTGACTAAAGGCCCGATAAAACTCCAGTCACATAAATTGTTTGGCTGCACAGAGTAAAGGAAAGTGGTTGGACCTTCTCCCTCAATTCCTCCAGAAATGAGGCCGTATAGTGACTTTTTCTGGTACAAGCAATCCATCGCTGGCCACTCTGCGAGAAAAGGATCGCGAAACCCAGTCACGTTGACCGACTCAGGTTCACCCAACAAAACAGGATTGTTTATGGATTTCGACCACGTTGCTCCACCGTCACTGGATTCAGCGATTGCCAAGCCGGCCGCATACCGGGGATATGGCGGGGTGCTCCAATGAAAGGGCAAGGCGCAGACTGAAGAATATATAATAGAGATATGTCCTTGTTGTGAAAATGATGGAGGGGCCATACAGCCAGTGAAAACTCCATCTTTGTCATAGGTTTGATCTGGAATCAATGCCGGAGTAGAAAATGGCGCCCAGGAGATGAGGTCTTTGCTAATGGCATGACCCCAAGACATATTGCCCCAATTAGTGGAATGAGGATTGCCTTGCCAAAATCAGCTTCCAAGTTCCGTTCTTTAATCTAGGATTTTAGCTTTTCTTGACTTACACTGATAGAACACATGGTACAGCTGTGTTGTAGGATCATATCCCGGGGCGCACGGATCATTGATCCAGCAGCCACCGGTGAAATGTAGAGATGGTTTGACTCGATTGGCATCCATAATTTGTTTTTTTGCTCATGCCATGTCAGTTCATTCAAAGTTCACTCTTATAGAAATTGCGTTTTTTCAGGTAAGGGCTCGGATCTCGGGACGAGTCCGACCATCGCGGAAGGAATTCTTCGCTCCGCGACGCGAATCTGACCCGAAAAACCGTCTCGGGCACAGGCCCACTTTACCCCACGGGGAAATCTCCACGCTGTGCCTCCGTCGTTATTTAATGGGTCAATCTGCCACTCATACAGAGCAGGAAGAATGCAACTGCAAAAAAGCGAGTACTCTAGAGAATGACAGACGGGTCAGTAATCCCCTCTTTCCTGGTATCTTTCTGGTGACTGACTTGGATATCAGAATTGACTACGCGGTCATCAACCCCGACCAGAAATGGCGCATGCTGTGCAAGCAGTGGCGCTTCGTACTATGGGGTATGTGAGCGCACGCACAGATGGTAATCGGGAATGCACTAACCATTTGGCTAGCCCTCTGGATATCAAGCGGCGTGACAATGCAGGGCTTTGATATAGTCGCTGGAGGTCAGCTTGCTGCACTTCCCGCTTTTCAGAAACAATTCGGTTTACTCCAGCCAACTGGAGGCTATCTCATTCCCGCTCATTATCTCGCAGCTTGGAACTCCATTGCCCCTGCATGTGAAGTGGCGTCCACATTTGTCTTTGCCCCGCTCCTAGAGAAGTACGGACGCAGGCCTGGCATTGTTGTGGCTATTATGATATCTATCGCAGGGGTTATTCTCCAGCAACTTGCCACAAACTGGCGCGTACATCTGGCTGGCCGAGGTGTCAATGGTAAGGTGGCAGCTTGAACCTTCACTTCACCCAATGTTGATTTCCGACTAGGAATTGCCATTGGCATGATGTTCACTATCTCTCCTCTCTGGATTGGGGAAACATGCCGACCAGAATTACGAGGCTTTTTTCTCTGCTTTTTCAATACTAGCATTGTTTTTGGCCAGTTCGCAATGTCAGTGCCTTAGCTCCACCACTACTCCCACTATGTTTGCTACTAATTACTACACAGTGTCGTGGTTTCAAAAGGAAGCAGCCATATTGACGGGAAATGGCAAGTCCTCAAATGGCGCTGGCTACTAACCTTGAGCTGATGAGTTTATTTAGGCAATGGTGGCTCCCCATAGTCGCAATGTATATTTTCCCGCGTAGGTATAGGATCCGCTTGCTCTATTTCTTTGGCTTACAATACAACTAGTCATTCTTGCGGTAGGTTGGTCCTTCTTCCCGGAGTCGCCATACTGGTTAGTCAGAAATGGAAGGTCGGTTGAAGCCAAGAAAGCTCTCCGGAGAGTATACGGGTTCAAAGACGACACCTTCTATGATGTCGAGGTCCGAAGAATGGAGGAAGAGGTTCGAATGGCGACAAATATCCAAGGAACAGCAGAAGGACCAAGGCAGATACTCATGGGAATTGATATATCGGCAGAATTCGAGTGCTTGCGAGGCACAAACCGTAAGCGAACCTTAACCGCTATCTTCGCTGCCAGCGGCCAGCAGATGATTGGTGCAACATTTGTTATTGGATATGCAACCTATTTTCTTGAACTTATTGGAGTCAAAGACTACTTTGATGCCTCGGTTGTTCTCTACATCGTCATGTTGCTGTCAAGTGTCGCAGCCTTTCCTCTAACGGAGATACTGGGCCGTCGAACTTTAATCGTCTGGCCACAATTTGCTCTATGTTTTATGCTTCTGGTCATTGGAATAATGGGGTGCGTTCCCGATCAGACCAAAGCCAGTTGGGTCATTGTTGTCTTCATTTATCTTTGGGCCATTATATTTCAATTCTCCATTGGAGCCACAGGCTTTGTGTTGGCATCGGAAATCGCTACCATGCGACTTCGTGGTGCCACACAAGGTTTGATCACTATTTCGAATGCAGTCTGGGGTCTCATTATGCAGTTTACAATCCCATACATGGTAAGCTGTGACCTTGCTTGACGCCCCTCGTCTACTAACAAAATCTTCAGATCAACCCCGACGCAGGTAACCTCGGTGGTAAAGTAGGTTTTATTTTTTTCGCCACCGGTATTGTTGCTGCAATCGGAGGGTGGATTCTTTATCCTGAAACTAAGGTAGAGCTCAACTTGCCCTCCTTGAACCCATGTTACTGACTATCATTCCTACTCAGGGAGCCTCATTTGAAAGGCTAGATGAACTATATATGTTGAAGGTAGCACCGCGGCACTTCAAAAGTATGATAGTCAGCGTGGGGTCAGCAGTGGAGGATAGGAATTTGAAGGGTCAGAGCCTGACTTGCTGAGGGGGGCTTCAAGATAACTTCATCACACTGACAGCTTAATACATATATGAGCCAGTCTGTCCTGAACATGGAAGGTCCGCAATTTAACCACCAAGGAGTTGTTCTGTGCCCACTTTTATTTTGGCATAGATAGAATGCCATTTCCCATCGTCATTATATCCCAAAGGAATCTGAAGCAGTTAGGCTAACTGCTTAGTGATGTAGGACCCTTATGTAGGGATAGTATTTAGACCTACTATCCTTACTGCTCTCTTCCTTCCTACGCGAACTACTGATAATTATTTATCATATATCTTTTCAATATTTCTTTCACTCATAGTTTTCTTCGATTTACTAATATTTTTTTTAACTATAGCTAGTATTCTTTTAGAGACAGAACGCCGCGATGTTACGCACCCTGTGGCAAACAGAACTTAAATAAAAACACTATATGGAGCATCAAAGCCTCCCCTCCACAAACCCATCTTGAACCTGTTCAACGAATGGCTGGCTCGTTTTGTTTATAGCGACCTTGAGAATTGAAACGATCTCCTCAAGTTCACCATCGGTCACAGTGTAAGGAGGGCAAACCAGAATGTGATCGACCTGATATTCTCCAGTATGTCCAAGATTTCCCAGAATATTTAAACCGAGATTGAGACTGTTCTTGACAACCTGCGAGCAGAAATTGGCTTTGATCGGGAATGGTGTCTTCCGATCCTTATCAAGAACAAACTCGACTCCCCAAAACAGCCCACGTCCCCGGATATCGCCGACTAGAGGATGAGGGCCAATCTCCTTGCGAAGAAGTGCCTCTAACTTGTCGCCCATGATTCTAGACCTGTGAATCAGATTGTCACGCTTAATAATTTTCTGAGCTGCGATAGCAGCGGCACATGCTAGTGGATGAGCCTGGACTTTGTTAGCTTGGGCTTGGTGGGATCAATGTTTCGCCCACAAAAACATACCTGGAATGTGTGGCCATGGGCGAGACCTCCAGAGCCAGCGGAAAGAGCATCGAAAATCTTTTGATGTAACAAAACTCCAGATAGAGGGACGAAACCTGCACCGAGGGCTTTGCCAATAGTTTGGATATCCGGACCTCGAATCCCTTCTTGCTCCCACGCATGCATGGTGCCAGTTTTTCCCATTCCACAAATGATCTGTCGTAGGTCAGTTAAACCATTCTTTAAGTTATCATGTACGCAGCGAACGAGGAGAAAAATGAACACGTACCTCATCTAGGATTAACAGAACCTCGTATTTATCGCATATCTCTCGAATGGCTTTGAAATACCCCGGAACTGCCGGTAAACAGCCAAGAGTGGTGCCACTAACAGTTTCGGCAATGAACCCAGCTACACGATTCGGACCGACTCTCAAGATCTCATTTTCAAACTGCTGCGCTAGCCGTTGAACAAAAGCCTCATCCGACTCATTGGCCTTCTTCATCCGGTAGGCGTAGCAAGGGTCAACAAACGAAACATTCGATGACATAAAATCCTGATAGAACTCCCTGCGCGATTCATGACCGGAGACACACAGAGCGCCAATGGTATTGCCGTGATAGCTCTGTTTCCGCCCAATAAAATGAGTTCGCTTTGGCTGGCCTCTCTCATGCCAATACTGCACGGCGAGTTTCAATGCAGCATCGGTAGCTTCACTTCCAGAGTTGACAAAGATAGCCTTTGACAAGCCACCCGGCTTATCAGCAAGTAGAATGTCAGCTAATTCCTCCGTAGCGGCATTGGTGTACGGGGAGCCCGAATAAACGTAAGCGATGTCGTCGCGGAGATGGTTCGTGATGGCCTCGAAAACCTCCGGCTGTGAATGACCAAGGCATGATACGGACGGACCGCAGCTTGCATCAATTACTCTTTTGCCATTCTCGAGAATCAAGCTGATTCCATCACCTTTGACGATTTTCGAGGGTCTCTCAGAGAAAGTCCGATGAAGGATGTGAGAGCGAGCAACAAATTCATCGGTAGACATGTTGATGAAGGGATGACTCGAACTTATCACTTATCAATCGACTGCAGAATTTGGTATCTCAAGGGACTCTTATATCGCGACATTTCTGTGGTTCCTACTAGTCGCCGACATGATGCGGAGAAGCCGAGCCGCCCTTGACGCCGGGCGCGTGGGTACGCGGTGGGGAAGGTGACTTTTCTCCAACACCGTCCCAAGGACCAGAATTAATTCCGAATCCATCGGGTTCGCCGCCCTTGACGCTCATGACGCCCGTTGGAGATGATCCGGGGATGGCCGGACAGGCGAATATAAATGAAGGGATGTCGGTGATGGCTTTCTCCCGTCACGATACGTTTCTTCTTCAACAATCACGAAAGCAATGACCGGTATGAAGTCCAAACACTTGGCAGTGCCCAGGTGGGCACAGAATACTAAACTCACATATTGACAATGGATCAGGAAAATCAAACAATATGGAAAAGGGCGATGGCTCTACAGAGGCATACCGCGGCCCCAAACTACCAAATGTCCCAGAAGATCTGGTGGTGACGGGTGTTCTCGACCTAGAATGCGACGAGCGCTTATGGGTTCCCCAAGCCAAGGATGTTTGGTTCCGACCGCTCTGTTTTAATGTGTCGCAAGGGTATTTTGTCAACATTCTGCGCGTTCGAAAGAGTGGCATTCTTTCCCGCCATCGACATACAGGCCCCGTGCATGCCACAGTGCTACGGGGCCGCTGGCATTACCTCGAACACGATTGGTGGGCCGAGGAGGGCGGTTATGCCTTTGAGCCTCCTGGTGATATCCATACCCGTAAGTAATGAGTTCTTTGAAGTATCTGAGAAAACCTTGCTAAGTAGATGTTTCAGTGGAGGTGCCAGAAGGTGTGAATGAGATGGTCACTCTTTTCCATGTGACAGGCGCGTACATCTACGTCGATCGTGATGGAGTAGCCCTTGGCATCGAAGATGTTTTCAGCAAGCTGCAGGCAGCAAGAAAGCATTATGAGGAGGTTGGGCTAGGTGCTGCGTTTGCGGACCAGTTTGTCAGATAATTGCAATCTGTAAATAGTGAAAATGAGAACATTAAGTAAATTTCGAACAATTAACACCACTGACATTGGAATATTATGTCCAGCTCTCGCTTTCAATTATTTCCATAGGTTGGATAAATCTCCATCCGACGCGGAAATCTGCGCACCTCTCGGGTTACCACCCATCTAGTTTAAAGGAGCACGTAGGCACTAATAAATACTAATATTATTCAAGCAGTATCAGAGAATATTCTAAAAATTGGGAAGATATCAGCATCTAGGCAAGGTCTACGAATCACCAGGATCCCTCGTCTCGTTACTTTGAGACTACTGTACAACTGACTATAGAATGGGATAGATTTTCTCCGCTCGCACTAGAGCTAATTCCTTAATTCCAATTGGCTATCTCAAAATTTATTGTTTCTTAAACGATGCAGGATCCTTATCGCAATCCTTCGCCTCGTACTCGCCAAACTCCTGGCCTTCCTTTCCTGTGATGGCATCTCCATCTAAGCCGATGTCTTCGCTCGGCATTCTAGGTCCAAGGTACTTCCCTTTCTTGCTGAACACATAGATAAGAAGCACGATACTAGTGAGACCAATGGAAACAACCGAGATATAGTTCATGTTCTCTTTAGTCACCGGCAGCTCTGTCGGGATGCATGAGATAACATCAAGGAAAATAACCCAGGCCACTGCCAGAAAATTGACGACTGGACCAAATCGTCCTAGAGAGAAGGGTCTTTCAGGAAGGACATTGTCTCGACCTCGCCACAGCAGAATTGCTTGTGGAAGAGCGCATGACGTCTGCAAAAAGATAACAGCTGCGCCAACCATGGCTGAGAAGGCAGTGGATGAACCTAAGAAGATGAGGCCATAGAGCTGAGAAGTATCGGATTAGGTTATGCCAAAAAGAACAAACAAAGTGGAGGTTTCATACCGAGATAACAGTTCCAGAAAGCAGCAGCGCATTGAGTGGTATCTGGAAGATGGGATCAATCTTCGACCAGACTTTACTGAATGGTAGCATGTTGTCGCGAGAAACGGCCCAGAGCGTCCTCGAACATGTGGTTCCTAATTGAATTTGATTAATTTTGCTTTTCAAAAGAGAAAGGTAGGTGCAGCTAGCTAACCATTGGCGACACTGCAACCGAAGAAACAGATTGCGAAAAGTGCTAGGAGAACAGAAGAGGCACTCTTCGACTGTGTACTTTGATAGTAAATTTCAATCAAAGGAAGGCCAGATGGAGTATTCAAGACCGCATCGACATCAGTAATTGCATTCATGCAAGCACACGCAAAAGGAAATGCGGTTACCAGTCCAATAAGGATAGGATACAAGATTATTTTGGGTGCGTTTTGAGCGGGATTGCGAATCTCTTCACATAGATGGGCTCCACAGTCAGTGCCGAGGAATGCATAGACGGCGTTGCTGACAGCCAGCATGAAAGCAAAGCCATTACTAGGCCAGCCCGTTTCGTTGGTTGTGTCGGCAAATGTCCATTCAGCTGGGGCATGGTTATTTCTGCTACAGACGAACAGAGTTATTGTTGTGGCGGTCAGGGTAGAGAATGCGAGGATGACTGTTTGCAATTCATTAGCAAGGTGAGAGTTATAGAGGGAAGGATCGTTGCTTACAGTTGAAGCGGTTGAACAATGGGAGAAGCTGGGAGCCGAAAGTGTTCAATGCCACAGCAAGCCAGACAATGCCGAGATAGACAAGCCATTCGTGCCAGTTCTGGCTTTGATACTCTGGGTACCACAGGTAGGCAATTGATAGGATCAAGGATGCTATGAAATTGCATGCTGCCGCGCTAGCCAGCCACCACCCAAGGATGCTCAGCCAACCATTCCTGCGTACCGGTTAGCTTCACGTTGGTTCAGGAACCTGAGAATTCTCACATATATGAGGCAAATGCTCGATATTTGTCTGAAGCAAGGAAGAACGCCCAATAGTACTGAGCGCCAGCGACAGGATACGCGGAAGCCAGCTCTGCAACCCCAGCTGACAAAATAAATGTCATGAGGGCGGCGACAGGAATTGACCATAGTGTCCCTGCTGCTGATGCTTCTTTAATGGAGATGCCCATTGACGATCCAGTCCCGGACCAGGTGCATGTCAGACTAAACGAAAGCGCAACTAGACTGAATACCGAGAACTGTCTCGGCATTTCGCGCTTGTAGCCACGAGCCTCAAGCTCCCGGTCATCTTCGAATTGGTGCATATTGGAAATTTCGCAGACGCTTCCGACGTTGCGTTCAGGTCAAATAATTTCCGGGGCCATAGCTCATAAATAGAGCAGAATTGATGACAGCCATGGCTAAGGCTACTTCCAGTCCCCTGGTGAGCAATTGGTACCCCGGTGACAAGATAAGCAGCTTGGCAGAAAACCCACAAAACCCACAAAGAAGATGCTAGATCCGGGGACGATGAAGGGAAATATCTCCAATCATGTCTTCTCTCATTGGATGGATCCTCTGCGCTGTTGGCGCTCGACCTCCGATTGGTCTCCACACAAAATATTAAGCGGCAAATACCGCTCTCCCCCGCACGGGGTTGATAATGTGTGACTCCTGTCTATCCCCATGATGCTCTCGATGCATATCTCCGCTGTTAGCGCCAGCCTGGTATTTGATCTCCCTGACTCGGACTCGGACTCTCTCGAACCTGGCCTGTGTGGTGTGAGTAGTCATGTCGGAGCAAGACGTATCATCTCTTCGGCCGCCCGTGCCGCGGCGGGTCATCAAGAAGCGAGGGACCACCCGAGAACGGACGGGGTGTCTGACCTGTCGTCAACGGTATATACCCCAGTCGAATCGAATGGAACTTGCGAAAGTGTCTAACTTGCCGTTTAGGAAAAAAACGATGTGATCTAGGTTATCCTGTGTGCAGAGAATGCGTTCGATTGAACTATAAATGCAAATGGGAAGAGCCGAGATCCGTTGCGCAGGATAAGCAGAACGTCAAGTCAGTGGTGCCATCTGAGGACAAATCAAACAGTCCATTTCGACTGTTCAATAACCCAGATCCAGTTTTATTCTGGGTTGATGAACATGCCGACTGCACGTCCCCGTCGAGCCGCCGGCACTTCCTCCGATATTACACACAGACCTTCACGCATCTTCTAACGACCAACATTGAGAACAATTCTTTCTTATCTGGTAAGTGATCAGCATTCTATCTCTTGTGGCGCCGGCTCCTAATGCCAAATCCTAGTATTTCTGCCGATGGCCATGCACAGCCCACCCTTGCTAAACACGCTGATCGCGTGGTCCTCCGCACACCTGTCACTGAGGGACCACTCCTTTCAGCAAGTGGCGATTCAGAACCGATGTGGAGCACTGAGTGGTCTCCGCGGTGCCCTCGAATCAGACCCCACGAATATTGAGGCCAATCTCGCCATGTCCTTAGTCCTGTGCTCATTGGAGAGCATCATGTCAGATAATGGAGCCGCCTGGTATCAGCATCTAGTCGGCGCTGCCGGTGTTATTTCAGCCAACACATCCACAGCAGTCCTTAAAGGTTCATCCACTACGGAGTTACTGAAGCCATTCGAAGATGCACATTCGGGGCGCTGGCTGCTTCGGAACTTTGCCTATCGGGATATTGTCATGGCCGTCGCGCGCGACCAAGCACCGCTGTTGAGTTCGCATCATTTTCTTCGACTCGACGAGCCTAGACTGCCAGACTCGCATTTTGGTCTTGCATCGGAGATCCTCGAAATAATTTCGAAAATAACTGCGCTGAATGAAGAGATCAAGAACATTACCTCGGGAGTACAAATTGTGGCCGACAACGATTTCGCATTCGATCATAACACAAACAGTGTTCACGAGGAACTCGAACGAGCTGAAATCCTGACCAGATTTTCGTCACTCGAAAGCAGACTGAATCTTTGGGCATGTCCCGCATCCGCAGATACCTCATTAAGATTATTAGCGGAGACTTATCGAAGCTCGGCACTCTTACACCTCTACCGCTCGCAACGAAGAGCATTCCCACTCCAAGCAGTAGGTCTTTCATCAAAAGCAACAGCCCAAGCTGCGGCCATTGTCGAGAGTATCGAGCAAATGCCAACTCGAAGTTTACCCGAATGCACTTTGCTCTTCCCGATATTCCTCGCGGGAGGGGAGGCAACGGACGAATCACATATCAAGATCATTCGGGATAGGATGCTCGACATGATTGAGTCGCGCGGATTTAGAAATGTGCAAGTAGCGTTATCAGTCTTGGAGAAGCTTTGGCGCTTAAGAATTGCGCGGAAATCATCTAGCTCGTCCGTGAGTGTTGATTGGCTTGATATTGTACAACAAGATGGGATTGAACTGTCTTTATCGTGAGTACGATCTTGGCACTCACGGCCTCATAGAAATCAAAGAATGAACCTTTTCAAGTAAAGATACGCCCATATGAATAAGAATAAGGTATTTACCGACAAATAAAAAAAAGAAATCGCTAGATTTTTGAAAACTGCAGGTCGCGCCATCGGGGTATCGGGCCCCGGGGGAGGCTTAAACCCCCCGGCCCACCTGGGCAACTCTCGCGCGAACCACCTGGATTATTTCGTCGTACAACCACCTGAATTTGTCGCTCCCAGTCAGACACCTAGAGCGTCGAAGGCTCATTGAGTTCTGTCTGGCTGATTGGGCTGCTGCCCGGCTCAAACGAGCCTCTTGAGCAGAACACGGAGGACCTTGTCCTGCTTGGCGATGTCGCGGTGGAACATTTTGCCGGCCTTGGTGTATTTGGAGAGCTCCTTCTTGTTGCGGAAAATGCGAGGCTTTTCCGCAGTCTCCCAGCATTCGAGTAGATCGATAATGCTGACGTAGACACTCGCCAAAGCCTTTCATACAAAGCCTTAGCGCGCCATCAAGTAGTAGCTACTGGATAGTGATGATATTACCTTTTTGCATTTGTTGATCGAGCCTAGGCTGTCATCCAAGCCCAGCTTGGCGCACATCTGCTGCCATGTAGCGAGGCTGGCGGCCCAGTGGCCGATGAGGCGATCGTATTCGTAGTTCCAGCACTCGCGCCAGTTTCTTCTCCAGGTACGGGAGCCAAACTTCCAGTGTCGTTGCGCTCCCAGGCGCTTGAATTCGTCGCTGACTTTGGCGTTGGGACTGTAATTGAAGTTGGGGAATTTGGCGAACCACCCCGCCTGGGGCCCGGCCAGGCGGACTTGGATAAGTATTGATTAGTAGGGTAACCATGAAGACCAAAGCCTTGCGATAACTTACTAAACATGGTGTTGAAGATGATATGGAGAAATTCAAATTGTAGGGTAGCGGTTCGGGTTGGAGGAAGGTAAAGGAGAAGGAAGAGGAAAGAGGAAAGTGGGAGGTCCAGTGTTGCCCATTTACAAGGAAGCATAACTGGCCAAGAACAGGACCGGATATTGCCATGAAGTCCTTTAAGCTACGAATCTTTCTGAAAGAATAGGACAATTTATTTCAAGAGGAATAATACAATGGCCTCTATTGAACGCTACGGATACTAGTTTCACTCTTTGCAACAGATTCACAGATAGCTATGATGTATTACCGATCTATGGTTCTGCAAGCATCAGGTTACGTTACCCAGCTTGCAGTCTTGCAGAATATGCTTGTAGCATGTTTCCCTAGGAATTGTAAGGCTCTTTCTTTGTTTCTGAATGGTGATAAATGTCGCCAGATTGTCGCCAGGATGTGTCTCTCGCACTGAATATGTCCATTCTCAGGGATTGCTAGCATAGTATTGACGAGATGGATTCTGACTCAGATATAGACTCGATAAATAACTATCTAGTATTTTTGCTATTGTTCTAATCTCTCTGCCTCTTCCTCTTCAAGTATCTAGGTACTCGCGATTCATGTTTCGCATCGCCGCCGCAGTGCGCCAATCCCCAAATCTTTCTTTATAAATTGGTCTCATTTCCTCCCATTTCAGCTTTGGGGTTACAAGTCTGTGGATAAAGCTTGGGCCAAATCTACGCTCATCTGGTGTTCTTTCGATCCTGTTTTCATGGTTAGACACTGGAGTAGCGCCTCTTGATGAATTGAGATCGGTTGATCGAGCCTCGTGTGGCAAGCCTTCTTGGCGCAATAAAGGGTCTTCGGTGGTTGGATCTTCAACGTTGCTGAGATTGTATGAAACAGGTTTTCTTCCCCATATAGCGCTGCGGAGGGTCCTTCCAGGTTCCGATGATGGTTTCAAGGCTGGACCGTATTCGGATGGTCTAGTGGCATCATCGCCTTGTTCGCCATTGTGCAATCCTGGAGACTCCTTTTCGTATCTACGACCAGCCGAAAACTCAACAGTAGGCTCTGCTCTCTGTATAATTCTTCTCTGCGCCGCTAGTCGCTGAGTCTCTTCGGTTTCCCGATCGTTCTCTTTATTCAAGTTGTCAGCCCAGGCCTGCCGCAATGCGAGACTTATATGAAGCGAGAACGACCAAGATCCATGTGATGGTACCTACCGTTATATTCGAAGGCTCGCTTTGGGGGCAAGGAACCTTTCAGGAATAAAGATCCGACTTCAGGCTTCATCTTTTCTACGATCTTTTCAATCCGTATTTCCGACAGAATCGAACTGTCTGGAGTCACTGGTGCCTTCACAGGCGGTTAGGATCAGAGAAATCTGAGTCAGTTGAGCAAACATACATCGCATTCCATCTGTAAAAACCTTCAAAATTCCAAGATCCAGGGAATACAAACGAGGGTGTACCAGCAACCTGGAACCTTCCAAGGGTTATGCCCAGGTGGTTTGTTTACGAGGTCGCCAACAAGGATCTGTAATTCTACAGAGAACAGTGGTACTCCGTACAAGTTGAACTGTGACGGTTTAGCACGCAGTTTTCCCGTGAGATTCGTTTGCTTCCTCCAGGTCTTCAGTATATACCCTGTCAAACCTGCCAGGATTCGACCCAACCCAGGTTTTCTGATTGGTTGCAATCAACAGGATTTGCTATTCCCATGCAGTAGCGCGGGGGCAGGAATGCCCATTGGCTCCTCCATTTTGGACCTGTAGACTTTCTTCGTTGGCGGAGCAAAGGTTGGAAAAATGGGCAAACAGGCGAAATACTAATGTGGCTGGGAAAATGATAATAATATTTTTGCGAGTGGATCAAGAGGTGTAGTGATCGAAGTCGGGTCGTGATGGATATGACTCGGAGATTTAGTAAATGCTGTTGATCCTGGTTGTGGTGTTTTGACTTGGTGTTGTCAAACATAATCCTCTTGCATTCTGCATATGTACTCTCGAGTTCGAGATAATCATGGTTTTTTAATCATTCATCCCAAGTAGTAGGTATTCAAGTACTTCAAGTTGTACGAGGTAGTCATACTGCAGATCGATAGCCCACCACTAGTATTCACCATCTACAAGAGCTGCAATAAAGGCCCACCAGTTTCTAGGGGATAGTACTAGCTTTCCTACTATTCGACATTGAAAATTGGCTCATGAAAAGTGCTAAAGAAAGACACTACTCGTACCTAGTAACTAGTGAATCGTAAGTGTTGAGTCCATGGTACTAATAGTTAGATATCCTGTACAGTCATGTATCTAGTACTAGCACTAAGCACTACTCTGAATTGTTATTGAGTTATCCTAGCAGAAACACTGGGTCAATTGCGACTATCATGATGTATGGATCACCATAGTGTATCCGAGTCCTGGGTATACAAGTACTAGTACTAACATTGCGGGTCACCTGGTCAAACGGCAGTGAATGCACAACTTCAGGTGGACTTGAAAACCTGCAGGTACCCATCAACATCAACTCTCGCTTCTGTTGATTTTCCCACTTCCCACTCCCCACTTCTCTTGACGCTCTACATGAGATAAATAACTTGAAGCTTGCAACCAGATCCTTCCTCTCCAATTCCTTGCCTCACTTTCTCACACCAGTTCGATTCAGCAGGGCAAATGGAGACTGTTATTCCTGATAGCGATGAAATGGCAAGCAGCCAACAACCACACCCACAGAGCATAACCGGACGGAGTATTTCGCTTGACTGTGCACCACGATTTGGAACATGCGACTGGGATTTGTTTGTCCCACCCAAGGAGTCCAGTATCAGCAGCCCAGACACCATCGAGAGAGCCCTTCAGACAATTTGCCAGTTCATCGACGAGAGCCAAATTATCGTCGAAGAAAAGAAGAGCTTTGTTCTTCAAGATCCCGCCGCCGATACCTGGGGAAGCTGGGCAAACAAGGCAATCAGCTTCAACACCAAAAAGGATGGCCCAGCAGTCGTCCCCGTTGGGATGAATAAAGAGAACCCGAGCGAGCGCCCAAATTGGATTCAAACCATCATCGGCCTCCGACGCGGTGTTTTCAAACGCTGTCCATGTGAAATTGGCCCAGCCCACTACAAAGGTCGTCTGGGTGACTACATCGCGACAGTCACTAGGGATGAGTACAAATGTCTGGAAGGGTACTGCAGCTGTGAGATACCGACCCACTCGGATTGGCAGGACGAACTGTATGCGACCGAAAAGAAGCGAGAGATCGTCGAGTTTTTCAAGCCGGGTATGTTTCGTTTCCTCTCCAGGTGGTCGCTCCCTTTCGCCCGATACTGATCAATGTTGAAGCGCTCGAGAAGTTCTTGGAACTTGAGGTCGATCTGCAACACCGCGAAGAAGAGATCAAAGAATATCTTAACGGTGAGGCCAGATTGTATCCGAAAGGCTTTTCACTCATGAAAAGAGAATATGAAGATTCGAGTACGTATGCGGATTTGCAGCACGGCGACATTCTAACTGACATTTCATCTCAGAGCCAGATGGTACAAATAAGAAACCTCGCATACAGTCAGCCTTGCTTCGTCCAAAATCATCGCAAAGCCACCTCAGCACAGACGAGATCCCAGTTGTCGCCAATGTGGGAGAATCCGAGACTTTAGACGGGCTATGCACTTTCCGCCCAAATGCGACAGGAGCAGAATCCTCGGGATCGACACCGACTGAGAGTGGCGCCACGAAGGAACCATCCGCCGGTTCTGCCATCTTGCACCCCCCTGGAGCATCCACTGTCTTACCCCAGGATTCAGTCCTCCCAGAAAGACCCCCCACCCCAGTTTCGACCGCCGGGTGCCGCATTAAGAGAACTCCGAAGGAAAGACAGGAGGCTCCCAAGTTCATTTCCGACTACGTGAGACAGGGATATTCATATGATCAGATACGAGAACCGTACCGGCATGAATTCGGCGTCTGGCGTAGTTCTTCAGCACTGTACAATCACTCCCTTGGGAATCGCAAGAGATATGCGGGGCAAATCATGCATTGAGATCTTATTCGATCAGGCGGGAGAATAATGCGGTGAGATTGTGTGAAGAATACGGGTTGCATATGCCCAAGGCCTGGTCCATATTAAAATGTTGCCGTGTACAGCCATCGGTTGGTATGTACTAGTAGCTATTATCTGTATACGCAGGGAGAACCTATGTGGTTAAAGAAAAGTTCTATTCATAATACCAAATTCTACTCATTGTACCTTTAAACGCTCTCCACAGGTAAATTTGATGTTAATGCCGGTTATTTTCCCACTAGAACTACTAGTATTTTCCAGACGCTGGTGAGGGTTTAGTGCAGCTCCTTGTACGGAGTACATAGAGCTGATCTGCACTATAATCAATACCGTATTTGGATACCTACTAGGTACCTGAGATGAATGGTCAACAGATCATCTCAAAAAGACTCAGAAAGTAGAAAACTTGTTTGAAAATGCCGAGCCCAAACAACACAACCATGTCACTTGTCTAAGACCCTGAGCCTTTCACAGTCCCCAATAAAATCAAACCTTCGCTCAGAATTATACATGATAGCTAATACAAGCAGCGAGGCAGGCACAGAATCTTCATGAACCAGCTTCCGAGGCATTACTCAACGTTGCCTTGAACATGGTGATTTGTTTGTCGAGTCGCGCGAGGATATCGGCCGTATCCCTGTGCGATGTTGCTTTTGCAGCTGTATCTCGCAACAGCTTTGCATTCTGTATACGGTCGTCCATTGTGTGATTCTGTCCATCGGTTCGGGCTTGCCTCCCGTCCGAAAGGGCAGGCTTCTTTGATATTTGAGTCGAATAGGTGTCGTTCAAATTTTGACATGACCAATAGCATAGCCCGGCACAAACATTGCGCAAGGCCAACGGCGCGAGGTCGACTAGAGAGTGCTGCTTGCCATCTTCGTCGCTGATGGTGTGTAGATCGATCCAGTGACATATGGAAATGGTGTTGTTCAAAGCACGTAGGCTTTCATATTTCACACGTGCTGCAGTTATGTCTGCTCGTAAGTTCGCACTGTCTCGGATGCCAAAGTCGGATACAGCGCACTCAACTTGCATCAAACAATTGATTTCTAATGCCCATAGTACAGCCCGATGGAGTTGAATGTGTCTCTGCATTTCAGTGGGGTAATCCTCATTCTTATCCTGAGTTGCCAGTACCCCGAGACTTTCTTCATGCCTCCGTAAATGCGGAGGACAGGTTTGATTCCTCCAGTGATAGATTTGTTCATATAAGTCATGCACATCGTTGGGCTCAACACCAGAACGTTTTGCCGATTCACTGCACAGTCGCTGCAGAAGTTTTCGAGCAATGACTGCAAGTTCAAGGACGGCGTCGAGAAAGTCACTAACCTCGTGCGGAGGCAAATTGCCATTTTCGCTTTTGTTCTTGTCGGGAATTAGAGAGATCTGCTTTCGATCCAAACAGTGAAAGGCATCAAGGCCATAGACGTGCCAGTAAAGAAGCACGCGTCGCTCCCGAGCTCTCGCCAGCGACACCATTGAGCCAGAACTCGTGGAAACACGATCTTGGATACGAGACTGTAACGTCATCAAGACCAGCGATTCATGCTTTAAAAACAGCCTTCCCAGATTTGAATGAAGAGGCGGAGTATCAGTGTCATCATACTCGAAATTAACCATGAGCGCCAGCGCTTCGAGATCATCGAGTCTAATTGAACCATCATCGGAAGCGATGCTCCGAGCACCGAGATATGCCTCTCGGAAATCGCGAGCAAATCGCTGCTGAATATTCCACCTATCGGGAACTGCAGTGAAGGGCATACCGCGACAGGCTACAGCGGAGGCGAGAACATGGCTGGCCCGTCCGTTGCGGTAGTCTTCCCAGAAGGCGTCTTCCAGGAGAATCGGCAACCATGGTGCTGCGAACTTAAAGTAGCAATTTATTGCAGCAGTAAAAGCGGTATTCGAATCTGTAACGCCGTCTGGCCAAGAGGATATTTCCGTCGATTGCTGAGCTTGTTGTTCGCTCAGGCCAGAAAGGCCTTCATCAATATTACTAGTATTACTAATAGTAACACCAACACCCTGATCGTCGGCAAGCCATCTTGCTTCTCCGTTGTCGTCCATGAAAACTTGATCCAGAAAGAAGATGTTGTCACGGCTCAGAGTAAGAAAATTTTCATCGAACATAATATCTGGATAATGTATCGAAGTGGACTGGTCATATTCCTGCAGCTGGAGAGGTTCTGGTTGAGATGTTGAAGCAAAGGGAGTGGCTTCTGGGTTATCACCGCGTGGTAGTATGCCATCTCCATCACCTAAATTTAGGCCCGTCTTACCTCCGCGGGCAGTTTCGCGAGCACGCGAAGGGGTACGTGTCTCCGTCGGATCATCCAAACGACAAGGACTTTGACGTAAGGCACACTGTGAACATGAGGTATGTCCCTCTTTTGCACGCAGTGACCGATCGCATTTGATCTTTCGCCCGTGGCAAAAGTTGCAGGATTCTCGCGGCAGTCCTCGTTTGAGTCGTACTGGCATTTTTAGGATGTCCCGGATTTTCTCCGTCAATCTTGAACGCTGGGGGCATAGTCTGACGGCGATTGCAATTGACTCAAGGATGGAAAGTACATATTATTTTCCGGGGACGGGACTTTCGCGGTGATTGTACGGTAGAAACCTCAGGTTGGATGAGTCCCCGAGTCGAAAGCGGTCAAATGCATAATGTTTACTAATTGTGCACGCAGTGGGGTGACGCTGATTGGCCACAGTCCCCTCTCGTGCAACAATTATACTGTTGTAGTAGTTGACTAGCGGGTATAACGCGGCCATTTCGCGGACATTCTGCCAACACGTATAACTCGACAAATAGAAAGATATACTAGGTGAAGAACCTGAATCTGGCTGCCTGATCTGATCAAAGAATCTCCGTTGCATCATTTACTTTAATACTATATTTGCCGGTCACTCTCAATCACAATGTTCAAACGAAATTGTCGATTATCTTCAAGTTCTCATCATGGCCGAGTCAGCTGATTTCTATGGTTATCTACCCAGCAAGCCGGCGGCTCTTTTTGGGACTGTCTACTTTGGCATTTTAATGCTTGCATGCATCATTCAGATTATCTTCGGAAAATATAAGCACTACTGGATGATAACCCTTGCCCTTGCCGCTGTGGGAGAGGCCATCGGATGGGGAGGGCGACTCTGGGCTCATTACGATGTATGCCAGGTTAATTCAACGCCTCGTACGTGAGTATTTGCTGCTAACTCTATTCCAGCCAGCCAACTGGATGCCGTTCATGATCCAAATCTGCAGTCTTATCGTCAGCCCAGTGTTCATTTCCGCCGCAGGCTATATCCTTTTCTGTAAAATGTGAGTACAGTGAACAAAGCCATGAAATTGTATCGCTAATCAGAGGCAGTTTGGAAAATACCGGAGACAGACTCTTCCATATCCCTCCCAAGTTCTTCTGGATTGCTTTTATCATCCTGGATATCATCTCATTGGCCATTCAAACTGTCGGGGGAGTCTTGGTATCAAGCGCACAGAATTACGACCAACTCAATCACGGGTCAAATATCATGCGGTCTGGCATTATTTTTCAATTCAGCAATACCGTTCTTTTTGTGGCCTTGATGTTGGGAACAGCTTTCAGGCTGCGCGCGAAGGGAATCCGGCTATTGTCGATAACAGGGTGGCCGGTCCTGGTGGCTATGTGGGGTTCGACACTGATGGTGCTTGTTCGCAATGCATACCGCATCGCCGAGTTATCAGGAGGATGGAGGGGTCATTTGATGCGCACTGAGTGGTATCTTGTGGCTTTGGACATGGTGCCAATGGCCATAGCAGTGGGGGCGTTTATTGTGTTCAGTCCATCTCTCTTTTTCTATTCAGAAAAACAGGGAAGAGAGAAAGAGCGCACGATCGTCTAATTTTATCTGATTGTCAGTGTTCGCGAGTGGGTTTCTTAAATAACAATTGCCGAGAACTGGAAATGGCAGCCTCAAACTCCTGTTCCTAAAGAAAGGCTCGTGGTGTGTGATGAATCTGCAATCGCTTTATTGTCTTCATAAACATAGAGCTATGCAGATCCCAAGAGACCCACCGTCTAATGGGACGTATTATTGAATCCATGTTTGACTCTTAAAAAGGTGGCACTATCATTCTTTCAGTAGCATCCTAAGCTTTATAGATAACCTCAGGGTTGCCAACGAGCATCATTCGCTGCGCGATATTTGGACCAGCACAGAAGCGCGGCTCATCGTTAGTTGCCCAATCGAGGAATTCAGGATCACTGAAAACCGCCTTAGCCCCTTCAGCGGAGTCAAATGTCAACGAAGCGACTCCATCCCATCCCGAATGTGGCAGTCCAAGTGCGGTCTCGCCATCAGCTCGTGCAGTGGGGTCATCATGGTACTGGGGGAATCGGTTAATATTTTGGAACGTTTTGAGGGGTTGGTGCATACCTGTTCATATCTAGTACAATGCTTCTTCACGATGTCAAATTCAAGAAATTTCTTCGCGTGAGGGCCCCGCCAGTAGTCGTCAAATTCTTGTTTTGTGAGGTCCTCCTTTCGCTTGGCGAAGACGAGGAGTTGGACAGGTACGGTGGGAGGCGTCGTCATTGTGACTTGCAATTGTCGTTAAGTATTAAAAATTGAGTCGAAAAGGGCAGATCAAGACGGAAAAATATATAAGTTATTGACAAAGAAAAAGGTAGATTAGGCTGGGATGAATGACACTTCCGAATGCAACTCCTTCTTTTAACACTAGCCACGTAGGTGAGGGGCATTTTGACCCCGCTTCACCACGGGAAGACAATGAGGACCATTAATTCATTTGGTTCTATTGGACTTGCTCAATTGAAGGATCAATCGTATATCGAAGATTGGGGTTTCAATCCAGGCTTTCCATCTGGATTTATTTTAGGTTAATTCGGGATTATTTGGTAATTAAAGGTAATATCCGACTCCAATGACTATTTACTAGTAATAGTCAATTGCTCCGGAAGATGGAACTCAATTAGATATACTAGACCTGTCATGACTAGTTATACTCGTACTGGAGTATGCCATGCAAGTCTTATGCAGGGATACCTAGTTCGCGCAGATGGATCCGACGTGCATAAAGTCGACTAGTTTGCAGCCTGAGGCCTCGAAAACATATGGATCAACCTTGGAAGTACCAATGCTATACAGAGTCTTAAATACCAAACAGCGATAGTGTACTACATAGTAGTACTACTATTATTGTGGTAATAGTAATTTTCATCTATGCGAGTGTTACGGCATATCAAATACAGAGCGTGCGGTTATTACCAGTCCTACCAATAGCACCCATTTCCTCAAAGCTAACCGTGATGAATTCTAAATATCGTCAATATGTCCTACTATCTCGTAATATACCAGTACTAGATATATTACTATTTACACTATGCTGTTTATACTATACTATACTGGTTTTAGTCAATTCTGTCTAAATAAACCTTGGAAACTCCGTCTGGCCGTGTTGAGAAGGAGCCATCCATCCACCACCACCACCGCGCCTTCCCTGCCAAAAGCCCCCCAGGCCAAACTCGCCTTTCCGACTTGAACCTCACTTTCTTCATCCTTCATCCTTTCCTTCTTAATGCTTAATACCTCTCAACTTCATTCCAATGCTTTTCACCGTTCTTCTTCGCTTGACTACCTTTCTGGTGTTTGCCGGTCTCCTCGGCCTCACCCAGTCTCCCAACGAGTCTCGATATCGTAATTCTTTCCGAACATGGCCTCCCTGGGACTCGACCTTCGACTATGTCGTGGTCGGTGGTGGAACTGCAGGTATCACCATTGGCTCCCGTCTCGCTCAAAAAGGCTTCACTGTCGCGGTACTTGAGGCAGGCGACTATTACGAGTCCACCCATCCGACTTCTCGTGTGCCTGGGGCTGCCTCCATTGGCATCGGTGCCGATCTCAAAACGGCAACCAACATTGATTGGAAATTTGTCGCGGAGCGAGTGCCGGGTGCAAGCAGTCGTAACATTCATTATGCCCGAGGGAAATGTGTGGGAGGATCGTACGTCTGTTGAATTCGGTCATGATCACTAGATTCGCTAATGGGTTCTCTCAAGCTCCGCCATTAATTACATGATTTACCACCGGTAAGTTCTCTCCTCTCTCGTCAATTGCACCCTGAGTAAAGGCTGACAATGAAAACAGCCCCCCTCGTGGTGCGATGGATAAGTGGGCAGAAGCTGTCAATGACCCCAGCTATCGGTTTGACAACGTCCTTCCTTTCTACCAGAAGACTGCAAGATTCACAGAGCCGGATCCCCAGTCAGGAAATTCGAACACTCCATACAACAAGTCTGCCTTCTGGGAGAGCGGCTCGCCGTTGCATGTTTCATTTCCCCGATATGCAATGCCCTTCTCCAGATGGGTCAGCAAGGGTCTGATGGCAATGGGTGTTCCCGAGGCAGAAGACTTCAACAGCGGTACACTGATGGGCCATCAATTTACCATGATGACAATCCGCCCGTATGATCAAACCAGAAGCAGTTCAGAGGCCGCCTTCCTCCTGTACGATAACCATGTGGAGAAGATGACTATTTATCAAAATACATTGGCCAAGAGGATCTTGTTTGACGAGCACAAGCGGGCCATCGGGGTCAGGGCTAGTCAGTGGTGGGACTTCACCGTCAAGGCAAGAAAAGAAGTAATCATCTCAGCTGGTGCTTTTCAGTCCCCGCAGCTTTTGATGGTTTCGGGTATCGGTCCCGCAAAGACACTTCAGGAACACAGTATTCCAGTGATTGCAAATATACCGGGTGTTGGTCAGAACATGTGGGATCATGTCTTCTTCGGTCCATCCTACCAGGTCAAAGTCAGCACTTTCAGCATGCTGGCACAAAGCACATTCTGGTTTGCGGAGCAACTTACCAGTTACGGTATCTTTCACAATGGCATGTTGACAAACCCATCAACGGATTATCTGGCATTTGAAAAGATCCCCTCCCCATGGCGAGCTTCTCTGTCCGTCAAAGCGGAGCGCGATCTCTCCTGGTTCCCTGATGACTGGCCCGAGGTTGAGGTAAGTTAAATACTTTCCATCACTCAAGTAGTCTAGGCTAACTTTAAATTAGTACCTTGCAGCATCTGCCTATGTCGGAAATTTCTCCGACCCCTACAAGCAGCAACCCGAATGGCCCAATCAGTATGGTACCATTATCGGATCCCTTACTGCTCCAACATCCAGGGGAAATATGACAATTCGCTCCGCCAGTATGACCGACCTCCCAGTCATTAATCCGAATTGGTTGAGCACGGAAGCGGATCAGCAACTGGCAATTTCGGCGTACAGACGTATCCGAGATACCTTCCAACACCCCGCGATGAAAGAAGTGCTTGTGGGACAAGAATATTTCCCTGGAGTGAAGCATCAAAGCGATGCAGAACTACTCAGTATCATCAGAAAAACAGCGATGACAATCTTCCACGCCTCTTGCACATGCAAAATGGGCACCCCAGATGATCCTTACGCCGTTGTCGACAACCGGGCCCGAGTCATCGGATTTCCGAACCTGCGAGTCGTCGACGCCAGCGCGTTCCCAATTTTGCCGCCGGGCCATCCTCAGTCAACTGTTTGTATGTATTCCCCTCCCTTCTCGCTCAGGGCACTGATCATACTAGTACTGACCTTCCCAGATATGTTAGCAGAGAAGATCGCAGACGATGTCATCAACAACTCCCAATGAGGATGGATCTGGACTTTTAAACATTATTTCAATCACAGATCGGCGTGAAGCAAAAGCTTAAGTAAAAGTTACAACAAATATATATCTAGAAGATCGGGTAAAGGGGAAAAAGCGCTCTGGTATATATTATCATCCATGTATTCTAACAACGTTTCACATTCTTCACAATCATCAAAATTTCAAAATCACCACGCCTCCTCTAAATACATCTGATTCAACGTATCAAACATATTATAATCACTCGGTAAACAATCCGGCTCAAAAGCAAATCCCAAATTCTGAGCAAAAAGCTCATCAGAGCTTACCAAATTCGAAAAATCAGGACCATTGACACCGACGCCGACACCGACACCGGCATCAAAACCAGTAACGGGGGGGTCTATTCTCATTCTGAGTCAGGAAAATAGAATGTGCCTCGGTGGCGGAGGGAAGTTGTTGATGTTCAAGATGAAAAGAAAGGGGATTTTGGAGATGCATGGCATTCTTATTATCGAAGGCGGCATCAAAGGTATCCAAGGGAGGCACATTCGTGTCGAAGGGTATATTCGCATCGGCGATTTGAGTCGCCGCTTCATAGGCTGCAATATCACATTCCTTCGGTGGGGAGGGAACATGATCCGAGCCGAAGCGCTGCGTGTAAACTTTTTCCAAATTCCGACCTATTCGCTTGGCGATATTCCAGGACGTTGACAATTCTCGTAGAACTTGCATACACAGGCCCACTGCTACGTGTGGGGATAAATTGCGGTTGGATCCTGTGGCTTCTTCGGCCGTGCAGGCGTCGGGACTGTAATTGGAATTGGCGTTGGTTTTTGTTGTGGTGGGTGATTTGTTTTCCATTGTGCAGCAGTTTTCGATTATAATTAAGGCGGCGGATAAAGTGCAGTATGTCGCTGTGATGGGACTCATTTTGAAACTGCCGAATGTGTGGCGGTACTTTTGGATTATGAGGCACATTGCGCGGATAGAGGAACTACAGCTTGCGAGGGCTTTTGTGGTTCGGGAGTGGTCGGGGTTTGGTTTTTCTTCTTGGGATTCGCCGCGGTTGGCGCTGGTCATGTTCTCTGTTTTCGCATTCGCGTTGGAGGAGGAGGGCTTGTTCATGAAGGGGCCGCAGAGGAGGATGAATATTGTGTGGTAGACCATGAGCATTGTGTAGGCGTGTGGGAACTTGGATGGGCCAGATGATCGGTCGATTTTTATTTCCGAGGGGAGATCGTAGTACCATGTTTTTAGTTCGAGGACGCAGGAATCGAAGAAGGCGGACCGCTGATGGGCATGAAGGAGGGGCCTAGGTGACCAGCTAGGATGGGTTAGAGCCTGGTTCATACCGACTTTTGCTAATCACACTTACAGTGAGTGGAGGATCTTCTCGAGAATTCGGCAAAGGTCAATCATCGCTTGGTGCAGTTTAGCGACGTCTCTTTGGGAGTAAGCCCGTAGTTGACCGTTGCCCTTGGCTGAAGGTAAGACTGTGGTGGTTGCACACTGTAGGTACGGCTTGTTCACAACACCTTGCGAGTCCTGTGGGATGATTAGATCTATGAGTCGGAATGGAGGAGGGATATTGAGGAGAGGGAGTATCATACCAGCAGGGTACAGACTCTACCAGCATAACTCGCAGAAAGCTTATCATGGCAATACAAAGACCAATAGATCTGCCTTCTCAATTCGATCTCGATGGGCGAGAGGGATACAGCCCCGGCCAAAACGGCCGGATCCATATTTAAACCCATGTCCAGAGCAAGACGATTAGCCATGCCTTGATGGAGCCAGCCAGCTGCATCCGAACCCGTTGCCTGGGGAGGATCAAGTCAGCGATCGGCACTCATGAGACTCGCATTCTATAGTAACGTACGATGTAAAACATGCCCATGATAGCCAATGACTGAATGGTAGTGATTTTGGGCCATCTCAAATCATTCTGTATTAATTTCTCTGCTTTGCAGATGAACATCCTCCCCGCCGTGTTGGGATCATTGGGATCGGTCCGAACGTCGAGTCGATCACAATACCGAGAGCCCACCGCGAGGATACAGGTCAGTAATAAAGGGCTGAAGTATCGCCCGCCAGTGGCCATACTCTCTCGGAAGATGGTTTCGTTTAGCATCTGAAACCATGGCTGTTCCCATTCAAAGTATAGGTCGATGAGATGCGCTTGAAGTTCATCTGATAGCCAGGTTTCGTCTGGTGGAGAGAGTTCGCCAGCCACTTCGTATCGACAAGTTGCGGCAGGTTCTGGGCATTCCGGTGTGTTGCTAGAGCATCCCGTACATGATGGATCTGTTGAATATGCCTCTTCGACCGGAGAGTCTATATGCCAATATCAGCTCAGCATTGGCTGACGATCGGAAAGGACTTTGGTATATTTACCATTTGCCGAAGAACGGAAGAGAAGTCTTCCACTGGTAGGACCAAAATATCTAACCTCGCCATCCTGGTCAAAGTTCAATGATTCGTCCAGGGTTAAAGCTCCATCAAAAGTACCACACAAGTCCTCGACGTTACAATTTGAGCCAGCGGATGCCCACTCCGGCTCAGTTGATTGATGTTGATTCGAAATCTCATCCTCGGCCATCAGTTGGGCGACTGAGGCTTCTGGATCAATACCATGCGAGTGCAATACACGCTCCAGTAGCTCAATCCGATTCCGTAGCATCACCACATATGCCTTAGGCGCGGGCTGTCTCCCGTCCTCGGCGGTCGAGTACTGGCAGCGGATTCCGCGATCCAGACATCGGGAGCAGGAGGGCCTATTGCCATCGCACTAGCGAGGAGGTCAGTTATTTGGACTATATCGGAGGCCATATACATTCGGGTGGTGGTGATGACGCATACCTTGGCTCTTCGTCGACGGCATTCCTCGCAGGCGCGTGAGGTATACTTCCTAGCGGGCCGTTTACGTCGAGCACTGGGATCTTCTGCAGGTGTTGCGGAAGACATTCAAGCACCAATGTAAATCGGTGAGCAGTTGAGGATGATAATTGCTACCAGTTTGGCTGTAGCCTTCTTTGAAAGTGATAGATTCAGATAGAGGGCGGTCTTGGATATTACAAAGCAGGCAAAGCTGGAGCGGGTCGACACCTGACGATTGAGGCGGCTATCGCTTCGAGTAATATGGGACCAATGACCTATTTGGGAACAGTTCATCCAATGTTACTAAGTAGCTAACCGGGCTCTATAACATAGAAGGATGTCTTTCTGATCTATCCATGTATATTACCAGGTGATTCTTAGTATTCGTGGGGAGGACCTTTGATATGAAGATGCATTCTTCCAGTTCGGATCACGTGACCACCCGGGAGCCCACCTGGAGAGGCTTAGAGGCTTAGAGACACTGGTAGATGTCAATCTATCTTTTTATCTGAAACAATCTTATCATAACCTTGAAAGCCTCGGACTCGGAAATTTGCTATTTATTCTTGGGAGTGGTCTGAGCGCTCGTCTCCGTCCACGGGTGTCCATATTGCGATCCATGTAATTCCATAGTTGAAGCCTCAGGCATGCGATGCTCCCACCGTTCCCATTTTTGCAAGTTAACCCATTCATGCCGATGGTGGTCTATCAGTTTTTCCCAATGCTGTAGATGTGTGTATAGTACTACTAGCCAGTTTAAACTTGAAGTATTCCAAGGCTGACGAAACATCGTCATCCATGGATGGACCACACAATTCGGAGACATATATAACTTCCAAGGTTGAATAGTGCTAGTATGCCAATGGTCAAACTTACATCCCCTGGGCAGTGGACAAACCTTCAGGGCTCAAGATCGACTCACTTGAGCTAGTAACTCCACTTATGCAAGGCCAACTCATATCTTAACCATAGTTCCAAGTTCGAGGTTCGATTAGCCTTCAACCTTGTGACCGCCTGACCACGGGATGTACTATTAGTCCGCCCCCCCTTGAGCCGGGAATAAGACTGCCTGTGTAGGAGGGACAGGGCCGCCTGGACATGATTCACAGAAATACGTAATGAGTGAAAAGATCTACGAATTGACTCGGTTCCCCTCAGGCCTTCGCGGTCCGCTAATGCAGCTCCCTGCCGGCCGCGAAGCATTACAGCGGCACCCACGAATCCCAACGTTCCCCACTGATCAGAGGCGGATCCATGCAGAACGACCGGCACTAACCGGGTCTCATTGGATTCAAGGAGGGTGGGGGGGAAGGAGAAGCATAAAGTTTACTCGGGGAGTATCTCCAATCCCCAATTCGGGATACTTTTTGGGAGGTATGGATGGCGTTAGTCATGGGGAAGGGGACTCAGTGCCCTGCTTTTCGCAACACATCATGTCCATGCCTATGGTGGGCCACAACCGTGGACGAACGGTATATCCCTGTCTTCAAAGGGTGAAGATGAAAGGCACGAGAGGCACGATAGGCACGATGTGCTTATGATGACGGGAATCAGGTGACTACCCCGCAAATCGGGGGGGGGGGGTGAAGAAAACGGTGGAGACGAGGATCGCCCACGGTCCACGATGAAGGCCAAAACTTGGGAAACTGAGGAAAGTTGGGAAACTTGCTAGAACCTTGGGGGCTTTTCCCTACCTTCCACCCCTCTACCCTCTACTCTCTCCCGAACATTCCGGGAGATCGTTTCCTTATTGCTCTGGGTTTCCCCCCCCCTCCCCAGATATGAATCATGGCGACCTACTTAGTAAGGGATCGTGACACGAAATAGACCTGCGTGGCACAAGTGAAAGGTGCAACAATGTAGTCTACCCTCAACTGAACAGGGAGGAGGGAAAGGGTGAGAGTGGGTGGGTGTGTATGTGTTGCGGTCATGCTGTAATCGTTAATCCACTTTGTAAGGTTAACAACGCTTTGGGAATTAAACTGCAGGGCCATGGGTCCATGGGTCTGCTCTCGTGCTCTCGAAGACCCCGAGACAAGCGAAGTCTCGTGAAGCAGATGGTGGCGTCCAACTGGGGTGTGATACTGTCCTAGTGCGGCGGAATGACATCCTAATGGACTGCATGGCATGAAGGGATCGGGCCCGCTTGGAATCTGTGGGTGGATTGCCATAGCAGGGGGGCGGGGGAGCCCGTCCCTTTACTTCGTATCTGTAACCACTGTTTGTGCTCCACCGAGTTTCGGTTTTGTAGGTTTATGGTTTTGCTTGTTCGCGGAGGAGCTAATATCCGCCAGCTCTGCGTGCTTGGAGACACAGGTCCCGCAAAGGCACTACACTGCACTGTACTGCATTGTACTGCACTGCAAGCTGCAAAGCTGCCTTCGGGGGGTAAACGAGGCGCAGCCACAAGGATTTATCAGACTTTTTGAGTCGGACTCTGACTCTGACTCTGACTTTGGCTCTGCATCCCTAAAGTACTTGTCGGATCCAGACTCGAGTCCATCTCTGCAGTCCAGGTAGCTCGACTGGAGAGATTGATAGATTGAATCAACGTCATGAACAAGGAGCTGAGCTGGGATTGTAAGGTTTGGTTCAATGCTCCTGTCTAGGCCGAGGAGCCTTGTCCTCAGAGTGGAATGTAGTAAATGTAGAATGTAGGATCGAGAAGACAGTGAAAAGTCAACGATATGATTCATGATGGAGTATCGTACCCATATGGCAGGTCGAAGAAATTAGAAATGATCGTCCAGGACCGACTCTCTCTCTCTGCTGTTGTGTTGTCTGTTGAGCGGGAAAAGAAGAAGAGAGACCTTACGCACACCCGCCGCCAATCACCGCCAATCACCGCCCTCACTTCCTTCCCCCCCCCCTCTCCTCTCATCCTTTTTTCCCTCCCCTCCCTTCTTTTTTTTTTGTTTGGTTGCTTTTTTATCGATATCCTCCTTTCTAACCCCGAATATCTCCCTGATTCCCGTTCTTACAACCCCCTCCCTGGGTCGGCCTCTAGGGTTGACGTCGATGATCCTACGCGTCGGCCTTGTCGCGACTACATTCCCCCCGCATAGACAACGGCTTCCGTTATCCTCCGTCCTCGCACTTCCTTTAGGCCTCCTCTAAAGCCATCATTCTGCCATTTGAGTGCATTCGCAGTGGGATCCATTGATTTCATACTCTGCGGATGCGTCATGGCCTATTAATGTTGCGGATGAATCGATAGCCTCGTCTCTCCTAAGAGCAATCCGCTCTGCCTTCCAGCAGACGGTTTTGCTTGGCTCGATAGCCTGCTCAACTTTCTTTGATTCTATTCCTATCGCAAATACAACCGACCTCACCTTCGATCGCCCGCCCGTGAACCCCCTCGTCGGCTCGACCGATTCATTATGGCGGACAATGTCTCAACAAACCCCCAATTCCTCGCGCCGCCGGCTGTCACGGCCTTGCGACAGGAGGCTCGGAATATCAACCCGAAAATGACCCGGAGTATGAGTGACGATATGCGGGAGGAGCGTGAGGATTTGAAGGAAGCCGCCGAGCAGACGTTGAATATCATCGTGGATCTGAACCTGGACGGTCGCATTAAATGGGTCAGCCCATCGTGGAGACAGGTTGTGGGCTCGGCCCCGGAATCCGTTGAAGGCTGCTTGATATCCGATCTCCTGCTGGGAAACAAAGATGTCTTTCGTGATGCGATGGAGGCAATGAAGGAGGACGACTCTCGGAGTCGTTTCATTCGCTTCTCTGTCCAGATGGGACCGGACTCGGTTTTGAAATACGCACCCGAGTCACGCCCGGCCGAGATCGAGGATGAAGGAAAGGAGAAACAAACAAATGAGCCGACGGACTCTTCGCAGGGCGAAGTCGACCGCAACGTGCTCACCATGGAAGGACAGGGTATTATGGTATATGAGCGAACAGATGATGAGGCCGGACACGTACGTTCCATGCAATCCCTAGAACATCCGCCGTATCGCATCGAAATATGCAGAGCTGACCTGAATCTCGATTGCTACAGACTATGTGGATGCTCCGACCGTTTACTCAACCGCGAGAAGTGACAATCGATCTCCCACCGCAGCTGGTAGAGTCGCTCGGCGTTGGAGCGGAAGTCCTGGCGAACTATCTCACCATGCTGGCGGAAGCAGCGGCGAACGAACCCGACCCGGCGAAACATCCTGCCCCAACTCCGGTACTTTGTCGAATTTGTGAACGTCAAATCACCCCGTGGTGGTTCGAAAAGCATTCAGACTTGTGCCTCCAGGAGCATCGGGCGGAAATGGACGTCCAGATCGCGCAAGAGAACCTGAACGAGCACCGACATTCGATCGTGAAAGTACTAGATGCGCTCGAGTCTCGACAGGGAAGACCAGCGATCGGACTTGATGGTCATATCGTGCCGCCGCCCCAACCAGAGTATAAAGGATTGCCGATCGGACCATCACCAGTGAACTCATCGCCATCCTCAGCACCCGTATCAAATATTAGCTCTGCACCGGGGACACCTCCTCGCTCCAGAGACCACTCGGCTTCGGGCATCGTACAAGGTCCCGGTCGCCCTCGTTCGTTTACTGTTCGACGGCCTCTAGCGCGTATTGTCGAGCTTGTGCTCGATCTTTGCGATACTGCGTTGGAAATCAGCATGTCGGTCATCAAAGAATCATCTCGGGCAGAGACTGGAGAGGATTTCCGGACGCTCTCGCCGCAGTCCGAGTCCAGAATTACCCAGGTCGCTCAATGGCATTCTCCGAGTTCCAATACACTAGAGCAGGAACAGGGCCTGGCAGCCCTCTCAAGTGATACCGAAGCCGTCGCTAAGACCAAAGTAGATGCTGTTGTTCGCCATCGCAAGATTGTTGAATATGCGGAAAGAATTCGTGTTGAATATACAGTATTGGTGGAAGAGTGTATCGCTGCTGCTCTCAGCAAGGCTGAGCGTATCGCTGCTGGCCAGCTCAGCGATTCCTCCTGTTCCTCCGATGAAGAAGCGGTCCAGGAAGGTGCTTTTGGCAGTGACTATTCTTCCGCTCGAGAGGGGCCGTTTTCACAGGAACCAAGTTATGAGTCTCTACCGTCGCTAGTTCAACAACAACCGCCTCAACCCCTACAAGCGCAACCACAACCAGAACCACAACCACAGGTTCAACCACAACAGCCACCTGCGCCAGCGGTGCCCACCCCACGAAAATCAACCACATCTGCATTGACAATGTCAATGCGAAACTCGCCAGATCGTCCGTTCCTACCACAAGCAGAAACAAGATCGTCCTCAACTGCTGTGTCTACAGGATCAAATAGCCCTATGGAATGCCCGACCCCCCGATCGCATAAGAGTGCTGCTGGTCTTTTAGGCACCTCTCAACCCTCTCGCCGCGGGTTGCCATTGTCTGACATTGACGCGGGTGATAGTAGTGATGGCAGCATGCCCTCGACATCCGCTTTCGCGGGAGCCATGCGGACGGACTCACCTTCGTCGGAACGAAGCTTCGATCGAAAACGCAGGAGTTTAGTTCTCCCAGGCTTGTCGAGCTCCCCTCGCCGCCAACCTTCTCCTGCTCGGGTGTCAGGCCCACACTCTCCGCTACGAATGCCGAAACCTCGACACTCGCACGGCGCGGAAAGCTTACCGTCGCCGATTGTTTCTCCTTCAACCTACGCGGGCGAGCTGGCTTATCACATCCGCCATCATCGTCGCCAATCCTCTGCTACCTCTTCAGACATCACCAAGCCTCCACCATCTCCCCGTCTACCCTCAGTCAGTCAACAGCCACGTCCCGCACCGCCTTCTATCAAGGACTTTGAGATCATCAAACCTATAAGCAAAGGCGCTTTCGGGAGTGTATATTTATCTAAGAAAAAGTCGACTGGTGAATATTATGCCATCAAGGTTTTGAAAAAGGCAGACATGATCGCTAAGAATCAAGTCACCAATGTCAAGGCCGAGCGTGCTATCATGATGTGGCAGGGTGAGAGTGACTTCGTGGCCAAGCTGTATTGGACCTTCTCAAGCAAAGAATATCTCTATCTGGTAATGGAGTATTTGAATGGCGGCGACTGTGCCTCCCTTGTCAAGATTCTTGGCGGTCTCCCTGAGGATTGGGCCAAGAAGTACATTGGTGAAGTGGTCCTTGGTGTTGAGCACCTTCATAACCGCGGAATTGTTCATCGTGACCTTAAGCCAGACAACCTTCTGATTGATCAGACAGGGCATTTGAAATTGACAGATTTTGGTCTTTCCCGCATGGGATTGGTTGGCCGACAGAAGCGAGTTCTGAAAAGTCCAAATGAGTCTGCTCCGGACTTGCTCAAGCAGGGCCCGTTCCCCCGTGCCATATCTATCGCATCATCCCGATCAGCATCGTTCGACTTCCAGGCGGGCTCTCCCGGATCTACCCCGTTAATCACACCCGAGCCGGGCACCAGCGTGGGCCAACCTTCTTATTTCAGTCTCAACCAAAGTGGTTTGAACCAAAGCAATCTGAATCAGGGTGGACTGAGTCGACAAAGCTCTCGCCGTGCATCAGGTTATCGTAGCGACAGTGCTGGGAGTGACAGCTTTAACGGGATGTTCAGAGGCTTTTCCCTCAACGAGCCTCTCAACGACCCCCCAGTACCTTCACCAAGTATGCTGTCCAGTAACCTGGCAGAAGATGACGCGCCAAGCGAGCTGGACGATTCTCCCCAACTCTATCCGCTACAACCTACATTCAGCAATCCTCTGAGCCACAATACACCCCCGCAGCAGAGCATGTTACCTCCTGTGATGGCTCTTTTCGATCCTGAAGATCATGATCGACGATTCGTCGGAACCCCCGATTACCTGGCTCCCGAAACCATCAATGGAATTGGTCAGGATGAGATAAGCGATTGGTGGTCCCTGGGGTGTATCATGTTCGAGTTCATCTTTGGATACCCGCCCTTCAACGCCGACAGCCCGGACGAAGTGTTCGAGAATATTTTGCATCGGAGGATCAATTGGCCAGAAGATCCCGAGGAGTACACCACTGCAGAGTCCCTGGATTTGATGAACAAGCTCATGACTCTGAATCCGCGTGAGCGTATTGGAGCCAATGTCGAGGAGAAGTTCCCAAACGGCGGAGCAGAGATTCGTGCTCATCCTTGGTTCAACGATATTCACTGGGGTACATTGTTGGAAGACAAAGCAGAGTTTGTTCCTAACTTGGAAAACCCCGAAGACACCGAATACTTTGATGCTCGCGGCGCGACCCTACAGGCTTTCGCCGAGGAAATGGAAGATCAACCTTCTCCGCAAATGCCAGTCACAACCGAGACGGATCGACCCCACGATGCGTTGTTCAAGGTCCGCTCACAGGTGAATTCCATGAAGCGCCCCTTGATGCCTCTCCATATCCCTCCGCATGTGCGGGACGCCCGTGACTCGCGCAGTCGGAGACTAAGCGAGCCCTCGCTAGCCGACGATTTTGGCAGCTTTAACTTCAAGAATCTGCCCATGCTCGAAAAGGCCAATAAAGATGTGATTCAGAAGATGCGGCAAGAAGCGATGCAGGCCCAGCACCGTCAATCTGGTTCGTCCTCGGCTGGACAGACGCCTTTGACCAATTCTCAGCCTTCTCTGGATGGAAGTCCCTTGCCAATGTCGCTGCAGCGTACAATGTCCCAAAACAAGGGCAACAACCGGCCATCTTCGCCATCGAGTTTGAGCCAGGCCAACTCTTCCCCCAGCCGGCCCTCACAACCATCCTCGCCCCTTCTGGTTCAGTTCAGCACCGGCCATAACCATGAGCGTCGTAAAACATCGGGCTCTTCCTCGACCGCGTCACACCAATCAAGTGGGACATTCCAACCATCATCGGCGGAGCAGACCCGCGTGCCGAACTTGCGACTAGGCTCGGTTGCCTCCTCTCCCGTGAAAGCCAATCGCATGCCAGCACATTCTCCTGACAAGCACCCGTCTTCCTCGAGTCATCGACATGGAAGTGCTCCGGCAAGCCGAGCCCGATCGCAAACCATTGGGTCTCAAGATGGCGGTGAACTGTCCTCCTCCCTCAGCAGAGAATCCTTTGTACCTGCTCATCACAAGCGACGCAGTCAATTATTTGATATTTCCCCGTCTTCTTCCGACAATGAGGATCCTCGCACCAAGGCTTTGCTGAAAGTCCAGCGCCGGAGGCAGAGCTCACGACGAATGTCACAATTTAATTTGACTGAGGGTCCGTTTTTCCGTCCCCTGGATATTCTGATCTGTGAGGATCACCCTGTTTCACGGCTGGTGATGGAGCGTCTCTTTGAAAAGTTACGCTGCCGAACCATCACGGTGGCCAATGGAGCCGAGGCCGTGCGCTACGCTCTGAGTGAAGTTCAGTTCGATATTATTATGACCGAGTACAAGTTGCCTCAAGTCAATGGCGCAGACTTTGCACGCATGGTCCGTGAAACCCGCAGCGCAAACAGACACACGCCGATTATCGCTGTCACTGGTTACTTGAAGGATCTACCCGAGACCCATAACTTCGATGCACTCATCCAGAAACCACCTACACTTTCTAAGCTAACAGAGGCTCTAATTAAGTGGTGCATGTGGAAACCGCCACCCAAGGATTACAATCTATCGCAATCCCCCCCTCCCCTGCCGATGCCGAGTACTCGTCCCAGCACGCATCCGACCGATGACAGCCCTAGCTCGGCATCATCTGGCTTCGTGCCAAACCCTCCTAGTTCCTACCGGGGGTCGAGTCGGGATGAATCGGTGACCAGCAGTGTATTTGGTGATATGGAGTCGATCAAACCAGAGGATGTCCCTGTCATCATCAGCCGCAATCATGATGACTGGGAACAGGGAAGCGGCGGCTTAGGTATCTCCGAAGATGCCCACCCTGGCAGTCCGGATCCCAAAGCGATACCTGTTCCCCAAATACTCCACACTGCCAGTGCACCGGCCGCTATGGACGGCACCGGTACACTCACTCCACGGAAACAGCGTTCTAGTGAAGCCATCCGTGCGAAGCGTGAGTCCTTGGAGCGCAAGAGATACGAAGGCGCGGAGTCCGGCGACGACGAGGACGAGGAGCTTGGCAACGCCCAATCTCGCCGCAGTCCACCAAGTCGCAACCGTCGACCGGGCTCCAAGCTTGGCATTGAGATGATGCGCACAAACAGTCGAGGCAGTGTGGTCAGTGGCAGCGAAGAGCTCATTAAGAAGGAGCGGGAAGCTCTACGCCGACAAAGTGGAGAGTTTGCAAGCGGTAGTGACGACGGTTCCCTCGGTTCCCCTGCCAGCACGAGTCTGGAGGAACGCTTCGAGGGGATGAGTATCCCCGAGGAGTCAGAGGTTGATGAACAAGTCGGTCCCCGCAATTCACCACCGAACGCATCGGTCTCATCTCTTGGATCAAACCAGCGCCGTCCTTCTCTCGGACATCGCGATACCTCTATTTATTCGGGCCCGACCTCCCACCCTTCTGTGTCGAAGGCTAGCTCGGAGAGTCTGACCCAGGGTCAAATTACGCCTCCCGGGGGAGAAGTCGGCCGAGGCCGAGGCCCCATTACGCCTGAGGTGAAGACAACGAGTAGCCTACTCTCTGCCGAGTTTAGCTCTGGCTCTGGCTCTGGCGTTGACGACACCGATTATACCGAGACGCCGGATCCTGAAGCTACTCCTCGTCCTCTACACCCATCTCCTACGCCTGATAGCGACGCGACACCACGACCGAGTGAGCGGTATCGTACCGATCTGTCCACCTCTAAAAGATAGAGCAGCCATCACCGAGGGTCCTCCTCCTATGCTACTATCATGGCTCTTGCGATTTTATCTTCACAAACATCATCATACTCGTGGCCCTTTTCCATTTCTTTTCTTTCCCACATATTTGCATCTCTGATTCAACTTCCCTTCGTTGTAAACATTTTCCTTGATTCTTGATTTCTCTTGCACTGTCCAGCGGACATGTCACTATACGCACATCTCTCTCACGTCTCTTATGTCCCCCCTCGGCTTTCACCTTTTTTGTTTTCTGTATGGCCAAGGAGCCCGGCGTTTCGGAATGAAAGTGAAGTTCAATTTGTTTCTTTTTTTTTCTTGTTTCTTTGCAATTCTATGATCTGGGCATTGGGTGGAAGCGACTGGGCTGAATTGGATTGGAAAGGAGACAGGGTATCTAGATTGCCTGTGTACTAGTTTTCTCGGGCTTTGGCTCGAGTTGAGTTGGTGTCTAATCCAGTATCAAGTTGACCTCCCACATTCCTCTCTACGATTCCAAGTGGAACACTATTGTTCTATTTTTTGTGTAGAATAACCTCCAGGGCTTGGAACATAGTACTACTCAGGTGCCGCCCTTGGAATAAACGGCCCCTCTCAACCACCCGCATCACGGACCTTACATTGACCTTCCCATGTCTCGCCTCGGGTAAAGGCGCTGTCAAAGCAAGACGATCTTACTCCGTTGGGCCCGCACGCCAAACCCGACGAATGAGGCCAGCCCAATTGCTGTGCCAATCCTCTGCCAATCACTCTGCCGACAACCAATCTTGAGCGTGGGACTGACTGGGACCAACTACTAGTCCCGTCCTCATTGCAGAAGGTGCAGATGCAGATGCAGATGACGACTTGGGAGGTAGTGGTTCGCTTGCTTCTGCACTCCGCCTTTAGTGTGACTATGTACATACATACAGGATGTAGAAGCGACATGATGCTGATCGGAACCAAATGTGCACCGATCGGGGAGATCGATTGGATGTGGTGCATGGTGGGGGGTGGAGGAGGTGCAGATTTCTTTCACGCTTGTACGGAGGAGGGTCCGCTGTGTTGTGCTTGCTGGTACGAGTACCGAGTAACGGCCTACGCAGTCTACTGTACGCAGTCCAGTCCATGCGCAATCCTGAATACACCGAGTCGTACATACCCTACTCCGTCCTCGTAAGTCTCTTGTGCCGAGGTGGATCAAGTTGACCCACTTCTGATATCACGATTGGCAATCCCGGCTATTTTGAGAAGATCTCCTAGGGATGGATGTTTATTTGGTGTGCTTTAGAAAGGAAACTTTAGAGATAGAGAATCTAAAATATAGAATCTAGACCCTGGTGAAATCTCAATCTTTCCCCCTCTGCCCCTCTGCCACCGGCGTAATCAAAGTGCAAGCCTCAAAATAGCTGACCTTGTGATACGCTGCCCCTTTGCCATCCACGCCACCCGGTGGAGATTGCCAAGCGGTGGCTGCATGGCGTTGGACATAATTTGCATTAAATTAGGGATGCTCTAAACGGTAGTCCGAGATCACTGTGCATGTGCATTGTACAGCGTGGATGGATTTCTCTTTTTACAGAGTCAAGTATAGCGGATGTCCGAATTAGGGCTTCACTTGAAGTACGAGCATCACAATACAAATACAATAATGTAGTCTGGAGACAGCACAGCATTGACCTGCTGGATAAGGTCAATCCACTTAATTGACTTAATTTATGCCGGTCCAGACCATCTAAACTGGCGACCCACTGTGGCCCACTGGGTTTCACCTGGTGGCTCTACGAGTGGTCTTGGAGGTGCTGGTGCTGGTGCTGGTCGTGCTAGTATGAGTATTCTTCACCTTCACTTTCACTCACCTTCTTCACCTTCACCTTCACACTCACCCTCACACCCACCCTCACTCACTCTCGTTTACCTCCACTTGATTTATCCTTAATACATCATCTCCCTCCCACCTCCTCCACTGATTCACATTCCATCTATCTACGGTTGAGCCGTAGCCACCCATTGGCACTCCCCCCTCCCCCACATTCTTTACTGGCCTGGCCTGGTGCCACCATGTCAAGCCCCGTGGACCACAAACGAATCATCCATGTCCAAGAACAACATCAACATGGAGAACACTCGTCCATTCAAGAATCCCCAACCTCCGACGAGGGTACTTACGTGAACGAGTCCTCCGAATCGCGTAACCCGAACAGCCTCAGAGTCGACACCGCCCTCTATCCCGATGGTGCTCCCCCCATGAGCACTCCCTCCGCCCGCCGTGAACAAGCCACTCGTCTCGAGGATGATTTGACCCTCCTGCAGGCCGAGCGTGTCGCATCGCGTTCTACTCAGGGCGAGACGGGCGAGAATGGCGACGTCCACTCTATCAGCCGGACCCGATCGCGTCGCAGCGAGGCTGTCGATGAGTTTGACGAAGCCACCAACCCTCTCCATGAAAAGGCCGCCCTCTACAAACCCCCCGAGAGTCCCAATACCAAGCTCTCCGCCTTTGTAAAGCGGATTCACCAGTCTAGCTTCCTCGTCCGCTATCTCACCTATATCGTCCCCATGGTCCTACTCATTATGATCCCCCTCTTGGTCGGCGCCCTCAAGTTTCCCAATACCAGTGTTGGAGGAGTGAAATTGATGTGGTTCTCCATTTGGCTGGAGATTGTTTGGTTGACTCTCTGGGCAGGGCGCATCGTTGGAAAAGGATTGCCCCCCGTGGTCAGTGCCATCGCCAGTGTCTTCACCAACAACGCGAAGAAATGGCGCGACCTGGCCAAGCAGCTTGAAATTCACTTCGCCCTGTTTCTGTGGTGGCTCGGCGTCGAGATTTCTTTCCTCCCTACCATGAAGAACCACCATGTCGATGGCGACAAGGGTACCCGCAGCTGGGAGAACACCCTTAACAAGATCATTATTGTGATTTTCGTCTGGACGATTCTCAACTTGATCGAAAAGGTCATTATCCAGCTGATCGCCATTAGTTTCCACTTGCGCACCTACGCCGACCGCATTGAGATCAACAAATTCCAGATCGGCAGCTTGGTGAAACTATACCAATGGTCGCGCGCACAGATCGAGGAGGAAGATGATGCTTTCCAGGAGATGAATCAGGACCAATCCGGCTCGGGCATCAAGACTCCGCTGCACTATGCTGGAATGGCTGGTCGCGCCGCCCAAAAGGTCGCCGAAAAGGTCGGTAACAAGGTCGGTGATGTGGCTGGTGGCGTCGTTTCGGATTTCACCGGTCGCAACTTCAAGAACAGCGGCGACCCTTACCAAGTCATTCTGACTCTGCTCCGTTCCACCTCGGGTTGCCAGGTTATCGCCCGTCGCCTTTACCGTACTTTTGTCCGTGATGGCTTCGACACTGTTTTCTCCGGCGATTTGAAGGAGGCCTTTGACAACAATGAAGAAGCCGAGGCTGCTTTCGTCATGTTTGATCGCGACATGAACGGTGATATCTCCATGGAAGAATTGGAAGCTGTGTGTGTCGACATTGGCCGTGAGCGCAAATCCATCACTGCTTCGCTGAAGGATCTGGATTCGGTCGTTTCCAAGCTGGACGATGTTTTCATGTTCTTTGTATTCGTCATTGTTATCATTGTCTTCCTCTCGCTGATCTCTACCTCCGCCGCGGGTGTCCTCACCTCTGCTGGTTCCACCATTCTGGCTCTCTCTTGGCTGTTCTCTGCCACCGCACAGGAATTCCTGCAATCCATCATCTTCGTCTTCGTCAAGCACCCCTTCGATGTCGGTGACCGTGTCACTATTTACGGTAACGCCGGTGATGCCGGTCTAGGCGACGACTACTTCGTCAAGGAGATCACTCTTCTATACACTGAGTTCAAGAAGATGCAGGGCCACGTCGTCCAAGCTCCGAATAGTTACCTGAACGGACTCTTCATTCTCAACCAGCGCCGTTCCGGAGCCCTCGCCGAAGCCGTCCCCATCATCATCAAGTACGGCACAAGTATCGACCAACTCGACGGTCTCCGCCAACGCCTGCTGGAATTTGTCCGCAGCGAGAAGCGCGATTTCCAGAGCAACATTCTCACCGAGCTGCGCGCCGTCACCGAGAACTTCTCCGTCACCCTGAACGTAGTCTTCTTCTACAAATCCAACTGGCAAAATGAAGGTCTCCGCCTGCAACGCCGCAACAAATTCATTTGCATGCTCATGATCGCCTTGCAAGAGATCGGCATCGAGGGCCCTCGCATGAACCTCCAAGGCGCCAACGTCGACTACCCCGTCCACATCAACTACGGCCAACCAATGGTCGCCCCGCCCCTCAAAAGAGAAGATCCCACCGAAGCCGAAGAAGTTCCCATCGGCGAACCGGGCGGCCACTCAATCCCCGAAAACACCAGCGTCAGCAGCGGCACCGCAGCCCGCCACCCCTCCATCCTGCGAAAGGGCATGAACACTGCAGCCGCCCGCGCCCGCGGTGCCTCAACATCGCGCAAACACGTCGACTTCTCCCTGGGAATGGCAAATCTTTCATCAAACGACGTCATGGGCGATGTATTCGAAGACCGCTCCGTGCACATCGACGACATAATCCGCACATCAAACCGCGAAGCCTCGGAGCGCCGCATGCAAGATCTCGCCGAGGAAGAAGAAGAGCGTCGAACCAGCCGCAGTGCCAGCGCCAGTACTGGCGCTGCCTCGTCACACCGTGGCAGTCGGCGCCCGTCGAATTTGACTACTACCACCACGCACGAGGGTCGGCCTTCGACCGACGCGCCCAGTGTCAGGAGTGGAACTTCGTCGGCGAGAAACCGCTTCTTCCGTCATCGCAGCAGTGTCAGTCGCGATGGGAACGATTTGGAGTCTGGGCGCGCTCTTTCGCCTGGTGCGCCTGTTCCTGTTTCTTCGGGCGCGCAGGAGGGTCAGCATCCGCATGTGCAGGTTTATGATCATGATGAGAAGCATATGCAATAATTTGGCTGTTGGTGAAAAGTGTTAAAACGAACTGTCAAAACAGTCGGAGATTTGCTCTGACATTTGGATTCACGTATTCTCTCATATTGGCTGTCTCAGCTTTTTGCGTACATCACATTTACATTCCATCTTCATTTACACATGCAGGCTTGCCTGTCTCCCCTACAGCCAGTCTGGTTTGATAATTATTTCCCTTACTGTCCTGTCATTTACACATCATACCCACATACAGTCATTTCTTGGATAATCCCAAAATTGTTCGAGTTTTCCTTCCTTCTTTCTAGGGTTCACTTTTTTCTTCTTTCTACTGTTTATTATTATTTTCCCTCTTTCGTGTTAACTTGTTACAGTTACATGGCTGATGCATTCGGATGAAATAGCGTGATTCTGGGTGGTTTGTCTATATTTGGTTCTAATGGAATAAGGCTCCAAAAAGGTTGCTTCCAAGAATTTCTTACCTGTTCGTACCTGTAGTTACTAGCAGCAATCTTGCCCTGGTGATGTCGCAGTTAACGAACTGCCTGGAAAACGCTATGAGAACTTTAAGCTCTTCCAGTTCATCCTATTATCGACCACTGCTAAAGGTACGGCAGACAATACCACAAGTCATGGGAAAAGGTGAAAAAGATACCCAAGGCATTGATGCTAATACCTTCTAAATTGCAATAAAATTCTATGTACATGGAAAATATAGGCATGGAATCGTATATCTCACACCAAACACCGCAGGGACAAACAAGGTCACGGTAGTTGGCCGAGGATCCAAGATCCAGCCATGAAGCCCTGGAGTTCGAATGAAATGGTTTGCCTCTAGTGAAGCCACGGTCAACTTGAGAGATGCCTCCTGGGCGACTCAAGCTGGCCCCGGGTTGGCGTCGTGCAGGATTCAAGGAATGATCACTCCTCCTCAATGATATTCCAAACAACCTCGCGAACCTCCGTGCGACCGTCGTCAAAGAAGTCCGGCTCATGAACATAGATCTGTCTCACGCGCTGTCCATCATTCTCAAGAACAGCATCACGCAATTGAAACGAGACCTTGCCCCAATCCATCTCCCGCAACGGCGCAAGACTAAATGCATAGTCATCCATCGGCTTCCAAAAGTCCTCCTCAAACGTGAACTCCATACTATTCATCTCCTCATCCGTCAACGGAGCAGAATACTTCACCAAAGAAAATCCATTGGTAAAGAACCACTGTCGCGAATCTCCAACCTGCCACCTCTTAAGCAGACAATTATCACCGCAAACCGCAGCAACCTTCGCAAGAGGCACCATGTCAACATCAAAATTGGACTTCCAATGATGCAACGAAAGCGGCAAAGATCGACCCGATTCAAAGAACCCAGAAACATCATTGCTAATATCAAGCTGGAAAAGCCCCTTATCCCAAGTCAACTTGGTCTTCGTATGCCAATAGACACACTGCGCAATCTTCTGATCACCAGGCCCCTTCCACAAATCACACTCATCAAACGACCCAATCATCTCCTCAATCAAAGGCATGGACATGAAAATTCCCGCCCCACCAAACGCCATCCACATATTCCCTTTCAACTGTTCGAAGCTCTCAGTCGGCGCACCGACATACCACTTCTTCCGCGAATCGTAAGCGTCGCGCAGACGGCGCACGATATTCCCCATCGATGGGAAGAAAGTATCATCATCAATGACCACAGCCCACTCGGTCTTGACACCGTCCCGATCCCGATTCTCATACATGATCTTTGTAAGCGCGAAGTATCGATCCGTATACTCGGCCTGCGAGGTCGAGAGGGATAACCGAATACCCAAATCAGCCGCGCGTTTCTCCATCGCAGCAATTTCCTCCGATCGATCAATCGCAAAGATCTGAGTCCCATTTCCGTCGCCGAGATCTTCTTCCACGACCCGCTCTTCTAGTAGACCGAACATGTGGAGATTGTTATTCGAGGCCCAGTGCGCGAAGGCCGGGATGTCGGCGTGTAGTCTTTCAATTGTCGTTGCGAATCCAACGTATATGTGCGACGCGTCGACTTTTTCGGGAGCGGGCGCTTCAATGACGATTGGTTTGCAGGATGAGGGGGGGAAGTTTCTTGTATTGGACCATTGGGCCTGGATTGGCGAGGTCGAGGTCCAGAGCTGGTTGTTCGGTGTCTGGGTGGGGTACGTTTAGGTTTGGGGAGAATCCTTTGAAGTTGGGTGTTCGAAGGACGGCGATGTCCCATCTTGAGTATTTCACGTGGGTGTCGTCGTAGGATTTGTAGGGGCGGATTAGGTCTAGGTCGATGTTGCATTCGTAGTTTTCGAGTTTGGAGAATGGTTGCTGTTCTTTCGACTTTTGCGGGATGGTTTTGAAGTTTGATTCTTCATTTTCTGGAGGCGCCTGCGCCTGCGTTTGGGGGTGAGGTTTAGGATTGGAATTGGGATTGGGTTGAGGTTGAGGTTGAGGATCGGATGGTGGTGGTGGTGGTGGTGGTTGCTCTGGTGATGATTCAAGCTCGGATTGTGATTCGGATGACGCGGAATATGCAGAAGGTTCTGAGGATTGCGGTTGTGATAATGACCCCGGAGTGATTTCGATATTAGCATTATGTTGGAAATGTTCGGAAGAATGGTTCAATCTCAACAGCGAGACGAAGACCAATGCCGAAAAAACCGTCAACAGAATGGTGGTTCTGCTCCGCTGGCACGAGAGGATCTGCATGGCGTCGAAGAGCCCCCAGGGCGAGCCGATTGCAATTGGGAATGGACTCGGAGTATTTAGGGTTTGGAAGGGATGATTATCCCGACATAGACATGGATACTAGTAGTATACTCGTAGTTGAGGTTGAGGGTGAGGTTGGGAGAGGGTGAAGGGGCAGAAATTGAACTCCTGGCTTGGAACTGGAACTAATCCCGCCTTTCTCTCTAGTGTCTCCGTTCTCACGTCGTCATGCGGCGATCTCGCATCTTTTTTTATTACCGGGCTCCAAGGCTATCGTCAGAAAATGGAGCCAGTGGGGCGACCAGCACCAATGATGGCCACGTAGGCTTTTTGGCGTTCAAGCCACTGCCGCCAGATAGGAGAGGACTGCGACGCCCAGGATGAACGTTAAGTCGATGCAATATCCTCGATGGCACAGGCAGTAGTACCTACTTGTATCATATATAAAGATACGGGGCATACGGAGTAGACAATCTCGAATCCTGATCCTTTCCGGCGTTCATGCACCTTTATAGCCCTGGAGATGACGAGTCAAGGCGGAATCTGTCAGGCGGAACGCTTTAGGAAACCCCACGAGGGGCGGAGGCCGCGTCGCCCACTCCAAAGACTCGTCCAAGTAGGTGGCTTCTAGGGTTACGATGAAACGACACGAATGCAGCTGCTCAGGCACGCCGGAAAGGCCACGCGGTGTCCCGTTCAAACTGTCATATCATCTCTGTCGATTTGACCTCAAAAACGTTCTGGTTCGAGTCAGCCGATAGGTCAACCGCCCATCACTGCAGGCGATGTAACCTGAAGAAAAGACGATCGCATCTCTTCCGGACAGATTTACTCGGGCCTTGTAAACCTGCTACAAGTGATCGGCACCTCCACCGGAGAACCGTAGGGACGGAATATCAGGGTCTTTCCCAATGATTATTAGCTGTGATGAACTTTTGGCCCTTTCGAGAAATGATGTTCGGATGTTCTGATTTCTTAAGATTCTGCCACACATCTGAAACTCTGAAACCAAACGGTCGTCCCTTTCCTTTTCCCGCCAACAGGAGGATGCAGTGGGATTGGGGTCGGAGTGTTCGATACTCGTATCTATCTACACTAATACTACAGAGTAACTATCGTACAATTTTTCTCTCTCTTCGCGGGGCTCGCTAGGACATGCCTTTTCCCTTTAATCTCACCCCTTCCTCAATGGCATGCCTTTCCATACTTTCGCAGACGGAGATAGTTATATGGCAGTGGTGCAAGATAGCCCGCACCGATCGATAAGACCGCCGCCATCCAAAACTTGGGATCGTCGAGAGCAATAACTCCTCCGGTGAGGTGATAGTCAACGGCGTTCTCCGCCAATTCCATCGCGATCATCGAAACCATACTCATCCCCATCGCGGTCCGCGCCGCCATCGTCCAAGACAATTGATCGGCACCACGTCTTAACAGTACCGTTTCAAGAATAATCGAAGTCGTGATGCCCGAGGCCACTATTCCGTTCCGTCCTGGATTAGCCGACCACGTTTCATGTAAACTTTTGCGCGGGCGCTTCGCTTTCGGAGAATACATACTTGAGGCAAGCATGATGCTATTCATGCCCAGTTCGGGGTAATAGGATTGTAGAGTCCATAGGGCTGTAAAATCACCGACTGTGCACCCGACCAAACAGCGGAGGGTGTTGATCCCGGCTCGTCGCCATGTGGAGCGGCACGACCAGAAGGCCGAGCGTAGCACCGATGAAGTCGGCGAGGGTGCACTATCCTTAATTCCTTTTTGCGGGGTTTCTGCAGACGAGGGGGTTTGTTTGTGACAGCCATAGCCTGGCGAGGTTTGTGAAAGGAAGCGATAGTAGCCCAGGGAGCTCTGCAGGGGTGCAAAGCTCCGTGGTCGGAAACAATGGGATCCTTGAACTCGAATCATGTTGTGGTAAGGTTTAAGTGAGAGTCTCGAGTCGAGTGCCCTGGTTTATTTCAGATTAGAACCAACTCAGGGTCTTTTATAGACTCTTGTTGAAAAGCGTGAGATTTGCTGTTGGAGAATCCGTCGACTTGGCAAGAACCACGCACAAATGGCTCATTCGGATGCCGCGGCTCACCAGGGAGGAATTGGGATACAGTCAATGGCCAAAATGTGTATGAGCATCCTGAGCGGGCTATAAGAGCTAGTATAGTATATATTCTCAATCTACTCTGTTGAATTTGTAAGAGGCCCAACTCGATGTACTCGTAAATATCATTTGGCCAAATCAAGGGGCAGCGGATGCAAAATTGCCCCACAAGCACGGACGCGGGAGAATTCCGGCTTCATGTTCCAAGGTTATTTAGGTCAGTAAAAATGTGTTCTTTCAAGCTTAAATAAAAATGATTCATCCCTCTGGCTCCGTGATTCATTACTACTAGTAATATTTCCAAGTACGCACTGCGGACTTGAACTTTGGAGTTTCAATCCTGTTCAAGTTCCCAGAGCCCTGGAGGTAGTACTAGTAGTTACTAGTAAGACTACTAGCTGTGATATGAAATACATATTGTGAGGCTCATTCTCCAACCTTCAAGTTCAAGTTGGAACTTCAACTTGAACTTGAACCACCTGGATACCCTCAAGAGCATACTAGTAGTATCATAATACTCAAATAGTTTGAAAATACTAGATCTCTATCAAAATACTATAGTATATTCTCAAAATCCAGATAAAATTCGAAGGAAATCAGCAGGCCTGTTTGAGCAAAGAAAATCACAACTAGGATAGTAAATCCCGTCTAAATAATGCTAGTATAGTAGTATTCCAGAGTAGTGAGAGAAAGGGCAGGTATTCTAGTTACGAAACGAATATGTGCCTTCGTTCCACGGAACATTCTACGTTCCAACACAGCCCAGGCAGAAAACTCATTCGAAAAAGCTCACGGAAGTGGCAGGCTCTACGGAAGGAATTGAAAAGGCGTTGGATGTGGCTAAAGGTATTGCTAGGGTTGAATTGATGATCCTTATGTATGAGGACTTTGCGGCAAAGGTATGGCACGACTTCAACATGGATGTTACAAATCGATGAGTTAATTTGAAAGAGCCCATTCTGTTGAGGCTTGTTGCCTGAGATATTCAAGTCGCCGTGCATTGTCTAGACAGTTTCGCCTTCTGATCTCCTCTCTCATCAGATCACTACTTTCATTGCCCACGGCGCTCCATAGCCGCAAACGACCCAATGTTTCTGCTAGGGCGACAGTGTCTCAAAATTACTAGTGTTCGCTTTACAAACTTTGACACAGACTATTCTATTGTTCAAATACAATTAGCTTGCGAATACCTATAGTCAGGACGGGAAAGTACTTAGTTGGCGCTAGTATGGAGTCGGTAAGTGACGTAGATAGCCAGATTTAGAGATGTACATTATACTACTTGGTATCATATTCAGTACCCTGAATTGTTAGGACCAAGAAGCTCATACAGGTAGAATAGCGCCACAGATGGACTGGCAGAGCCTTATAGGGAACACCGTCGATTGCTGTAATCGCCTCTCTCCTTTGCGTAGCCGTTAGCACGTTCACTTCCCCCACCATGCCAGTGTATTATCCTACAGCCTGATAAGGCAGCAACGGTCAAACCCACTCAGATGAGTCTTAATCTGATAAACTCGCGTGGGGCCAATAAGCATCAAGCATTCGCCGCGGGCGAATGCTACATTGGCGCAGCCTAGCGTCATCGGAGCTCGGAATCCGGAGTAGAGGCTCGTCAGATTCTCCGACACAATTGAGTAGAGTAAGCACAAACTAGTGTATTTAGCAAGAGTTCAAAGGGCTGACCATGCCCCGCGCTCTGTTCGTTGTTCTCTGTTATTTCTGTTTTCAGCACCTTTCGGCCATGGCTTTTTCCTGTCCTATTGGCAGCGATGATCGATTTGGCCCCCGAGTTACGGGTCAGTGTCGATCATTCGACTTTACATTGCTTTTTGAGGATGTTTTTTTCGCCCTGTTGCCAGCGGCAGTTTTCCTGGTGTCTGCATTTCTGAGGCTTCCTCTTCTTCTTCGAGCCCCCGTAAAAGTCACCTCCCATCACCTGGCGACTGCAAAGCTTGTAACTATACTACTAAACCCATTGTCACAGTGCATTAGAGCTAAGTATGATCGTAGATTGCCCTCGCGTGCTTGTTTTCCTTTCACGTCTCGTTTCTGGCTTTCCAACTCCAGGCTCCAATTCTACATACCAAAGTTGCACTCGCCGCCAGCTTGCTACAGTTGTTCGCCATTGTTGCTTCTCTATTGCTGTCATGGTTGGAGGATCAGCGCTCAGTCCGACCATCAGATCTAATGGTCATATACTTCTTCCTGTCCAGCATACTCGCTGCCCCCAGAATGAGATCTCTGTGGATTCTCACGCCTGATGTTTATACCCAGGCTTCCTTGTGGACACTGGTTACGGTTGGCACGGTCGTGGTATTGTGTCTGGAGTCCATTCACAAAACCCAAGTCATACGCCTTGCCTATCGCGAACCCAGCAAAGAAAGTACTTCGAGCTTCTGGGTTCGGAGTTTCTTCATCTGGGTTTTACCTTTGTTTCGGAGCGGGTTCTCAACTATCATTTCGTTGAAAGATATGCCTGAGGTGGATACTGCCCTTCAGGGTATCCCCGCCGAGAAGAAATTACATGCCGCATGGAAAAAGGGTGAGTCCCCAACAACTTCCCGTATATGCTCAAAACTAAGGCTCTGTGCAAGGAAATTACAGTGGTAGAAATCGCCTTCTACGGGCAACATTTCGCGCCTATCTCGGGCCATTCGTCAGCGCGATAATCCCTCAAATTTGTCTCACAGGGTTCAAATTCTGCCAGCCGTTCCTAATTTCCGCGACAATCGACTTCATAAGTCAGCCTTCAACCCAGGAGAATCGGATCCATGGCCCTGCACTGGTTGGGGCATACGTTATAACCTATATGGGAATGGCGATATCGACGGCTGCTTACTGGCGCCAAACACTTCGTATGGTCACAATGATTCGAGGAGGCCTCATATCTCTTGTTTACCGACAGACAACCAAGCTTCAAGCTAGAGACTTCAAGGACAAGTCTTCTATCACGCTGATATCGACTGATGTGGAGCGCATCAGCTACAGAATCCGTGGAATTCATGAAGCTTGGATGGCCCCCATTCAGGTGGCAATCGCAATCTTCCTTTTGGAGCGACAGCTTGGTGTGGCCTGTTTGATACCGACAGTCATTTCGTCTCGTATGTTTGTTATACCGCGAGGGAGACGAACTTTACTGACACACTACAGTCGCGATACTGGCAACATTCCCTCTATCCAAAACGTCATGCGGTGCACAGCTGAGGTGGATTGAGCGTGTTCAAGCACGTCTCACTGTAGTATCCAGCATGCTGCATGACATGAAGGCTGTCAAAATGCTAGGCATAAGTGATAAGCTGTTTGACAGTGTTTCAGGCTTGCGAAGAGAAGAGCTGAAAGCCTCAGAGCGCTTCAGAGTCCTCATTCTCTGGCAAATTGCAATCTGTAGGCTCTGCCCTCTAGGATGGTTACCTTAATTAATAATTGCTAACAAAACCTTTGCAGCGAATTTGCCTCTCACACTGGCTCCATATGCAACATTCGTGATATTTTCCTTGATAGCGGTGACTACTGGCGGCGACTCACTTTTTTCAAATCGGACATTCACTTCTCTATCCCTTATTTCTCTGATGACCTACCCGCTTCTCGTATTTGTCCAGGCTCTCCCGGGATTATGGCAGTCGGTCGGGTGTTTTGATCGCATTGAGAAATACTGCGCCCAGGTACCGCTAGACGAAGACTCGGAGTTTCTCCTGGGGGCTGATGGTATTGAGCTGCAATCGAACGCTGTTTCCTCTACACCCTCAGCTGGAACGGTGCTTGAACTTCGTGGCGCCAGCTTTTCCTGGTCAGAGGACTCCGAGCCAGTCCTTCGAGATTTAAATATTTCTTTGAGAAAAGGCATGATTACAGCAATTATAGGGTCCGTTGGAAGTGGCAAAAGCACATTCCTTGAAAGCATCCTGGGGGAGACAGTTCTGCAGAAAGGCTCCATTTCCCCATTCAACTCCACAGTCGCATACTGCCCCCAAACGCCATGGATCATGAACGACACTATTCGTTCGAATATCACTGGCCCGGCATCATACGATGAAAAGTGGTACAACTTTGTGATCTGGGCTTGTTCGCTGAAGACAGATTTGCAAAGTATCTCTGGTGGTGATCTTTCCATTGCCGGAACCTCTGGTATCACGCTCAGCGGAGGCCAGAAACAGCGCATTGTACGTGAATCCAATCCTATTAAAATTCTAGATAATTTGGCCTGAAACTAACTTCCGAAATAGTCTCTTGCCCGCGCTGTTTACTCGCGAGCAGTGGTCCTGGTTCTCGACGATGTATTCAGCGGGCTCGACACTAGATCGGTAGCTGCGATTTCGTCACGGCTGCTGGCAGCAGATGGCCATTTCAGAAAGGCAGGCAGGACCGTTGTTCTTGCAACTCATAACAATCGCCTTCTCCCGTTTACAGACGAGATCTTGGTACTAGACAACGGCCGACTGTCAAGGTCTGGGACATACGAGCAGTTGCGCGCCATCATACCAGAAGATAGCCGAAGCCAAAGCACCGAAGAATCTGGAACACAGAGGTTCCCCACCGACAAGCCTACCGAGATGACCAGCGTCTCTGAGATGCTCCAGGCGGTTCCCGAAAATGACACTGGTGCTAATATGGCTCGCCGAGACGGGAGTTGGTCCGTATATGTGTTCTACTTCCAGTCGGCTGGCTGGATAGTCGTATTTACTGTCGGATTATGTGTTGCACTATATGGTTTCTCTGAGACATTCTCTAGTGCGTCTTCCTCCACTATGATCAGGATAATGCTAACCACCAACAGCTGTGTGGCTTCAGCAGTGGTCGAATGCCAATGATAGTCATCCAAATCAGAAGATCGGGTTTTATATCGGAATCTATTCAGTCATATTCGTGTTATCACTCACTACACTCATGATTGGAGCTTGGTAGGCTCTCCTCTCTCATTATCCTAGTGTATGTCTGCTAATCAATCCATTCAAGGGCCTTGTTTGTGAAAGCGATCAACAATACCGGACTTTCCATGCATTCCCACTTGTTAAGAACTACATTAAGGTACATGGTGTCATATTCTAATAGTTCTACGCCGTCTGATACCAACTCATCAAACCAGAGCACCATTCAGCTTTTTCCAGAAAGTCGACGCCGGATTGACAACAAATAGGTAAGTAGCCTGCTGTTCATCCCAGAGAGTAGTCTGACCATAAACCAAAGATTTAGCCAAGACCTAGAGCTCATCGATCTGGATCTTCCAAATGAATCCATAAATTCGAGCGTCGGTAAGCAATCCACTACCAAGATATCATATAGAGCACTCTAACTATTTCAAGCCCTGGCAAACTGTGTCGTGGAGCTTGTCATTCTTTGCGTGATGGGTAAATATCTCACCGTAACCGTTCCAATATTGGCAGTCATTCTCTTTTTCGTGCAGGGATACTACCTCAGAACCTCCCGACAAGTGCGGCTGCTGGATATCGAGGCCAAGGCACCTCTTCTCACTCACCTCGTCGAGACAATGCAGGGAATATCCGTTATTCGAGCTATGCGATGGCAGGAACCCTTCAAGGGCCGTCTCGATAAGCTTCTCAATCAGTCGCAGCAGCCATTTTATATGCTATTTTGCATTCAGCAATGGCTTCAACTGGTGCTTGACTGTATCGTCATGGCTCTAGCCGTCATCCTTGTCACCTTGGTCGTCTCATTGAAAGACAAGTTCAGTCCCGGTGCGATTGGTGTCGCACTGAATCTAATCTTAAGCTTTAATCTGGACTTGATGCACCTTATTCAATCATGGACGAAGTTAGAAACATCAATCGGGGCCGTCTCACGTATACAGGACTTCATGGAGAACACACCGTCGGAGGACCAGGATCAACGCCGTATAGAGCCGGTGCCGCCCAATTGGCCTATCATTGGAAATGTCTCTTTCCGAGGAATCACGGCTTCATACAAGTAAGATTCCCACTACGCTTCTTTTGTGACCTAGCTAATGTTGATCCTTAGCTCTGAATCTCCACCGGTCCTTCAGGACCTGTCCTTAGCCGTCCGGTCAGGGGAGAAAATCGCTGTTTGTGGCCCTTCTGGAAGCGGCAAAACATCTTTAATTCTTGGATTGTTACAAATGATCGAATTAAAGCAAGGCAACATAGAGATCGACGGTATAGATTTATCTACACTCCCCTGTGGTGCTGTGCGATCTCGAATCAACGTCGTTCCTCAAGAGCCATTCTTCATACCAGGAACGCTTCGGTTCAACCTTGACCGCGGCTTTGAAGATAGTCCCATATCTGATGCAAGCCTCATCCGATCACTAGAAGCCGTTGGGTTGTGGAAGAAGGTCTGTGGCGACACACCCGGGGGAGGAGAACTGGATCAGCAGTTATCCGTATCGGATTGGTCAGAAGGGGAGCGACAACTGCTAGCACTTGCGCGAGCAATGGTCATGAAGAGTCCGATTTTGGTTCTTGACGAGGCGACCAGCAGGTATGTTTTATTTTATGTCCGAGCTATACATCCTTGTTCTGATCATAGAAATCGAAATGTTAGTGTCGACTGGGAGACTGAAGCCACCATGCAGAGCATAATCGAACGGGAATTTGCTTCCCAGACAGTGATTTCGGTTATTCATCGTCTTCGATATATTGAAAACTTCGATCGTGTTGCTTTGATGAGACATGGACGGCTTGTGGAGTTTGATAGCCCGAAGGTATTGCTAGAAGGCCCGTCGGAGTTCCAAGCCTTCTATCGTGCGAAGCATGACGAATAGACCCGTTGGGAAATAATACATTCATGTTTAAGGTATACGATCCCTCCTAATTTCAATCAATAAAACAACATTCTTCTGGTTGGAATTTCCATGTGGCAATATGTAAGGTCAACTTATCAGTTAGCCATCAACCAACATTTTCAATACTAGTGGATTAGGTGGCTCAACGCTCCCACGTTCTGCAATTGATCTAAGATCTGAACTTGATTATGCCTTTGGATCTTCATTTCATACTCGGTACTATTACTATTATTAGTATTATTTCTTAAATATAAGCCAATTGCTGTAACCGTCACATTGGCAAAACTATACTACTTGTAGTTATATTATACTAATTATTTCTTTCCCTGGTATCTATAATTTATCTATTATTCTACCTATATTCAATTACTAATTGACCAGAAATAACCACTGACTATAGTTACTACTACTATACACTACTCTACTAGTAGTACAAACCCCGCGTGACCGCCAGTTTGTCGTGCTTTCAGGGGCCACTCCGCCCCACATGATTTCCTCAACACTTTCTTTCCTTTCTGCTTAACTCTGCTCTGTTCTTGATTCCAAGGTTTACTCTACTCTACTAGATATTCACCATGGTCCGAGGAGAGGTATGTCCTTATTTCCCTGTTCAAGCTTTCATCTCAATTCCCATCACCTTGCCACTGCCACCACCACCACTACCACCACCACCCCTCCCCCACTTGTTCCTCCCCTGAACCCCCCGTGTCCATGGATGCGATGGCCCCGGTTCCGGTCCCTCAATTCTAGCAGTTGACAATCCCTCCAGCTCCTTTTGCCCCCGATTCAAGCTAATCAACCTCAATCGCTCAGATCTTGCACCTGCACATCGGCCAGGCCGGTATCCAACTCGGTAACGCCGCCTGGGAGCTGTAGGTTTCTTCACCGCTTGTTGTTATTGTTGTTGATTCAGTGTGCCCATGCTAATCCTTGTCAATCTTCCCCTCAGGTACCAGCTTGAGCACGGTTTGACCCCCGAGGGTTTCTTCGACGAGTCTCGTGCCGATGAAGTCGGCTCCAAGGGCTCCTACGATACCTTTTATACCGAGACCAGCGGCGGCAAATATGTTCCCCGCGCCATCTTTGCTGATCTTGACCCTTCGGTATGGAGAAATGAATTGTATTCGCAGGAACAAGGAGGACAAGAGCTAACGGTCGACTGTGATGCAAATAGCCCGTCGATGAGATCCGCCACGGCGCCTACAAGAAGCTTTTCCACCCCGAGCAGCTGATCAGCGGCAAGGAGGATGCCGCCAACAACTGTACATGCACCTCATACAAGGACCCAAGGGACTGAGCACACATGAGCCGAAAGCTAATTTAGTTCCATGCAGATGCCCGTGGTCACTACACCGTCGGCAAGGAGCTCGTTGACGACGTCCTGGACCGCATTCGCCGCGTGATTGGTATGCATGGACACACCTTTCTTTCAACCTCCCCCGGTTGCCCACCCACGCCCATGATCGGAAAACTAACCCGCAATAGATGCTTGCTCTTGCCTGCAAGGTTTCCTTGTCTTCCACTCTTTCGGTGGTGGTACTGGTTCCGGTTTCGGTGCCCTTCTGCTCGAGCAGCTCTCTGCCGAGTATGGCAAGAAGTCCAAGCTGGAGTTCTGCGTCTACCCTTCGCCCCGCGTTTCCACTGCCGTCGTCGAGCCTTACAACGCCGTTCTGTCCACCCACAGCACCATCGAGAACTCCGACTGTACTTTCCTGGTTGACAACGAGGCCGTGTACGATATCTGCCGTCGCAACTTGGATATTCCCCGTCCCAGCTTCGACCACCTGAACCGCCTTATTGCCCAGGTTGTCAGCTCCATCACCTCCAGTCTGCGCTTCGACGGTGCCCTGAATGTCGACCTGAACGAGTTCCAGACTAACCTGGTGCCCTTCCCTCGTATCCATTACCCTCTGATCTCGTACGCTCCCGTCGTTGGCAGCAACCGCAGCGGCCACGAGAGCTTCAAGATCCAGGACCTCACCTTCCAGTGTATGTTTTGCCATTAAATATCCTCCACCGGTGTAGTGTTGAAAATGCTAACAATGTGACACTAGGCTTTGAGCCCAACAACCAGATGGTTGTCTGCAATCCCCAGGATGGCAAGTACATGGCCGTCGCCCTGCTGTACCGTGGTGATGTCGTTCCCCAGGAATGTCACCAGGCCGTTTCCGCTGTCAAGTCCAAGGCATCCTTCAACCTGGTCGAGTGGTGCCCCACCGGATTCAAGCTGGGCATCAACTACCAGAAGCCCGTGCAGGTCCCCGACACCGCGATGGCCAACGTCGACCGTTCCGTCAGCATGTTGTCCAACACCACCGCCATCGCCGATGCCTGGAGCCGTCTGGACCACAAGTTCGACCTCATGTACTCCAAGCGTGCCTTCGTCCACTGGTACGTTGGTGAAGGTATGGAGGAGGGAGAGTTCTCTGAGGCTCGTGAGGATCTCGCAGCTCTGGAGAAGGATTACGAGGAGGTCGCCGGCGACTCGATCGAGGAGGAAGAGGAGGAGCTCGAGTACTAAGCGGACTTGCTTTGCTCGAATCCTAACCTCGCACGTATGAAATTGTGATTCTTCGATCTGTCTATCTGGATATACGCCCGATCTACCCACCTCACCTATCTCTCTTCTGCGACACCCCCTTTCGTTTCAGCCCAAACAGCGTTTCTCTTTTCTCACCCTCGTGCCTGACGACAGTCGACACTATTTAACTGGATGCGTGGAATTCAAAATACAGTTGATGCACATTTCTTCAAGTTTCTAACCCAATTCCGATAATCTAGTGAAGTCTAGTAGTAGTGGTACAATATCAAATCAAAGCAACCAGCCCAATTGATCCCAGAACGCCATAATATGCTCGTGTATAGAAAAGCAGCAATGTAGATCTGTCTTCCTCTTCTTCTCTCAATCAAGCCTCGCAACTCGCAACCTCCATCTCCTGAATGAACTTCAACGCCCGCTCATACGTAAACATTGTAACAGCACTAGCAGGCGCAGCCTTAAACAAACTAACCGTCAAACCCCGATACAACCCCCTGACGCCCTGCGTCCGCAGAATCATAGCGATAGACCTCACAACCCCGTCATATTCCGGAATATTCCGATGAACATACTTCGTCCTCGTAGGACCCTGAACCTGCAGGCGTTTCCTGACCAGATCGAGCGGGAAAACGCCCGTTTTCGCCATAACACTGGCAACAACACCCGCAGCCGCATCACCGGTGCCAAAAGGCAAATATTCCCACTGGGCCATGGTTGGCCGCAGATTCTCATACGCCGTGAAAAAGAGACCCATGTACGGCACGATTTGGGCCACGGCTGCCGAACATCCGCGGAAGAAACCCCTCGGTCCCTCGTTGCGGGATATGTCGACGATTGATGAGTAGAGGGATTTGTAGACGCGTTCGGGCCCTTGGGCGGCGAAGCGGGTGCGAAGTAGGTCTAGTGGGTATGTTGCAGTTGTGGCGATTCCGCCGGCCACGGCGCCGGATATGAAGGACTCGCCGGATGGTGGTAGTCGGTATGATGGGCCGAGTTGGGATAGGGCTTGGGTTGTTGTCCGGTATGTGGTGAATTGGAGGGCGCCGTAGCAGACGTACATCATTTCTGCGGGGACGTTGCCTTTCCATAGTCCCTGTAGTGAAGAGAGAGTGTGAGTACTAAACTAGCCCGACTTGATTTCCCGTGGAGGTGGAATTGAGGTGGAATTGAGGTGAGTGAGTAACATACCGTGATACCTTCCTGGCGCATAATGGAAGCCATTGTCGAAAGGGTCCCCTTGTATACCGGCCCCACGACCGTCCGGTGTGAGGCCGGATCGGAAAGTGAATGGATCTGCAGCTGCAGGCGGATCTTGACGACATCCAGCGGAGCAATGCAGAAGCGTGAGATTAGGCCGGCCGTACCGCCGGCCAGTATAACTTGTCGCCTGGAACCCTCATCTTTGAGATGTTCGCCGCCAGCCGACATGTTCGAGAATCAGGTAGAGGGCATGGTAAGGTATGTGCAAGAAGGAGTGTTATTATTTTTTATTTGGAGTGGTACCTTTTCCCGGGGGGCGAATGGAATGGAGATCGCGGTGATTTACGTAACTCCGGATTGTGGGGCCTGAGGTGTCGATATGTGCTGAGTAATATTCGTAATCATTGGTTGCCTTCCTAATTGGGCTAGGAAGTATATATACAGCACAGTGTTTCGATCGCATGCTTACTGCCAGTGGATAATATCACAATACTGTTGAGATATGGAGATATCATGGGAATCAACCTGAACCTCTTATATATCTTACTATCTAATTCCATTCACACAGAGGACAAACACTACTAGTAGCATGGAGATAGTATGCGTTAAACTAGGCCAAAAGAATGATTATTACACTATAGAGTCCTAGTCCACTGCCTAATGTGCTTCCTAGTACAAGAGACCTAGGCAGACGGTCGCTTTTAGCTCTGCATGCAAGGCTTGCTCGTAGAGTCAGGGTCAGTGATCATCGTTGGTTATGTGCTCAGTGAGCACTTAAGCAGTCCTTACTCACTAGCAGTCACACTTTAATTCCAAGATTTATTTCAGAATGCTCAAATCATTCTATTCGACAATAGACACTCACGGTAGTTTTCTCTCTTGATCCTCCATTATTAACGAGACTGCCATAGATGCATGGGTGAGCATCAAACAGAAAATTGAGGCCATACCTATATGGCTTGCTGGTCATATCTTGTTGTAAAGACCAGGGGATAACCCGATACTATTCTTCCCTACACCAAACGGAAATTTTTATAGCCACAAAATCTACACTTTCATTTCAAACCCTCACATCAACTATAGATTACCTTAACTGATTCTCACTTGGCTCGACTAACCAGTTATTGGAGATGACCACATGAATTCTCGCTTCATCAAATGATATCATAATCAATCAGCAAGCCTTTGGTGACTTTGATCACTATCCTCGCCTAATCACCGCTGCTCCTTTCTCAAAATGCTTCAGAAAGCGTCCTGTGATCACCCTGCCCTCCCGTTCTCCAACAACAATCGGCCATAGTACACGAGCGGCGCCATCCTCAAAACCAATGGGGCACCCGTCGTCTCTCTGGCACTCGGGAGCAGCACTCATGTACCCAGGATCCACTGAATTCATAGCCACACGGCGATTCCTCCACGCCGGCATTGCCTCTGTTTCGGTGATCATATTGATTGCTGCCTTGGACATATTCGTGTGGACGTGATGGCCGGCTTTGCTAGGTGAGTTGGGCGAATCCTCGAGTATTCCCTCTCGCGACGAAACGTTGACAATATACCCCAGCGGTTTGGTGACCGATTTCGTATCATCGGCCCCCATGCAAGGGAGAAGTTCGCGACACAGAATCAGTGGAACAAAGGCGTTGACGGAATGCGCATTGATGAGATCTTCATACGGGATCTCCTGGAGAGACTGCACCCATGATGAGTTCTTTAGATTTTGATCACCCTCTATACGGAGGCCTTTATGAGTCGTGGAACTCTCTTCCTTCTTGTTCCCATAGTCGATTTGCAGTTTATCTCCTCCACTCTCAATGCGCGAGATCCAAGACTCCTGCGCACTGCCTTTGATTCTGGGCTGATAGGCATTGCTTGCATGACCTGCTAACAAGTTCTTGACGGGTGCGAGGTCTTTTAATTGGCCTTCACGAGATATGGCTATCATTTCTGCTTTCACTGGGTCTGTCAAGGTCTGTGCCGCATTGTTAATCAGGATATCAAGGTTTCTCTGCTCGCTCGACCCAGTTTCTCCATTCCAGGACCTCAACAGGTCCTTTACCACATGGACGAGCCGAAAAGCGTCCTGTGCGGCCCTAAAGTCAGCACCGACAACCTTTAGTCTTGATTCCCACTCCGTGAAATCGGTTTCCCTGGAATATCGATCTGCTGCATCGCCAGGATAACGGGAGGACACAATCACATTTGCACCACAGCGGAGCAGTCTCAGAGCCGTATGGTATCCAAGATTGATCCTTCCACCAGTGACAAGGGCAGTCATTCTGGTGAGATCCAACTTCTCCGGCAGTGACAGCTTTGAAGAACCGAGATTGAAGGCCCCGCAGGGGCGGCACAGAGAGGGGTACAAGTCGTGGACGTTGAGAATGCTGCACTTCTGGCGACACATGTAGCATCGCCGGGTTTTCGCCTTTTGAACTTCGCCCTTATCACCGCGTACCTTTTTGGCATATTCGACGAGGCTGTTGTTCTTTAATGACATTTGCCCCCGAATGGCCACAAAGACTTCCGCCAAGGGACTTGAGAGCGTGATTGGTGACACCGATTCATCTGCCTGAAGATAATTCAAGACTTTGAGCGCTGCCTCAAACTCTTCATTCTTGGGAATATGTGCAGTCCCATTGACCAAGGAGTCCTCATCAACATCACCTTCGATGCGATCTAGTTGACCGATGTATGCCTTGATCCCTTCGATGATACTTTCGCATCGTTTCAATCGAAGGGCCTTGGCAACGTCCACATGAGGTGTGAGATGCCAGGCAATTGCTTCAAAGAGAGAAGACTGTGCATTTGGTAGACCACAGGCGAGAGTACTAGGGACTTTGCTTTTTCGGCATAGCTGTTGGTCTTCTCTTAGACGTGCAGCGATAGCTTCGGCCTCGTCTGCATTGGGGTTATCGAGTTGGTCCAGGCAGTCCTTAATCCCTTCGATGATGCTCCTGCATCGATCTATTCGAAGCTCTTCAACCAGCTCATTCTGAGGCGTGAGATGCCCTGAGATATCGTTTAACAACTCCGGTGGTGCTTTGAATAGCTTCAGGACAAGGCTGCTTGGTCGCTTTCTATCACGGCAGAGTTGCTGGTCCTGGCCCAGACGAGACGCAATGTCCTCGGCGCTTCCCAAATCTGAGAACAAGGTTATAGCTGCAGGGCGCGTGTTGAACTTCATTCTCCTGAGGTCGTTTTCGTTGATTAACTTGAATTTGGCGGTCAGGAGTTGAGTTCTTAAATTGGCCCCAGGTCGCTAGCCCCTCACGATGGACCCTTCTGACTCAACCTCTGACTCAAAGGTCAATCCAACTCGAAGGTTCTACTCTGGCACCAGTCTTTTATTAAAGGATTCATACTCTTCCGTTCTTGGCGGAAGGTTTTCGTCTTAACCTTTTGTTCGAAGTCACAGAGCGCAGAGTACTGCATAAACAACGTCAAAATGCCCGACCCACGCTTCGAGGAGATCGTTCAAAGTTTGTCGCTGGTGCCAACGGAAATGGCGCACGCGATCATTGACGATCTTCGTGTTTTGGACGTGCTCAATTTGCTAGTATATGACAATCCCAGAGTTACTGCTGCGATTTCGTCTCACCCCGGCTGCCAAACTGTGATCGGCATAACCCCTGACACGTTCTTTGAAAGGAAGGAACTTATCAAAAGCTACTGGGATCTGGCCTGTCAGATTGGTATCAACGTTGATGAAATCTGGTATAGATCGGTCATTGGACTCAATGTCAACTGTGCCGACTTCCAACACCTCCCTTCGGTCACCGACGACCTTCACGCTCACATATTGAAATATGTCGAGGACCAGACAAGCGTGGTAGATTTGAATCGGTTCACCGTTGGATCCAAGGGGATTTCGCCGGTTACATCTAATTCATCTTTTGCACAGCTCGAAGAATGCTGTACAGCCGTGCGTGCGGCTAAAATTCAGTATTTCGCACAAGCCTCTGGCCAGCTGCGTCGGGCATGTACCTTGCTTGAAAACAATCCCGATCTCTTGAAACGCACCCTGGACCCAGATCAAAAAAGACGACCCAATACTGCACACATCACCGCCAGAATGAACCTCGTCGCTGACAAAATTGCTAAGAGCAATTTGCAGAACCAAGTGCGCACCGAGTACTACCGCTACACATTTTCTCCTTTGACGCCGTTTGACACTTCTTTGACAGAGTTGCTTCGAATGATGGATCTTTTTGATATCACTGCCGGGGGTGTGCTTTTGCTCAACAAGGATGGCTCCTCTGCTTGTGGACGGCAGCATACCCCGGCGGTCCATCAGCTTGCTAGTGTTGTAATTGATGGTATGGCCTACCATCACACTTTCTGGTCCAAAGATTCGGATCTACATAGGCATTTTCAACTTCAAGTCACGAGTGATAATGGCGATACGTTCCGAACAGGAAATACACCTTGGTCAGAGAAACTTGATTTTATTTTGGATGAGCTGGTGCAAGGACCATTTTTCGCACCTCACAAACTCGGAACAATCAAACAATGGCGACGACCACGAAAATATGCCGGAAATGAGCCGTTCCATCACAAAGAAGAAGAATGGTTGACTTCATTCGTGGAGTTATATCGGTATCTAGAGACATTGGGGATTAAATCAAATATCTCCAGCTGAATGTTTGTCTGCCCTGTACAATTGAGTAGGAAGGGAAGAGATTGCTATGTACATATCATCAACTATAGCAACTACTAGTAGTAACTCAGTTGAAAATTCAAGTTGGACCACATAGTCCGGAAACTTGGAACTCATATACCACCATCGTTGGAGGTTTGGACTTTGCCAGGATCAGATTGAATGATATGTAATGGTCCTTTATCAGCTCAGGTTGACCAGGGCTACTATTCTCAATTCTAACCAGGAAGGAGAGCGCCAAGACTTGCCAGACAAAATCCAGTAAGCCAGTACTACTAGTTATAGTACTAGTTATAGTCACGCCGAGATAGAGGTAGAGCAATGAACCCAAGGGCCAAAGTCTAAGATTGCGAATTGCGACGCAACTTGCAAAGGGAACCGGTCTAACCAAGAATTCGGGGGTAACTTCCTAATTATGGTGAGTATTGAGAACATCCTTCGTAAATCTATTGAGTGATACTATCATCCAATATGTCAGTTTTCCAAAGGAAAGAAGATATATATTAATTAGTTGGCTGCTTTCTCATTTGGGGCCCAAAGGTGATCTTCTCGCATGGGATTTATAAAAAGAGGCGTGGCCATTGTGTAGTAGTCAACCCAACAAATTACTAATGTTAGAATCAACTGTACTCGCTAGCGCACAGTATAAAAGCACCGTGACCGAAATACACACGGAAGTCAAATTATTCTCCATTACGACGTTCACTGTAAAGGGTACCGTCTCGTTTGTGGAGTTCATTGATAGTATCTCCATCTACTAAAGGCCTAAAACCTCTTTCACCACGGGATTCATCATTCCTTCGTCCCTGATTCTTCAAAGGTGCTTCAATTGTGAATGTAGCTTGGGATTTGTTTACATAGTTGCGATTGACCAATAGGAGCCTACTATGGATATTATGTTCAAACCGGAAGATAGAACATCCGGTCCTGTTGAGGTCGTTGTGGATACTGAGATTGACAGGCTAGCATTATTATAATCGGTCTGCTATATATGAGGATGGTGTACCATAGTTAGTATGGCCTGACATTAGTGATTCTTCCTAAGCTCAGGCCACTCTAAAGCCCGCGGTGGGGTTTCTACATCATTGGCGGCTATGGACTGCCGTAGGTGTCGCCCGACCTGCCTAGCAGGGAGACCTCGGCCCCGAACGAAATGGGTCACTTCCCCGGAGAGTCTGGGGTCGACCGCATCACATGTTGCCCTCTCTCCCCCTCCACAATCCCGCTCTCTGATTTCTTGCTTCATTCTTCTGCGTCATTGCATCAATTCCTCCCTTTAATGCGTCCTTTACCCTCAGGAGTACTTCGCCAGGTCGCACGGGGCCGGGCGGGCCTTCCCCTGCGTACCTTCGTCTCCTCGGCCAAACGGTTCAATTCCGAGGGAATTCCCACAGCCCAGGACCATTTGTCTCAATTGATGGAACTTGCATTGAAACAGACATCAATCGATAAAAACCGTCACCTCACCTTCCCGCACCAGAGATCTAGCCGAGGAAGCGATTACACTGAGGTGAATGTCACCCAACCAAACCGAATTACTGCCGAACGGGATGTCCTGCACTTGTGGTCGTTCGTCCATGGATTCTCCACCTTCCCATATTGGTACCTGCGGGATGTCTGTCGATGCCCGCGCTGTGTCGACCCGCACTCGAACCAGCGCTCGTTCCGAACCAGCGACATTCCCGGCAAGATCTATCCGCGCCACATGAGCTGGGATGGTACTACTTTGGATATCAAATGGGCCAACGACGTTTCCGGATATGACGAAACTCACAGCACATCCTTGGACGTGCCCACCCTGATGGCAGGCCCCACCAACACTCATGACAACGTCTCCAAATCTACCAAACCCCTTATCTGGGGTGACGTGATGATGAGGGACCTCCAACACTGGGTTTCCTTCGACGACTACATGTCAAACGATGGCAAGTTCGCCGAGTCAATGCGCAATCTTCAGCGCATGGGCTTGATATTTATCAAGGATATCCCGGAATCTCGAGAGATGGTGAAGAAGATCTCGGAACGCATGGGCCCTGTTCGGAACTCTTTCTACGGGGAGACATGGGACGTGCGTACAGTGCCGCAAGCCAAGAACGTCGCCTACACAAACCAACACCTCGGCTTCCATATGGATCTACTATACATGAACGAGCCACCCGGATATCAACTACTGCATTGCCTGGAGAACTCATGCGAGGGAGGCGAGTCACTTTTCGCCGACTCGTTCCGGGTAGCCGAAATAATGAAGAGAAATTATCCCACCGAGTACAAAACACTGACCCGAAGGCTTTTCGGGTTTGAATATATGCATAACGACCACGTCTACAGCAACGCGCGACCACTATTTGAATTGGACAAGGTGACCGGGCAACTTCGCAACGTCAACTATTCCCCTCCATTCCAAGCCCCAGTTCCGAAATTAAGGGAAAAGGGCGTCTGCAATCATATTCATTTCAACCTATGGAGACATGCGCTGAAGACATTTACCTACCTGCTGGAAAGTAAGTCGTCGATTTTCCAGCTGAAGCTTAATCCCGGCGAGTGTGTGATCTTCGCCAATCGACGAATTGTCCATGCTCGGAACAAATTCAATACTTCTTCTGGTTCGCGCTGGTTGGCTGGTGCGTATGTGGACGAGGATGCATTGCTATCCAATTTTGCCACGCATGCGAAGAAGTTCCCTGATCAGTGGAATTACGGCGATCCGATGAGGTCTGTAAGAAAAATCAAGGCCCGTATTGCGAAGGAAAAGCAGATCGCCATTGCTGCTATGCAGCAATCTCAAGCTCAACATGCAGAGGTGGAGAATGTGGAAGAGGCCAATTGAATTGGATAGACGGAAGCATATCATTTCAAGGTTTATACCGTGTCATTTTGATTTCATCTTCTTAGTAATTGGTGAAGCTAGAACAGCAAAGAAGTATGCCACGCCGAATATCGCAGCTTTTAGCTCGTGGATAGTCATCTTACAATCAATGTCCATACTCAGCCTTGCAACTCCCCTCTTATCGGGAATAGCAAGCCGACTCATCCGAATCCAGTATCTCTATTTTGAAATGTATGACCTGAAGAATTACAAATCTCTTACACTAGATCTCTTTTTTTCATATCAAGGAAAAACGTATATCATCACGGCGGAAATACAGCATCCAGCCCCGAGGCAAGGAAAGGGTATCATCCAGGGACTAACTCAAGCTACGGGCTTATTGACAGAGAATTCTCCCATGAAGTCAGGGTCTGCATTGATTTCCTCGCGGACCTTGAAGAAAGAAGAGTAGGTTAGTAAGGGATTCTAGTGGAAAACAAGAACAAGAAGCAAGAAAGACAGGACGAGACTCACAATATCCAAACCACCAACCAGCTCTCCGGCGACCCACAATTGAGGGAAAGTAGGCCATTCCGCAAACTCCTTCAGACCTTGACGAACATCCTCATCGGCCAGAATGTTGAAGAATCCATACTTGATACTGCGCTCACGTAGAATGCCAACCAGCTGCCGACTGAAGCCGCACTGCGGGGAACTGGGGGTACCCTTCATAAAGAGCATGACGGGAGCGGCCTTGACAAGTTCGCCCAGGCGGGCAAAGAGGGCTTCTTTCGACTGCTCGGGTGTGAGAGCGGGGTCAGCGGAGACCGGGACCGCATTGGCGGCAGGTCCAACCGAGCCATCGGAGGTAGAAACAGGCTGCTGGGTGGCAGTCACAGGGCCATTCTCACGGGCAACCGCCGAGAGAGGAGGAGGAATATGCGCTCTGTGACCACCATCGGTGGGGGCGCCACCACCAACATGGCGTTCGATAGCATCGCGAACTTTGATAGCGTCACTGCCGCTGATGGATTCCAAAATCTCCCCGTTCTTCACGCAGACGACAAACGGCACGGCGGACACATCGTACTCCTCTGAGATATCGGGCAACTGCTCGGCGTCAATGCTGACAAACGAGACTGTTGGTGGGGTTGTGGCGGGGTACTGAGAGGCGAGGGCGCTGAGGACATTGCGCATCTGTGTGCAAGGGGCGGCCCATGAAGCATAGAAGTAGAGAATGATGAGGGTTTCGGGAGGGGCATTGCTCATGTGCTGCGCGAAGGCGTCCTCCGAGGGGACTTCGGTGAGGGACGACATCGGTGAGGGGTCGCGTGTGGACGGTGCGGAGGAGGGAAGTGGTATGAGCGGGGAGTGTAGAGTTAGTCGAAACAGGCGAGGCCCCCGGCGGTTGTTTGTCGAGTCTTCAGGGTGGATTTGATAGAGGGATGAATGCCTCTGGGTGATGGTGAAAGAATCAGAGTTGTCCGGGGCGGAGGATGGCGTGACGAGAGTGGAGGGTGAATTTTCCGGCGATCCTGCGTTATCAGATGCGTATTGTATGGTCATTGTATGGTCAAGCGCGGTCACTGGGTCACGGGGTCACGGGGTCACGCTTATCCGATCATGTCCCGTGATCTCCTAATTCGGCCTAGAGTTGACGATCACGTGCCAGATGTCCTTTCCTTATCTTCTTATCAACACGTGAGCATCGCGAATTTCCCAGTCATTTACCGAATTGAGACTGCTTCGTTCCAATTGACAGACATCTCCTCAAGTCATGCCTGGACAACAAAAGAGAAAGCGCGATGATGACCCCGATCCCGTCGCCGAACCCCGAGACAATGGTATGGGCGTCGCTGATACACTCGCTCGCCTAAACGAAGCCTCCCCCGAGACCGACGATTCAACAAAGAAGAGCTCGGGCGAGATGGCGCGCTCAAGCAAGAAGAGGCGTGCTGACGGCGAGAAGACCAAATACCCCGTCTTGACCTACGTTGAAGGTCGACTACAGTCATCAATTCGAATCGCAGACCTCCAAGGCCTCCTGCTGTATTGTTTCGCAGATGGTATTGCACCTCAATGGATCGCTGTCAAACACTCCGGCCATGTGCGCAAGGTGGTCGTCTTGATGGTTCCGGGCTTGGAAATCGGCATGTTTGACGGCACCATCCCACTAAAGCCAATTACCGCCGGCGATTGCCATAATGGCGAGGAAAAAGTCCCTTCCGGCGACTCAATCCAAGAAAATGATACCTCCGACGATAGACGAAATGAAGACTTTCGAAATTGGAAAGAAGGTCTTCCACCTCCAGACCGATCGCATCGCTATAATCCTAGAGCACTTTCATCAGATACATTGCCCGAACCCCTTCGCCCATTGAGCGATATGTTTCCTCATGTTTGGCCCGTCAAGGCCCCTGGCGATAACAAATATAACAAAGTGCACTCGCCTTTGCAAGCTATCTTAATGTCGTCACTTCCCAAGACAAAGGATGACTCCAGCCGCAAAGGTGCCCGCCCTCCGCGAGTCGACAAGAGCGCGATCTTCAAACGAACCCCCATCACTACGTTCATCAGTTCCTTGGAGGATCTTCGTGATAGCGAATATCCCCTTCACCCGGCCCTTCTTGGCTCAGACGCTGAGAAGGAGCAAGAGGTCGAGTCACGTCGACGTAACAATCGATCTGCAGAGGATGGCTGGGTGGACACGGACGTTGCTAACCTGGATGCTGGGATTGTTCCAGATGCCGAGATTGAAAGTGGTAGCGTTACGGCCGGACGAAAGATCCTATCTCTAGATTGCGAGATGTGTCTGACTGAAGGAGATAAGTCTGAACTGGCCCGTATTAGTCTTGTTGGCTGGGACGGCGAGGTCGTTCTGGACGAGCTGGTTCAGCCCTCGCGACCCGTAACCAACTACCTCACCCAGTATTCCGGTATCACAAAGGAGATGCTTGATCCGGTTACTACTACATTGGCCGATATTCAACAACGTCTTCTTACGATATTGACACCCCAGTCTATTCTGATTGGTCATTCTTTGAATTCCGACCTTACGGCACTCAAACTTACACACCCTTTCATTGTCGACACTGCCATCATCTACCCCCACCCCCGTGGTCCGCCTCTAAAATGCAGCCTCAAGTGGCTTACCCAGAAGTATGTGAATAAAGAGATTCAGAAGGGAGGAAACGGCCACGATTCGGTCGAGGACGCTCGAGCAGTCCTTGAACTGGTCAAACAAAAGTGTGAAAAGGGAGAGCGTTGGGGTACCAGTGATGCATCAAACGAAAGTATTTTCCGCCGACTTGGTCGGTCTACCCGAGTAGGGAAAAGCGCGACCCCTGGCGAGGGACGCACCGGTGCAGTAGTGGACTGGGGCAGTCCCGAGAGAGGATTTGGTTCGCAGGCGACTGCCTCAATCGGATGCCGCGACGACAATGACGTTGTCAATGGTGTTGCAGTGGCTGTCAACGGCGATGAATCAAACCCTTCTATTCCAGGTGGCGGTGTTGATTTTACATGGGCGCGCCTCCGCAATCTTGAACACCTTCGCGGTTGGTGCAACCGTGCTCCAGACCCTAACAATGCCAACGCCTCTACGACCTTGGTTTCTCCGCCAGAGGAGACCACCCCCACAACAAGCATTGGAGATAGTACCGGTGCGGCTCCGGTAGACAATGTTCTTGCGGAAACCGTTACCCAAACCGTCACCGACATCGCCCGCATTTACGAGTCTCTCCCGCCTTGTACCATGTTTATTGTCTACACTGGTACCGGCGACCCGCGCGAAGTCAGTCGTCTCCAAGCGATGCACAGAACCTATCGCGAGGAATTCAACTCGCGCAAGCCCTGGGATGAGCTAAGCGTGAAGTGGACAGATACGGAAGAGCAAGCCCTGAAGAAGGCCTGCGAGCAGGCCCGCGAGGGCTGTGGATTGATGTGTGTCAAATGAAACAGCGGATATGTAAATTCTTTGTGATACCAAAACAACCATTCCAACCTGCAAGAAGCAGGTCTCTCGACTTGTTTCGCGTCTTCCGATTGTAGATCCTCGGGTGATTGGGCCTGGAGTGGAGTTTCGGACCACGCGACGGACACAGACACAGACACAGCCCTAACACTCAGCTTTGAGGGATTCAGCCCCTTTCCCGTATTCAATCAAATCCTTGCCACGCCATTGATGAGATGAGCTTAGTATCGTCTGACAAAGGGCCCTAAGAGGCTCCAAATCGCGAGCATGGGTCTCTTTCACGAGTAATACACCTGCTGAGTATCTCTCAGTCTGCCTCCAATATTCATCATCAGTTCTACGGTGCCACACCTACCTTTTATAGGCATCTTACCCTCGCCCAAATTTCCCCGCGCCCGGATCGTGCGAGCGCCCCTTTTACGGTGGTGGCGAAAGTAAGCCGGGCGGGAGAGAAAGTGGAAAAGGGGATAGCCTCACCTTATGCTCAGGTGGGCACGTACTCATGACTGTCAACGATATTTGAGATGGGCCCATCTCTATCTTTGAAACGAGTAGGTATTGCGGTATTGACCTAGTATTGACCTGCATCATTCTATCTATCCCTGAATAAATAAGTTCCCTGTCTTATCAATCGATGCGAGAATCTCATGCTAGATAGCAGAGCACGCCTTTATCTTACGCCACGCTTTTGCGTCACGTCGGCTCAACCGACCGTTCGGGATATCAACGACAGGGGGTTATCTCGAGCAAGCTGACCATCGGAAGGGCTCCCGATTTCCGTCCTTATTAGGTTTCCCACGCGATAGGAAGATACTCAGACAAGGTTGCGGGGAAGAAGCTGTCATTGGTGCAGTGGCGGCCCTAAGGTTTTCCAAGCCAAGACTGGCGCAGGCGAGGAGGGCTTGAGGCGAATAAGAACCCTGCTATCTATTTCGGACGATAACTGGGCTCGGCACACGGGCCTTTGATACGGGAGGGCTAGCGAGCAGGAAGATGAGGGTTTGTTTCGATTGAGGGGATGGCGGCTTATTAGTATTTAAACCAGGGTGGTGCGCGCTTTTGATCCGGGGTCATGATGTACCAGCAGAGAGCTATATACACTTAGCTCTGCTGAGATCTTCACACGTACTCTCTTTCCTTACATACACATTGTGGAGTCAGAATACCCACTTCCTTTCAATGGCGAGTTATGACAGGGACAAAGTCGAGATGGGGGTGAACGAGAAGGATGTCGCGGAAGCCGTTCCCGACTCCGAAAATGATATACACTATGTCGCGACTGTTATTGACAATAATGATCAACTGAAACGACACCTGGGCAATCGTCAGATTCAGTTGATCGCCATTGGTGGTTCGATTGGTACGGCGACCTTCGTGAGCATTACGGCTGGCTTGACGAAAGGTGGACCGGGTAGTTTGTTTTTGGCCTACACTATTTACTCTTGTATGATGGGACTGGTCAATAACTGCATGGCTGAAATGGCGGTTTTTATGCCCGTCAGTGGTGCTTTTATCCGCATGGCTGGTAAATGGGTTGATGAATCCTTTGGCTTCTGGGCCGGGTGGAATTTCTTCCTTTACGAGGTCTTACTGATTCCCTTTGAGATCACGGCCCTTAACTTGGTATTGACTTTCTGGCGAGATGACATTCCGGTAGAAGCAGTAGTCGCTGCTTGTATCGTGATTTACTTGTGTGTTGCTCCCTCATCCTGTCAATCTGTTCGACGCTAATTATTTTAGTATTCTCAATGCCTTTACCGTGAAATGGTATGGTGAAGCAGAATTTTGGCTCGCAACAGGAAAGGTCATCCTAATCCTCATTGTCTTCCTCTTCACATTCATCACAATGGTCGGTGGTAATCCGAAACATGACGCTTATGGATTCCGATACTGGAACAACCCAGGGTCTTTTGCGGAATACATCACAACGGGGCCACTAGGTCAATTTGAGGGATTTCTCGGTGCGCTTTGGAGTGCCTCGTTCACTATTGTTGGACCCGAGTATATGGCCATGGTAGCTGGTGAGACAAAGCTACCTCGAAGATACTTGAAGACTGCGTTCAAGACTACATACCTCCGATTCGCATTCTTCTTCATCGGAAGTGCGCTGTGTGTGGGAATTGTCATCCCTTATAACGACAAGACTCTGTTGGATATTTTGTCAGGCTCCGCCGCTGGCTCCGGAACCGCCGCCGCCTCTCCTTATGTTATCGCTATGAATAACCTCGGCATCTCAGTACTCCCACATATCACGAATGCACTATTGGTGACTAGCATTTTCTCCGCTGGCAACGCTTACACCTATTATGGAGCTCGTAGTCTCTACAGTCTCGCTCTACAAGGACAGGCACCAAAGATCTTCAGAAAGTGCACCAAGAAGGGCGTTCCCATCTACTGCTTGCTGGTCGTGATGATTTTCCCCTTCCTCGCTTTCCTCAATGTATCCAAGGGATCTTCAACAGTTTTGACCTGGTTGACGAACATCATCACAGCCGCGCAGGTCATTGACTACATTATCATTTGCATCACATACATATTCTTCTACCGCGCCTTGAGGGCACAGAACATCGATCGTCGCACTCTGCCCTACTATGGCTACTTCCAACCCTACTCGGCATGGATTGGGTTGGTCTGGATGACAATGATCGTCTGCACATACGGCTACTCGACATTCCTGCCCGGAAACTGGGCGGTCGGCGATTTCTTTACATACTACACCATGGTTTTGATTGCGCCAGTTTTGTTCTTTGGATGGAAACTTATCAAACGGACTAGATTCGTCAAGGCACAAGAAGCAGATCTTATTTGGGATAGACCTGTGATTGACGCGTATGAGGCCTCTTTTACTGAATACGCCCCGGGCTTCTGGACGGAAATTCTACAGATATTCGGCCTTCGAAGGAATCGCCGAGAGAAGCGGGAAATATAGATTCTTTGCTTGGTAGGTGTTATTATCAGGGCTTGTTTGGCACTATTTATCAATTGAATGACACGAATGAATATCCCTCTATGCAAGTTCTCGCTCTGGTCAATATCAAAGTCAGATACCCGAAGCATCACATTAACTTCCAGAGCTTTTGTTCTCGGTGATAAAAAGCGAGCATAAGATCTTGAATGGGACCCACCCGTGCAAACTCGAAACATATTACAGCCTCATCGGCATTGAAGGTAACCACCTGGGCAATGTATTGATCTCAATGCGAAAGCCATGGGCCTTCAAATAGGATTTGGCCCATTGTGCTACTAATAGTATAGCACTGGCCAGTTCTTTGACTTCCAGTCAGAATTGTTCTTTCTTGCGACCCCAGAAGTATCAAGTTGGTGATTATATTTAGTCACAAGGCCCGAGAAATAGCGCTTGATTGGTGCCAAAGAATTTATATCTGGTAGTTCTCTAATACTACTACTACTACTACTACTACTACTACTACTACTACTACTAGGTAGTAATAGCTTGAATATATTTAGAAGCATAAAATGGGATATTTAATTATACTAATTACTACCGCCTATAAGGTTGAAAATAAAAAGTATATGCAAAATATCAAAAATTGAAGGATCGGCGCCGTCACACAAATGAAGAAACTTCATCTTAACAGACTGGCCTCGTTGAATAAGCCGAAACAGCTCATTCGGTGTTCTCCAGCTTGAATTCTCTAAGCGGATACCAATAAGACCCAATATGCGCTCCTCGTGCACGAAGGAAGTCAAGCATGTCATGATTTTTCATCGCAGCTGCCAGGCCTAACGGAGTAGCCAAGCCCTTAATCGTCATGATTTCTGGTGCTAGGCCATGTGTGATTAGCTCCATCGGACTGAGACTAAAGAACACATTGAGATCCTGGCCGAATTTCATGGCCCGCAAAATAATGCACCTATTGTCGTTGAGAACCGCCGTTTTTAGCAATCTGCCAGTGTGAACCTGTTCTCAGACCGCGCGCTTGAAGAGATACTCACCTGCTATTGCCGAGAAACGGCGATTGGTTCGTGCTAGGCGACTGATGGATTCTGTGTCAGACATTTGAGTAACAATAATTAGTATGATTTCGGTGAGAAGTTCTGAAAACATGATTGTTAGTATTTCTTGTAGTATCATCCTCTGGAACTCTGGACAGTATCCATAATGCTACTAGAAGTGCTAGTATTAGGTATTCGAATACTAGTAATTAGTACTAGTAGTAATGCCCAGATGGACTGAATTCGGAACCATGGAAAAAGTTCAAATTTGAATCGTTTCTTGAAACCTTGGAAGCGTCTTCGAGCTCAATGGCTCTTTCAAGTTCAAGTTTCTGATAGTGCTCGATCCATACCGGGTGATGGTTGTATATATATATATTTCGAATGAAAGAACCTCCGAATAGTTGCCGAAGGAAGTCATTCATACAATTTGGAAACGATTGAAGGATTTAACAATGGTGTTTGAAAAACAAAGAATACATCCCTGATCCAGGGTTCGGACTTCAAGTTTAATGACAGGTGCTTTGTCCGACTGAGGTTCGGGTATATCCGAATTCGGTAAGCCGAAGGAGTTCCAGCCGCGCACTAAGCTCTGACTCGAGTAGTCTTGGAAACACCTACTAGCTGAACCCTGTTGGTATTTCATAGTCATTCCCGTCAATTTCAAGGGTGATTGTCACAGTTTCCCTCGGGATTCTCATCTCGGCAATGCGCCGATGTGTGGGGGTTGACACCACCTTCTAGCGCGGGGGTATCCACCGGTTCTAGTGGATGCCCGCCTGCTGCGCGAATCAGCAATGCCATGCCCGAGTGGGATGGACCTGGGGTAGCATTGGTGATAACACCCAATCTCTCGTCAGGGACTCGGACACATTGGAACTTGGTCGGGTCCCTCTCCAGCAGTCCCGATCTGCATGTCACCGTGTCCCTTCCCCCTTGCAGCCACATAAATTGCCAACTCCCCCACCTTTTTTACCCCTCGATTTATTTTCTACGACAAACATACTCACTACCCAAGCAGCCAAAGTCGATCAATCCCGTTTTCAAAATGCCTTATTCTCCGAAAGTCGGCGATCCCGTCGATAGCCTCGATACTCCCTCGATGATCGTGGATCTGGATCTCATGGAGGCCAATATTAAGAAGCTCATGGATAAGCTCCTCCCACCGGCCTGAACATCCGCCTCATCTGAAGACGACCAAGAGCGCAATTCTCGCTGGCAAACTCGCAAAGGCTGGAGCTAAGGGAGGTTGTGTCGCAAAGATTAGCGAGGCGGAGGCTATCGCTGCAGCGGGCTTTGATGATCTGCTCATCACTTGCGAGATTGTGGGCCCCGTCAAGGTCCAGCGCTTGGTGGAGTTGTACCGCAAGTACCCCAAGATTCGCATTGTTGTCGATAGCGAAGTTGGTGCCTCGGCCATCAATGATGCATTGGCGAAGTCGGGCATCGCGGACCCCATCACAACCCTGATTGATCTCGATGTTGGATTGCACCGTACCGGCGTTAAGCCCGGCGAGCCGGCTCTTGCACTGGCACGACACGTTGGAGGGCTCAAGCACTTGAAGCTGATCGGTGTCCAAGGATATGAGGGTCATCTGCAACATCTGCACGACTACGAGGACCGCAAGAAGCAATGTCTGGAGTCGATGGCTACTCTGACCGGCACTGCCGACGCATTCCGAAAGGCTGGTTTTAACATCGAGGTCGTCACCACCGGTGGAACCGGGACTGCTGAGTTCTGCGCCAGCGTTCCCGGTGTCACTGAGCTTCAGCCTGGTTCTTTCATCTTTATGGACGTCGACTACCGCAACGCTGTTGGCTCCTTCTTCTCCCACAGTCTTGTTCTGCTATCAACAGTTATCAGCCAGCAGGGTCCCCGAGCAGTCACAATCGACACTGGACTCAAGTCGTTGACCACAGACAGCGGCCTGGCTGAGTGCAAGGACTCCAGGTATGAATATGGTGTCCTGGGCGATGAACACGGCTCTCTCATGTGGGAGGAGGGCTCACCAGCTCTATCGGTTGGCGACCGTGTCGAGATGCTTCCTAGCCATATTGACCCCACTGTCAACCTGCATGATTTCTACTATGCGCATCGCAACGGTGTGATTGAGGAGATCTGGCCCGTTGATTCTCGGGGCAAGGTGCAATAATGGCCTTGTCCCAACACTGGAAGATGCATATTAGATTTCATTTCGGTCATTATAATCCAATTACTCGAATTATAGACGAGCCAAAGAAAATAAAGGTTCATTTCGACAATGCTGATTTGTCTCTGTTCCTTATACAGGCAATGTAGGAATTGATAAATTGTTGCGTTCTTATGACTAGTCCTGAAATCCACACAAGCGATTTACGTTCTTCAGTCTCTCAAAATCCGACTTGCGCTTTGCTTTCAGTCGTCAGGAGTAGGAAGTCGAGCCTGGTAATCTCATTTGCACCCTACACCCTACGAGGGGCGGTGGAGCTCTTTAAATAGTTGGAGTGACTCCACATTGGACCCGCCTTGTCAAAAGAAGGGCGGAGGCGGCCCCCCAAAGGAAAAGTTTGCCACTGAGTGCCACTTAAAAGGTATCGATTTCCTTTCCATTTAGCACGATTTATATTCCTGGTACTTCTTGCTAGGAATCATCTCCATGGAGCAAATCGAAGTGTCCCCCGATGGCAGCACTGCTGACCTACACGAAGCCAACCTTCCACCAGTGGATCGGGGCCGCGGCGCATGGGGTTTCCTTGCAGCATGTTTCATGATTGAAGCTTTAATCTGGGGTATGTGCATGTATACTCCGTAATATCCTTTATCATGGCCTGGATCTGAATTATTTACTAACCGCGTGGTCGGATATAGGATTCACATTTTCCTACGGAATTTTCCAGGATTATTATAGCACTCATGAGCCTTTCAAGAGCTCTGGAGACATTGCTGTGGTTGGAACTTGTGCGATGGTGAGATTTCTTCTACCGAAAATATTTTATGGATATATGTCGCTAATAAATTGGCTATCAGGGTATTTCCTACATGCTCTTGCCCCTCGCCTTCATTATGATTCAGGGTCTTCCCCGCTTCAAGCTGTGGGCTGCCCCAGTGGGCTTTCTGATTATGTGTCTCGCGCTCGCAATGAGCTCTTTCGCTAAGACGACAACCCATCTCATTGTCTCCCAAGGTGTCGCGTACGGAATTGGCTCAAGTTTGGCGTATGCACCGACCATTGTCTTCATGGATGACTGGTTTGTGCAAAGGAAGGGACTTGCCTTTGGCATTATGTGGGTGCGTATAACCAACACTGATTGAATTGCCTCATTCCAGACAGTATCAATGCTCATATCTCATCTAGGCTGGAACCGGGGTATCAGGCGTTATTCTTCCAATTGTCTTGCAGTGGCTACTGGATAGCTTTGGCCATCAGACAGCTCTTCGGGCCTGGTCTATCATTCTCCTCGTTATGGGCGGTCCACTTCTCTTCTTTGTTCGACCTCGACTCCCCATTTCCCGCACCTCGCGATCTCGACCACTAGATTTCCGCTTCTTGTGGAACTCAACATTCGTGATTTACGAGACTGGAAACATTCTCGAAGCCATGGGCTACTTCCTCCCGACTATCTATCTTCCCACCTATGCCCGCACCGTCGGGGCAAGCGGCCTCCAAGCAACCTTGACGGTCATCTTATTCAACCTTGCATCTGTCTTCGGCTGTATCGCCATGGGATCAATGGTAGATCGATTCCACGCTACGACGTGCATTCTCGCCTCCACCGTCGGAAGTACCATTGCCGTATTCTTGATATGGGGATTCGCCGATTCTCTTCCTCCGCTGTACATATTCTGCATCTTCTACGGCCTGTTTGCCGGGTGCTTTACCTCCACCTGGCCCGCCATCGTCAATGAAGTTCGAAAGAAGAGTGCGTATACCGATCCTAGTATTGTCTTCGGATTCTTGTCCACTGGTCGGGGAATTGGAAACGTCATCAGCGGTCCCCTTAGCGAAGCATTGCTGAAGAACGACGCATGGAAGGGAGCAGCTGCGAAGGCATATGGATCTGGCTATGGTCCTTTGATTGTTTTCACGGGAATTTCTGCACTGCTTGGTGGCTTTGGTGTGGTGATGAGGTCCTCTAAGATTTCATCATTATGATCGGCCAATCTCACGAGATGGCCATCATTAATTCAATCAAGGCTGGGAGATGAAAATAAAAGTTTAGATTTAGAAATTGAAGTTTGACATGTACTTTCTCCATTCTTCGAAGCCTATTCAAAGTTACTTTCAGGATCTTGTCCTGACAAGCCTGGGCCGGACATACTCGGCCATAACCCCGTCGGGCTTACGCCGACTGGTGCGAATGGCAACATAAGATGATCAATGCACTCGAGGTTATTCCCATGAAAAGACATTATTCGCCAGCAATGCATTGATCCCCTTTTTGAAGGTCATATATGCCCCCGTTTCCCCCAATCGTAGAGTATCGGCAAATCCCCGATCCCAAGCTCACCGACAACGCTCAGCATCCCGCAAGGCTCGCAGAACCAGACCGGTAAATCGCCGACTCTGCAACCGACTTCTGTTTACCCCGGATTCTGCATTTCCCCACTTCTCTCAACTGCGGAGACATGACGATCAGCAGAGGGAGAAAGGGTACTAAAAGCAAACATGCCTGCCATCTTCCATTCATGAATGTTTTTCTTCGTTGATGCTAATAAAGTCAGCTAACGCAAATAATGACTGCCCATCACCTTGACGAAAAGTCTGCCCAAGAGTGGGAAGAGAGTATCGATCATACTACAGCGATCTCTCTAGCTGCGAGTTATGTCCCCGGATCACCGGAGGAGAAGAGGTTACTGCGCAAACTTGACTTTCGCATCATCGTGAGTGGACTCAAGCCAAGTATTGCCTTTATTTTATCACACTAATGCAGTCATCATCTATAGCCTTGTTGTTGGATTCTTTTTGTTTTGGGCTATCTAGACCGCGCAAATATCGGGTAAATGATTCAGGTCCCTCCATGCCCACACTCCGTTTATCGAACACTTTCTAAGAGAACCAACGCTTCTAGTAATGCCAAAACCGGCGGCTTGGAAGATGACTTCCATCTAACATCAAATCAATACTCCGTCATTCTCTTACTCTTCTTCGTGTCCTATGTCATTTTCGAGGTTCCCTCCAACATGATAATCGCCCGCGTGCGACCATCGTTATATCTCTGCGGTCTGGCGCTGTTGTGGGGGGTAGTTGCTGCATCAATGGCCGCGACGAAGAACTGGAAACAACTCGCCGCTGTGAGATTTGTTTTGGGGTTTGTTGAGTCGGGGTTCGCTCCTGGTATTGCATTTTACCTTTCCTCTTGGTGAGCTCTTCCATTTTTCCTGTTCGTTCTGGACAATCTGGTGAACTCGACAAGCTAATATTTCCAGGTATCGACGATATGAGCTTGCGAGTCGTTTTGCAATCTATTATACCTCTGTGGCCGTGGCTGGAGGTTTGTCGGGGTTACTCGCCGGTGTTATCACGGAATATCTGGACGGAGCACGAGGGATTGATGGGTGGAGATGGTTATTTGTATGCTTTCACCAATATTCCCTTCAATATACACACAGGTCAGTAGATAGCTAACGGTTCTCAGATAATCGAAGGTTGCGGATCCTCTTTTGTTGGCTGTATTCTTTGGTTCTTCATGGCAGACTACCCATCCAACACGCGTTGGCTCACGCCAGAAGAGCAACTTCTCGCCAGCCAACGTCTTGCGTATGACGGTTTAGGCAACACACAAGGCGCCCACGGAAGAGTCTCTGAGAAGGAAGCTCTGAAGATGGTCGTAAAAGACTGGAGAACTTGGACGCTCGCCCTGCTCTATGCCCTTGTTACCGGAGCACAGACAATCCAGTACTTTATCCCGACGCTCGTCAAGAGTTTTGGGTGGGAGAACTGGGAGGGACAATGTAAGTCATCATGACAATCATCAGATGCCCATGTTTCTTATGATCCGGAGAATTAACTAACCATTATAGATCATACCATTCCACCATACGCATGCGCTGTAGTGTTCATATTAGTCTTCTGCTTCGTCGCAGATCACTTCAAGAATAAGGCCTACTTCATCTCCTTGTTCTCCGGAATCGGGACGATATCCTTCATCGTCGTCTGTGCGAATAGTAATGACACCGTCCGCTGTACGTCTCAGTGCCTTGTTCCACACAATATCTTTCTTCGGCACCTAGACTGACCTGGCATGCATAGATATCTTCACCACTTTCGCCTTCGGCTGTATCTACGGCACATCTCCTCTTGTCTTGATGTGGGTTGCGAATATAATCTGCTACCCCGCCGAGAAGCGCGCAGTAGCAATTGGTTTGGTTAATGCGCTTGGAAACACTGCTTCCATTTATGGTGTTTTTCTCTGGCCAGACCATGATGCGCCCCGGTATATTCCCGGATTCAGGTATGTTCACAATTCTGTCGAAACTATAACTTGAATTACTGCCAGGGATTAACATATTGACAGTGCGACGACTGTTTGGATGGGTGCTATATGTGTCGTTTCACTGATTGCTGGATATTTGTTTAAGAAATACCCCATTGAAGCGCCGGAGCCGGAGGAGGTGGTTGCTGCGGAGGTTCGGAGACAAAGGGAGAGAGGGCAGGTCCCGACAAAGGCGTAGTTGTGTCGTTTGCGTTGTTTCGAACTATTGGGTTTAAAACTTGAAGAAATGATCACTTGTCCCCGATTATCGGGTGAACTCAGTTATGTTTTGAATTCTATAGTACACTCTGACATGGAATCGTCGGCCCAGCCGCGAACCCGGACTACTAAATATCATACAATTTCTGTGGTGCATGTCAGAAACCATTATCTTGTTTGCTCGGTCTCCATCGCCTCCTCACGCTGCATCTCGTTTCGAATCATGGCGTCGCGCGCCGCGAGACTGGCCTTGCGCTTTTTCCTCCCACTTCCAGCCCGGGCGAGCTTTGCGCCACTTGCGGCTTCATTTCTATTGGTCTTGGCCTTCTCGGATGTTTTGACTGGGGCGGAGAGGGTGTTCTGACCACCCCTCGCTCCATGTTCCTGGGGAGCATTCTGATCATTCACAGCTGCGTCACCATTCAAGCCAATGCCATTCTCAGTCGTGGTCTGAGGAGCGGTTAGGTCATCCGCTGGTATATTTTCGTTTGTGTTGGTGCCATTTGGTGCATCAATTGTCGGGAGGGCATTCGGGGCATCGGCAGCTTCGTTTGCCTTTGGATCAATACCACTTTGCGTCTCGATTGAGGCCATGGGGGTATTTTGTTTATTCACAGCTGCATCCTCTTTGAATCGGCTCCCATTCTTTGTCTCATTACGAAATTGGGAAGAGTCATGGATAACCGTGTAGCCAGCTGGCGTGGAGTAGTGTTGATGGGGATTTAGATTTTCTGCAATTTCTTGATCCGCTGTTCCATCAGATTCAAGAACCACGCTGCGGCGAGGGCGTCCAGGCCCCCGATAATTCTTATCCTTTTCATTGGGAACATCGGATTTCTTGGGTCGACCAGGTCGTCTTTTCAAAGGTATGAAATCCGAGTCCGTTGGATCCTGAGTGAGACGCTGTTTCTTCGCTGGGCTTTGCGCAGGTTGGGGAGGCCTTGTTTCGCGATTAGTCGATATATCTCGCGAACCAAGCTCCGCGCTCCACGGCCGACGTTCGTAGTCGTGCGCCAAGTCTCTCAGAGGGATATGCGGGCCATCGGAAGGGATGTGGCCCGTAATGGAAAGGTCGTCCTCCATATCATCCTCATGAAATGTATCCGCGACAGCCAGAGTATTTCCGGCTGAGAAGGTATCTGCCCAGCCACGTTTCCGGCCGGCCTGCAGCAGATCGGGGCTTTGCATTCGCGGCAGGGCTCCCTCGAGTCCCGCCATATATTCCGGAGTATGTGGTTTCGAATCCTCTGCGATACGAGCCTTCAATTTCAACGCCTCGATCTCCAGCTTCAGTTTCTCAATCTCATCCGACTTGGATTTTAGCTCCTTTAGGACCGTGGCAACCATATCGAAACCGGGTCCGCTACTTTCACCTCCGTATCGCGTCGGAACATTCAACTCGATTCGGAGGGAGTTGAAGGAGAGTTTGAGGTCGGCCATTGTGTCGTGCAGATTGTTGACTGAACTGGAGATTTGATCGATGCTTCGGCCTTGGTGTTGCATGTGGTGTTGCATGGCAGGATCCAAAGAGCGAAAGTCCGTCCCACCGGTGGGGATTATAGCACCACCTTGAAAAGAATTGCGGGTGCTTCGCGGGGCCTCCTTGGCTGGTGGGGAAGGAGTTTGTTGATTGCACCCTCCTTGAAGACGGGTTCCGTTGGACGCATGGATACGACCTCCCTAAAGGAGACTTTGGACATCTTCCAGATGAATATGGGACTATGCCAGTGTAAGTAGGCGATGAAGCGCAACGGCGAGAGGGATAGTAAAGTAGAAAGGGGAGGTGTAGTTCCAAAGATCATGCCACTTACCCATTGTCCATTTCGACGAGAACACCTAGTTTCGAGGAGTTCGGGCACATTCTGCAAGATGCCTCTTGCGTGATGCGACCTCTGATGAGACTGGCATCGCTGTGATCGGGGATTCTCTTTCGTTGAGAAGAAACGGAGATACGGTCAGCGTCGACGCTCACCCAGGCGGTTGAGGTGGCATAGAAGTTGGAAACTTCTGCCCATTCATTTTCAAGAACAGCCAGGGAGCTGAAGCAACGGCGACAGTGACAAATGACTGCCGGTCGCGTGAGACTTGCGAAGTCCATCGTTGATGCGACAAGAGAGACTCGAAAGACTCGAGGAATGCGCACATAAATTGAAGTGGAGCGCGGCATGAAAATTGATGACTCAGCGGGCCAGACCGGGTAACGGCGCTAGGCCGGAATAGGCATGGCGCATTAACGGGACTGCTGCACGGTGACCTCATGTCAGGTACACCCGTGACAAGGTTATACATGTATAGTGATGTGGTACAATGTTGAAGATAGGGTGATGTATCGAACCACGGTACGAATCATTGTACTCATTGTAAAAGATCAAATTCTGACTAAATAATGCATACCATTTACACACAGTACCAACTGTAGAATAGAAAGCAAATTACTTCGGGACCCCGCAGAAGGCACGTGACTCTTATCGCTTCCCCGCGGCGTTACTCCGATGCAACCAAATGAGGCAGGTGTTTTTGGCACAGACACACCCACAACCACCCTGTACCCATATGAGTCGCTCCTTTCGTCTAGTCCGCTCTGCGGTATCTCGTTCAATTCTCACACCTCCTTCTTCTCTCTCCTCCACGTCAATCTTCCTCAGAAACAAGTACCCAATTATCACCATGGCTCAATCATCAATTGCCTCGGCTGTCAACACCTGGCAAGGTGCTGGCGCAGCCGAGTTTGACCTTCGAAGTATGATATCGAATTATTCTGCCCGCCATTGACTGACCTCTGATATAGGTGACACCATGACCAAGCCTACTTCATCTATGCTCGAAGCTATTTGCCAAACAACCCTACTCGACGACGTATTCAACGAGGACCCAACAACCAACGACCTGCAAAGCTACGTCGCACAGCGAACCAAGCATGAAGATGCACTCCTGGTTCTATCAGGTACAATGGGCAACCAAGTAGCTATCCGCACTCACCTGACTCAACCCCCGCATGCCGTTCTCTGCGACCATCGATCCCACATCATCTGCTACGAGGCCGGCGGCGTCAGTGCCTGGACCGGCGCCACAATGCAAACCGTTGTTCCGAAGAATGGCGTCCATTTGACTCTCGAAGATATCCAGAAACACGCAGTGCTCGACGACAACATCCACCATTGCCCGACCAAGCTGATCAGTTTGGAAAATACCCTTGACGGCATGGTCATGCCTTTGTCCGAGGCCCGTCGCATCGTTGAGTGGGCTCACAAAAATGACATCAAGGTTCACCTGGACGGGGCTCGGCTCTGGGAGGCGGTGGTCTCTGGAGCCGGCAGCCTCGAGGAGTATGCCAGTCTGTTTGACAGTGTGAGTCTGTGCTTTTCTAAAGGCCTGGGTGCGCCGATCGGAAGTATCATTGTCGGATCGCAGCCTTTCATTAAGAAGGCTCGGTGGTTTCGCAAGTCGATTGGTGGCGGTGCGCGGCAAACAGGTGTCTTTGCTTCCGCGGCTCGGATCGCCCTTGACGAGACTTTCGGAAAGGATTCGAATGGGCAGTCGGGCAAATTGCCAGCTACACATGCCAAGGCTAAGCGTGTAGCTGAGTTGTGGACTAGTCGAGGAGGGAAGCTGCAGTATCCCGTGCACACCAATATGGTTTGGCTCGATCTGGAGGGATCTGGCGTCGGGCCCAATGACCTGACTGTCATTGGGGAAGCAAAGGGGCTTAGATTGCTTGGTGGGCGGGTTGTTGTGCACTACCGTAAGTTTTTCCCCCCTTCTGTCGCGGACTGAGAATAATTCTGGTTTTCTGACAACCTACAGAGGTTTCGGACGAGGCGATCTCACGGCTAGAAGAGGTATTTGACATTGCGATGAAAGGGGAGTATCAGCGCAGCGAGGATAAGAGCAGGCCCTATGGGAGTAGCAAACCGTAGAAGGCGCGGTTCTAGTATTAATAGGATAAAATGCAATTGGGGCCTAATATATTGAAAGCTAGTTGATTGAAACATCGAGTGAGATTTGTATATAAAACTACTAGTAGTTTGACGACTTGAAAGCACTAGTGAAGTATGATGACTGGTCATTAGCACATTTAGTAAAAGCTGGTATTTTTTTCATTCACAGGGGCTTCGTCCTCGTCTAGGGCGGTATTCTCCACTGTCCGGAACAAGGTGTGCTCAAGGTTGCTTGAAACTACGAGGGGTCAGCAAGTAGAATCTTGTTGCCAGAAAGATCGAGTTTGTATGGTCTATTTGTGAAATGGCAGAGTCAAAATGAAAAATGGAAAAGATGGAAAAACGCAGCGAGGAGATGGGGCACGGTCGCATTTATGAGATACTAGCTTGAGACTCGGACCCACCATGGTCTACAATGTCCTATCATGATATCAATCAGGCCAGGGAGCTATTAGTGTATCTCAGAACGGAGTTCAAACCTTGGAAATTCGAAGTCAGATCCCAGCCAAGTATGACTCCGCGGTCACGTGTACATCAGAAGGGTGTCTACACCTACCATTCGTCAGCCATGCGACTGGTGATATTGGCAGTTATTAGGGGTTCCATTTTTAGACAAATATGCTATGCGTACACTACCATCAAATATCAAATATCTAATAAACAAATAAGCTCTCGATCAGATCTGGGACATCCATGGGCGAGCCCCAACTCTTCAACCAATCAGAGGGCGAAAATATGGATGACTCAGCTCAGACACGGGACTTTCTGCCTGATTAATGCCTTGTTACTGCCTTAATGCCTGATCCCGCTGGAACCTCTTGACGCCGCCGCAGCCAGTGGAACTTCGTTGCGGCTCTCACTTTTTGTTTCTCGGACGACCACCACCTTGCAGTCTCTGCACTCGCTGCCCCTTTTCGGTCCATTGCTTCACCCTCTTTTATGATTCCCCGCCCATCATCGTGTGAGTCTCTCCTCTCTTGGCCCCGGGTGGATTCGAGCTCGAGTTCAGCTCGTAAACAAATAGTTTGTACCTCTGTCTACAGAAGATCCCAGGCTAACCGACGACCTCATCATCTGCAGAGATACATTCCCGATCGTCCCACACCTTCCTGAATTGACCCCACGAACGAACTGATCATTTCCAATGACTTCGTTCTGCCAAACAGTCTATTAATCCCCCTCGCGGTCGTCTAGCCGCTGCAACCTACAAGGCCGCACGCCGAGTGGCTGCCTTCGCACCACATCTGCTCTCTCAGATTCGACCCGGAACGTGATTTGGATCTGCTAGCCGTGATATCTTTCCCAATTCGTTGCCGGAATCCTTTCAGTCGGTTGTTGCATGAGTACATCCTGTACCCCAACTGACACCCACGCGCATCTCGAGAGACCGCCCTCCATCCCTCTTCCACCACCCATCCGATCCCTCCTCGCTGTATTGAAAATATCATCACACATACGTTCCATCTTGTGCAACATACAACTGTTCAATTTCTGCCCATACTGTGCCTCATTTCCTTTGTTGTTGGTGGTTCGCCTGGGTGATCACCCTGGTGAGAATCCCGCCTAGTCTCGCACCCACCGCAAGGTATATAAACCCCTTGTGCCCCCGGACGTCGCATCTCTTCGAATTTACTCACAGGCCATCTTCAGGCCCAACCGTGTATTCATAACCCTGTTCATGCCAAAATTTCCTGCTCTCACGACATATACCCCCGCCGCCGGCTGTTTGTAGTTTTTTTGTTTTCTTTCCCATTCGTGTCTCTCTGTTTGTTTGTCGTTAGCGTGCTGCATCACAATCTGCATCTTCAACCTTTGCATTCCCGCCATGGAAGCCACCCAAGAATCCACACAGCCTTGTGCGGATCCTCGCCGGATGGGCCTGAACAACACTGGCCTTCAAGAACAGGATCTTGCGGACATCATTTGTATTTTGCATCCCAACTCCCATGCCGCTCATGATGGAGTAGCGGCCACTGCAGCACTAGGAAGTCAGCACATTCTCCAGAAAGATGTCTTGGACTATGAGACATCGGAAACAGCGGCCCTCGACGTGGCGCTAAGACTGTCCTCGGACGTTCATGACCTCGGGGCGGGATTCTGTTTCGGTCGAAACAAAGCGCGCTGCGACATCCTTCTCGCCGGTGACGACGAGGCCAAACGCGTATCGAACAACCATTTTCGAATCTACCTGACAGGCGATGGCATCATTATGCTCCAAGACACCTCGACCAACGGTACCATTGTGGACAACTGCCGCCTTCGAAAAACACAAAAGGAAAACAGTCGAATGCTCACAAACGGCTCGATCATTCAAGTCGTCACCGGCAATCAGGGCTCCGACGAGGTGCGCTTTGTGGTTCGAATCCCGGCTCGTGAGGGCTTCGCGATGCAGTACACACAGAACGTTCTGCACTACTTTGAGCGTCTCCAACATGCTGTCGCCGGTGTAGCCCAACAAAAGACTCGACACTCCTCAAATCAACCCGTCCTCTCGTGGTCGGTCGCAAACACATACGGGATGCATTGGACTGGTGGTGCTATGTACAATGTAACAGGGCAGATCGGCAAGGGAGCATTTGCGACGGTCTACAAATTGGCGACAAAGCAGCATGGTGCGATTTATGCCGCGAAAGAATTGGACAAGCATCGATTTATGAAGAAAGGAATTTTGGACCAGAAGGTTGACAACGAGATGAAGATTATGCGTGACTTGACACATGTAAGTTCTTTCTTTGCTCTCACTTTGGTTGTGCCTCTGGTTGCCTAAAACTGATGATCTTTCCGCACAGCCTAATATTGTTCAATACATCGACTATTATGAACATGACCGTTGGATTTACATCATAATGGAGTACGTACCCATGGGCGAATTGTCGACGTATCTGTCATCACAGGGCAAGATCCAGGAGGACATGGTGAGAACCATCGCTCGCCAGCTTCTGCGGGCACTGCACTACCTTCACAGGCGCCGCATTACCCATCGCGATATTAAGCCGGATAATATCCTTATCGCATCGCTTGATCCACTTCGTGTGAAATTGTCAGATTTTGGGCTGTCCAAAGTGACGCAGGAGGAGACCTTCCTCAAGACTTTCTGTGGTACACTACTGTACTGCGCGCCTGAGGTGTATCCCGACTATGAGACGTATCGGCGAGGAGATGCTCGGAAGAGACGTCGTGTTGGAGACCCGTTAGTTTTCCTGTCTATCTTTACTTTATTGAGACATTGCTGATTGGTAGACCCCCCAAAACCTCACCCTACAGCCAGGCTGTTGATATGTGGTCGCTTGGTGCTGTTCTGTACCATATTCTCGCCGGAGTGCCACCATATTCCGGTCGTGCTGAAGACCGTGGTCAACACATGCTTCGCTGTATCATGGAGACTGACGCCGATTACGACATCTTGCGTCGAGAAGGTGTCTCGGAATCTGGTATCGAATTCGTTGCCCAGCTTCTGAACCGAGATCCTTTCTGTCGACCAACAGAGAGAGACTGCTTTCAGCATCCGTGGATTTCTGAGGTCGAGGATGTGGATCAGTACGAAGATGACGATGTCCTGGCCGAAGTTCGCGAGGGCCTTTCAGTTATTGGGGAAGACGAAGAGCTAGACGCATCTCAACTCTCCCTTGCTGATGACCAAGGGTACACTTACGCTGGTGAAGGTGAAGAGTCAAGCAGTAATGAAGGTCTCGCCAAACGGCCCCGTCTGGAACAAATCCCCACAGAAATCAAGTATCCTTCACTTCCCAACATCGAAAGTTTTCAAGACGGCCAAATTGTCGCCGAACAGCACGCCCGACGTCTGTTTGGCGAAGTTACCTCCTCCGCACTGCGCAGCTCGTACGCACTCGGTCAAAACGGCTCATGGGCTGGAGTTGATTTTGAGGCCGAGGGCTTTGCATCATCCGGTGAGTCGATGAGCGACGAACACAGTGTCTATTCCATCGTTTCTCTCCCGGAAAACCCCTTCGGCGGCACTGCACCCAGCCTCATGGGCGCAGAGAATCTTGTTGGACGACTGAATATGAACTCCTCGCTTCCTCTCCTTCCCCCGACCGGTCCCGTTACTGAATCATCGACCCGGCAGACCACTCCTGGCGAGCAGAGGGAGCCCGCCAATCCAGGTAGCCACAGCACTCCGCGCGAAGGGGGAGCACTCGCCAGCTCTGACAATGCAGAGATCACGCCAAGGCCGCCCAAGGTGTCTCGTCGCATCGAGCTTGATATTCCCGACACAGCCAGCGAGCGCTCTAGCAGCGCCAGTGCGCCAAATAGTCGACGCGGATCTACAAAGCCGACCGGACCAGGAGCATCTTTCGACCCTGAACTTGCGACTACCCTGGATGCCCAGACTGGGCAGGCTATCCTGGACGCGCAGCTGCGAGAACAACTACCCGCAGCCGAGGCACCATCCGACGTGATTGTTCATCGACCCGATACTCCCATCAGTATGCCCGGCGGTGAATTCGCCAAACCAGCCAAACCACTCGGGCGACTCAAGAGTCTACCAGGTTCAATCTTCGACCTCAACATCCGCCTAGAAAACCGCCTCACATCATGGGGACGAGGCCCCAACGCCACCGTTCGACACGAAGACCGAATGGACGTACGAATCCCGGCCTACGCATTGGAAATCACCTTCTGGGCCCCCGCCATCGAATGTATGATTGCCGAGGGCCGAAATTGGATGGACGTGGACGGCGTGATGGCCGTACTGTCAACCAAGACGCGGAAATGTATCTGGGTGAATGGTGTCGAGCTACGCAAGGATGGGCCAAACGGGTTCCAGTTTGGGAAACTGTACACTGGCGATGTGATTACGATCTACAAACATAATGGGCAATTCTTGGATCTCCGCTGTGAGTTTTATCATGGGGAGAGCGTTGAGACTCGCCCGGAGCATGAGGATGGATTTGTGGTTCGACAGGCTCTGGTGCGGAAGTCTGATGGTGCGACGAATCGCATGCCTGTGCCTGTGCTGTCTATGGAAAAGAAAGATGAGGAATAAATCCTAGTGATCTTTGTGGATTCCTTGATTGAAGTGATTTAACATGACATGATCTCATTTGATTTGATTTGATTTGAGGCGAATCTGGACTGTTCTCTCTACTCTGCAAATAGATTGGTTATATTGTTAATGGCATCCTATGGTGTGAACTCAAGGTCGTATACTTGGCTACCATGTGGAGCTGTCACAATGGCCTTGTCCGCATGCGTAGAATACGTAGACTGCGTATCAAAGTGACAGGTGGTATACTTCCTCGAAGAATGCCAGGGGCGGAAACAATCTCCGGCAGGTCAGATCAGCAAACAGCATCATGTCGATTTATAATAAGTAGGAATAAAACAAAACCTATAAGTCAATATTAGTATATCGTCCAAGATACCCAGTAGTTACTAGAGTAGCTAATTAATTCCTGGAGTGGCCAGCTCATGCGATTTCCTCCTCTCCGCAAGCGGCAACCTTCTCCAACTCCACTTCATCTCCAGGGCTCCACCTCCACCTCCAACTACAACTGCTGCTCAACTTCACCCTCACCTGGTCTGTGCGACCCTTGCTCGGTTCAATCCGATCTCATCTCGATCCGTCGTCCTCATTTAATCCCACCTACCCAGGGATCTTTCCTCCGACCCTAATGTCATCCTGATCTCAACCGACCCTCGACTCCTGGAGAGTCATCCATCCCATCCCTACGTCGAATTTCCTCGCCAGAGTCCGAGTTCCCCACCACCGCGCCTTGATATCGACTTACTCCTCCCCCTCATATTTCAATGTCCTTGTCGCGATCACCCTCTCCCCACCCGGGCGGAGGGTGGTCCAGCCCCGGTCTAACTCCGGGCAGCGGCTCCTCCACGCCCGTACGCGGGTACTCCCCCAACACCCTCGCGCCGAACAGCAACACCAAAGGAAACAGCACCTGGGCCGCAGCAAAAGCAAAGAGCGACGAAGTACGCGGCTACCCATCCTTTGCAACGCGCAATAGCGGCTTCTTCTCTCGCCAGAAGAAGAAGATCTCCAACCAACTCCCCAGTTTCAACGGTCACCAGTCGCCGCACGGCTACGTCGATAAGGATGTATATGGGCGCGAGAGATGGCGCTCCTCAACTGGGGGTGCGCGAGGTACTCTGGCTATTCTTCTGCGTCGGAGTCGGGTGCGCTTCTTGCTTGGCGTATTCTTAGCATGCCTTGCATACATCTGTCTTTGGGGCCGTAAGTTCACACCACAACTCGAACTTCAACTCGAGGATCAACTATTGAACTGACCATATCTTTCACTCTCAACAGCCCTAGTCCATCTCTACAGACGCTCCCCACTCGGTGGAGGCCGCAAATTCGTCATAATCCTCGGCTCCAATGTCGAAGGCGGCGTAATGGAACTCAAAGGAGCACGCGAATGGGCAATTGAGCGCAACAGCATCCACAATAAGCAAGAATATGCCACGCACTGGGGCTACGAAATCGAGGTCGTCAACATGTTAGCAAAGAAACGATATTCGCACGAGTGGCGCGAGAGCTGGGAGAAGGGCGACGTGATTCGCGAGACGATGCGCAAATACCCGCACGCGGAGTGGTTCTGGTGGCTTGATCTGAACACGTGGATCATGGAACGTGAATCGTCCCTGCAGGGGGAGATCTTCAATTCTCTTGATGAGATGGTTTATCGAGATATCAACGATAACAACCCACTCAACATCACGCACCCGCTTCCGGAATTCTATCTCGATGAGTTAGGTCGGGCGCTGGAAGGTGATGGTCGATCCGATTCTTTGCAGATGCTCCTTACGCAAGATTGTTCGGGGTTTAATCTTGGTTCATTCTTTTTACGAAGGTCGTTGTGGACTGATCGCTTGCTCGATGCGTGGTGGGATCCTGTTATGTATGAGCAGATGCACATGGACTGGGTACATAAGGAGCAGGATGCTTTTAAATACATCTACCAAAGCCAACCTTGGATTCGCAGCAGTGTCGGATTCCTCCCCCAGCGCTCGATCAATGCTTTCCCGCTTGGTGCTTGTGGCGATGAGAATGATCCGGCTGTGCATTACCAGGAAGATGAGCATGATCTGGTTGTGAATATGGCTGGTTGTACTTTCGGTCGCGACTGCTGGGCTGAAATTTACAATTACCGTGAAATTGCTAATCTCAACAATCGCTCGGTCTGGGAGAAGGTGCAAAATGCCATTTCTTCTGCCTTTGAGGGGCTGTTTGGTTCTGGTGATTCGCCGGGTGAGCAGGAGAGGTGATGACCGGATCCTATGCTTCATCTCGTTCTTTTTCTTTCGACTTCCTTCTTCTTTTGTCGTTATTTTTTTTTTTACCCCTTCATGTCCTCATGTTCCTTCACGTTGCTACGCAATTTTAGAGGGCCTTTTATATGATACAGGCACCGGCGCAGACTAGATGGACTATGGCTTTTGTATATTAGGACTATGCTTGCTGCAGGGAGTCGCAGTTGGCGTTGGGTGTTTTCCGTGCATTTAATTTCCGGAGCTGCAAATACTCATCAGTTCCTTTCATTCTTCCCTTCTCTCTTTAATGCCTTTATTCACTTTATCTCTACCTTAAGGCACTGGACTACACTCCATAGTATGTAGTCATGTGATCAAATTGTGCATCAAAGTCACGTGGAGCCATCCTCCACCGCCCGATCATCTAACCAATCAGCGCTCTGATAATCCAACCACCCTCCCATCCGATTCGACCGCATCAACCACCAATTCCAACTCCACCTCCAATCTCAATCCCTACGAAGCACACCAGCAGGGAACCGACTCTCCCTCCAGGTCCCGACCTCGACATATCCACACCTCCTCCACACATAGCCTACCGGGTCAACTCTGCAAAATGCCCACCCCCGAGTCCGCTGCCTTCCTGGCCAAAAAGCCCACCGTCGCCCCGACCTACGAAGGCGTCGACTTCGAGGACAACGTCGCAGTCCACAATGCCCGCGACGCGATCATTCGCGAGCAGTGGGTGCGCAGTATGATGTCTCGTCTTGTCGGCGAGGAATTGGGCAAGTGCTATGCGCGCGAGGGTGTGAATCACTTTGAGAAGTGTGGTGTCTTGAGAGGTAATTCCCTCTCCCCGTTTTCTCTTTTGGCAGTATGATGAGTGCGAGGATTTATACCTTGAATCGATCTGCCTCCGAGCTGCAGCTATTGCTCTGTCCAATTGGTTCGGCCCGGCCTGGTCCCGCCTTTACCGCGCGCAGGCAGAACCAGCTGGACCTGGCGTTGACATGTCCGAACAATTGCTAACGTATTCTCTTCACCGCACAGAAAAGTACTTCGAGCTCCTGAACGAGCGCAAGATTAAGGGTTATCTCTTCCAGGAGAAGAACTCCTACCCCGGCAACACTGCCAAGTCCTCTTAGATTTCCTGCGACGAACGCTGTTGGATGGATTGAAGTGGAGCGGGGGCGGACGAGCTACACAGGCGGAGAGATATGCCGGAAGCGGATCTTCTAGCTCTCGTCTACCAAGGTGTTTCAAGCCTGAAGCTAAACCTGGACCGATCCAATTGGGGCACGGAAGCTCCTCTTATCGAGTCTATTCCACCTATGTACCGCACCGCCCCGGAAAAGAGATTTGCGAGAGTGGGGTTGGTTGCTCTCTGTTAAACTGTACATATACGATATCATTGTCTGGTCAATTTCATCTGTTGACAATATTGAGAGTCCTCGCGTGCGCGTGATTCGCCGCGATGTTTTATTTCAAGTTCACTTTAATCTCTCCTTCTTTCTACTATGTAGTGTTCTCTTTATATTGTCTTGGAATCCGCCAGTCAGTCCCAACTCCGACGTGCATGCCTACATGCATAAACATTCGACCAATTCAGGTTGTATATGAGAATGATGCAGTCTCCAGTCACCGAACAGCCTAAGTACCGGTTACTACTAGTAGTAGTACTAGGCTGGCTACTTCTAAGGACCCCCAGTAACCCCCCTCTTCCCCATCATAACAGGTCCATCCTGAATATCCCCAGAAAGAAGAACCCGCATACCAAGCCTCTTCTCATAAGCAACCCGACTCTGCTCCAAGGACGTCCTCAACATCGCCCACCGCAGGTACGGCATCTGATCAACGACTTCACCAATACAATCAATCACCCACCCACCGAGCCCGAGGCCCTGATATTGCGGTAATACATAAAGATCGGTGAAATATGCGAATGTGACCTTGTCACCGACTAGACGGGCGAATCCGATTTGTTTACGGTCTTCGGGGCTGGTGGTCGTGGTGGAAGGGTTGGAGATCTCGTATAGGCCGAAACAGAATGAATTCTCGACAATTGTTGCTAGGATGTCTTCTGGGACTGGATTTGTCCAGTAGACGATGTCTAGACTGAAGGCGTGGTTTATGGTTTGGAGTGAGAGGATGGTTTTGTCGGTTGAGATTAGGAAGCCTGGTCGTTGCCAGGTGAGGGGTTCGTCTGGGAGAGACATGGGCAATGGTATTTGTGATAATAATTGGAATAAAGCGGAGTGTAAAGAAATGGAGAGAAAACAAAGATATAAGCTAGCTTTTTAATCCGAGTCCACGTCTGATAGACGTGAGTCAATTATGGATGCGATGGTATGAGTCAGCTCAACCCTACTTTATTTACTCTAAACATGACTAGGGTCGGAACTTCGCAGAATCTTATCGGACGAGAAGGGGGGGGCTGAATATCTTTTCTTTTTTTTGAATTGCAGTGCAGGGCAAGCTTGATTCGGTCCCATCCACTGAAATGAAGAGGGAGGAAGATAGAAACTAGTTCAAAACATCAGACCGGATCCCTACGCCGACATCTCAAACAGGATTGGATAGACACCCCGAGACTTCAGATGTGCATGACCGAACCTCGTAAAGTCTCCGCTCCTCTCCCCTCCGCAGGAATCTCCAAGAATTGCCAAACGGGGATCGCTTCCTCGCGTGTTCCCTTGCCTGCTTGTTCGACATGGATTTAGTTGCATTGTTGAGTCACCTAGACCTGCAGCTTCGGAGACCCCCGCATTCGAACTATTAAGCTTTTCCTTTGTGTTTCTTTTTTTCTTTTCTTTTCTCTCTCGACCGAGTGCCGAATTGTCATGACGGGAAATATCGTTATCGTTTGGAATATTGCATCGGATCAGATCACGTCACATCATATCATGAGGCGGAACATGGGTAAGTAATATTCGTGTAGTGCATTGCCCATTGATACCGTAGAACTTGAATTTTGTGAGAACGCCCAGTTTCCATGGTGGATGATGTGCGCCGAGATAATTTCCCTCATTCCTACCTTAATCCGATAATGCAATTGAGTAGTAGACGCAATAAAACAAGGGGATGGAATGGACATGCGATTCTGAATGGTGACAGCAGGGGTGACGGATATTCGTGCGGGGAGGGTTGTGGAATAGAAGAAGGATCGCTAGTCAATTTCGAGTGTCCTCTATGATGCATTGCGTCCTGAGTAATAGGAGCTTCCATGACGGAAGTAGGGGTGTACACAGGCTTTCTTGGCTGAGAGCCGTTGTGCGGGATCATACTGCAGCAGGGCCTCGAGAAGATCGCAGCCACTGTCCTCCAAAGTCGGCACGATCTCTTTGTTTGGACGTTGCCATTTCGGGAATGTTGCCTTGTAGTCAGGCAGAGAGGTGACTCCGGGCCATTCTTCTTCACTGGGGGTGCCGAGAACGCTGTAAGAGGTCAGTATGGAGGAATCGTCAGAACTGGATGCAGCTCTCTCTTACCGGAAAATCTTGAAGATCTCGTCAATCTCGGAATCACCGGGGAAAAGAGGTTTACGGGTGCACATCTCTGCAAAAATAGCACCGACAGACCACATGTCAACACCGGTGGAGTATTGCCGGGCACCGAGCAGGATTTCTGGTGAGCGATACCACAAAGTGACGACCTGGACAAAGAGTTGGTAGTTAGCTTTGACTCAAGACGAAACGAGGCTCCCTAAGATAAGACGTGAGATACTCACCTCGTGGGTATACGTCCTCAGCGGCACACCAAAGGCCCTAGCCAGACCAAAATCGGCCAATTTCAAGTTCCCCTCACGATCAATAAGCAAATTCTGGGGCTTCAGATCGCGATGAATAATCCGGTGACTATGACAATAGCGCAGTCCCTCGCACAAATGAGCCATAAACTTCTTAACAATCGTTTCATCCAGACCGATCGTAGCACCGCCCTTCGAGAACCCATCTGGCAAAGGCTTGCCGCGTCCACCGTCACTAACAGGCAGAGCGTCCATGTATTTCTTCAGATCGAGGTCGACGAATTCCATAACGAGGTAGAGATTGTCACTTTCGGCGTAGACGATGTTGTGCAGGCGGACGACGCTGGGATCTTGCATTTCCTTTAGCAGGGAGATTTCGCGGATGGCGGTGCTGGGAACGCCCTCGTCTGTATCTTCGAGGCGGATCTTTTTCAGTGCGACGATTCGGTTCGGATGATTCAGTTCGCGCGCTTTGTAGACGACGCCATAAGTGCCTAACGCGTGGTGAGTATGTTGTACATAGAGAGCTTATGGCTGACGGCGGGGAGACGCGTCGCGGGGTCAATGTCAACAATACCTTCTCCGAGCTTCTCGATCCTCTGGTAGTTCTCCATTGTGGAAGAAGTCACCTAGTTAGGACGAAGGATGAAATGAGAGAAAATGCTGGGTGTTGTCGGGAATAATCGAGGGAGGCTCCAGAGGGATGAGGTGAAAGGTGGTTGTGATTGCTCCAAACTGCCCTCCGGCTGCGATAGGCGGTCAGTTGCAGCAAGGGATTCCCGGAGTATAGAAATGGTGGGATTTGTTTTTTTGTGTCTGTTTTTCATTCTAATCTGTGTCTCTGTCTATTTTTATTTTCATTATTCATTCCCAGGTTCCTCTAAAGGTCTTGGTTGTTTTTGTATTGACCACCAGACCAATTGGATTGGTTTAGCTCAATATCAAATCCGAATCCACGTGCCAAGCCCCGCGCTGGAGATTTTGGTGACCCACAACAATTGGTGCATTCTATTGCATTCCTGCATCATGGATGACATGACTTCAAGTTATTGGCTACTAGCATAACACAAGAATAGACTGCCTGAAAACTTCGGCTTGAATATACTAGATGGAAAAGATCCCATCTTTCATAGTTCTATACAAGCATCCCAAGACAACATTGTCTAAATCCTTGCCAATCTACTAACAATCGGTCAAAGTTCATCTGTATTCTTGGCATGCCATTTCTTCCCCTGCCACTGGAGGTAGACAGTAGGGAAAAAGCTAGCACCCATGATCAATGCAGCCGCCACACCAGCACTGGCCGCAATACCAACACTGTCGAACAAGGAGGTGAACCTAGCCATCATCATTAGCAAACACTTCTCTCAGCCGCTCAAGGAAATTGACAACTCGACATACCAGAACGGACCAATGAATCCCCAAGTTGATCGAACAAAGTTAATAAAAACACCCACGCTACCCGCATCCTGGGGATATGTATCGACAGCATAAGTCGTCAAAACAGTCGTAACAACCTGATTGCCGAACGCAGCAATACCAGTCCCAATAACAGGCTTAACAGACCACTGACCCTGAGTCGCTTGCTCAGTACAAACCAAAAATACAACCATACCCGCAATGGCCAACAAGAACCCGATATAACTCAGCCACAGTCGGTATTCCGGGTCCGGTTTGCGGCCGATCTTCTTCGCCCGCGCATTCATCCACATATCAGACATGATACCACCCAACTGCTCGCCGAGCAGGGAACCGATAATCAGTCCGAGAAATTGAAGACCGAGGCCTTGGGCGCTGAGTTCGAATTTGCTCTGTAGCAGCTGGGGTACCTCGACTGAGTTGAGGACAGAAGCGAAGAGGAAGACCATGGAATAGGCAATTGCGGCCAGAAGGACTGGGATATTTGTGAAGAGTGTCATTGGGTGGTAGAACTCGGATACCTTGATTGGGGTTGGATCAATTCGGCGGAGGGAAAGGTACTCGCGCTTGAAGGCGGAGGATTTGGTTTGAACATCGGCGCCGACATAGCGTGTTTCCGGGCCGAAGAAGATATATAGAATGAACTGGACGGCATTGGTCTGATGACAAGTTAGCATTTGTGTCAAAATCGCGAGTATTCCGAATTACGAAAAAAAAAGAGAATGAAAGAAGAGGAAGAGGAAGAAGAAGAAGGGAGAAAAACTCACGATTGCCAAAATCCAATAAATCCACCGATATCCCACCCGCTGAGCAACAAATCCAAAAATAAACGGTCCAACAGGAACACCCAGCGTAACCATAACGGTCCAAATACCCATATACCTCGCGCGCTCATGACGGAAGAAAGTCTCAGTAACCACGCCGCTCCCAATCGCCATAGCGGGCGAAATGAAAAACGCTACCAGGGCCCGACAAGCCGCCATGGAGGCATAATCCGGACTCTTGGCGCAGCCAACATTACACACACAGCTCAGGATGAGGGAGAGGAGAAAAATGGGTCGTCGACCGAATCGGTGTGAAAGAGGTTTCCAGAATAGAGGGGCACCGCCTAAGATGGCGATTTGGAGGGATGTGAGATAGCTCACGCGTTGGATGGAGACGTCTAGTTCCAGGGCGATGTTTTCGTAGGCGCAGATGATTGCTGCTGCTGTGAATGTTCCCATGCAGGCGTGGAAAGCGACGAGGCTGAGGTTGGCGATTTTCTGGATTCGTTGTCAGTATTTAATCTCTCTCTCTCTCTCTGGACGCCTCAACCCCTGTCCATGGCCATGGTGCAATTCTGCTCACCTTCCAACTTGACCAATTGTATGGATCCGCCGGGTCCATACTCGGAATCGGATCAAGGTCCAGTTTACCATGACGTTCGATCAGGTACGATTTGTGAGACTCGGATAGAAATCTGGTAGGGTCAACCGAGACGCCTACATCCTTTTCTTCAATATAGTCGGAGTCTGATTTGCGAGGGGATGTGTCGGGGTGACCGTGACCTGACTCGGTCGGCAACATGGCGAGATGACGGGGATCAGAGTCAAGAATTAAGAAATTCTACAGTTCTCTAAGGGGCACCGCGGAATGGCGAGGAAGGTGGGATATGTATAAGCGAGAGAACCTGGAGACCCCGCGCGGGCTCTCCATTGGGGATCGGTCAGTTCCGGGGTATGGGGACATTTGGTCTGGGGGTGGTCCGGGGTACGGGTTTATCGGCCAGGGATAAGCCGAAGATTATCCTTGCCTGGATGACAGCGGTAGTTAAATCCACGGGATTGCCGGGGAAATGGAGACAGGCCGAAAGCCAGACCGCATGGGATTCGTGGAAATGCCCCGATGCAGCTAGTCAGGGTCGGCGTAGTCGGCAGATCCTGAGCCGAATGACTGATGGCCAGACCGAGATCCTCGCTTCAGGGACCACCTGGGACCCCCAGGGACCCGCTGGACTGCCAATTGCCGATGTGTCATCCCGATGGGAGCCTGCTACCAGTGGATACCAGGTCTAGAGTATAAAGTGTACCTACTCGTACTTCGTGGCTGCAAAGTCAAGTCGGCCAAATGTTGCCAAGTCGGCCTGGCCAAGTCGGGTGGCGGTCCAAATTAAAGTTAGGGTTGGTCATACATAAGAATAAGAAAAGATTTTCTAACTACTGGTATTCAAGTTATTAGATCGGTAACTAATATGGTTTCTTCTTGTATGATGTATCCCGGGCCTACACTCGCGCTCACACTCTTACACCGGGGCTAATCCAGGTCCCCCATTAGTGAAAGCGCCCGTGTACCATCGCTTCCTAGACGGGAGGGCGATCTTTGATTCTTGTCCATTGTTGTAAAATCGCAGTAAGCAATCTCCAGCCTGATTTGAGGCCCAAGTCATGTCCGGCTCATGAAGCGTATCCGCATTCTGCTCACTCTTCCTATGAATATGCTCCGGCGAGCTCCATACTTCAGCACCGGGGCATCAAGAACCCTTGCCGGAATGACCGGTATCTCGTTGAAGAATTTGATTTGTCTGTCAAGAAGGTGGTCCCCGGAGATTGTCACAATGCCTTGAGTCGAGTTTCAGGAGTTAAAAATTGACAAAATAATTTTCACAGCGCAGCGGAGGCGCTGGACTTCGAGGTCCGCTTGAATTTCCTCTCAATAGCCCTCTCAATTGCCTAAGTAAGGGGGTGGAGCATGGTTTAACTAGTCATTAAGCGTAAACACCGAGACCAGGCTAACAAGTCTATTTCTTGTGACTTCAAAGCTAGAACTGGGCTCAAAGGTGCTGCATATACCGGTCACATAATCCATAGAGGGCATTAGAACATGATCAATATTGAGCCTGGAAGAGACAATCACACAGCCCAGTTGCGCTTACGAGCTAGGGACGATTCATTCCTTGGCTGAGTCCATGGCCGGCAAAAGCCCGAAGCCTGAAACCCCAACTCTGCCGAGGTATCAGACAGGCAGTTCTTTTCGTTTTGTTTGGAAATTATGGAAATCTTAGAAATAACTTCAACTGCACAAAGCGCGTTATTGTCGGGAATAATGAAATGCCTCTAATAGATATGTGGAACAAGGCGGAAACGCCTGCACCTGCGAACCTCAAAATTAGGCGCACGGTCAGTGATATTTGGTACTCGATCTAACCACAACTTTAGATTCAATTCGGAGTTGTCCGTGTCAGCGAACGCCATATATATCACACTATTCTTCATGTCTTCATGCATGTATCATCCCATCAACCATTGCCTTTAACAATAGAAAGATTGATGCACGCCGTCTGTGATATCTCTGGTAGATCAACAAAATCTACTGGGCACCATCGGATCCTATCTTGGTGGCTGCCCGGTAGAGTAATTATGTTGTAGGAACTGTATGGCCATGGCAGAGTTTGTTGTTTCGTTAGCCTGAACGAGACCACTATTTTCAAGTTCTCTAACAACAGTTGCCCTACCTCGTCGTTAGCATTCAAATTGCTCATTAACTTAGGACCCTTATTACATCGTTTAAAATTACCAAAAATATTTACTCGGAAATTTTCTTATACAACACCTCAAAAGAGCTCCTACTATCCTTGCAATACATTGTTGTAATACTGCTGAAAAATATCTCTATTTGTTCTATTAGCGACACTCTATACTCCCCTTCCCTTTATAACTCTGCCTATAATCCCTTAGCCCTAATAAGCTTGCTAGTAAGTTTGCTTGAATTTAATTTTCTCTTACTTCAACAGACCTTAAGAGCCTCTTAGGTATACCTATTAAGGACTTTTGCAGACCACTAAGGACTATTTTAAACGATAGCCTCCTAAGATCAGTCGTCTAATAATAATTTAGGAATTCTCTATATATATATCTGAGATCCTAAGAAATCTACTAGTAGGAGTCTTCTCCTAGCGGTAGAATTAGACAGGAATAGAGAAGTATCAGGTAAAATCTTTCCTGTCTTACGAAAAACTAGCGAGAATAATATAGAGTTATATCAAAAGAGTCACCTTACCGTCTATCAGATCTCTTCTATAAGCCTACTATAGCCCCTTTTCTTAAATTATATACGTTTTTTCTATAATAATTATCTATACGGGTCTTAAGTCATTCTAACGAAGACCTTAATAGGCCTAAAAGGTAGACCTAATAGCTCTTAGTGTAGAAAAAAAATAGAGAAAAAGTTATCTCTAAAGACAGTATAACGGAAGAAGAAAAATAGTGCCTATAAGGTATACAGTACTAGGTCTACTGTACTCTCTTTAAGTTAATTAAGCCAATATATCTAACCTTATGATCGAGATGCATAAATGGCCCTGGCATCATACAGCTCTCTAAGAGCATGGTTAATGCCCATGTACCACTGAAGACCCGTAATGATGTGAGCGGGCTTTGCCCGCCGTGACTCAATTGCGCGAGCAAATCGCTCCAGTGTCTCATTAGCCAGATCTTCTTCGTGTTGAATAAGAACAGAAAGATACCCTTTCTTCAATTCATCAGGTGTATCTTTGCGCGCATCCTCAATGCAAGACTGGAACTCGGGAAAATCCAATGTGTTAAGGTTAGAATCGAGACGATCCCGCTCAACATCCGCATAGTCATTCCACAGCCGACCCCATATCGCAACATGGCGATTGAACTCTTCGAGTAGATATCTTTCCACAGGGTTGGCGCATACAACATCAGATGGGCTCTGAATAAGACAAATCACTAGTTTCGTCGCGATGGGGCCCAGATGATCAGTACACGCCACACCTTGAATCCATTTGTAGAAGCTGAGACCTAGTGCATGGCAAGAATCTGGTGTCGCCTCAAGGGTACTTTCGATATTTTAGCCAGGAAAGCAATGCGAAGTTCCATGAGAAGGTCATTCTGCTCATAGTCACCAGCGTTCAGGACATGGGGGTTCTCCAGGAATTTCCTCTTGCCAGATTCCATTGCCTTGATAATTCGATACACCTCCTCTTTACCCTGAAAAGTTTCCAGGGTAAGAGCATTGCCGTCCAAATCGGTTTGTGGAATGTTTGAGGGGGTTCGATCTGCGAACATCCGATGGACAAGCTTTTCCAACAGACCCAAAGTCTCTGAAGAGCGATCTATCAGCTCTAAATCAAGCAGAGTATCGAGGTTATAAACCAACTCTATGAGCTCAATCATAGTAAGCACAAAGTAATTGCCCAGGCAACCTTTCAGTGTGTAGTTGACAGCGATGCAAATGACTGCTTGCTTCGATACGAATCCTTTGTCGTAATTCTTTTTCTCCTCGAGCCTGGTGGTCTCTAACAACTCGCGTACAAGGAAGCCCGCTTCAACACAACTAGCCTCGATAATTGAAGCAGGAACCTTTGCAAAATATTTCATCTGTCTCAAAAGCTTGCTGTGCTCGGCGATTACATTTGAGTCAAGCTGATATAGTGCTTCGACTTTCTGAGAATATCTCCTTGTTGGTTGCGCATCCCATATTGCACTCAAAGCTGCAGCCCGAGAAATGGACAACAGGCCATAAAAACATTTTCCATTCCAGCTGTAGTCATTGAATTCCTCATCTAGGCTGACAAGTATGAAGGCTTGACCTTTTCGGACAGCTTGGCCAATCGACTGACGCAGGGTCTCAGATACAAAAGGAAGAGACCAAGTTGTCTTTAGGATGATGACTGCATGGGCTGTATTCTCACGGATGCTTGTTGAGCCCCAAGACCCATCCGCATTCTGACGAAGAAGGACGCGGACCACCGCTTGGAAAATTGTCAGAGGAATCTGAGCCTTGAGAAGTCTTTCCGACACGACCTCCACTCGTTCATCGCTCAATGCGACGAGGTAGTCCGTCAAGGCCTGGGTAACTGCCAATGTGGCATAATACTCCGAATTGCTCTGAGGAGTATTTGTCAGAAAGGTAACTTTATCGAGGATTTGGAGCTCAGCTCACCCATTTATCTTCAATCAATCCGTGGGAATTGTACCACGTTTCACAGATATACCTAATGCACTTCTCGATAGATGAAGTATAGTTCCTGGAATCGGGGCCAAGTACCAAGGCTTGCAACACGTGTGCATTGCTACTGACGCTGGGGTCTCGTTCGCCATAATAAGTGAAATAGTTTTTCTCGCCCTCAAATGCATTGATCATGGGTTGAACTGGGTGGTAAATCCCAAGGGTATGATAGACTGTCTTGCAGGCCATTGCAGTTGAGTCGGGGTCGGGGCAAATATGTTGGTCTGAACAAGACCATGTTAGTGACATGTTATATATCCAGGTAGAAAGGCCAATATTACCAGATCCCATAAGGCCATCTTGTTCTTCCAGGCACTGGAGCATCATGTTTCCTAATTTCTTTACAGCATCGACATCAAGCCTTTTCAGATCTAGACCGCCGTCAAGAAATAGATTGATCGTCTCAACACAAGGTCAGTAGTGCGTAATATATTAGAAGTAAATTGAAATTCCATACTCAGTCAATGTCAAAAGTTGAGGTTGGGAACATTTGAGGGACGCATCTTCCATCCTTGACAATACTCTGTTCCACAACATGCTGCAAATAAGCCTCAGCTGCAGTGTCCCACACGGGAGATTCCATCAAATAAACCGCAGTAGATGACGGGGAAGAAAACATAGATCCGTATCTTAAATGATGTGAGATCTTACTGAAGTCGAGGACCCCAATAAATCCTTCAAGTGTAAACAGAGGCGAGGGCTGAATTAGGCCAGCAGGGCTGTAAAGAACCTCCAGAGGGAACCGGGAGAGCTTTTTTTGGCGCAATTTGAGAATTCGAATTTTGCCCGGAACTTCGAACACAAGTCCTTCTTCCTCCAATTTCTCGATCACAACAGGGAACCAAAGTTCGAACCCAATGGGAAGTCGAGTATCCAATGAATCAAGCTCCCAATCTTCAATGTTCAAATGGATGAAATCAATGGCCCGAGCTGCCTGGTGTTGCAAATTCAACCAATTCTTTATTGAAATATTTTCTGACACACGTAGGTGTTTCTTAATAGCCAGAAGAGAAACGAGCGTACATGTAATACGGTCAAGCAATGAGACAGGGTTTCCCCATCCTCCATCTTCTGCCTGATTTTGACAGAGAAAGTCAAAGCAGATGGGGTAGGCCCATTGAGGAGGTTCAGAAGCCGGAAGCTTTTTCTGAACCATTGAGATCCACGCTGTGTCATATATACCACTGACAATAGTTCCATGATGATAGTTTTCGTCATAGGTGGAGAGAAGCTCATTTAGAAGGCTATTAGCCTGTAGAATTATACTATCCTCGTCCATGGGATTGGTAGAGAGATAGCTTAGATTGGTAGGGGTATTTGGTAATAAGATGAGACCACACAACTGAAGTCCGTAAATGCAATTGTAGTGGTTCACTGTCTGTCGACCACTAAATATATGCCACGAAACAAGTCAACCGAGCCAGCACCCAAAGCGGAGGAAAGTAATCATCATTTACTCGGCCACCAGTTTCCAGCTGCAGAAAGTCACAGGTCCGTTCGCCCTGATGTGAGAGATCAATCCCGTTCGTCACAACCAGTTGGGACCTGCTACGTGGCTCCTATCCCACTAAGCAGCCGAGGTACCCATAACGTCGATCCTCCCAATGCAAGCTGCAGACGGCCATTAGTGAAACTCAGTGATCCCATCAAGTGGGTATGGTTAATTTCATAGTACAATACAAGCAGAATTCCGTCAGGTTTCGGAAAACGGTATAGACCCTGAATACTGAAGCTGAAAGTAAAAACTTTCGGTAGGCATCGAAATATCTAGCATTTTGACTTTGAACATTTCGTTCTTGAAACAAAAAAATGCAATATTTCCCCGTTTATCGTGTAGGATCTCATTCAGAACTCCAGCTTATATAGTCCCGCAATAGCTCAATGACACTTTCTTTCTGGCCTTCCACGAATGCTTCAAATCTGAAGCGTTTTAACAAAATTCAACAACTTTTGAGCCTTCCCTCTCCCGTCATCCATTTCAAGGATGAGAATTCTTGCTTGTCGCGCAAGGTCCTCTAGCATTCTCTCTGTATATTCAAAGCTTCTTGTTGACTCTAGACAGATAAGAACAACATCCTTCATCCGCTCATTGTCCACCTTCTGCCTCAGGATGCTTCCGACAACTTTGCTCTCTGGATCCTTGTGCATATTGTGCACAATCGGAAAGGAGAACTTGCCTTCCGTGATGTCCTCGCAACTGCCCTTTTTCTGGGCGTAGGAGTTGCTTCGGAGGTTCTTGTAGTCATCACGGATTTGAAAAAACTTCCCGAGAATTTCAGCTAGAGGGACATAGTCTCTACTTTTTTGTTAGTAGATAATCTCATGGAGCTGAATGTGCATACTTTGAGCATGTGCTTTCCAGCTGCATGAGCCGGATCATTATCCTAAAAAGCCCCCCCTGTTTTGTTGTTGACCATTTCCAGATACTGGGTCTCACTGGGACAGGTAAAAGAGTCTCTCCAGTATAGATCCATCCCCTGTCCAAGATGAAGGTTTATCATCTCATGTATCAAGAGTGTGTTAGCCGCAGGATTTTGAAGCCCTTGAAGCGCTTCGAATGCTAGAAAGTATGCGTGGTTTGCCGAATTGATAGTTTGGGCCGCCCCAAAAATTTGATGTGAGCAACCGGAAAGCCTCGGCGCAGGGCAGAGCCGTCTTGGATATCATCGATACTGGGCCGTATGAGAAATATGCAATAAAGAATGGTGTGAATATAGGCAGCAGGCGTACAGAAGTGATGCTGTATGTAACATGTTTACAACACTTTTGATTGTATTCAAAGCCAATTTCGGGACTTGGAGCCATTCATCGAATGCATCTATCAATAGACCGCGAATATCTTTGCCCAGATTTGACGATAGATAGTCAAAATGTGCAGTCACAGTCTGCAACGAAGTTCGGATTAGCCTTCAACAGAGGTAATAGCGATGAGTTTGATACCTGGTGGCTTTGACTATACCACAAATCGCGCGGCTTATTCTTCTGGTTGGAGCCTAGAGTAAGTTGCTAAGTAGTATGTATCCTTACCATTTTTTGAATTGATGTGATAATATTTGTCCTTGTTTTCTTACTTTTTCTGAGGCTGGAGGAGTTAAGGGCATGTCGAGGCACTCCTCACTTGTTGATGGTTTAGCTGAACGCGATCTCAAGCGCAAGCCTCTTAAGCGAATTGTGAACTTCAGCATGGCTTATTTGCTTGAGAAGATAGTGAGGGTATGTGGAGGCATGAGAAGATTGCTTTCATGTGTTCTTTATATAATTTCAGAAACAGTTCATCTTGAACGTATATCTCCTGCACAGTATACAGCACACTTGTACTATTGCTTTCAAGAATCTCAAGTTTCCCGGTTTTCGGCAAAGCTTCCGAGGTTCAATCACAGGGTTTGTAAATTCGTAGAATTTGTTGCATGTAGAAGGTGTTTGAATAGTGCACACCGGGTCTGTACCGTAGGCGTCTGCAGCCATATTGAAAAGATCGTTATTATTGCCTCGTAGGGGATTTGGTTATGAATTGAGTGGCTATGTTTCTAATCAAACTTACAACCATGGAGCTTTGTAGTTCAATATTAGACCACCACCACCAGAAACCGACTAGGCATCTCCTACGACATGCATTTTTGTTATTCGCTGCATGCTTCATAGAATGCCCTATCCATTCTGCTATAGAATCCAATGCCACGCGGAGAAAGATTATTAAATACCAGAGGGTTATTGGAAGGTGGGTAGGATACTTGTGACATGCATATGGACAGGTCACATACACTCAGATCACAGTAGGTGATTTAAGCTTTTAGAGGATATCTTCTTGCAAGGACCGCCCAATCAAGTGGGTGATGTGCGTGATGCTATGTGCCACTTACGTAGCTAGCGAAGAACCTCCACGGACGATCAAACAGCAACGCCGAACAAAAACAGTGGGGACTTAAGGTCGGTACACTTACTTCATTTACATTTAGGCTAGTTTTGAGTATATCACCTATCATATTAAGAGCTTTATCCCTAGATCGGGGGTACAAATGCGGTTTTCCATATTAAGGAGACTTGAACGTTTCCCAACTTACCTGGAATGAGCTACTGCCGTGAGGCAGTGAGTGACAAGGATATTGGATCATTATAGGTTTTTGAAAAACAAGTTGCTCAAGTTACACTGCATAAGCGCCATGCAGTACGTCGGAAAATTGCCGTCATCGTATCTTGATTCGGAATTTATTTTGGACAGCACTATATACTTCCAATGCTTTACTCTCCATTCTAACTATATTTTTTCTCCACCTCCAAGGGCCCGACACCTCTGAAAATGGGCTATATATCATGCACGAAGTAAAGAAAAGCGTAGGAAGTTAATTTTGTACGTACGTACGAGCAAGTAGGGATAGTGCTATATTAGAACTAAGTACCCAGTGCATTGTATGTGGTATGGCGGTCGCAGAAAAAAAGAAAGGAGAGGGAGGTGGAGTTCGTGTCTAAGAGATTGGGCTGCGATAGGGCCCTTCCTAATTGAGAAGGTAGGCTGGAAAATTTAGGAAATTCCAGAATATAACCAATGAAATAAACTACTTGCTTTCGGATAAGTATTCCCGGCTGTAATGTGATCGGAGGTCGAATAGATGATTTACTTAGGAATCTAGAATTTATAAAAAGTACATGATGTAGGTGACAAATTGGATCGCACAGACCCTGTCTGGGTCTAGAAGAATGGGAACACTTACTTAGACTCGATATTATTGAGCCCCTAGCTATTCAACCTAGGTGAACGCACAAAATAGTTGATCACAACTATTCTGCATACAGTAAACGACATTGCTCAATAGCAGATACACCCGTGTCCTGTGTAGTGGTGCAATAATCAATTTACTGAGATGTGACCCGCCTTGGTTTAAGACACGGGTTGTGATGAAATGGTTGGAAGATAATAGGTGGCCATCCATGATGTTTTGCAACATTCAACTGTTCCAGCGAAGGCAGTCGCAAGGTGTTGTGCAGAGGGACATGTCACCCTAATTCTTGCGATTGGACCCAGAATAAATTGTCTCCAAATATCTTGTAGCTCCTCGGAAGTCGCAAAAACATGATCCTGACGCGGGTTGGCAGGGTCCATGCTCTCTCCAGGAGAGGCATCGTGATTAACGGGCAAAAGGATGCCATTCGGATATTGGGAGTCTTGGGGCATCGGTCGACCGTACGTTTCCTGGGGTTGTCCCAGTTTGCTTGGTCGGCGGATGTCAGAGCTGATCTTGGCAACTGTTCTGGGACACCACGAGCGGCGGTTGGCAGTTTGGATGATTGTGTATATGATATACCGTAGGGCCCATCAAAGGGGACCATCAACACGAGACGTATCACCCTTCCATCGCATCGTCGTCGTCGGTGAGGTGACTGGGAGCACTACTAACACCCGACGAATCACTGTCGCCGCGATCGACCACACGATTTCTGACCTGTACACCCCAGTCACGAATGCTAGGCGCGCCACCTTCAATCACAACTGGATGTTCCTCTCCAGTCTTGCCCAATACAGTACCGGCATACCGGGACTCTTCACCAGTCTTACTGTGCTTCTTTTTCAGCGCAGTCAGATAATCCTCCTTCTCAATCGCATCGGGATCCACCATGTCGCCTTCACTGGGGACAAATCCAGCAATGCGGCGAATCTCGCGATGCGCTGGACCTGTAATCCATCCCAGTAGAGAGTCCAAGCCACGCATGTCTTCTTCCTGAGCCCACTCTTCTTCCCATTCTCGTAATTGTGGTCGAATTGCGCCGGCATCTTGAAGGGCTTGGTAGACATCTTCAATTTCTGGGACGGGATCTTCGGGGTGAGCATTCGCGGCGTGCTGGGCGGTGGCGGAGGCAAGAATCATCATGTATCGCGCGGTGAGGTCGGAGATAGATTCTAGGACGGATGGACGTGTTGAGTGAAAGCCCTGGGCGCGTAGGATTTGGATTATCGGAGGTCGGAGGAGGGCATTGTGAAGGTTGTGGCCCGACATGGCGGGAGTTGGGAATAAAGATAGGACAAAAGGAGCAGTTTTGAAGTGAAGGTGAGGATGAAAAGATAGTTATTTAAGGTATGAAGAATTTCCCACAGTATCTGGAGAGAAGAGTGTGGTTGTGGAGTGAAAGGGAGAGAGAAGAAGTGAAGAAGGTTGAAGGGGAAGTGGAAGGGGAAGTGGAAGTGGAGGAATTTGCGGACTCACCGCGCCGCTTTCCCTTCGCTTCCTCTTCTTCTCTTCTCCTTCCCTCCCCTTCACATCAACCTCCCCTCCTCCCCCAATCTTCTGTGATTGCGCAGGGGCTACGCGCATTCCTTCTTATCATGTCGGACACTCCGCGACCCATGCTCAAGCTGAAGTTTGGTAAGAAACCGTCGCAACCCCCGGGAGAGTCAGCATCCACACCCACGCCCACGCCAGCTCCAGCTCCAGCTCCAGCTCCAGCTCCAGCAGCACCAGCTACAGCATCCCCCGCCGAGCCTCAGCGCAAGATCACCCTGAAAATTGGTCGCAAACCCCAACCTGATCCTACACCCACCGAGAAGGAGAAACCAAAGAAGAAGAAAGCTTCGACGAAGAAGCGACCTGCCGACAATGTCGCGCAGCCTGAACCCGCGCCGACCACCCAGCTTGGACCCAAGCGACTCAAGCTCAACCCCTCTAAGAAACCTGGCCTCCAATCGATTCGCATCAAGAACAAACAAACAGTGCCCACTCGGCCAGTCGGCGTGGGATACGATTCAGAAGCGTCGGATACGGAAGTGGACCCAGCGATCGAGGAGCAGTTTATCCTACGAATGTTACCCGGTGACGACTGCGAATATCTTCGTCAAGCAATTACTGAGAGGAAATTTGACAAGTCCGAATTCTCCTTCAAGCCTCTAACCCGTGACGCACGACGTGCCATCCTCAAAATCCGCGACAAGCAATATGCCGCCGCCATGGTCGACCTTCCTACAATTACCGAAGGCATGAAGAGTTGGGATCGTCGGGGGTGGTATAAATCAGCCGATATCTCTCAGATGCTCCTGATATTGGGCCCAGTGGCCAACGAGGAAGAAGCTATGAAGCACGAGGTGCCCCCAGAAGTCTTACAGCCAGATACCAAAACACTTCAATATCCCCATGGTCTAGCACCACCGCTGCGCTGGGTTCGCAAGCGCAGATTCCGTGACCGCCTCAGTGCACGCACTATCGAGCAAGTCGAGAAATCAGTCGAGGATCTAGTCGCTCAAGATGAGGAGTCAGTCTTCCCTCCGCGATTCGAGGTGGTTGACAGCTCCTCCTTGAACCGCGGTGAATCTTTCATCAACAACGACGAATACTATGAAGAATACGATGAAGAACAGGATGCCGAGGGTGAAGTAGAGGATGAGATGATGGATGACTTTGACGACGACCTCGCCGGTGAACTTGAAGCTGCTCTCGCGGGCGACGGTGATGACGATCAACCGGCCCCGACCGACAATGGAGGTCCCGAACAGGCAGGGACACCGTCAGCTAAACCTTCGGCCGGAGCAGGCTACTCTTCAGGAGAGAGTGACGTTTCTGATGAAGATGAGGATCTGGACGACGACCAAGTCGAACAACAACAACTCCTCCAGCAGCATCGCGAGGAGATCGCCGAGTTGGAAAACCTCATCAAGAACGAAACAGCCCAATGGGAGAAGGTACAGAACGCAATTCTGCGGCAGAAGATGAGCCGACGTATCCAGGAGTTGAAGAAGGATCTCGAACTGAAGAAGGTCTCCGCCGGCCTCCCTGGCGACACCGACATCTGATATTCAAGCTCACACGCAAGGTTGGCAATTTCGCAATAATTGTACATTGGCGCGACTATATCTTCACATGTCTATCTACCCACGACTGGATCCCCCGTTGCTTCTCTGACGACCTCTTGGACATCGATCTCCTCATTTTGTCTTAGTTTCTGTTGTCTCACAGCCTCCCTCTCCGCCACCCCACAGTCAGCCGATGCCTGGGTCTGCCCTGCCCTTTGGTCCAATATCCTGTCATGGTTTTCTCTTTTGCGGTTCATATGTGCCGCCAGGTCTTCCTCTCCCCGGAAACCGGGGTGTCCAGGTCCCGCTGCACTTCCGACCGGGCCGGCATGGGCACCGGCCTGAGCTCGTTGCACCCCCATTCCTTTCTTCGCCACTGAATCTGCGATATACCCCTCGGAAGGCTGTTGTTCCACTCCATACTCCAAGTCGGTGTCGGGGGCATTTTGCATCCTCTGTCTCTCCTCTTCATGCTCTTCGGCGATCTGGGCTCGAGCCTCGTCGCTCGATGGCTTCGACTCGGCTGTTCTCGTAATTGCAGCGGGGGCATCTCCATAATGGCGGACTTGCTGCACGGGAACACGCTGCTCTTGTGGTGTCTGGGACACTGGGTTTGAAGATTGCGCATAAGCTGCTTCCTTGGGAGGCTGGGCTGGCTGAGCGGCTCGTCGACGAGTCTCCATTTTTTCTAAGGCCAGCGGTTGCTGAAGGAGGAATGAAATATATTTGGAAACTACGAGCTGGACTCGTATGCTTTAGTTGGAATAATAAGGGATGTGAAGAAGGAAAAACTGAATTCCTTTGAGGCGATGTCATTTGGTCCAATTGATCTACTGATGGCTGCATGACGTCAATGTCTACAACCGGCTTTTCCATCGCTTCTTCTCGTCCGATCTACACGTTTGTAATAATCGACATGGTATATACCAAATTGAATCCGCGAGATATCTCATAAAATCTTTGATGAGTGGAGTAATCCTTTGAGATAGAGACTACTAGCTACTAACTATGCTGCCGATGGTCCCACTGGAACTCCACTATCTACCCTCTCGAAGAAATCCAGTAACATAGAATTAACCTCATCCCTAGCTTCTATTTGCACCCAGTGACCAGAAGTACTGACACTCTTGATCGTCAAATCATCCGCAATCTCACTTGACTCTGTCAAACTCCCCGCAAATTGACCGGCGAGGGCAGGTGGCAGGACCATCAAAGTAGGACATGGTATTTTGACAGGCAAGCCAGCCTCAAGTTCGTCCTGGACATTCAAGTTCCCAACCAATACTCGATACCAGTTTAGCGCGGATGTGTGGTATCCAACCATGATCTGCTGATGAACGCTCCGTTCTTCCTCCGTTATATACGGCGCTAGTTCTGCATGACGATCTGCCCGTAGCCACGTCTCCATCGCGCCAGACGGACCCATATGATCGTTCCAGATATTATGATCTTTTGGATAAAAGAGGCTGAAGAAGGAGTCGCTCTGTCGGGGTATTAGCATCAGCATCAGCGGCAAGTATAGACCTCGGGAATAGTCTACTAAGCCTAGCGACCGCGACGCTAAACATCTCCTCCTGCGGAAGATTCAATAAGAGGGAAAACGAAAACGTACATATTCATCAAGCAATGCACCAGCATAATCGCAAACAAAAAACCCAATATACCCAAACCTCTCCTTTCCCAGAAGTTGTTTAGTCATACCATTAACAGCCTCAAGATCAAACCGCTCCCCAGGTTTCGAATACGGCACAACCAGAAACGTCGTCGAGAGCAATCTATCCGGGAAGTAATTGACCAATCGCGAAAGCAAAATACTACCCATATCATGCGAGACTGCATGAACACCGTCAAGCATGCCTTCATAATCTAGGATCTCGATTATTTCCGCCGCCATACCCTTGGCCCTATACTCGGTCGCAGAGGATGGTTTGCTAGTCCCGCCGTAGCCGAGTAGATCTGGAACTAGGACACCGTGTCCAGTGGCGGCGAAGAAGTTTATTTGGTGTCGCCAGTCATAGCTGGATGATGGGAAGCCGTGGAGGAATAGGATTGTTGATTTTGTCGGGGTTCGCGGTGGGACAAGGATGTAGCTGTAGGTGTGGTTTGTTGAGAGGGTGAGGGTTTTTGCGTATTTGCGAAATGCGATCGCTGCCATGGTATATTCAAGTTCTAGTTGATTTTACAGTACGTGGGGGAAGAAGTTCTTGCCCTGGTGAAGCTCTTTGCTGTCTAGATATAGTAGTACGAGGGGCGGCGACTTTTCGGAGACTTTGGGGTTTGAGTTTCTTGGCTACAGAAATCCAATAGTACATCTCAATGGCTCTTGGTTATTTAATAGTGGATATTTGCCTACACCTACGGCGACTGTGACATTCGTAATGATTGATATCAACTACTTTTACTCCCATGAGGTAACTAGTCACCATATACACCAGGCATCACGAACAACCATCAATCCTCTGCCCCCCATTGGGTAGTCCCACAGGGTCACCGACTCGATATAATTATAAATCATAAATGAGGATCGCTATCCGCAAGGTTCACCCTTGCTAGTTGAATACAGCAGGAAGTGACAAGCACTCGGAAATTGCGGTGCGAAGCCCTGGAGCCTCCATTTAGATTACGTGAAACCTGACATGAGTGCATTGACTAAGATCTCGGCCAACTGAAAATATACGAGTTAGATTTGAAACAGAGAAACGGCGGATCTTGAGATGATATCCCGTTCTGTCCGGCGAATTCTTTACCTCATTTCGTTCTGATTATGATGTTTCAGTAGGATATTTGGGCCAAATCAAGATCTATTTCTCCAAATGAGTTGGCCATTTCTCGAATCACAAGGTCGCAACTTTTCCACCCGTTATTGCCCAGGTGAGTTACAAGTTCTTGGAATATTCGTCTTGTTATTGTGACCTAAAGCAAATTTCGTAGGCCGCCAACCATGTAAGAATATCCGGCAAGGAACACCAATATACTATTACTTGGGCTTCAAGGCTGAGCTGATGGCTTTGATCTAAAAAAGTCAATCACATCGTCTTAAATTCTTAATCCTTGCTAGGCATCATTTATAAGCAGGTTGTCCATTTGACTTCATCTTCATTATCTAGGGTTCGCTATGTTTCCGGAGCACCAGGAAACATCGCTAGAGCTTCTGATTGAATAAGACGATCTCCGTTGTTCAAGAGGTTTCTTTAGCTGTGGGAACTTTTTAAATTTGATGTGATATATGAGATGAAAGGATCGATTAGCTGAGCGATTCTACCTCGATATTGATACGAAGATTGCTAGAAGTTTCAAGTTTCTAATCTTGATCTCACATATCTTTGTTAGAGGTGTATCGTGGCACTCAAAGAGCTGCCTGCAAATACAAAATACCACAACATGATCTATTCTGTTTTTAGCTCGGTAATTCGGATGAGTCGAGGATCCGGTTGATGGAAATTGCGATTGAAACATCATATGACCACTGTGCAAGGTAAATTTTACAATTGGCCATTTCATCACTAGTACTACTTCAGATCCAGGGATGCCTAAGTTTAGATGGAGTACTACTAGAGTACTATTCTTATTAGGCTGTTCTGATTATTAGTACTAGTGTATATAGTAGTAGAGGACCCACGCTCATATGTATCTATCATACTTTCAAGCATCTCACGAATTAGGTCATACTAGGAGTATTCAAGGCCGAATCGTTCTGAGGTTCTGGAAGTGATCATCGATAATCCATCATGAAGACTTTCATCACACTCACCTGTCTTGTGGCAGCTACTCTTGCCCACTCAATTGATACCCGTCAAACATCCCAATCTACCAACTTGGACGAGTTAAATAGTGCGAGGGTCTCATTTTACACCACAAAAGGGCCTGCTTATGAGCTTGTGAATGCCTGCTCTCCCATTGATGATAAGCTACGACTCATTTCAGACCTTGCACTGAATGCAGCAAACCATCAATCCAACACAGCTAGTCGGGATAGCAATTATGGAATGTCATGCAAAATCTACGGCCCAAGTGGAGAGTTGCTTATCACTCTAAATAACGCCAAAGATCATCAACCGTTATCACCAGATGGGTCCAACTACCCGACGGATAAGCTTAAAATGGCCTGCGTGAAGGGTAGGTCGGGGGAAGACATGGTTCCGAATGATGAGAGCATCTGGGGGGGACATTCATTGGTAGCATTAGATGAGTGTTAGCGGAAGATGCGATATTGTTCATTATTTATCTTCGCCTCGGTACGGGTTTTTTTCCCTTGGCAGAAGAGGTTTTCCCCGTACCATAATGCGAATGCAGAGGCCGTACAGAGGGGAATTTCAAGGCAAATTCATCTCAATTTTTAACTAATTTAAGCGATTCAGTCATACTACGAGTTGATCAGTCATGTAAAATTGATCATACCACCTAAAGCCTAATTTCTATGCTAAGTTGTGGGCTGAACTCGCCATAATTACCGCATAGAGACTAGCAGATCTCGTCAACGTCTACTCGTACCCGTAATTGAGATGAGACGCTTAAACAAACGTACGAGGCTCTCCTCGGAGGGACCGAACATGCCGCACTTGCTCCATTGCCCTTTTTGATATAGCGCATTGAATTGCTCTGTAACAAGATACGCACAAATTGTGCCCTTTTTGCCTTTTTCAACGCCCCTGAACCATAGAACCGGCCATGAATACCTTCAATTTCAACAACAGTACTACACCTACACCACGAACATCGTCACTACCGCCACCTACAGCTAATCGCTCAATTGATAACTCTTGGTCATCTCATGATCTAAAATTGATTATTTTTACCTACGACGATGGTATTCTTAAGCTAACAATTGCAAAACAGCTTGGAATTGACAAAGGGCGTGTTTATCGAGCAATTCAACGTGGCCATCCTACACCAACCAAATTAAAAGGTGCTAAACCAATTCTATCTGATCCCCAGATTGATAGAATTATTGCATATATCTCAACCTCTGAACAAACACGTCGAATGACAACGATTCATTGGGTCGAAAGTCAAGTTAACCTGCTAGCGTGGATGGGCCCGCAAATAGGCTATCCCTTTCGTTCGCAACGACTGAAGCATCAGCCGCAACTGATGAAATACTCCGCAATAACAGCATGCCTGAAAAGTACCAGATCTGTACCTAGGACACCAGAATTGCCAGAGAGAAAAATCTCTGGGACTTGTGTTTGACATTTGAGGAAATTATGTTTATAGAACAACAAATATCAACAAATATTATTTCTGAGCTCTGACCATTGCTTGGATCGAATCCAAATCATCAGCAAGCCTTCGACTATCCACTGAACAGATAAACTCCAAGTGGCACTCCAAGGCTTTCGCTTGTTCATACGTATCTATTCCAAGGCCACGTGGTGGATATTTGACAAATTAGGGATCGTCTTGACCGTGATCGTCGCAGGTCTGGGCGGGGAGGGACGTTCAAGCCTTGTTGGCGTGCATATTTTACCAAACCCTTCCGTACGTAGCATCTTAGTAGGCATTCAAAGAAATTGCCGGTCGGTGCCTCAATGGTATCTGTTATTTCTTGATTTGGTACAGAGGCACCGACCTGGAGCATGACAATATTCCTTTCCAAGTTGTGGGTCTGTTGGCCCAAAAACGGCCCCAAACCCCATCAATTCGAGTATTCTACATGAGGCAAGATGTGCGTACCAGTGGCCTTTGGTCACTGTCATTTTATGGAGTAGGTCGGGTAAGCGGGCACCCTGACGCGCTTGAAAGTTCATACGAGTAGTCGGCCTCTGCACACCGACCGAGCCTTGTTTATGTACAACCTTGCCCCAGGCCCAGCTCCTTTTCCTTCCGAAGATTTTCCCAGAAGTCTTCAAATCTCATATTGGCGTTGTGTATATGAGTTATACAACACATAGACTTAGGGGTACATTCTCTCGGTGATAATCTGAACCACACTACCAGTACAACCAGCACACCGTGGGATGCCTAGAATATGTGGACCATTATTTCTCTCCCATGGGTGTTGATTGAAACGGCTGAGTCGGAGAGCTTACCCTCTCAGCTTGCCGTAATAGTCTTTGAGCTGATTTTCACTACTGCTGCTTACCTGGGTATCTTGTTGACCTATATGAAGCTGACAGTGCTGGGAGATGACCTGGATGACAAGCCATATGCCCCTGCAGTTTGGACTGAAGAAGAAGCCGATAAAACGGATCGAAATCTTCCCCAAGATGTGTCTCGACCTGTGTCACCGATCGACGAGGAGTCTGGATATGCCTACCCTGTTTGTGAGAAGAGCCTGATGGAGTTGATCTATATCCTATAAGAGAGAGAAGATAATATATTAGTATTATATATAGTAGCTCTATAAATAGATATCTAATCTGGATTAGGTTTAATAGGGTTTTTATACTGATCTAGGACTAATTTAATCTTAGGTTAAATAGTAGGAGGAGAGGGTATAGTAACTTTAGATTATATACTACTATAGGAGACATCCTAAGTCTCATCGACATCAAGGCCATCCTGAACGTCTTCAAAATCATCCTCATGATCATCCTTAGCGCCATCAATTTGAGATGTGGCATCACCGGCCACTTCTTCGATGGCTTTCTTCTGCTCCTCAATAGGGATGAGCTCGACACGACCGATAGCATCGCCTTCATCGTCGACAATTTCACCGTCGTCATTGAGTGTGAATCGAATCATCACCGGTGGCCTATAAAGCACTGGGCTCAAATACGGTTGTTGAAATGGAAGGCTCAACACATCATGTCGTTGAGGCTGATGCGGGAGTTAATGACTTTCCTGAGGCAGAAAAGTCATAAGAGCCCCGAGAGGGGCAAGATAGCAGCGAAGCGTTTACAACTTCTATCATTGTTCCTTAATTACTCAGTAACCTGATAAAAACTTACACTTTCAAATAAATAATGCAGACGCATCCCATGGATAAATAGCTTCAATCCCGATGAGTTACCGAAAATCGTACTCTTACTACCTAGGTACTCGATCCGTTCGATCTGGTTCGTGTCACCTCAGGCTTGACAACTGCACTATTTCACTACTTATTTGACCTCAGCCATGTATAACCATGATGATACGTTGCAGAAAGATGGTATTTATCTTATCACCGCGACTCCATCTACATCTGATGTCACAGGCATGCTAATCATGGTCACATTGCTAAAACTTGACCAATGAGCGGAATACCCCTTTTGCAGAAGCTGATCTTGACTTGAAACTACTTTCTACAACTTTTTGACTTGTTTTTGTCAGTTGGAAGCATGTATCTGCAATATACTTGCTGTCCCACGGGCTCATCCCCAGATTATATTATGTCAGCATTCTAGCATGTGATGCCGCGGTGCTTTGATTATAATTCCATCTTCCGAGCGACCGAATCACCGAAGTACTGAACTTGATCACGAGTTCTTAAATTATTCTTTCCCCGAGAACTTCTAGCTTCATCCCTGAGACCCCCAGCATCACCATCGTCATGGCCGCTCTCTTCACGGTCCCGATCGCCTCGACCGGCGGCTCCATCGTCTGCACCAACCCCACAGGGCAGGGCCAAGACAAGCAGAATGTCTACCTGCTCACATTCATTTCGCCAAAGGACAATCGGCTGACACCGTCATTCATTGATGCGATGATTCTCGCTCTTGACATCATCGAACATCGCTATCCGAAGGGTGTTGTAATCACGACCAGCGGTATTACCAAGTTCTACAGCAATGGGCTGGACCTGGACGTTGTGGCGAGCACCGAGGGCTTCCTGGACAAGTGGCTATGGCAGTTGTTCCGACGATTGTTGACGTGCGTTATTTGATCCCCCCCTTCTCTTCCGGACAGATGCCCAAGAGAGCTGCAATCTAACAAAGCTGCCTTAGCTTCCCAATGCCGACCGTCTGTCTGCTCAATGGGCATGCATTCGCAGGCGGCTTCATGCTTGCCATGTACCATGATTATCGCGTTCAGAATCCTGAGAAGGGATTCCTCTGCGTCAATGAGCTTGAGTTTGGTGTCCCACTCCAAACCCCCATGATGAGCATTTTCCGTGAGAAGCTGGTTCCCACGACGTTCCGGAATGTGGTTCTCGAGGCGCGTCGATTTGGCGGCAAGGATTCCCTGCAAGCGGGAATTGTCGACGCACTGGGTGGACTTGATGAGACTCTTGCCTTGATTCGCGATCGGAAGATCTTGAACAAAGCTGATACAGGTATCTATGGTGTCATGAAGGAGGAGATGTACTCACGTGTGTTGAACGGTATCGATGATCATAATGGAAACCTTGCCTGGCGTGATAGGGTGGAAGAAAAGAAGGGAGACCTGCTGCAAAAGAGTTCGCGGGCTGTTGAGGAGTGGGAGAAGAACAGCAAGGCCAAGCTCTGATATAACTACCGGAAGTTAACCTTGGAAGGTGCTCTATGACCCCGAGCTGTAAATTTTCAGATAGAATGTGTAAATAACCTCATGCAATTTTGACTTGATTCAGTAATTAAAAGGCGATACACGGCTTCTTGGGATAGGAATTGGAATAGATCAAATTGTCGGTAATACAACACGAAGTAGAGGATATATTTCAGGAAAGGTTTTCCCGTAACTTGAACGTAATAGCTAACGTAATTCCCGCCCGAGTGAAACACCCGCCCGAGTGAAACACCTACCCCCATTAGAAAAATTCAAAATCGATTATCTCAACCAACACCTATTAATTCGGCTAAATATAGCGATTTTTACATGTATTAATCTTGTGCCCAGTCTCCCTGCACCCACTACACCTAGGCAGAGCCCTAGTACGTGGTGTATCTGCCTGAGCAGGCAATTCGCCCTGCTCGTGCGATACTACCCCATCACCTTCTACTAGCTGGTTTAGCTGTTCAACTAGCTGTAAGCCCTCTTCGACGGTTAGACCCTCTTCGCAGGGTATCTGCCTAGTTGACCGATTGCGCTTCTTGATAATTTTCTCGTTCGCCATACGTAAATTCGCATTATCCTGCGCTAGCAACGCAGCGTTGTGAAGCGATAGTGCAGTGCCCTTGATAATTTGATCTAGCATGCTTTTGATTGGGCTTGGAGGGCTACTTGACCGACGGTGTAGTAGATCCTTAAGCATAGATGCTTGTTTTTGTAGCTGAACAACAGTTCTAGACGTTTTTGGTGTAAATTGGCTAGATCTGCTGCTTGGCCGGCTGCTTGGTGGTGTAGGCGTTCGTAGAGAGATATTAAGCTTTGAAAGTACTCTTTCTGCATCGACTAGTACTAGGCCACTAGCTGTAAAGCTATTCTGAATAATAGCTGGCTTTTGGAAGGCCTCTAGCCGTACGTATTGATAGTTCTCCAAGAAATCGTACTTATCGATATGGTTATATCCCCTACGCGTAAGATCGCTGACGAAACGACTATACGCTCTCTTGACTACTGCAAAGCAGCCAATATCTAGTAGCTGTAGTAGATATAATGAATACGAAGGCATACAAAGAGGTATAATATTGTTTTCTTTACAGATTTGGTCGAATTGGGGCGTAAGGTGGCTACCATAACCGTCAAGAATCAGTAGGCGAAACTGGCCGCGTACGCGCAAATTTGTTGATGGGATAAAAAGCTTTTATAGCCAACGTAGGCCAATCTCATCAGTGGTCCAGCCGTTATTAGAGACCTCGATTCGCCAATCTTTCGGAAGATTATCGGTAAACTATCCTACAATAGCTACTTTGCCCTTAAAGATCACACATGGCGGTAGCGAATAGCCATCTGCGCATATTGTTTCGATAGCAGTAACCCATTCACGATTTCCCGGTTGTAATAGACGTCTCCGACCGTAGTATTCTGCCCGCATTACTACCTTCTGTAAGGATATAAGGCCCATTACAAAGCCTGTCTCATCAAAGTTATAGATATCCTCCGGTTGAATACCGTTCTCATCAATAACGCGTTGTACGGTAGAAAACCACTCTCGTAGTGATTTTAGGTCTTCGTTTAGTGCACGCTGGTAGTCGTATCGTACTGAGTAGCGTATACGTAGCTCATCACGACGTTGAATAAATTTAGATGGCCAATTCTTGCCAACAGTAGGCGGAGGTTGGCTACCGCGCGCAGCCAGTAGGATATTAGCCATTTCTCCTACAGTAGCCGGCCTAGGCGCTGCTCCACGCACATCCATAGAGAGAATCCACTCAGTAAGCGAATCCTCCTCTAATTGGGTCAATTTATGGCCGTTTGGGCGTATATCGACGCGTGAGGGTAGGCTATTCGCCCGTCGAGACAAGGTAACATAAGATACACCAAATTGCTTCGCAGCTGCGCGAATTGATTTGAATTGACCCTTTTGAATAGCTTGCAAGGCTAATAGAACCCTGCCCTCTTTCTCGGTCGCTTTTTGCCAGGATTCAGTGCGTTTTGGTGGCATGGTAGATGGTTGAAGCATGTAAGTTGGTCAGAACGCGCGATTTCTGGTGGGGTGTTTCACTCGGGCGGGTGTTTCACTCGGGCGGGAATTACGTTACCAGTAATGCTGTCACTCTTTACCAGGATTGAAATTTGAACACACCCAAGGAGTCAATAATGGCCCCACGACCCTGGAAGTCGAATTCCACGGTTAATCCTTCTATTGCGGGTCTTTAATAGTCATATAATAATAATATCACAATAGCGACTGGCAAAATATGTAATAATGACCACGATACTTAATCCAACTTTTTTCGAGTCATAACCCCATACAATCCATGCTACTACTACTAAAACCAATTTTTCCCAACTCCATATGATTGAAAGGCAGATCGTTCTGATAAACAGCAATCATAATGTATTGGTCCACCCTATATTGCCGCTTCTGTGGTAGTGATACGCTTGCCAGAACATGGGCTTCAAGTTCGGATGGGGATGGAGGGGTTCAAGTTCTAGATGGTTGGACTACTTGGCCGGGGCGTGAGTATCTTGCCAGGGGTTCCAGTGGACAGCCATTGGCTAATGGAGAATCTTTATAGTATATACGAAGCGCGGTAAAGTCTCTCTATCGACATTCGAGGAGCGAAAGGATGACCATGAGCTTCAGAAAAATTGGTACGACATGGTTATGGGCAAGGCGGAGCCCGAGCTAGCGCTCATATTCCACAATAAGTGCTGGGATGCTTTCATGAATTACTTTGGGCCAGGCACAATGGGTCTTAAACTTGAACGCATCTTCGCGATATGCAAATATATACAACATCCCAGTCAAAACTGGAACTTGAAAGGTGTTGGATGGGCCTTTGAAATTTATTCCAATGGAATGAAAATAGGGGGTGGGACAAATTTTGCGCGTGAGAAGGATTTGTTGGTTTTCCACTTAACAGGATCTCGAAATCCCCATATTGAAAGATATTCAGCGGAAAAATTCAGCCGAAGACTTGCCAAGTTGCCCCCACCTGCGACTTATATCGAGAGAAGTACCTCCCGGTGTCTCACTTCAAGTTCGAGCTTCATCTCGCCTCCAAGAGACATCTTTTTGCGTCTTAACTTCGACATTTTGGTCATTATTGCGAGCTTTCTTTCAGTCGAAGATGCTTTGAGCCTGTGCTCAGTTTCGCCCGCAACACATGCTGCAAGGGGCATGCTGAAGTCGCAGTCGTTTTGGAAAAGCAGGTTTCGATTGGACGGAGAGCTTGGATATTTAACCTTCCTTCTCGAGGAGGAGAGAACGTTGCTTTCCAGTAAAAGCATCAATTGGCAAAAAATCTACTATCGGGCACAGTCAGCTCTTCCAGGTGCAGTACAATACCAAAAAACTTTGGATATTCAACATTTCTGCTTGTTTCAAGATCTTGTCCGAAAAGAAAAGCGATTGTGGGAGAGACTTTGGTGGTTTAAAAATAGGTACTTGATGATTCGATTTCCAGCGTATAAACTCAAATCCTCAGAAAGATCATTGTTCAAGAATCTGCAGTGGGAAACGGCTGAGGTGGCGTCCATATACTTCAAAGGTCGACATAAACTGAGTTGGAGATCTACCAGGATCGTAATCCTGTACCCCTCGCTCCACCAAATAAAAGTCTGGGTTTTAGCGGACGGGCCAAACACTCATATCATAGGAATGGAGTTCGTCTTCAGGGATAAAAAGCAACCCAATCGGCGCCTCGGATACCGCATTCCGTCAAAGGAAATAGTGGTGAACATCGACAATCCAAAAGATATCAGAGCACTCGACATACGCAAATCAGGAGAAGGAATCGCCGCTCTTTGTTTCTTAAGGCCATCAACTACTGCTGGTGAGTCCTTGGAGCCGATCGAGCCGGGTTGGATTGGGACACCCAACATCGACGAAACAAGTAGGCTTGTTTCGAAGTCTGAGATTATGGCGCTTCAAGCGGTATTTGACGTAAGAAGAATCCCATTAAATTTCGAAGCCATAGCGTGTTCTAATGAGATGAGTCTAGTACTATCAGATGGCTGGGATTGGAATTGGGAAATCTCAAACACCAAGGACCATATTGAAAAAAAAAAAAAAAAAAATCACATTGCTTGACCGGGTTGATAATAAATTGTCCTAGCTTGTCCTGATACCAAAGTCATTGATCGAATATAGCGAGTTAATCAACGAGTTAATCAAGGGAAATTTGCTGAGATTCAAAAATAGACCGAAGAGGTTCCTAATAAAATCGCCAAGCTTGATAACAAGGAGATCTACATGGCATGCATGGCTACACGTTCTTGAACATACAACATGCGATGCACAACAGGTGTAGAATAGCTGCAGCGTAGAAAGCTGATTACGTCGCATACTAAACCAAGCCAATTGCACTGGGCAAAGTTCCAGACTGCAATAAGCAATATGGATGGCATCAAGCAAGGAGTAGGCCGTAGAATTACAAACCAGACGCTTGGAGACGGGACTTGACTGGTCTCGACGACAAAGAGCTCCGAGCAAGCACGAGAATGACCTTCGCCGAGACTCACAGCTGAAGGCAACTGTGTTGATGATGAAATTGTGATTAGGAATGAGAAAGATATAAATGGGATGGGTTGCTGATGCTTCTTGGTTCAGATCTACAAGATTCAACTCCCTACCTGGCCCATCCGATTTGTCTCAAAAAGAATCGGTAAGGTGTTTCGGGCTTCTGTTTCTCAGACATTTACGCCAGCCAAGCTTGCACTTAGTGATATTTCTCTCAATCATGAGGCCAGAATACCTTTTGGTATGTTTGGGTCTGGGAGTTAGTACCGTCGCTGCTCCTGTACCCACCGAAGCAAGTGAGTAATAACATATGTGAGGTTTGGTACTACGGCTGACGCCTGTTTACTATAGAAGCCGATGGAAACCTTTGTCTCAGAGGCGATGGCGGTGGCTGTTTTAGTGGAGGCTTTGGGGGAGGTTTCGGCATAGGCTTTGGAAGTGGATCCGAGAGAGGCTCTGGTAGAGGATGCTCTTCGGGGGATGAAAGAGGGGAAGGAGAAGAGGGCGGTGAAAGGGGAGAAGGGGGCGAGAGAGAAGAAGGTCGAGAAGGTGAAGAAGGCAGAGATGGCAGAGGTGGCTCTGGGGGAGCTGGTGCTGGCGGCGGTGGTGGCCTCGGGGGTGCCGGCGGGGCTGGCACTGGCGGCGCTGCTGCTGGTGGAGCAGGTGCTGGTGCTGGAGGTGAAAACAGCCAAGAAAACGGTATTCAAAACGGGGCTGGTGGTGGCCAGGCTGGAGGCCAAAGCCAAGAAGGCCTTGGAGGAGGTGGTCTTGGAGGTGGCGGAAATGGAGATCAAAGTCAAGGTGGCGGTGCCGGGGGCCAACAGCAAGGTGGTCCCCTTGGAGGTGCTCTTGGAGGCGGCGACGCTGGAGGTCAGGGAGGACAAGAAGGTGGAGGCTCAGCCGGCGAAGGACAAGGAGGTGACGGTGGAGAAAGGGGGGATGGAGGAGATGGAAGAGGTCCAGGGGGCAGAGGTGGAGGTGGAGGTGGAGGTGGAGGGGAAGGCAATGGAGATGGAAGAGGAGGTGGTGGCGGCGGAGGTGGTGATGGAAAGGGAGGAGGCCACGGAGGAGGTGGCGGCGGTGGTAGAGGTGATGGACGCGGAGATGGTGATGGACGAGGAGGTGGCGATGATAACAATGGTCACTCCGGTGGAATCGGGTTTGGATTTGGTGGAGGCGGCGGCATCAGTTGGGAGCATCAGAGATGAGCTGCCTTATGCAAAGCAAAGGGGAGACCTGTGATGAGCATCAAGTAATGTGGATCGGGTATGACAAGTTGAAACAGCATGAACATCGGGTGGAAATCGTTATAAATTGGTAATAATAATGGTCTTTTCGGACATCTATAGCATATTTGCTCCCGTCGTAATAGAATACATAGCATCGTAAGGTATACCGTGATCATCAAGAGCCCATCCAGGGCTCACTTCTTCGTCTTGTCGAGCCGGTCAACAAGTGGGCGATAAGGGGAGGCCAGAACATGTTCTGGCGCAGGTTCTCCCCGTCTGAGGTCTCCAGGACTTGGTCTGCGGAGTTGTTCTTCATGCATGCGGTCCAGCGAGTCGCCAACCACATGGTACTTGGACCAGTTGATTGGAGGCATGCGTACCACGTTTTGGGCCGCCGGTATGCGGCCAAAGGGAGACAACTTCGGATCTTTGCCTGTTGATTGCCCCCCCGGTTTCATTTTGGTTTTCTTCGTCTTCGTCGGTGTCCATATTGTCGTCTTCGGTGAATTGGATCACAGCGCCGCTGTCCTCCGTGCGTAATCTCCCCGAGGCCAGATCACGGGCAAAGCCTTCTGGATCGGAGCCAGCAACATCTTTCATACGCTCGAGGCTTTGGATGTCGCGCAAACTTTGTTGTTTCTGCAGTTGCAATATTGAGATCGCCGACCGCAGAGCGATCGCATCGGGGTTCTCGCTTTCGGAGATAGGCACGGGAGGCGGTTCTGGTTTAATGACAGCCGGTGCTGCAGGTGGCCGCGGGGCTTGGTAGGCGGGTGTCTCTGGTGCAACTTGAGTTGTCGGCGACGGCGACAAAAGGGGTGGCACTATTGTCGCATTGTTGGTTGCGACTGGATCGAGATGGGCGAATACCGGCGTCACTGGAGAATATGGCGGGCGGGGTGGGGTGCCTGGCCGATCATCCGTGATGGTCGCAGCGTCGGAAGGCTGCATAGCCAGGGGAAGAAAACTGCGGTGATGTTGAGCCACGGTGGTAAAATTGGGGGAGGGTGGCCTTCTGTAATTTACAGAAGCACCCTTGAGTCGTAAATACAAAAAGAAAAGAAAAAGTCGGAGAAAGCGGGGAAGTCGAAAGTCGTCGAAGGCCGGCGGTTTGTGGCTCAGGGCCCGCACTGGCGTCACCGGCGTGAGGCTCTTCCGATGCGCCAACAATTAGAGACAGGCTCAGTAGCCACGCAGCCACAGTTGCGCAAATGCACTTGGGTGTCGATTTTTCAAGTCAGGCGAAGGATGATATGATGGTTGAATTCGTGATAAGAGGGCGAAGTGCTGGCAAACCTGTCAAGTACGGGGAACCCAGCCCAGTGTTTGATGCAATTTGTCTGGTCCGTGGGAGACATAAGATATGCGGGATTGCTATCCCGGCGAAGAATAAGTGCACAGGTCTGTACAATACCAAACAGTTCGCATGCCAAGTAGGGAATATGAGTGGAAATGTGAGTGGAAATGGAAGTGGAAGTATGTCGAGGGAAGGACATGGTCGAAGATGAACAATCACGAGGTGTTTGACCGCTTTCGCATTTTGCCCAATTGTCTCGTTTCACCGCCTCCGCTTTCAATTTTTGATCAGCCCACCGCGACATCTCCGCTTCCATGTGCATTTACTAACTTACAACACACCCAAAAATGAAGCGCAAGACTGAGGAACGACCTTCGCTTGATGGCAATGGCTTGCCTAATTCCAAAAAGCGTGCGCTATCTACCGAGGAGGCCGTCAGCCGTTTCAGTGATGGATTGTTCGACCCCGCGAAGCAGAAGAACTACACCGATTCTTACGCCAAGTCGAGCCCGTACGTTGACAATCATATTCCTATGAGCATTGGCAGATGTTTGCTCGAAATTTGACTCATTTTGCTTATTTTTAGTTATTACCACGGCGTCATCCACCCTCTTATCGAACCATCTCTGCTCCGTTCCGTCCGCGATGAAATTCAAGAACACCTCTCCTTCACCGAGAAGGAGACCGATATTTATAAGATCTTCCAATCAGGAGATCTGGCCAACCTTGACGGTCTTGATGATTCCTCTCTCTCCAAACTGCCGTCTATCTTGAAGCTCCGCGACGCCATGTACTCGGCACGCTTCCGTGAATACTTGTCCTCCGTGACTGGCTCTGGAAAGCTGAGTGGACAGAAGACCGACATGGCGATTAACGTGTATAACGAGGGATGCCATCTTCTCTGTCACGACGACGTTATCGGTAGCCGACGTGTCAGCTATATCCTCTACCTGACCGACCCCGACACTCCATGGCAAGAACAATGGGGCGGTGCCCTGCGCCTGTACCCAACCACCACCGAGAAGGATGCCCAAGGTGAGGATGTCAAGATTCCCAGCCCGGATTTCAGCCTCTCCATTCCCCCGGCTTTCAACCAGCTTAGCTTCTTCACCGTTCAGCCGGGTGAGAGCTTCCACGATGTCGAGGAGGTATACCACCCCCGTGACGGCGAGGACAAGTCCAAGAAGCGCGTGCGCATGGCAATCAGCGGCTGGTTCCACATTCCTCAAGAAGGCGAGGATGGCTACGAGGAGGGTTTGGAGGAGAAGCTAGCGGAGCGCAGCAGTTTGGCCCAGCTGCAGGGCCGCGGCGACATCTACGATCTGCCGCAGCCAAACCCCATTGCTTGGGAGGAGCCCGAGGTGGAGGGGAAGGGCAAGGGCAAAGTTGAGGAGCAAATAGAGGGTAACGAATTCTCAGAGTCTGATCTGGAGTTCTTAGTCAAGTACATTGCGCCCTCATATTTGACCCCCGATATTGCCGAAGAAATGTCAGATTCGTTCGCGAGCGAGTCCTCTCTCAGTCTGGAGCGATTCCTACATGAGAAGTTTGCTTCTCGGGTCAGCGCGTACATTGAGGAACAGGAGCGGCAATCTCTTCCCTCCTCATCAGAGGAGATCAAGTCCCAAACTGGATGGACCGTTGCTCGTCCCCCGCACAAGCACCGATACTTGTATCAACAACCTGCATCTGGTGAGACCGAGAATCCCATCAAGGAGATTTTGAATGTCCTCTTCCCTTCGCAGCCTTTCCGGAAATGGCTGTCCCTTATCACTGGCGTCGATCACCTTACAAGCCACAACTTCCTTGCCCGTCGTTTCCGTCGCGGTGCAGACTACACACTGGCGAGTGGATACGACGCCGAAGAGCCTCGTCTGGAGTTCACCCTTGGCCTCACACCATCATCGGGATGGGAGAAAGAGGTGGAGGAAGAGGAAGAGGATGGAGAGAACGGCGGGGCTCAGTCCAAGCCCAAGGATCAGGCCAACGGTGATGCCGCTGAGCACCCCTCGGTTGGTGGCTATGAGATTTATATGGCTGGCGACGACGAGGAAGATGAAGAGGAGGACGAAGAGAATGCCGATCAGGTACTCCGGCCCAAGGAGAAGAAGAAGGCAGACCCCGCGATCTATCGCTCGGCCGGTGCGGACGAGGACGATGGCATTTTATTCAGCACACAGGCTGGCTGGAACCGTCTTAGCATTGTACTCCGTGACAATGCAACTCTAAAGTTTGTCAAGTACGTCAGTGCAGCGGCTAAGGGTGACCGATGGGATATCACTGGTGATATTGGAGTCCAGTTCGAGGAGGGTGATGACGACGACGACGACGAGGATATGGACGACCAAGGCGAAGATGAAGGAGAAGAGGACGAAGATGAAAATGAAGATGAGGAAGAGGAGGAGGAGGAGTAGATTTGACATTGGCAACATCGTTACTTAGCCTATTACTAGCCAAAAGTTTGTAGATATTCATCAACCCCCGATTTATGATACCTGTCACCGCGCACGCGCACGCACACACACATTTTACACACCCGACCACATCCATATCGATCAATAATTGGTCGAACATGCAATCTCCTCCATCTGCTCCAAGTTCTCCTGCAGAGACTCACACTTCGCCTGGAAGCAACTGTAACAATCTGGCCCAAGCGGCAATCGAAGCAGATTCTCTTTCCCGACCCCCATGTCCGTTCCACTAACAACCTCCAAGATCCTTGCTGCGGCCTTGACAGGATCGCCTTGCTGGCTTCCATTACTCGACCTGAATGCGCGAATCATATCGTCCACCGGTGTTCCCACATAGTCCGCCGTCATCCCAGCCGCAGGTGTGACGAATGCCGACAAGAATTTAGTCCGGAAAATGCCAGGCTCTACGATCAGCACGCGGATTCCAAAGGGCCGCAACTCTGCTGCCAGACTTTCTGACACACCTGCAACAATTTGAAACATGTCAGATGAGGACAATCAGGTCTTTAACTCTCCTCGTTCTCACTCACCCTCAAGAGCAAACTTTGACCCAGCGTACATGGCACAGCCCGGAAACGCCTGGAATCCAGCACTACTACTAACATTGACGACAATGCCAGACCTCTGTGCACGCATAAATGGCAAAACACCTTTCAAGACGCGAATCGGTCCGTACAAGTTCGTGCTGAACTGTGCCTCAATCTCCGCCTCGCTCATGTCTTCAATGCTGCCTAAAAGGGAGTAACCCGCATTATTGACCACCACATCAATTGATGAGCCACCGTTTTCACGGACAATCTCTTCCACGTGGCGGACTGTATCGGTCTGTGTCACATCTAGTCTGACCCAGACGCCTCCTAACTCTGTGATTTGCGGGTTTTCAAATGCGGCTTTCTCTGGGTTCCGGGCTGCTGCAAGAACCTGGTTTCCAGCGCGTAGGGCTGACTCGGCGATCGCTGCTCCTAGTCCAGAGGAGGCACCAGTGATGAGCCAGGTTTGAGAAGACATTTTGAAGGAGTTGGGGGGGGGGGGGGTGAAGGGAGAGGACTTGTAGCAGGTTGACTCGAATTATTAGGTGGTGGTTGTCCTTTTCCAGAAGCCAGGCTGTTTTCGCCAGGGCTTTCTAGTACCTGCGGCATTTTATACCAGTCAATGAGGCTTTTGGCTTCAGCCCCTGAAGTTTTGGTCACAATACGCGACCGATTAGGGAAATCGTCTGCGAGCATGGCATTTTTCGGCCCCATCCACGTCTCATGATAAAGGGCCTAGTCTAATTGTTTAATGATGTTCTAGATCGGAGTTTAGCATGGAGTTTACAACTTAAACGCGCCCGGCGAGATACCCCACAGATATGAAAGAGCCGTTCTAATTCGATGAGCCTCAATGATACACGGCAACGCCCCGGGGCCCGAAACCTCACTAGTCTCAATCTAACCCCTTATGAGAAATGAGGGAAAACAGAACTCCAGCTAATACTATCATACGCATCCTTAGGCAGAAGTCGCAGACCAGCCAACGATATCACCAAGAAGTAAGCCCGAGCCACTGTGTACACAATGATAACAGTGAAGAACAAAGGTGCAGCAAGGATATCAAAATCCCCATCTCGAAAGACAAAGAATATCTTCCGGTTTGATCGGACCCCCATCCACCATAATACCCAGAGCGCACCCCAAAGCGGGGAGGTGACAAGGCAGAGCGCAGAAGTTCGCCACAACCAGCGCTCGATGGGCGTTGGAAACTCGTAGTTCCAGGCTGCTAGATGAAGTCTGCCGTACATGACGTTAAACAAAACATGCAGGCCCTTATCGAGCGATAGTTCATGACCGACATTCGTGCTCCAGCTGCCCTAAATACTGCGAACATTGAAATTGCCGGCGCTTTCGCGGAGCACGTCGAGGGGCTGGCTATTCTCATGAACGGATCGAAAGATGTCACACCCTCTGCTTTCCAGAATTCGCAGACCCTGTCGAGCATTTGGAGCAATACCATGCAATATATAGACATCTTCGTCGGAAGATTCGTCGAATTTAAGATGTTCGATATCGTCAGCATTATATTTTTCCAGTAAGACAGGTAAAGACTTTAATTGCGGAACACAAGGCGGCAGTGCATATCCATTTTCGCCTCTGGAAGCGAGAATAACGCGCTCCTTCCAGTATTCCATTCTTCGAACGCGACAATGCTCACAATGCTTGAGATAGAGAGCGTGACTGATAGAGTAAAAGTTGAAAAGAGCACCAATGTACTCAGTATCCGTCCCCGCCAATTCAATGGACTGGGTCAAATTGTACGGTTTATTAAACCAGATGGCATAGAGCAAGATCGTACAACCGACATGGATAGCGGTATGTGTTTCCAAAGGCGTGACAGTAATTCCCTGAATAAGGCGCGCCACGACCTGTAGCGCGAACCACAGGATTTGGAACAGAACCAGCAGTTTGGCGAAAAGGTCTGCTTTGCTGCGTTCCTCGATATCCGTCGCTTGGATCGTCGGCAAATAACCGGTTTTGGCAAGGATCGTGATTCCTTCAGAGGCGATGAGACGACGAATAGTCTTTTCGTGCCCATGGCGATCCGTGCATGTCGTTGTCATGGCGAATCCACCCATTACTGCGAACATGGCCTGTTCTATAACCCATGACCCTTTAGCGGAGCCGTTAGCTGCGCTAAATAGAGGTGGATACTACTCGAGTCTCCATTCGAGTAACTGCTCCATTGATCCGATTCAGGGGTCATTGGAGGTGAAATAATTGCCTGTGGTTGGATCAGCTGTGATCATAATTTTGTTTCTCGAATCTGCTAAAATAAGAGGGGAAAAAAAGAAAGGAAGGAAGGAAGGAAAAAGAGAATGCTGACTTACGGCGTAGCGGCTAGCTTGATTCACGTCTAGCATTAATCGACGCGCAAGTAGACGCTGGTTCAAAGCCTCGGACATGATAATCTCAGGAAAGATAATGGCGAGAGCCATCAGTCCTAGGCGATGACAGACGGCGCATCGTAATCGGTACACAAGAGGAACATTCGGATGAACAGCCGTCCAAACACATAAACCCAGCGTCGACAAAAAGACCAAAGAATATCGGTTAAGCCTCTTCCAGACGGACTAGGAGTCCACTTCTGAACTTCAGGCATGTTATTTAAACCCGTGGCTTCTTCCCAATGGACTAATGTCTGGAAATCCGAGAAGCGAGTGAAATGTATAGTTTTATAAATCATACCCCTTACGCGAGCCGCAGGGAGTAGCCTAGTTGCACGGAGCAGTGAGAGGTCGAGAATCGGTGACACTTCGTGGCTAGTTCAGATATCAATGAGTTTGCGGTCGCAGGGCTATTGTCACACCTGATAGAATCCTGAGTGGGACGCCTTGTTCAGAGGCCTCCTCTTCTTCGCATTGCCCCAAATATTCTCCGCTTGAGCCTCGAATTGCGGCGTTCTTCGTTCTTTCCTGGCTTCAATCTCCATTTCTTTCTTTGCCTGGATATGCACATCACAAATGTCGTACCGATCAGACTCCCGATGGACATGGATATACTTCTTTTCGAATCTGGCGATGACTATCTTTTCAATGGGTATGCAAGGGTATGCCTTTCCTCTATAAAGAAGGATAACAAATCCAAATAGTCATGAAGCGACTAGCGGTGACTGCCAGGTGGACTATTGAAGCATTAACTGTGAAATAAGACCCACCAATTAGCATATTCTCCAGGGGCATTATCGGTGTTCTATTATGGTCCTCGTCCCTTTCGTCTGCATTCCCAGCGAGTATTGCCTTGGTTGTCATATCATGCCTCTATCGACAGGTTCTAGTATATGACACTTTAGCTCAGCAGAATATCATCCAGGCCGGCGGATTGAGTGTACTCTATGGGATGGACTGCATTTTCAACGGCATGGAATATTCCGCCAGGGATTCCACACGTGCAATCACCCAGTCTGATGCAATGCCTGATAACAACCCGCTGATTGAGTCTCGGACTACGCTAGCAAGAAAGCTATGTCTCGCCTTGGTCATAGTTATGCCATGTTGGACAATATTTTCTGTGTTTCTGGTTTGGAGATTGCAGCGTGAGATGGCTTGGAAGACATTTCGTAAGATGAATGCAGATCTGGTCATGCAGCATAAGTATCGTACTTTCCAGGTGAGTTTCATCCAATGGCCCATGTATTATTACTCTACTGCGCTGACTGATGCTCTTTCAATCAATATTACTAGGTGCTGGTGGCTTTCCTCAAGTTCGACGCCCTCTATGTCCTCGAGTATATCGTTCAGATCATCATGGTGGTTCCAAACTCGGAAGGACCTCCCCTTGGGAATATTTCTCACTGGGTTACTCCAGTGCTTTGGACCATGTTATCCATGTCTTTTCTTCTCTTCCTCGCTACGGCATATTGTGTTCGACATGAGCATACTCTGAGAACATTTATCCTCATGGTAGGTTATAGCTTCATCTAGGTCCGCGGAATACATAGCTAAAGATTCACCAGGCCATCTATCTCTGTATGTTTCTTGTGATCGGTTGGTTTATCTTCTATTTGAAATCCGCAAGATGGAGCAAATTGAGCGGCTCCCTGAGCTTGTCCTTTTATGGGATCTCCTCCGCCATATTAGTATTCTGCACTCTATGCATAACTGCTATGTGATATAGGAATTTCCACCATGGTCTCAAGCCTTATATAGGTGGAGGCAAGATGGCGGCTCTTCTTGAGGAGAATTTCGAAATGGAGACGCTCAGAAATGATTCGTCCACTGCCATGACCGAGGCATAGAATGTTGGTGGAAATTTTGAATGGACTCATGCCCAATTCTACATTGTCTGAAAGCGGAAAAGCAAAAGAAAAAGAAGTGATATGTTATGGTTTGATTCTTTCTATTCATTCGTGTAGAATGAGGTTTATGTTATGAATTACAGCATAAAGAGCCATCTACCAAGGACTTCAGACCCGAATGGGACAAGCTTGTTATTTCAGAAAGGTAACATGCCCAGGTGCATTGAAGAAAAATCTATAGTCTATGTAGATCTGCTTCTCATCCCGTCCATTTTACTTCCAAATCATGAAGAATACCTAGTACCTACTAGGATATCCCCACGCGCCCGATTGGACTGGACTGGCACCTCCGAGTCCGAATTCAGCCTTAGGCACCAATCTCCACCCCTGCGGTATCGAGTCATTTCTCGAAATCGTAACCATACCGAACCTCGAAAAAATATAGCGACTTATTGAAGCTGAATTAATAACTGCTAATTCTCCTATTTTTTGAACGGGTTTCGGGCTATAGAACTTGAATGGCACACACTTGAAACCGAGTTCAGACATATATATGTGTGTCTGTGGATCATCCCGAATCTATTGATCAACGGCACGACCCCTACATAAAAGCCCTGGAGGTCGAGTAAAACAGGGTTTCAGTCTCAGAAAGTGATCTATCGAAATGAGCTGCTTACTAGTAGATAATGACAATTATTTTAGAGAATTTACGAAGTTCCAAGGTTAGTATGAAGACGTAATGTTGGCATCGTGCTGCCTTGCCAGTTACTACTAGTGAGTGCCAGTGGTACTCTGTGCCCAGGACTTGCCACTGGCACCTCTGCAGTCATCTATACTCGACACGCAGTAGGTCAATCCACAGGCTAATCCAACTGAGACCGGCAGCAGTTGAAACCGGTGGACCAGGACAAACAAAGACGCAGGCCTTACTGCATAGTACTATTGCCACGAATTTACAGGCCGGGGAAGTGAAACTGAAACAAGCCCTGGCCCTGACACATGGCGCGACCCTTTGGAGTGGCTAAAGTAGTAGCTACATGAGGTCAGTGAAATGTACGAGTAGTTAGCGAAGTCTCCGGGATGGGATGGATCAGCTACTGTACATAGCAACTCGCGACCAATGTGAGTCACATCGCATAGACCTCAATAATTGATTCCGGGGTTCGGTGGGCTTTGATCTGATCTGATCTGATCTACCCTAGCTCCATCCCACCCCTTCAGTGTTGACTTTGTTTAGTTTAGCTGGTACCGATAGTCTGGTCCGGGTTACGGACATGGTACGAAGTACGAAGTACGAGGACCTAGTGCTTATGTACCTCGGTGTACATATGGCAAACGCGCCGCAATGCAGTAGAGTGCATCGCAGTGCAGTGCAGCGCAGCGCATCACATCACATTACATACACACATGGGAGCCAAACATGACGAGTCAGCACTGCTGGAAAGACGGGCAAGATTCCCCGTGGGAATCCCAAACATTGTCTCTGGGGCATGGGGCAGGGAGGGATCATGATCATGATGATCCACGCGAGCGCGCAGGCCAGGGGGTGGAGGGAGTGGAGGGGAGTGGAGCCGGGAACAGTACAGTACAGCACAGCGCTAGGGTATTGGGATGAGACTACAGTAGGAGTGGGAATGGATTGGACGCATGGAGATGCAGGGTGTAATATCCGTAGTTCTGTGCGTAGCGGTAGCGGCAGCGGTAGCCGTGCAGAGCAGAGCAGAGCAGTCAACAAGGGGGCAGATGAAGAAAGGGAGAGGAGGCGGGTAGCATGGAATGATCTACCAATCGAGTTTCTCCGCTTGACCTCCCCAGCTTCGGGGATGAGGCCCGGCTGGCGACGATCAGGAGATCTTATCCGTGGCGCTAATTCATGACGAGGGGGCGCTAGTTTTTAAGCCCCTTCGGAGGGGAATAGTGAGGAGAGGAGCACTGAAGGCGCTCGGTGATCCAAAAATGGAATGGCACGGAGGAGAACATAGTTCGGAGTATGTATGTACGTTGTACTGAATGATTGTGATGGTGGTGGTGAGGTGGAGATACCGCACTATTGGGGAGGCCGCAAGGCAAAAAAGAAAAAAAAACCCAAAAAACCGAAAAACCGAAAAAGAAAAAAGAAAATAGAAACAGCCCCAAAAAGGCGTGAACCACGCACGAACCACGAACCACCGAGCATGAACCACGAACCACGCTGCTGGCGTGGCCCATGGATCAGTGAGGATAGACCATCTGGAATGGGCGGATGGGCATGGCATGGGCATGGGCCCGGGCCCGCGCGCTCGAGCCACACGAAATTATTGCATAACTCGACCACAGATCAGATCAGATCGTGGTGACCATCCCTTGAAAGTTAATACGTGTCGGCAGTTTTGGCTCTGCTTTGCGGTCAGTCTCGTTCTACCGGCTACGTATAACTTTTACTAGTAGTATCGTGTGATATTCCGGGGAGGCTGCGAGAGATGCTGCCGATACTACAGATACCACCATACTGGAATCTGCATATCTGCACATCTGCATCGAAGACAGCATTAAGGTAGAGGAATGGAAGACTGCTACGGTGTCAAGAGGGTCTGGCATGTACGAGTGTCGATCGATCCAGAGACATTCTGCAAGGCTACAGAGCCATGTGGCATCCCTGTATGATAAGCGCAGACTAACTCGAAGAACGATACTAGTGGATACGGGGTACTGTATGGAGTAGATACAGCACATGGAGTACGAGTACTCATGTACTTACACTCAAAAGGAGAGAAGGAAGAGAAGCTGAAACGCGCCACGGTGGCGCAGTATCTTGCTGCCTGGTGGAAGAGTTACGAGTACTCTTACTCGTACTGAAATGGAAATCCCAAATAAGCTCGAGCAAATGCCAAGCAGCGAGGGTCACACAGCCTCCGAGGCTAAGCTGGTAGCTAGCAGGTTGGGTTGGGCACTGACACCTAGGGAACTGGAAGAGGCGATCGGTGTTGAGTTGTTGGGGACGGCAGCTGGCCGGTTGGCCTCGAGTGACATTCGGGACGGGTATGTGCAGCGTCCGGCCCAGTCGAGGAACAGATGAGGAGAAGAGAATTGGCCATGGAGAGAGCATGGAGGAGCGGAGTTGACAAGCTTCCAGGCGATCCACGGGCTGTTTGTGCAACCTTGGCGCGGCGATTTAGTTGTGGGCGGTAGTCTCGTATAGTACAGTACGGGTAAGATGGCATGGTCTAGGTCTGGTCTACTCGTTCGGTACTACCTAGCAGGAGAATAATGATAATGATAATAATAGTAATGATGATTGTGAGCTGGATGTATACAGAGTTGAGAATGGGAATAGGCTACAGAGATCTGTACTCTGTACTGTGTCCTCGACTGTACTCGTACTGTATTATTATCTGTACAGTACAGTACACAGCCACGCAAGGGCCCCGCCTCCACGTGAGAGCCACAAGCGGAGCAGCGCAGACTATATGGTTAGCAATGGGAGCATGGCACAGGTACGGCTTGGATGGAGTACAAAAAAAGAGGAGTAGAGTTGCACTGGCAAAGATGAAAAATGAGATTGGAAGATGATGTGAGTAATTGAGGAATATGGTTGAGGAGTCAACCACGTTCGTGACGTGAAGACTCTGGTCATGATGTAATACGGGAAAAAACGTGTGCTCCTTGCGTCGGCAGGGGGTCAGTCAGTACAGTACATACAGTTGGTACAGGTATAGCATAGCATAGGAAAGAATATACTATTCTATGTACTATTTTAACCTCTGATAGACTACTATAGTATAGATAGTATAGATAGTATAGTAAATGCTATACATATATACTACTAGTAGTATACTCTATGCTACAAGTTGAGTCTCCTCAGCTCTGTACTCGTACGAGTAGAGTAAGTCTGCAACCTTGCTTGCCTCGTGGCCCAGGTTGCGCGCAGTAGCGGCTTGGCGTATGATATGGTCATATCCATACCTTCATGCATTCAGTAATTTATACATCCAATAATTCATACATCCAGTAATTCATACATCCCTACTTTACCACAGAGAAGAGAGTACCAGGTCTGCTTTAGATAAGAGTGTAGGAAGTAATAGTAGTAGTATACCTTAGGACAGATATTTACTCCCACTATCCTTTACTAAAGTGTAGTACTTGGGTACTTGGTACACTGTACTCGTCGGATGTATCCACTGTACAATACCATACAGCCCAAAGTCAAAGTCACAGAAATGAAGAACCAAAAGAGCCAACAGAACGAAAAAGAAAGGAAAAAAGAAAATAAAAAAGAAAGAAAAGAAATGCCAAAACAAAACCAGACAGCACCCCCCCCCCTTCCATCTGCCTTCGTTGGGTTCCATCGGACCTTGACTTTTTTACTCTTCCCCGATTTGATTCGACTGAAGATTCTCTCTCCACACTTTCCCTCCGCCATGCCTGACTCTGACTTCCCTTGACCACACTTCCCTCGTTATTAACACGGTCGCTATCTCTTTCTTTCTTTCTTACCATATCACCGATACTTTATACTTGTCCTTGCTCTACTATACTCTCCTCTCCTTCTTTCTCTTGTTCACCTCCCTCATGGATTCCCTTACCCATCGGCCATGGGAGCATCAACCTCACCACCCTCCCTCGGGCCCCCAAACCCCCGCCGCCTCCTCTCAGACTTTGCCCTCCATATCAACCTTGACGGCTAATATGAATGGGGGCTCAGGCCCAGTCCCCACCGAGAAATCACCTGGCAACGCTTCTCTCAACACCATCGAACGGGACTCGGGGAATTGGTCCATGCCGCAAAGCACAAGTAAGTCGACTCGTCTCGAGGTTGATGAGTTGTCGCATACTTACCAGATGGGCTCTACAGGATCTTCTACCTACTCAACTGTGACCAATGGCACTGCCAATCACCATAGTCAAGCTCATAACCAGAACAACAACTATCCCTCGCTCAACTTCCTCACCTCCACCTCGCAACCATCCCCCAACCGCAATCACATTGTGCCAGACCGGTCGCCCTACGCTCACGACCAATCGACCACTCCCTCCTCCGCTGGCGCAAATCACCCCTCGCCCGGTTTTCACTCGTCGCAGCCCAATTCCGCCTTGCCCTCTATCAATCAGAACTATGACGCCTCCTCGCAGCGGGGGAGTGTGGTCGACATCTCCGAGTCGCGACGCAGCAGCGTGGATAGTCGCATGAATCAAGGCATTAGCTCCCTGGCCATCAATCCGGCCTCTCCGTACCACAGTACCAATGCCTCGCAATCCTCAATCGTCTCGAGTCTCCAGCGCGAACGCGGGATCACCAATGATGCGAACTCCTATCGAGGGCCGCGATATTCCGGGGGTAGCCAGCCCTTGTCGCCCTTAGGACCTCGCCCAAGCGAACTTCGAAATTTCGCAGGCGGTCGCACTGCACCGGCGATTTCTTCGAATCCTCGATCGGAGATTTACAACGCCGAGGCACCAACGGCTGGTATGGCCTACGCCTTTCCCGACCCGGACGTCGCACGATCAAGCTCCATTTCTTCCAACGAGAAGTCCAATCCGCCTTTCTCAAGGAAGGGCAGCACAGCCGAATCCCTCAGCAGCTTGTACTCGGAGTCGCGTATGCCGCGGGGACAACATGGTACGTTTTTCTTCTTCTCCCTCGAGGTTGACCACTGATCCTTGTACTTACTCACCACTGAATGTGTAGAACTGCCGCCAAATGTACACCATCACTCTCTACAACACAAGCAGGTCCGCGACTTGATAGGCGAGGCGGATCCATCCGGAAACACACCCTACAGCCGGACTCCCGAATTACGCGTCACGCATAAACTCGCCGAGAGGAAGCGCCGGAGTGAAATGAAGGACTGTTTCGAGGCTCTCCGCGTGCGCCTCCCCCATGCCCAGAACAACAAGTCGAGCAAATGGGAGACCTTGACTCGAGCGATCGAGTATATCAGCTCGCTGGAGAAATCGGTCGGTCAGATGCGTCGTGAAACTTCCATCCTCCGCAACGAGGTGGACGAACTACGCGCCCAATTGAATCAACAGCAAGGCAATGGGCCTTCGCGATCGGCTTCTATCTACGAGCACCCGATGGTATCTACGCCAACTAATGGGCAGGCTCCGCCGGGCCCAGTTTTCGCCCAATTCGGGAACGGAGTTCAGCAGATGGAGCAGCAGCAACAGCAGCAACAGCAGCAGCAGCAGCAGCAGCAGCAACAGCCGCGCACGCTGCCTCCGTTGATGAATGGCTCCGTCGCCCCGATGCAGGGAATTCAGTATACCGATGAGCGACGGTGATGTTGACGGCGAAATCACCGTGCTCACGAATGAGAAATGAACTAGTCATGTTGCACCACGCATGCACACAACACGCCCACGCACCTCCACCGACCACGACCTCCATTTCATATTGTCATCCTATATATCCCTTGTTTTAGATCTGGGCCCTCAGGGTATTTTGCGCTACCTGTCTCGAGCCATTCCAGGTCTTTCAGGTCTTTTGCATAGCCATAGCCATAGCCTGTTGAGGCTGGTTGGCTGTCTTCCTACTCTCAGCTTTCATTTTGTCATTTTGTCCGGGCGTGGCTATCTTTTCTTGCGACCTTCCAATCTTCTTGTGTCACCCATCATACCCGCGCCATAGCTTGCGTCCATTTGCTTTCCCTTTCCTTCTGTCAACTGTCTTCTTCTCTTACTGCCTCGCGGCATTCGTCTCATTTCTGCATGTTTTGGATATGACGGGGTATTAGGAAACGGTATAGGTTCATCATGGGAATGTCTCTTTGCTTCATTGCTCCCCATTGCTCCCTCATTTGTTTTGTGTTTTATTTTATTTTCTTTTTCTTTTTCTCCTTGGACTCTGTTTCAAGCGTCTCCTCCTCATTGCCCGGAGTGTGTACCAAATATCCCAAAAGGCGTGCGCGGCATGCGATGATATCATTCTGCTTCTCTGCGTTTCTTCTTTCATACGTTGTATACCAAGTTGCTCTGCCATAGGCACTGTCGAATGGAATGGAATTGAATTGGCCGAGCTATTATCGCCAGTTCTAGATTCATGGAGTCTGTGTGCTGCCTCCAGCTCTCCGGCGAATTAAACCAAGCGCCCAAGCTCAAAGTAAAAGTAAAATCAAAAGTAAAACCAGCTGGTGTCAAAGCTGCAGAAATACCACCTTGTTTCAAACTAAAAACAAAAACAAAAGACAAAAAAAGAAATAGCCAAAATAGGCCCGATTCTATTTTGGCCGCACCAGTCAGCGATCTCCTTCTAAGCGCCCGCCCACGCAGCGGTTAACCTCAACCTTTCACTTCCCCCCCAGACTTGCCAGAGTATCCAATGGAATTGTCTCCTGATCTCCCACCCCTGCCGATCTTGATTGCCTTTGTTTGAGATCGCTGCAGAACATGACTTTTTCGGCGAATTCATTGGCCAACGCACCCTGGTGGCCTGTCGGTGATGACCCGTTTACCTGACGTCTGCTATGCAGTGCGCAGAGCAGCGCATAGCACCGCAGAGCAGAGCTCTTTTCTTCCGGCGCTGGCCACTTTATTGACCTTTTTATTTTCCGTTCTTCTTTGCATTTGATCTCGACTTTCATTTTTCGTCTCGTCTCTTCTTTATATTTTTTATTTCTCCGTCTCTGGTCCAACCAGTGAATGCATCCCCGGGCGTTTCTTTGTTGTGTGCATTGTTTCAGGCGCCACTCTCTTCGATTCACATATTAATAGATCGACTATCTCTTTGTTTCTTCATATTGATTCCTGAGCGCCCCCCTTCATGGTATGCGATAGTCGACACTTCCCTGCACTGCAGCACTGACAAACAAGCTAACCACCCCAACCTTTATACACATTCAGCCATACAAGCCCAGCGCCACCATCACCACCACAGAATGGTTTTCAATCGACAAAAGCAAAAGCCAGCAGATCTTCAAGTGCCCGTCGTCCCAACATTCCCTCTTTCTTCGCCCATCAGCGAAGAAATCGAGAGTCCGTCATGTTCGTCTGCAGAGGATCGAGATATAGAGCGCACTCGACCATTCGATTTCCTCGTCAAAGCGACTAGACAAAAGGTCGAGAAACGGCAGGCCCTGGCTCGTGAGATATCATCCTTGGGTTTATCCCATCGAGATCGGCATGGCGAGGCTCCGGGTCCAGGATCCAGGCTCAGTATGCGCGGTATCACCAAGAAGAAGAAGAAGAATGCCTCGAAACCAGTTGGGCTGAATCTAGTTACGGATTTTACACTTTCAGCGCCGCCGAAGAAGCAGAAGCAAAAGGATCAGGAACAGGAGAAGGAGAGGAGGGAGGAGAATGTGCCCGCTCCATTTGTCGACCTGAATGATTTGAAGCAGTTGTCCATGGCTCGTGGAAAGGAGCGGACGGAGCAGACAGAGCAGACAGAGCAGACAAATCCATTCCTAAAAGAGGTTCCTCGATCGCTGCCTTTGCAGCAGCAGCAGAAGCAACTAGCCGACACAAAAAATGACTCCCCGCAGACTCACATCAACCCATTCCTCGACCCCAACCTCCGGGACCCGTTCAGCGATGGTCTTTCTCCCTCCGACCGAGATGTCATGATAGGTTTGACAGTACCATATCTCGATTCATCATATCGACCAAAGGAGACCGATGGCACAGGCGACCAGCACACACCACTCACACCGTCCATAATAGTAACACCAGCCCGCGAAGATGCACCATGGTCAGCACCCAGTCCAGAAACCCTGCGTCCACGCGCAGCATCCAGCATCTACTCCCGACCGATCTCTCGAGTTTGGGGAAATGAACCAAATATACCTCCAGTCCCAGCTATCCCCGAGGCACACAAGAAGGGCCTAGGCTCGGATTTCCTCAGCGCCCATATCAACGCAATGACCAGAAAGCGCCGCTCAATGTCCGCCGATACAATCTTCGAAGACGCAGACGTTAGCAGTCCCGAAGACTCACACCCTCGAGGACATTCACATATATCCATTGACGACAATAACCAAGCCCCCCTCGCCAGCCGCCTCAGTGTCAACACTCAAGCCAGTCGTCCCGAATCGCAGGGATGGTGGACATACCTCCTCTCCCCACTCCTCAGCAAAAAGTCACCTTTCAGCCCGAGTTTTCCTCGCGATGCACTGGTTTCCCCATCGGCGAAGAGTACACGGGAATGGTGGGACGAGAAGGAGAAAGAGACCTCCCACTTTTCACCAGATACCCCGCAAACAGCAGTGATAAACTGGGATGAAGGGAACAAGAATCTCGAACAGTCACGCTCCATAGACAATGACGAAGCGACAATCGTTCAGAAACGCCAGACAGTACTCTCAACGATGTTCCCGGGTGGAACAATCCAAGGCGAAGCGGCTGAATACTATCAAGCCTGCGCCCACGAACTATTCAGCAAAGCACCTTTTTTCGAGTGCTATAATCACATCTGCTCTATCACACCACCCGGGGCTCTCATCTCGCCTGCAGACTCATGTCCGGGAGAAACGCGCGATAGAGGGCTCATCTTTGCCGAAGCCCACGGTGACAATGCAGTGGAGGCGGGGAAGGATCGTGGAATCGCGACTTCGGAGGGAGGAACTAAGGGTTTACTTATTGATGTTGACTCACCAAAGCCGGACGAACACGAGAAGGAGGTGGCGGTATCTTCGCCGGCGTCAAGCTCGAGCTCGGATTCTTGGGACTCGCCGCTGAGGGAGGATAAGGATGATGAGAAACATTTCCCTGAACCGACGCAGGATTTGTCGAGGGGTCTTGTTCCAGAGCCGCAATCACAGCCGCAGCCTCAGCCAAAGCAGGTTCAACCACCTGTGCCAGAACCCTTTCAACCACCTGTGCCAGAACCCTTTCAACCTCCCCCGCAAGCTCCTGTCTATCAGCCGCCTCCGCAGGAACCTATCGCACCACCAGCTCCAGCGCCTATCTATCAACCTTCAGCCCCCGAACCTGTACCGCCGCCTCCAAAGCCTCCTCAAGAGATACTCCCAGCCCAACCTCCACAGATAATACACAATTATTACGGTGCACCTCAAGAACCGGCACCTATGCCGCAGCCTGTTCCTAATTATGGGCCTGTCTTTCCTCCACATAATGAAATGCCACCACCCCAGCAATTCCAGCCGGAACCACAACAGTTTCATCCTCAACCCCAAACTCAGGTTTCTGACTGGCCAAGGGCTCCTCCTCCTGCTACAGATCGGGGTTTGGGAACGGACAGTGTGTCTGACCCACCAGCGCATTCAAATGAGCCCATCTCTCCAGGCTTCCAACGTGCAGCGGCAGGCCCAGGTGCTATTCAGCTATCCGAAGTGAATCGCAGCGGGAACAACGAGACGAACCGTGATACGAACCATGATATCAATGCACCGGCACCGGCATATAGTCAATACCCCAGGGAAGATCACCAAGAAGTCCGTCTCCCTCCACAGTATGATCTACACCTTGCACCAGGCGCATCAGTAATGAACCCCGATGGCCGGGTAGCCCCGATGGAAGCTCGACGCCGCAGGCTAGAACGTGAAGATGCAGCCGGAAGAAAGGTCGGTGGATTCTGGCGCGGCCGGGGCTGTTTCAGCAAGAAAGGCTGTTTTGGACGACCAGGGCGAGAAGGCCGTCTCCGAAGACGATGGTATCTAGGAATATGCACTTTATTCCTAATAATCATCATCGTGGCAATCGTTCTCGCAACAACCCTGACCAGGAAAGGAGATGATACCCCCGTCCAGTCCAACTGGCTCAATCTGACCGGCTACCCACCCATGCCAACAGGTATCGCCACGATCGCAGGTACAGAGACCCAGGATTCGACATCGACATGTATCCAGCCCTCATCTCTATGGAGCTGCGCTCTGCCAAAGGACCAACAATCTGATAACAAGCCCTACAAAGGCGGCGAGCCTACCTTCCGCATCCAAATCCTCTTCCGCAACGGCTCATACGAGAACAGCACCGCCGTCAGCACATCTTCACGAAAGTTCCGCCGCGGAGACATCGACTGGAATCCATCTCCAGAAACACCCGCTCTAGCCGAACAGTCCTTTCTGGGAAATACCACAGACGGAAACTCAGCCCCCTACGCCGGCGAAGAAACACCCTTCTACATGACTATTCTCTCCCCAGCACACCTATCCACCGCAGACATCTACCGACGAAGCAATTCCTCATCATCCTCAACCTCAAATTCAAATTCAACCGGAATCAAAGCCTCAAACCTAACAAGCATCTTCCCACCCCCCGAAGAATCAAACGACGGAACCCCATCCCCAGCAACCCTCTACCCCCTCGTCTCCTCCCAACCAATCCGCCTCTACAACCGCAACAAAGACAACGAACACTACGGGTTTTACACATACTACGACAAATCAATCTTCCTCTCCTCCCGATCCCCACTAGACAACAGCCCCATAGACAAAAACACCGACGACACCAATGGCGGAAGTACACAATCGGATTCAGTGACCCGATGCACCTGGTCCCAAACGCGCTTTCTCGTGCAAATATGGACAAGGCCGGATCGTATGAGTAGGGATTTACTCCCCGCCAACGGTGGAGGTGGGGGTGCTGGGAGCGCGAGCGCGAGCAAAACCGCATCTACTTCAACGGCAACATCTACATCATCGACGTCAACATCTTCCTCCTCAGCAACAGATTATACAAGACCCGGCTCATTCCCGTATCCGGTTACGATCACACTAGATCGACATGGCGGCGATGAGGTGAAGAAATTGGTTTATTGTTATGGGGTTCTGGATGGTGGGGAGAAGTACAATGTTACGGAGAAGTTGTTGCAGGTTGAGGATCGCGGGGTTGGGGGAAGTTTGGTTAACCCTGTCACGGGGGGTGATAAGGATGGTGGACTTCCAGGAATTGATGGGGGGAGTGGAGGGTGTGGGTGTGAGTGGGTTAATTGGATTTCGACGGGGTGAGCCTGGCTGGCCCCGGGGGTAGATGGATGGATTTCTTGTGTAAACGGCGGACCTGTGTTATACTGCATCCAGTTAGTTTTGCCTTTTTCGGTTTAGCGTCTCAATACACTGTCTTGTAACCTGTGCTTCATACCGCCCCGACATAAAAGACCCGACCTGCCCTCTCGTCTCCCTCTCCTTCTTCTCCTTTCCCCTCAACTCCGCTATACTGTACTCATCGCCGCCTCCTTTCTTTCCTATCGCCCCCACAGGCCGACGCACTGCCCTATATATTTGACCGGAGATGCCACTTAATCTGATTTCTAACTTGTTTTTGCCCCTTTAGCTAGAATTAGCAGTTGTACAGGGGCAAATCTACTGAGATAATCCAGCTAGCAGCGGCATCGTATAACTTTAGGTTAATACTACTACTACTTCCCTAAGGGTACGACTATATATACTAATGTAAAGCTATACCTGTACTCTCTCTGCCTATATACCTTGTTTGTCTCTGATTCCGCCAGTCTTGTCACGGGATTCAAAGTATACGATACCCCGGACTCTCGAGGCCGATTCATGGACGAATCCCCTTTGAGTCACCTGCATATCGATATCCACCCGAACCCTAATGTATTTAAGATCCCACAAGCATTCAGGATTCTTGATCTTCTCAAGAATCAGTCTCTGTATCGACTGCCCAATCTGATCTCTACCGTCCGATATCCTTGCCTAGTCACAGGTCTCTAGCCTGACAACTTAGTAACCATTACATATATATATAGTTGTTACTAGAATAAATAGTTTTTATAGCTATTGTATACTAATTTTATTGGTTGTCTAACTATTTAGTGATATTTTAATTCACTAATTACTTAGGAGGTTATTAAACCAGCTTATAATATAGTTTTTGCCTTTAAAGATTATATATAGCAGAAGCAAATAGCTAGTTGCCAATATAGATTTAATTAATATTACCTACTCCTGATTTCCTGATTATAGAAGAGGTTTCTGACGATAGAAATCTCTATATATAACTACCCTAGCAGTAGATATAACGCCTATTATAAATCTAGTTTTATTAAAGTTATAGATATCCTTATTTTAAATCCTATTTTCCTTAATCGTACGTTATACTAATTAAAACTATTTGTGTAGGCTTGCTAGGTCTTTATTTTAAGCACGCTAGTAGTTATAACACCTTAAATATCATATATAAAGCTCTGATTAGCGTTTAATATAACGTATAACCCAGTTATTACTAACAGTAGATATTATATAATTACCATACTTTGCTAGTAGAAGATTTGCCATATTAACAATAGCCAAAGGCCTAGGGAATACGCCACGTAGATCAAGTAAGAGAATCCACTTACAAAGTAGATCCGCTTCTTCTTGTATAAGCTTATTCAACGCTGATCGTTTCTCCTGCTGATTTAGCACGCCTTTGATTCTGTCATGTAGTATAGTGATTGGCACGTTGTAGATCACTACTGCTTTACGTAGGGAGATCACTAAGCGATCCTGTATAGCTTTGATAGCTAGTAGGATCCTACCTTCCCTATTTAGCGACTTTAAGCGCTTTTCGGAGCGTTTGGGTAGCATTGTGTGTGGTGGAAAGTGGTAGGTGACGTATAAGGAGCGCGTTTCTGATGGGGTGTTCGGAATACTAGTGTGTTCGGAATACTAGTAGTGAAATACGTTAAGCTATGAATGACGTAATATATTATAAATCAATAATCTTATCAGAAACAGCTGCAATTGTTCAACCCTGATTAAAAATCTATTCCTTGTACATATTCACTAAATCTCACGCCGCAATGTTAGCAAAGCCTAAGCAGAGCTGCTGGAACTGTCGAGGCAAGTTTATGTTTTTCCTCAGTTTTCAGAAGGGCCTCCTCCTCTGGCTAACCTCAAGTCTGCCTTAGATCGGAAGATTGCTTGCGACAGATCAAGGCCAACATGTCGAAACTGTGCCAATAGGAAGAGACCCTGCGCTGGGTATGGCATTCGGCTCTCATGGCCGCATTATGGCGATAAACGTCGGTCTATCGAAGCCTTCCAGGCTCAATTTCTACCCTTAGGCCGAAATAAGCTTGAATTCATCAACGTCACGTCGGAAGATATTAGACTATCACTTGATTTGACGGCTTTCAAAAACCATGGTTCGTACATGCTTACTTGCGTAAGTGTAATAGGTCTAATCTCAGAAGCGCAAATCCCTCCTTCTCTACCATTGCCCAGTCCCGCTTCTATAGACCGCACGTTGTCCTTGGGAAGTAAGAGATCCCACCTGATGGAAACTTACAGAAGGTGAAAAGATTCTAAAACTCACAGGTAACTCGATCATCCGCAGAATTCTGTCCTCAGAGGACGAATATTCCGACCTTTACGACCTCCTTCTGCGATTGTCTCTGTGCGACGAGTCCTTACCTTCCCTCGCTGTCCGCCACTCCATCACCTCCTTATCAACCCTACATACACACGGCCTCGCAGCAGCAAGAATTACCCAAGGCAAAGCAATCTGCGCCATCCGGCACACAATCGCCAGTGGTCTGAACCGTCCAAATGCGATACTGCAAGTCATCGCTGCTAGTCTTCTGATGCTATTACACGAGGTTCTCGCACATTGTTAAGCTGGATCAAAGCAATCTATTGACAACAGCAGATTTATAGCCGCGAACCGTCCCCTACAGCCTGGACCGGTTTCTTATGTGGGTCTGAGCAGCTCGCGAAACTGATCTATGAATACGACGAAACGTATGAAGGAGACTTTGCCCTGATCCTTGACTGGTTATTCTATCACCATGTCATGTACAAATTTACTATTCGACATTGGGCGCGACGGAAAGAGGAGCAGTTCAAACTAGCCGAAGAACCGGCGATGATATCCAAAGCAATGTTCTCTCCTATGCGCAATATCGTACATTTCCCGCCTTATGAGAACAATAAGTCGATTGCTGATTATGTCCAGATTCTTCCTACCCTCGGCTGCTCGCTTGAACTCCTCGATTTGCTCACCTCAGTCATCGACGTAATTATCGACAAGCGCGACCCTGAATATCTTTCGGAAAAACATCGGCAAGCCATCCGAGCCCTCGACAACAGACTATGCACCATTCGCCAAACTGAGAGAATAAGACTCAGCCACCCTCCTAGTGATGGACAATCAAACGAAAATCATGAAAGAGACACAGCAAACCTCTTCCGCTTGGCAATCAGGGTGTACCTCGAACGAGTCGGAAACCGATGCCGATCTTCCACAAACCCGGAGAAACTAAACGAACTAGCCGGTCAAGCATTTAGGCTTATCTCGGCTCTCGGACGCGTGAATCAGCGATTCCCGATTTTTGTTGTGGCGTTGGAGGCTCGAACAGATGAACAACGGGCACTGATTCTCCGGGCTTTGGCGAATACGGAGGAACGACGCGTCCCTAATGAATTGTCGTCTATTCGGGCGATGGTTCAATCGGCGTGGGTAAAGATGGATCTTTCTTTGGACTCAAATCTGGGGCTTGATTCACTGGGGCTGTATAACGATGTTATCGGATGGAATGTGGTCCCTCCTGCATTTACTTAGAGTTCAAAAATTAGCAGATTTCGACACGCGGGATAAAAGATCGCCATAAGTGGGATAATGAATCAGCAAGAGCGGAGTTTCATTTTCACTCCATCCATGACGATGATTTTCCAAGTACACATACAAGGTACAGGAATACAGTGAGAGTTAGTTACCTGAGCGTACAATCTATATGCTTTGCCTTAGTCCGCTGCGGTTCAAGGTTGCATTTTTGCTAGGGCACAGTGCCGACCGTTATTGCCTTCTATTGTAGTTCAGAGGTATATTAGTTGTGTTTATTCAGAAGGAAACATGAAGCTGTATATACAACGACAAGATTAAGTTGATTTCCAATAAACTTAGTTCCTCGTATACATAGTTCGGGATTATTTCCGTTGGTCCGGCTTGGTTCCTGATCTGCACCAGCCTCATTTCACAACAGATGTAAACCAGAAACCGTCTCGCGAACTAGGACGGTAAATACCATACCGAACTTTGCCAAGACGTCACAATGGTTCTAGAGTTGCGCGCCACAAGGGCAGGCTAATATAGGGAATAGGAATTAGGCTATAATAGGCCTTGACGAGGCTCTAAGTCCGTTTTCAGGAAGTGGTAAACTTGACTGGTACTTACAGAGAGAGATATAGTAGTTGTATCTTGTATATTGCTTTCATTTTGCGAGAGGTCAGGGGAAATCCATCCATCCATCCATCCATCCACAGTACCTTGGCTTTGAACGAATCCATTTTACCGATTCTGCATTGGTCTGAGCTGAGATTATATATTGCAGATCTGCAATCACTGCACTCATCTCTTCAATCGTATCATTTATCTTGCTATTGCGGCCCAACGGCATGACGAGAATCAATGAACACCTCTGTCCGTCGAATGTTCGGCTCTAGTGCTCCTTCCATTTGCCTCTAGTGGAGTTCTTAAGTGATTTATTGGCGATATCGAAGCAAAAACCCACGGTGGGCAGGAAAACTCTTATCAGCTTACCTAGCATGCCAGTTCTTTTTGTGGTGCTCTCTCAGCAAAGATCTTGGGAAATGGCCGGTTATGGTTCAAACGGAGCTTCGAAAATGAGAATAGCAGCCCGGAATACATGTACAGATACCTAAAATCTCTTTATAAATCACCAAGGTCCGACTTCGACGCACTGTTCCGGAGGATTGAACGTCCTGAAGACATCCTGTCGAGTATGACTAATGGTTGGAATATCAAGGATAAGTTTTGGTTTTATTTAATTTGTGTGCCACGCATTTGATAAACGACTTGCGGGATACCTCTGTCCAAGATTCCCCGGCGGGCTGGATCTTGCTTCAGGATTCCGAGGCGACTTGTGCGGTCGACTCAGGGTCGTCACCCTCCTGAATTCCCTAACCCGCCCACCGGAATGGTCTTCTGGATAGGTTTAGGCCACCCTGATACGGTATTGAGCATTTTACCGTGTCCGGATTTGAATCGAATGAAGTCCAACAGCCCAATGAGCATTCCATCATCATCATTCTCATTAGGGACTCCTCCCCAGTGTTCCGAGAGGTATTCGATTACTGACTACACCAAATACCTTCCCATCTGACTCTTCAGTTACAATGTGACAGTTTTAGTAGAGTATTGACAGATTGATGACCATTAGGCACGCACCGCTGGCAATCACCATCTGCGAAATTTGGGCAATTTGGTCCACACTGGAGCGTAGCTGCAGGATAAAGTAATTGGAAGCTGATTTTCTTCTCAAGGCACTTGAATACACGATGGTGAGAAATCTCTATATGTGACGAACATGGTCTAATAAAGAAAGTGAGTAAGGGCGGTGCATTGTGAAACCCGACGTGATGTCTCATTTATTTGTAATGGCTTCGTCAAGGTAAAGCTGTGACACAACAACGGCTATCGCTGGGCACAACAACTGAGCAAATCTAAGACAGGATGGTGATCAAAGTTGACGTGTACTATTTTGTCTATGTAAAGCATTCCGCGCACTGTAAATGTCTCGAGGGGACTTAAGCATTAGGATGCTCTCGTTTGATCAAAGCTAGGAAAATAAATGGTTAGATCCAGTTTTCCATACATATTGAAGCTGCTCCTCTGTGAAGCGCCGGGCAGCGGAATGCCCGATCATTATTATCATCAGCTGTGTAGTTATGAATTGACTTTTGGTCCCGTTAGTCCCACTAATCATTGGAAAGCCTTGCCCCATGCAGCTTGAATAAACAGCTATTTCGTCGTAAAGTTGCCAGTCTCCGTTTCGTTGGGACATTCACTCGGTATCTTATCACGTTAGACGTACTTATCTGTGATTGATCGTGTAGTAGTGATATTGTAGCGTAACCTTGCAAGACAGCGTACCAACGGACAGAGGCAACCAGTAAACCAGTGCTATCAAAACTTTCCCTTTCTGCAGAAACGAAAATGCGGATATTTGAAAATCTTAGAAAAAGGGGAGGGCGCGATTGCTTTATACCATAATATAAGCTTCAAGTATTGTGTTTTTGAGGCTGGTGTAGATTGGCAAGTAAGTCGTACCATCGGAAATAATTCCCACAGTATTTCTACAAAGACCAAGTTTATTGGGCGTCTTGATGCTCTCACTATATATGTAACCTCGCTTAATCTCTTTGAAAGTAATCAACCTTCTTTTGAATAACAATGTAGAATAATGTTGCTGCAGGAATTCCGGTGCAATCACATGAAGATATTATTTCTCCATAATCATATTAACTAGTTGTGACTAGTTAGTTATCTGACTGATAAGAGTTTCCGCATAATTTCCTTTTGTATGGGCCAAATTTGGCCAAAGCCAAATAATGTTTCCGCTGAGAGCAAGATCCATCAAGGGCAAGTCATACAATAGTCTATCAATACAGCCAATCAAGCGGGAGTAAATCGCGGATAGCTGCCCCAACAGAGGTCAGCCAAAAGGGGCACATCGGTAAATCCTGTGTGCAAAATATGAACAGGTGAAATGGCGCGCAAATAGTTGCCTCGGTGTGAGAGCCTTGGTCAGCCGAAAGGAGCACATTGGTAAATCCTGTGTGCAAAATATGAACAGGTGAAATGGCGCGCAAATAGTTGCCTCGGTGTGAGAGCCTTGGTCAGCCGAAAGGAGCACATTGTGGTAAATCCTGTGTGCAAAATATGAACAGGTGAAATGGCGCGCAAATAGTTGCCTCGGTGTGAGAGCCTTGGTCAGCCGAAAGGAGCACATTGGTGTGCAAAACATGAACAGGTGAGTGGCACGCAAATAGTTGCCCAAAATCAAAATTTTAGTCAGTCAATAAGGTTTGACCCCGGACCACCGTACCCACTGGCGAATGATGTCACGATTTGAGACAGGTATTCTCAAGATATAAAGACCGACTCTTCACTAGCATAAAGGTATTTTTCAAACTACTTTAAAATCACGATACACTGCCGGTCGCATCTCGAGGCTAAATTTCCCTGTCGGTCAGCACGATGAGCGGTCCGAAAATACTCATGACGGGTGCTTCAGGGTACATGTACGACATACACAGAATTTGTTTATCAGTAGTTGAGCTAACTTAACCTAGAGGTGGAGCGGTACTGAATGCCCTTTTGGCTTCGAACTTCGGCGCTTTGAAAGCGTCTAGGATCACGTGTCTGGTGCGAGGAGCGGAAAAAGCTCAGAGTCTGGAGAAACTGGGAGTGAAAACGATTTCTTTCAACAGCCTTGACGAAACTGAGATTCTCTCTGAAGTGGCAAGAGAAAACGACGGTATGAATCTTCGGATAATTGGTCTGTTGTCATCTAATTTGCGAAAAGAAAGCTGACGATGCTACTAGTCGTTATACACGCGGCGTCAGGCTTTCACACATTGTCAGCTAGAGCGCTTATCTTAGGACTGGCACAGCGGAGACAGGATACAGGAAAGGAGGTTTTTTATCTTCATGTGAGTCCATGCTACCAGCGGGGATGCACAAGAGCTAACAGAGGTACCTTAAAAGACGTCCGGAACCTCCAACGTTGCTGACCGCCCCATGACCAACGAGTATGTTGAGGCCGACTATCCATTTTCAGATGAAGGAGACATCTTCTCTTACCTGAAAAAGAGAGACTTCGGCGTTCCATATGCCCAACGGACGTCTGACATCGTCGCCACGGAGATCGGTCTGGAAGTAGGCGTGAAAACCTACATTTTGATGATGCCCTCTATATACGGAATTGACGCGAATCCCTTCCACGAGTTCTGTCATACTCCCATCTTGATTCGAGCTGCGATGAAGTTAGGCAAGGTACCCGTAGTCGGGGATGGCTCGGGCATCTGGGATCACGTTCATATTCAAGATGTGGGTCGCTGTTATGAGATCATTCTGAACCGGGTTTTGACAGATGACCACGTCCCGAGCGGCAAGTCAGGGATATTCTTTGTTGAATCTGGGGAGCATACCTGGCGGCAGTTGTCTCAGATGATTGCCGATGCAGGTGTCGCACTTGGGGCGCTGAAAAGCAATGATTTGCAGCCCTTATCTCTGCCTGAGGCGAAGGTACTCTTGGGTAAGGGCTGGGGCTTGATTGCTGAGATTGGTTGGGGGTCAAAGTAAGTGCGCTCGAGTACATTTACGACTGTAGAAAATACTGATTATCTTTAGCGCCCGAACGAGAGCTGACAAAGCGAGAAAATTGGGTTGGGAGCCTGTGAAGACCAGTGCTGACTTTGAATCGCATGCCACTGCTGATTGGAGAGCAATTCTCGACTCAAGTGGCCTTCCACGAGGCTAGAACATCGCCGGAGGCTTGGCAAGATTTGGGTTTTATGATGATGAAGAATTATGGAGCTTCATATTCCAGACGTTGTTCGGAGTAGCGAAAACATGCGTGAGAGTTGGTCATTGCCTTCCGAGTGAGAAGAGCAAGCAGGTGAAGCAAGTAGGGTGTGGGAATCGATTTGCCGGTCTGGGCGAAGGAAGCAGGGGTTGGGTGGAAAGGGAGGGAGGGGGGGTAAGATTAGGTAAGAATGGCTAATGGCTCGTTCATGAACGAGAGTTAGTTGGTTGCCGGTTTGTTCGCTGCCTTACCGGTTCTGTACCGCGAGGCATGTGCAGGGGAGACAAATTGCACCCACATCATTGATATCCTGGCTGCATTTTGCGGGAAGGCTTCCGCCAACCGCTTTGCGATATAGCTGGCACCATTGTCTCCGAGTCTCATGCAGGCTGCTGAACTTCTTTTGCTTTTTGGAATGTCAAGTATTCACTACTGGTATTCACTACTGTGGTGGTTACTATTGTTGTTGCAGGCCGTTTGTTCGAGTGCCGGTGATGCCGGGCCGTACCTGCCTCAGCACCCACAACTGTGTACATACATGGTGAGAGCTCGCGATCAAACAACTTCGACTTCTTCCCTCACTCATCTCCAAAAAAAAAATTGTTCATCTAAGTTTTAGATGCATCTGAATTTCATTACATGTCAAGGGGGTTTCGGGTTATGTACCTAGCCAGCAGTAGATTCAGACGACAGAAGTGCATTCTGATTTTTTGAAGTTAGCCAATACAATCTTCACTCTACTTCACCCGACACATATGTACAATTTCTCGCGATATTCCACTGCACGCCCGAGTCTTTCCCGTCACCGAAATACTTGAATCGGGCCCTTCAACGCTTGGCAACTCTTCAGATGCATCATTTGTATCACGTATATTGTTTATTTCACTCTCTTATATTTCCTTCCTCATTCAAATTCCAAAGGATTCGAGCACCCTGGACTGCATTACCATGACCCACGCGAATAACACCGCAACAGCATGAGGGGAGATCAAGATTTGATCAACTCCAGAATTCCCAGTGGAGATCCGCGAGATAATCGAACAGCACCCGTGCTGGTGTCGTCTTCACTGCCAGTCCCGGCCCTAGTGCCCATTTGCAGTCTGGTACCAGTTCCAAGTTCAGATCCCAGCTCATTGCCCATGCCAGCCCTTCGGTCTGTGCTCAATCCAGAACCGGTGCCAGCCATTGTGCCAGTGCCTTCGCAGCACTAGTACCAATCACCGGTTGGATCAGGAGAGGATACTGAATTCGATACAGAGTCTCGGTGAAACGACGATGCTCAAGGCGTCCCCGACAAGCAGCCCCAATACGTCGTAGGGGAGGATGCCAACGAAGAAGAGGAACTCCATGTGCCCTCAGCCTTGTTTCCAGTTCTCAGCGGTCAAATATGGGATGTGATGAGCTAGGTCAAGAAGCTCCCCAAGGTCCCACGGGTGGTCGGGAACCTAGAAACCATGCTGGTGTTACTAGCGGCGGGAGCATATATGGATGCTCCTTCTGCTGTAAATGGATATCGGACTGCTTTGTTCACGCCTGCCATATATGGGAAATCGGCTGAAGTTGTCAGATTCCTCGTTGAGGCGGGAGCAAATGTGAATGCTACTGTGGGTTCTGATGAGGGAGGATGGACTATCCTAGACCTTTGTCTTGAGCATGGGGAGATTTATGATATGCTCCTCGCGGCCGGAGCGGTTGCTAGTATTGATGCTAGGGCAGCAGCAGTTTGGAGACAGGATAATATTAACGAACAGTGGTAAAATAATGTCTTCTTAAGACTTCGTCTTGTCCGAAACGCTCATATCCAGCCTTTTTGTTGCATGCCCATTTCTTCGTTCTTCTTTATATCAATCCCAGATCTTCCATTGAGTCGATTCCCTCCACCTGTGCATCCACATACAGTAAAGGTTCCGGCTATCTCCCTGCATGGCGCACCTGGGCATCATCAACAATCTGACATATTCTAGCACTTTGCACATTTAGATAGATCTGCAATCTCCTATTCGATATTGACAGAATTTGGCAATACGACCCTAGATAAAGATGGTATCGCTAATAGAATAGAATAGACTAATTAAGATTTCGCCAGCAACCACAGCTACCGCTAAGAATTGCCCTCTCGCCTGTTATGCGACACTTGCGAAAGCTTAACTAGCAATGGCTTCCTTTCCCAAACAATGTATGACTTCTGAACATTCCACTCCGACGAGCTTTCGTCCAAGGACATATCAAAGCTCCACAGAATCTTCGCGGCAATTAGACGCATTTCCGCGTAGGCGAGACTGCAAGATGTCAGTTTCAAATTTATGGAAGTGATTCTTGGGTGGGGCGCGCACTTTTGACCAATACAATTTCGAGGTCCCAGCGAAAATGGTTGAAAGGCTGCGCGGCAATCTGAATCAAACTCTTTATCTTTGGGATACAGCCATCTTTCTGGAATAAAGGCGTCTGCGTGTTTGAAGTGGGACGCGGCATGATACGTAGAATAATGCGCACCAGAGACAGAGGTCTGAAGATAATTAGCGTCTATTGATAATATTGAATATTTTATCGAGACTTACTCCTTCTGGAATAAATTCTCCGTCAATGGCTGCCCCTCCCTTTGGAACAACACGAGGTATTATACCTGGGGCTGGTGGATATACTCTCAATGCTTCTTCGAAAGCGGCGTTTAGATAAGTTAACTGACTGACCCCGACAACATTGATATCCGAATAAGATTCGAAAGCCCCACGGACTTCGCTTGTAGCTTTCTGGTATGCGGAGGGATTTCCTAACATGTAATACGTTAATCCAGAAAGTAGAGTTGCTGTTGTTTCACTTCCAGCCACGATCATGACGGCTGCGTTCGCCTCCATCTCCTGTGTACTCATTGATCTCTCATCGTCAAAGCGCATGACATAAGTCATGAAGTCCGGGCGCTCGGTTTTTGCCGCTAGCCGGCGATGTACCTTGTCAATGCTCAGAGCGAAATGTTCTTGTCTCATTTTTGTGAGCTTTTTGGGTGTCAACTTTCTCACGATCGGTGCCAAGAAGGGATATATCCCCAAAGGCCGCTGCATTGCAAGCAGTTTCATACTGCCGAATATCATCTTCACCCAAGGGTGGTAGTTGCTATCGCGAAGACATCCAAATGGCTCACCAAAGGCTAGATCACCGATTATGTCGAACGTAGTGAAATTGTACCAGCGACTTAAGTCAACGGTTGATCGAGATGCGGAAATTTCACCGTTGAGCCGCTGGACGAGCAGGTCGACGTAGGACTGAACCAAATCTTCCTGGTCTCGAAGCGCTCTTTCCGAGAAAGCGGGTAAAAAAAGCCTTCGTAGGCGAGAATGGTTTTCATCATCCGCATTGATTATGTTGGGACCTCGAGGGCCACGGATGTAAAATGACGGGTCCTTTAGGAAGGATCCGGCCTCGGATTTGCGGTGACCATATATATCTTTCCAGGCCTGTGGGCTTCGATAGACAAGGGATCTCGGTCCTGTTCGAACAACGTCCCCGTATCTATCGTGTAACTCTTTGAATTTGTAGTGCTCTTGTCCGGTCAGAGTCCAGTAAATATTCTGCAGATTGGTACACGCTGCCAATTTCGGGCCCGGAAATTTCGCGAGGGGGCTGAGGTACAGATTGTAGACCGCAGTCCAAAACAACCATGCTGCAAGCTATAAGACTCGGATGTTTAGGAGCTGGTTTAGAACGAGAAGACTTTGATTAGCTAAAAGCTTACCGCAATGGCCACGATCACAATGAAAGCCATTGTTTCGCGGTATCCCGTCTTTGTCACAGGTGTCAGGCTGAAATGAATCTGTGGTTTGTGAAATTGAAAATCTCCGCGACGAAAATTCGGGGTAAATAATGCAATGCAATCAGGCGTTCGTGGTTGGACCGCCGGGGCTACACGAGGTTCCCCGCCACGCTTTGTCTCGTGGCGATTAGCGCATCACCAACTTCGTGCTCCTTGCCCTTTTGGGACTGCATAATTGCGGAGCGAAGCGGAGCAATTAATATCAGTTATGTCAGCCCCGCCGGATGCATAAAATCAGGCCATCAGGCAGCAAATTGGCACACCGTAAGCACGCGTTTGCAGGGGCACGAGAAGGTCTCTAAATCGCTACCAAGAAGGTAGGTTATATGAAATTCTATACTACTATGCGCCATCTTACTGGGGTATTGCCTCCACCATGCCTAATATAGGGATGTCGAAGGCCAAAAGTACCCGCTGACTCTCGACACATTCTTAATTAATCAGCCAATCGGCAAAAATCTCCTCCGTTTGTCTAATTTTGACAGAAACCGGATCGTGGTATTAATGTCAGGCAGAGGGAGTATTCATCAGTATAAAAATTTCAAAACCATGTGGACGATATCTAGATCAGGGCTGTCACATTCAGATCCAAGTTTAACTTGACCTATCGGTATATATTGCCAAGCCAAGGAGGGCCCCTGTTAGAGTTCCACAGCGTGGAATAAATAACCATAAATTGCTCTCTCCCCGGGGCCCTTCAAGTTTCGGTATTGAAAAAGCAAGCAATTCCCGCCTAAGTTGAAACGGCTATTTCAAGTTCATGAAGTACGAAATAAAGACAGCTTGAAGCTCGCCCAGTAGAACTAGTTTGTTACGAGAAACGACAGCTAATTCTCCCTGTCTGCGTGGATGACACGCTATTTGACCAGCCCGACCGCCCGGCTCCACCAGCCACGCGCAAGAAGAAATCTCCGTTACATCTCACATCTCACCTGCAGGAAGACAATTTTTCACTTCCAAGGTTAGTCCAGGGGTGTGGGATTTCAATTTCGAGTTTCCCTTGCTCGATCTCGCTCGGTTAGCTGCAACTTTTTGGCCAGGGCACCTATCACGCCAGACACAAACGGGCAGCTTCACGACCGAGCTGCAGCTCCCCGGTCAATGTCGTCCGAAGCCTTCACTGACGGCGATGCTGATGGTCGCGTGGATGAGTCGACTGCACTGTTAGGGTCCCAGGCAGCCACGCGTTCGGCAGAACGCGAACGCGACTCGAGCTCTCCCTATGGTTCATCGCCTCAAAACGACACTGCTGATGACGGCGACGAGGATGAGAAACCTCTACCCATCACCCAGATCCTACTGCTTTGTTATGCCCGAGTGATCGAGCCATTGGCCTTTTTTTCCATCTTCCCCTATGTCAGTCAGATGGTCCAAGAAAATGGGAACGTCCCGGACTCGGATATCGGCTTCTATAGCGGGCTAATCGAATCGCTATTTTCCCTGACACAAGCCCTCGTCATGCTTTTCTGGGGCCGAGCAGCCGACCGTATTGGACGTAAACCGGTGCTGGTCTTCTCCTTGTTCGGGGTGACTTTGGCAACTGGCTTGTTCGGAATGGCAAAGAGTATCGCACAGATGATCATGTTTCGATGCGTTGCTGGTGTCTTCGCCGGAACCATCGTTACTATCCGCACGATGGTGGCCGAGCACAGCACGCGCAAGACCCAGGCTCGTGCATTTAGCTGGTTTGCTTTCAGTGGCAACTTGGGCATATTCCTAGGGCCGCTCCTCGGTGGTGCCCTTGCTGATCCCGTGCGTCAATTCCCACGCGTTTTTGGATCCAATCACTTCCTCAAGGTTTACCCCTACGCACTTTCAAGTCTAGTTGTCGCAACTATCGGAGCTACCGCTGCCATTTCCAGTGCTCTATTCATCAAGGAGACTTTGAAGAAAGAGACACCTGCCGCGGAGGGTGATGGTGACGAAACTGCATCCACCGCGCCCTCCCGCAGCGGTGACCTGACGACTTGGCAGCTTCTGAAATCCCCAGGCGTAGGCACGGTGCTCTATGTGTACGGACACGTTATGGTGCTCGCATTTGCCTATACGGCCATTATTCCTGTCTTCTGGTACACTAAAGTTCATCTGGGTGGCTTCGGCTTCACTCCATTCCAAATCTCCATAATGATGGGACTCAATGGTGCCGCACAGGCTGCCTGGCTTCTCCTGGTATTCCCTCCGCTGCAACGGAAGATCGGATCGAACGGGGTTATTCGCCTTTGCGCCTATTGTTATCCGTTCTTCTTCCTATCCTGCCCCCTTGCGAATGTCCTCTTGCGCATGCACACCGAGGGCTCGCTCAAGGTTTTCTGGGTCTTCGTTCCAGTTTTATTGGCTATTGGTTGTGGTGTCAGCATGAGCTTCACGGCGATTCAGCTTGCTATCAATGATGTCGCGCCCTCGCCAAGGGTTTTGGGCACACTGAATGCTCTGGCTTTGACAGGTGTCAGTGCCTTGAGGGCTTTCTCTCCAGCCCTTTTCACAAGTCTTTTTGCAGTCGGAGCAAGAACTCAATATCTCGGAGGGTATGCCATCTGGATACTTATGTGTCTACTTGCTGCTGGTCTGTCGGTTGCTGCGAGATATCTGCCCGAGCCCAAGGAGCTCCGCAAGCGGTGAAATAGTTATAGAAGTGGAAAATCCAAGGGCACACCAACCCGGAATTGTCCGAAATTCTACTCCAAGCGTCTTGGCATTTCATCTTTTTGTTGTTCAGTAATATATCTACCGTATAAAAGTGTAATTATTAATTTGCACAACAGCTTTTCGAATTTCAAAATAACCCGGGCGAGATTGTCAATGTGAAGCATATGAGAACCTAGTATTGTGTCGAGGCAAATACCAGCTGCTGAGGCCAGAATCGACATATAAAACACTAGCAGTCCTTCGCATTCGCAGTCTACAATGAAATTGCCTATTTCTCTAGGGCTAGCGTATCAGGTTGGGAACGACGATAAATTCTGCCAAGAGTGACTTTGATTGGAGAACGATGCTGGAAAGAAGAGTTAGAGTGCCCTACCCATGTCGACCATCTAATAGGTCGTGAAAGATTCAATTGCCATGTAGTGTGCTGCATAGGGCTGCATAGAACCTAACCACTCATGAAGGATATCCTTGTCGCAGCAATGCCATAATTTGGCCTATTTATAATTTAATGGCTGTTCGGTAATTATGATCGATATTCCTTAAAGTTATACTTCCCCGGGTCTTCATTCCTTGAGTCTAAGATCGTCCTATAATTATTAACAGTCAGCGAGAGGCACTATTGATAGGCATAATGCTCGTGGATATTGTCCATTCCGCCTGGCGTATAGTATGTGTGATCCCGATGTGAATAGGCGCCTAAAGGCTAGACCGAAGACAATTCATGCGGTTTGTTGCGTGAAGATCGAAACACTTATAGCTCGGAGCTGCGCCGTGAGATATATGTGCGCCTGGTCTGGCCTTTGTTCAAGGCTCTCAATCTCGCCCCGACGCCGGGACAACGCCGTAGTATTCGCCAGGGGTCGACGGTAGTTACTGATCCACCGGACACTTGCCCAGGTGGTGGCCTTAATCCTTGGCGTTTCTTAGTGTCTCCGCTCGGAGTAACCGAGCCTCTGAAAAGCCAAATATTCTGTAGGCGATGTCTCGGCGGCCCCAATCCTGGGATTGGAATTCTCAAGAATATCATAGTCCGAATTTTTCAAAATTCCAAGATATTAGCGTGTCTCCGTGGCAAGCCGATAGTTCTAATACCGGTATCTGCGAAAGTCTTGATATCCCCAAATTTTCAAGATATTTGGGAGAAAGGACATCAGATTTTCTATACTGCATGGAGTCTCATAGCAACATTGAAGCAACATTGAATGTTGAGATAGGCGTTTCGATTGCCTTAATTTGGTCTAACCAGCACGATATCCCAAGGAGTAACATCGGTCACTACCGAAATTTCCTGCCAAGTCGCACGCAGGTATCTTAACTAGGGCGAAACCTTCCTTGCACGGCCAAGGCCCCGATTTCCGACATGATTGGTTGCTGATCTGGCCCTAGCCTTTATCAGATCATCTGATATGAGGGGCCCTTTTTTTGCGGTATCGGCGTTACAGCTTGCATTTTCGCGTGGCAAGACATTTGAAATTTGCCGCTGCCCCTTTGAAGCCGTATGGACGGATCTCGTTTTCATAAATTGCACCACGCCCTCCCATGATTAGACCTTTCCTCCTAGAACTGGATCTCCTAGAAACCCCAAAAGACTAGACTTGAATCTTCTCGTCGATATCAAGTATGGTCGCGTCAGAGCAAATCTCACGGAGCAAAGACTCTCAGGGGGATGCTGAAAAAGGAGACGTTGTTAGTCAGGTCGTCAGAGACACTGACGATCATCTCGATCTTCCTGAGCGAAAAGACTCAGACGGTTTCCAAGGGGGTGTGCAACGTGTGAGAGCCATTACCTCGGTTTGGTCTACCAAGACGTTGATTTTAACTTTCGTACTGTGAGTTCCCAACCCTATACATTCCCAAAATAAACACTCCGGGGATATCCTAGTTCTAATCAATCAAGAACAGCCTTTATCTGGTTTCATTTGTGGATGCACTTCTTACCTCGGTCCAGACGTCCCTGAACCCCTATGTCACCTCGTTCTTTAACCAACATGGCCTTCTGGCTGTTGTCGGCGTTGTTTCCACTATCCTCGGTGGTTCATCAAAACTCACCCTCGCTAAAATAGTTGACATTTGGGGTCGTGTCGAAGGTTTTCTCATTATGCTTTTCTTAGTCACCATCGGGTTGATTGTCAAAGCCACGTGCAAAAACGTGGAAGCATATACTGCCGGGCATACATTATATTGGGTCGGTCATATTGGAATCCTCTATGTTGTCGAGATCATGATTGCCGATATGACCTCACTCAAGAATCGAATGATTATAATCGGTCTCATGGGAACCCCTGGAATCGCCTCCACCTTCGCAGGTCCCAGGATTGCCGATTCGTTCTGGAATGAACTGAGCTGGCGATGGGCATTCGGATCGTTTGCCATTATGCTTGTTGGTGTCTGCTTTCCGATATTCGCTGTGATGATGATGTTACGGCTAAAAGCGGAGAAGAGTGGAGTGTTGAAGAAAGACGAATCTACAAGAAAATGGTGGCAGTCCATTGGTCACTACGCCATCGAGTTCGACAGTATGTCATTTTCCTAAGTTGTCACACTCAATACGGACTAACAGCTATATCACTTCTTAGTTATTGGAATCGTCTTGATAACCGCAACATTTTCCCTGATTCTTCTACCATTCAGCATCGCTGCGTATGCCCCCAAGGGATGGGCTAGTGGATACATAATCGCCATGGAAGTCCTCGGTGTGGCTTGTGTTCCGGCGTTTTACTGCTGGGAGCGTTTCTTTTCTCCCGTGCAATTTCTCCCGTGGAGGTATTTGAAGGAGCCAACAATAATTGGGTCATGCTGTTTATATTGCATAATGTTCGCGTCGATCTTGTAAGTCTCCTTCTCTCAAATATTATGAGCACTTCTCGTGGACTTGAGGATGTTTGACTAATTCTGAAACCAGTATTTGGAATGCCTATCTCAGCTCATATCTTCAAGTTGTGAACAGACTGAGCATCGAATCGGCCAATTATGTTGTCTCTGCGATGTCTCTGACCTCATTCATATTATCACCCGTTATTGGAACGTAAGGAGTTTCCCATTTTCAATCAAGTCTCTCGCCCGTCTGACTGTCACAGAATTATCCGATTTACTGGCGACTTCAAGTGGACCTCCATGGCTGGAATTCCGATTTTCCTTCTTGGAACCGCTCTCCTCATTCCATTCCGCCGGCCTGATACTCATGTTGGCCTCATTACTTTGACTCAAGTTCTAGTCGGTGTGGGGTCTTGCATATTCTCAACTTGCGGTCAACTTGCTGTCATGGCAGTGGTTAGTCACCAAGAGATAGCGGTTGTCACAGCCGTCTGGGGCTTGTTTGGTGCTATTGGGGCTGCGCTTGGTTTCGCCATTGCGGGTGGGATGTGGAACAATATCCTTGAGAGCCAGATCAATGCAAGACTACCGGAGGAGAGCAAGCACTTGAGTGCAAGCATCTTTTCTAGTCTGGTAACCCAAATGTCTTATGAAGATGGCACCGCTGAGAGAGCAGCCATAGTTGGTGCGTATGGTGACGTTCAGAGAAAGATGGTTATCGTGGGAGTTTGTCTTACACCCATCTGTGTTCTTTGCACCTATTTCTGGCGAAATGTCAACGTTAAAAAGCTTCTCAAGGAGCAGACAGCTGGCAATGTGTGGTGAACTTAATACTCGTTCTCACTAGTAGCTAGCTCGAATATATGATAAATGATCTCTTTCTCAGCATTTAGATTTAATTACTTCCAAATGCAATGGCGGACCGATAGCCGAAATTGATAGTTAACTACAGTTGATATGTTGATGCCCGAGGCAGCGAAATCGCCTTACCTGCATTCACTTTCGTACTCCTCTCTCTCTCTCCCTCCATACCCCCATTCCGTGCTTCGAATTCATATCCCTCTCGCAGACTACACAATTCAAAGCTCTTTCTTCCGAATACCAAGAATCAGACAATATTCATGTTTTGTGGTTTTCCTCCTCCTTCGCATTACAAGCGTGCCGATCGACTGGGGCAAGGTGAACCGACCGAGACAAGATGTCAAATAGCAACAGCAGCAGCCCCGAAAACACGTCGAACCAGATGGAAGGCTACATGATAAAGGATTTGTGGAAGCAATATCGGGTTGCTAACCCGGTCGATCAGTCAACATACCTTCGATCCGATTCGATCAAGCTTCCGACAATGGAGACAAAGTTGACGGGTCCCTCCAATTCGGTGTATGGAAGGAGAATGTCGAGACTATCCTAAGATCGAAGAGTATCTTTCCCATTATTAGCAACGAGATCATTCGCCCGCATCCTGAGGACGAGACCGCCGAAAAATGGGAGAAAGTCAGGTCAGCACGCAGGTTGCAAACTGGCTAGTCAACAATATTTCGCGCAAGATTTTCAACGCCATTAAGGAGACTGGGAAGGATTACGCTTTTGCCGACGATACCTACAAATTGATCGAGGAGCAGTTCGTGGGTTACGGGGTGTTCGAAGACGTGTGGGCTGCCCGCAGGCTGTGGTTGATGCGTTTCGACCAGTATCCCACCGTCGATGCCTTCGTCAGTGCATTTTGCGAGTGTGCCAATAAAGTCAATCAGGGCTCCTGCATGGTCAGCCCATATATGTTGACAATGTGGATGCTCGGAGAGCTTTCTGAGAAGCACCCGGATAGTGTGGACAAGGTCCTCCAGTTGATTCATACCCGGAATAAGGACAAGAAGCAGTTTGACCAGGACGACTTTGAAACGGCCGTGTGCGATGTAAAAATGCATTATCTTATTTCCAACAGGTACTAGATACATACGTCATCCACCACCGTTCATAGCGTCGACTCCACATCCCCTCGATAAACTCCGTAGCACAGAAACTAGTACTTTTCTTGCAACATCCTTTTCAAATAATTACCTCTGCCTGGGACTGTAAACTGACACATTGGTCTACAAAATATAATTAAACTTCATCGGAATTGAACAAGGTATGGAGTTGACAATGACAATAAAAGCCACCTCACGAGGGAGCAGAGCAAATGCAACATCTGAGCTGCAACGCGTATATTAACCTGAAGGTCAGTCCGTATAGCTATCGCAACAAGAGCGGAAGTTCTTTTGCGTTCAAAACTTTTATGCCTTTAGCTTCCTCCGGGGAACACAGCAAGATTAAGATTAATAGCAAATTAGGTCCCTACAGAGTTTCCAGCTATTTCCCGCAATACCATATGCGCAACTAACGATCCATATTTCTCCAATTACCAACAGTCGGCAATACTATTTCAGGTTTTAGAGCAAACGAAAAATACAGATATCCATAGGCTTTTAGAATGCGGTTAAGTAACGTTCTTGTGATAAGATCAACTTGAATACAGCTCAATTTGAGAATTATTTTCAAATACAGGCTCTACAGGGCTGACCTTTTTAACTCTCGATTTTAAGTGATTAACTCAAGCTCATGTACCTATAGGTCAAACTGATTCCACAATCTGCCTTGTAGAAAAGCTCATCGTCCTTGTAGAGCGATTTGAACCGGCTATAGCAGGGTTTCGGTTTGGGTTTGCGACGAACTTGGCACGCAGAGCGGCTCGAATGTCCTCTCTGCTTCTATTTTTCCATGTGGGATATCCAGCCTGACTAAGTGGAAACAGAACAAGATTTTCCGGGCGTGTCATAAACTCTTCAACATCTGGGGCTGTGCTCGCAGTAATTATATCGAGCTCTTTTGCAATTTGGCGACAGTACGACGTCAGTGGGAGATCATTCACGTCATGGCCAAAAGGATTCTCGATCTCACTACCGATTGTGAGAAGACCAATGATAATATATGCAGCAACTGCACTCACTGTCAGCAATAATTTTTTTGGAGATCAAAGTCAAGTCATTTACCCATGGAGGCAGGTATAGTAGTCCAGTCCAAAAATTTATAAAGTTGGAAAGGAAGTAGCATGACGTATATCCAGGATATCTGAGCGATAGCAATGCTATAAGCAGCAGGAAGAGGCGTATCAAGTACCCTCTCTGTTCCAGTCAAAATCTCATTGAGTGAGGCAATTAATGTCACTAGATATCTAGGTTAATACAGGTTAGAACATTGGTGGCTTTTTGACCTACTTGTTTGACCCTGGAATTGAGCCAGGGAAAGCGTGCCATTCTTGACACAGGAATCAACGTAGGATGATAAATGGACAAGAATCTCAACCGGAAGATGCCCAAGTGGCTTTTTTGAACGCTTGATCAATTTTCGCGGGTTTGATTTGGCAAATGACAGGCTCAGATATTCACCCATTGACTTCCATGGTGTCTTTTGGTGGGGATTCAACGTTTCCCGATCGTGGGCATCAAGGGCAAACGTATCTAGATGGCCGATTAGTCCTGCCAGGTCTTCGTATGCAACGTCTGGTTCAAATCGAAGTTTGTGTTTTAGAGCCACCGCGAATGCGAGAATCAAATTGAGAGCAGATCTATCATTTCAGTTAGTAGTAAGCTTCTAACCTCCGCTAATCTTACTTACAGCTTTCTTAGGAGGTCTACATTTCCCTCTTCTTCTCTTTCATCAATATGCACCCAAATAATGCGTGCTAAATTGCGCGAGGTTTGGACAAGGGAGGCCCAGTATTTTCGTCCATCTGCCCATCTTGCATGGGGTCAATGAGTTTCGGCCAATGTTGATGTCTTTTTGCTACTTGGGCTAACCTTTCATAGGCAGTTGAGCCACGGAATGACAATGACAGGCCAACCAGGAATCCGAGTACGGTAAGTAAAATATTGTTGATTCCGACTGGCCGGAGGTGAGAATCCAACTTTGTTAGTCGATGAATGGGTTAGAGGGGCGGTCCCAACGAGCAAACCTACGATCGTGATAGAAATGAGACATGCAAGTAATGAGGGTTGCCCAGCCTCCGACAATCAACAAAGGTATGATCAGTTGAGGCATTATACTGCCTTGTATTCTCATAACAATTGGCCATTTGGAGTGTTGGGTCATATTCCGGGGCCCGTGCTAACGGTTGATAGCATGTATTTAGCTGATCATGGTCGGTATTCTTTGTCAAGATTTTTCATTTTCACATACAAAGTATCTTTCTATTTCACTCCTGTCTTCAACATGAAACTGTGAATCCCGGGACTCTGCTAAATTATCCAAAAAGCTAGGGCGTCGCGAGGCCCTTCCAAATGACTCCCACTCCTTTGCACCACCGGATTGTGCATCTGGCGAGTCGACATTTTCCTTTTGGCGTGCACCAGTCGAGTTGAGCGTGTGGGTTGGACGGTTGTTATCCGATGCGACCTGTCCCTCGTTGTCTGACATTATTGCATAAATACCGTTGGGGTATAAAAAAAACAGGAATGAGAAAGAGAATCTTTCATCGGTCGGAAACTATGCCTGGTCGTGAAAACAGAGGCAAACAATTATAAGTCAGGTAGAGACGGATTTAGAGAGATCATCCAGCTCAAAATACGTCATCTGGTAACAACTGACTACTCGTATCTGTCCATCTACCTGCAGCTTCCGTCGTTGAGTTAACCTGTGCCGTCCAGTCTGTTGTATCACCCAGGGAGCTACAGCGCTACTTCCATCTCGGGAAACGGCTATAGCCACGCCAAGCCAAACATCATGAAATTCAATTGGTTCTGTTTCATATGGTCGCCATTGTACACGATTCAGCGGGGTCTAATGCCTGCACTTGTTGCGTGAAATGGTCGCGTGAATGCCCCGCGCGGATAGCCCGATTTGACTGGGATCGGCGCCAATGGCGTTGCAAATCTTTCTCTCTCGCCAAAGACGCATGTATTCCTTTGAGATACCGATTTTATTTTGAGGGATCAGAATATGAGGCCAAAATAATGTATTTATTCATGGACCAACTTGAACAAGGTAGCAGCACAATATATTAAGCATACAGCTCCAGGACCTACTACACTTAACTAGTACTTGGTCGCGTGCCAGTGGCAACACATCAACATCGCCTAGGGGTCCTACCCCCCCGAATAAACTTGGAAAAAGAGCGCCTCGTCTTGGAAGTCGTTTAACATGCCCAGGTGAACGACCTCGGTGAACGACCTCGGGAGTCAGAATTAAACATAGAGGAAATCAAATTAAAACCAAACGATGCATTTAGAGAGAAACCACCAATTTTTCCGAGATCCTTGTGCGGTCATAGTGCTAGTAGTATATTCAAAAATATTTAACACCCTCCAGGGCTCAGTGCCATTTCAGCCATATTAGCGCCTCATTCAGAACCGCGAGTTCCAAATGCAGGGTCCAGGGGATGATAGTGCTATATCTCGAGAGGAGATTGAGATCAACAACCCCAAAGTTATAAAATTACTTTATCTACTATATCAAGGGGATGCCTAGTACATACGACCATAGGGTGTGGAGAACAGGGCTTCCCGTCCGCTCAGCCGTACTTAAGCCACACGCCGGCAGGTTAGTAGTATGGTGGGTGACCACATGCGAATCCCTGCTGTTGTATGTTTTTGTTTTTTTCTTTCTTTCTCAAATCTCCAGGAACTGGAAACCCCGGGATGTTATGACACCTATCGCATATGGAGAACCTTGAAACAACTTGAATGATTTCCAACTTGAAGTTGGTGCACAGAACTCGGACGAGATATATTTATTTCCTGCAGCTGTAATTCTTCTAGTACAATGAGAATAGTAGTATCTTTGAACTTTTCAGTGGCAAGAATCTGTACCGCTGGACTCGAAAATTTACATACATTTCGTTGCTTGTTTGGAGTTCAAGTTGCCTTCGCAATCTGTCGGCCCCATCCAACGCGTCAACACGGCTGGGTTCAAGCCCCGGACGCGGAGCTCGGGTCTCTGGATTGGGGGCCTCCACATGCCTAGCGTCAGAGCTTGGCGAACCGGCTGAGATCTTTGCCTAGCCGAGCCATTCAAGGGGCCACATCCCTATCCCCCATTCTGAATCGCAAGCAAATCCAACACGTGCATGCCAAACGAATAGTGAAAGTTGCGGCATGAAAATCGAACTAGATGAAGGTTCATGGGTCGAATATGAGTATGAATTTAAATGTGAGTAGACTTCCTCAAAATGCTGGTTCAAACTTTCATCAACGTCACTGGCGGTGGCAATGACTAAGCATTCTGGGGCGTGGTTGCATTGGGGCAATTCATGCAAGACTAATTAATACCCGAGATGGTGGCCCCGGTTTAATGCGAAAATATTTAGAGATCTCCCGATGCCAGCCTCACAACACCCCTGGCTCCCTCGCTCATGTCAGTTACCGTGAAAAATGGTAACTCTTTGTTTTTGATCAACTATGCCACCCAGATCCTCTGCTTTGTCGTCGTGACACCGCTCGTATGGTTGCGGATCTTTGTTCGGTGGCGGTTGAAGCCCGCCCTGGGAATTGACGATGGTATGAACCCTCGCTGCCACTAGAATGGGCTTGGCTAATTTCAATAGCGGCATGTGTTATCGGATGGGTATGGGAAAATCGGCCATTCGCTCACGTGGCGGTTTGACTAACTGGACTTTTACTAGGTTTTATTCATGGGATATTGTGCGAATGCCTTGATATGTGAGCTACGTTAGAAACTTCTTTCGGTTTGGATCGAACAGTTAATAATAGCCTGAGTTGCAGATGGATTCTTGGGGTGCACCGTACAACCCTCAGAGTTGAGCCATGGTGAGTTTGAGCAATGCATCAAGGTAAAGACAATGGTCATCCAACAGCAAATCTCTGAATAATTTAGCTCATCAGCCTCGAAGGTCTCCTATGTGGCAACTGCCATTTATGCACCCACGGCTCTCTTCGTCAAGAGCAGCCTGATTTATGTTCTAATACGGGTATTCCAACCATTTTATACAGGCATGATAGCCTTGTACTGTCTTCTTGGTGTGACAGTTGGTTACTACGTCATAATCACTTTCATCAAGATCTTCATCTGCAACCCCGTCTCGGCCTATTGGCGACAATCTGAAAGCCAAAATGCGACGTGCTTGAGCCAGCCCGGAGTGATCATCGCAGATTCTATCATCAGCTTTCTGACTGACATTGCCATTTTCGCTTTCCCGGTTGCCCTGACCTGGACCTTGCAAATGCCGATTTGGAAGAAGATCCGTGTTGTTTTTCTTCTCGGTCTTGGAGGCATCGCCGTTGCTTTCAGCCTCTTCCGACTCGTCATCGGTGTTCATGAGAAGAATAGACCCCACGAAACGACCATATATATGAGATCTATCTTGACAGCGTGCGTAAATCCCCCTTGGTGACTGGAAAATATTTACCTAACAGTGTCTCAGAAACGCGGAGATTGGTCTCGGTCTTGTTTGTGCTTGTCTCCCAGCCCTGAATGTTCTTACAACACACAATAAACAGCGCGCGCCCGAGGCAAAAGGAATATTCACTCGTCGCAAGAAAAATGCTCAATCAACAAATCGCATATTTGATGGCGACCAGTTTTCGCATACACAACTTAGCAGTTGTGCCCGCCGGGGTTCAACCGACTCCGCTAGTCTCATGGCTAGCCACCAAGCCTCGGGCTTTCCTATCGGTGACGGAAGCGATACGATAATTAGAATGGTTTCATTAAATCAACGCTGGGAAACTGCGTCTCAAAGGTATGTTTGACTACAATATGATGGGATAGGCTTTATTGACATATTGCAGCAACCAGAGAACCGACCGATCTGAAATAATATAATGCAATAATTCTATGGAGTATTCCGATATATACGAGTTATCTAATTCTGAGAAATCTATAAACAAATTCTATGTGATGCAAGTATAGGCGTACAATGCAAGACAGCCTGCTGATTTGCACAAATTTGCCCCTTTCTGTACAAGACAAACACAGGCCCTGCTGGGTTGTCAAAGCTTGATAGGAGAGGTGACGAGTTTCACTTTCTCCAATTAGGCACTGTTGGCACACGACCAACTGTTAGAGGCGGAGTCGCCGTGAATGGCAACGCCCGATACCCAGAGACCCAATACGCACTAATCGAAGTCAAACATTAGTTTAATCGGCCAAGACAAATTTCGAAAGAGCGTTTTTGTATCGTCATCTTAACAGGTAGCAGAGGAAAAACTTACGATGGCGATGGCGATGCCGAGAACGCCGACGTTGATGATTGTCAAAACTGTCTTCCGCCAGTTCTTGAAGTACTGGCCTTGGTTCATGTGGAACCAAAAGATGGCGGGAAGTCCAACTGTTCAATATAAATTAGCACGGGTGTTGGAGTTTCAATGAGATCTCAAGTCTTACAGCTAAACCAGCTTCCGAAAAGCGCACTCTGTTGATTGGTCGTTGGTTAGCAAATAGTCCCCGGTGAAATGTGTGAATATGGGATGCATACAATAAGACTCAGCAAGTCATTGAAGACAGGAATCGACTCAGCAACAACCCAGGACACGATCCACACACCAATGCAGATCGCAACCCATGAGCCAACGGAGAGAAAGCTCCGGCTGTGCATCTTGTCAGATCCACGGAACATGCGGACGTAGATGTATTTGCAGGCGACATGGCCCAGCACAACACCGGAAAGAATAGTCTATTTTGATTAGCGACGCGAAAAATCAAGGATTGCGAAGACTGGAGTTCTACCGTTGGAATAGCAAGGCCCCAGGCGATCTTGCTCATAATAGGGCTCAGTGACGAAATGGCTGGCGACTTGACATCGGGACCCACGTAGTGGTATATAATCAAGGCACTGACGAGGTACAAAACAGTATCGATGATCTGGAGCATGGCAAGCGACTTGTTAAAAGTGCGAGGGTCCTCAGTCTCGGACATGAAGCCAAAGTAAGCCACGTGAGCAACTAAAGACGTAAGTTAGCATTGACAGGTCTTCAAGGCAGATAGGGAAAGTGGAAGTTGCTGATGGTAGGAACCCCTAGGTGGTGTTAGACATACGGTAGGCAAAGATAATGTTTGTAACTGCCAGGAAGCCCTCGCGAAAGCTAACTTCCTTGGTCGCTTCATTCACAACTTGCGTCTTGGTTTCAACTCCGGCGGCGACCATGGTCACGACAGTTGCAACGAAGACACTCACGAATGCTATATGAGTCAGCAATGTTTTCATGGTTTGAAATAATTACTAGTTCACTGAACGCCAAAAGGAACCACTTACAGACGACGGACATCCAGTAAACCTTGTTCATGGTACGAGGAAGAGCGCCCAGGAAACAGATGACCAAGCCAACAACACCGAAGACCAATGTGCAAGTTCCATGGTCTGTTAGAACATTCATCAGGATGTTGAAAGTCAGAATATTGCTGGCCATGAGAAAGATTAGAAGTAGTAATTGGCCGATTCCCAGAACCTCGCGGCCAATGCGGCCCATGAGGAGTTCACCAGCATCTCCCATGCTGTGAACTTGGGGGTGGCGCAGCTTGAATTGGCCAATTTCATAGCCAGTGTACCATGACAAGGCAGAAATAAAAATAATCATGATAGCAGCACTATATTCAAGAGTGAGAAAATTAACCTTTGGAAATCGGATAGAAAGCTTTCACATACGGAACCATTCCAAGCGTGGCCACTGCAGATGGAAGAGACAGAATTCCCACCGAGACATTCTCTGCAATCATGACTAAATATCTTGTTAGAAACGAATGGGGTATATCATTCTATGGGATTAGATAAGGACTCACGCATGCCGCAGTGCCTAGAGATTCCATATCAGCTTTTGGACTTCAGGAGGCATCATAAATGCCAAGAAGAGTCTTCACTTACCACCACTTCATGGTGCGATACTTGACCTCTGCGGTCTCTTCATTGCCAAAAGGTTCTAGGTCCTTGGCCGATAGAGGTTTCTCTGTGTCCTTCTGGAGGGGCTCCTCAACGGCCACCTTCCGGTCGACGGGGTAAGATTCTTCGTCGCTGCTCATAGTGGCGGGTTGATGCTGTCCTTCTCCACGTCAATTGATATGGGGATGATAACCCAAAATAACCAAGTGGGACAGCTAGCCTAGCATCAATCAATGGCGTTGATGTTGTGGGAAAGCAATTTCTAACAGAAATGCATTGGATGTTACCCCGGCCAAGAAAAAATCTGAACGGCTTCGGGAAACCGGGTGGAGCCCCGGGAAAGTTGCCGGATGGCCGGTTGCAAAACTGACGACTCAATCCCCATCTTCGGGTGGTACCGAGCCTAAATAGAATTTAATTTGATATACTGACTATTTAGAAAACATTTCATATGTGATCATAGGGCTCTGCGTGGTAATATTGTGAAATTCACCCGAAATAGTACCATTATTCTCGATCGGAGATTGCCCCAAAGTTTCCCGTAAATCTTCGGGTATAGGCTAGACGCTTATTTAGCGTATGCTGAAGCATTTCCCCGCTGATTATAAAAGAGCTTCATCTTATTTAGGTCGAAGATATTTTTGAGGTCTGAATCAGACACGATTTTCAATTGTAGTAGCGCTCGAGTTACCGTTTCCGGCCGCGGTCGGACCTGCATTCCATTCCGGCGTTCAATTTGATCTACCAGCGGCAGGGCGAAAGTGGCAATATTGTCAATTGGTAGAAGATGTGATCAAAGTCGCAAGTTCACAAAAATTACCTGGTGGAAGAGAGAGAAAAAAAGAAGGATACCTGTTCTAGTACTACTAGTTGCTAGAATAACTAAACGGCGCTGTTGGTACCAGGTAAGGGTAGTATCTCCCCGAGTCTCCCCGTTGATTATGTGGCTTCCAAGATCTTGGCAACTTGAACTTAAATATATTTAGACTAACTTGAAGGTGGCACCTGCCAGTGCCAGGCGGCGTTCATCAGTTATTGAGCTTAAATTAAAGTTAATTTTCAAACTTCAATATATAATATTTCTTTAGACGGGATCCCTGGAGAGCCCAGCCAGGCACCGACCCCGGGCCTGCAGATGTCCGATTTATTTAATCCAAATATACTAGGTTGATGTGCAGGTGAGAATATTCATGGATATCTCATTTCTTTTAACCAAGACACTTATACCACATCATACAGCATGCTCCGGAATTGGCCAACAGGTAGGTATAATGGACCATACAAAGCCCTTTTGACCCCGTCGAAAGTCGAAAGACGATGAAAATTCCTCTACGGCAAAATTGTAAGCCCTTCCCACCCAAGCGCATGATTTATGACATCTCACCTTTTCTTGGATACGAGCCGTATTCAAAGGGTCCTTGATCGATGCCAGGGCGATGAATAGACAAAATGAAACATAAAACATCGTTACGCAAAATCTCAAGTTTAGCCCGTATTTTGTAAATGAGATACAGGAAAGGATATGATTGATTATCGAATGCGGGGTAAATTTCTGCTAGCCTGAGTAGGTTTAAACGAACATGACACTTGGGTGCGGGGGTTGCTTCCAAAATACCATTTCGGAAGCTTATCATTGCCTTAATTCAGACCAATCGTTTAACTTATTTTCAAGCCAAGGAGTTTCCCCGCTTTAATCTTGTAGGGAAAAGAAGCGGCTAGCGTAAATTTAAGGAGAGCAGACTGAATAGACTGGCATGGACGGGACGCACGATTTAAGCTGCCAGTGCCCTTCTAGTCGGGACTGGCTGCTATACCTCAAATTTGACTAGGAATTTGAGGGATACTTCAACGCCAACTCCTAGTTTCAGCCAATATCCGCCATGGATATCGAGAGCGCGGTATCCGGAGAGAAGGAGAAGGTATTGAATGCCGATGATGCACAGCTACTTGCTATGGGGAAGAAACCGGAATTGCAGCGGGTCTACAACACTTGGACGCGTAAATATCACCTTGTCCTATAAACATGCGACGAAGCTAAACCTCCCAGTCTGTGCCTACCAGGTTATGATATCGGCCAGCTGGTCATGCCTCATTGTTTTATATTCAACCATCTTTGATGTCGGTGGACCGGCTGGTTTGATATGGGCAACGTAGGTCATCGGTATTGCCAAAATTAATATTTTCACCAGAAAGCTAATTTCAGTATCCAGTCTGATCGTATCTATCGGCCAAACACTGCTTATGACTTCATTGGCAGAGTATTGCAGCATTTGGCCGACCGCTGGTGGACAGCAATACTATACCCAAGCTCTTGCAACTGGTAGATTAAGGCCGTTCCTATCATATTTGGTCGGGTGGGCCATTATGGTCGGCGAAATATCGACGGGATCTAGCTGTGCGCTTAATAGCGCTCAGATAATTGCGTCATTTGTTCAAATCGTCCACCCAAATATAGAGTGGAAGGTACGTTGAGAATTTATTGGCATTCTTTTCTTTTCCTTTTTGCAATATTAACCTGATATTTGAAGTCCTGGATGACCTGGTTACTTTATAGTGGACTTCTCATTGGTCCGGTAATCACGAACTTAAACCAAAGGTAAAGCTTTGTCGTATTTCAAGGCTCTTTCGTACTGATTGATTCCATCTTACGACCTGCAAAATCGAATAAGCTGACCGATCTACGGTTTAGGTGGCTTCCGGGCGTTAATTTATTCGGTGCAATTTGGGTTGTTGGCGGTGGAGTCGCATGGGCCATTGTCTTCATCGTGATGGCGCCTAAACATGATGCAAAGATCATTTTCACTGAGTTTCTCAACAATACGGGCTATGAAAATACTGGGTGGGTATTTATAATGTCGTTCTATAATTCTATTTACGGATTGGTTGGTACAGATGGAATGATGCATCTCGTGAGTTATACAAAAAGAAGAATCTATACCTTGAATTGACGTTGACGGGTAACAGGTAGAAGAGATGAAAAATCCAGCCAAAAATGCGCCTGTTAGTTTTAAGTACCCCTGACTACTGAGCGACGCTAATTATCAAATAGCGGAGCATGATCTATTCTATGATTCTTTGTGGAATTATGAGTTGGCTAGCAGCTGTTCTAATGATTTGGACTGCGGGTGACTGGACCACCTACATGCCATGTGAGAACATCACAATATTATTAAAGATGATTGGAACTAATTCTAGCAGCACCGCAGCCGTATATGAGCTGGTGGATTGGTGTCACTGGGTCACTATATGGTGGTGGTCTCTTCTGTGCACTTGTAATGATCGGCATCAACTTCTTCGTCATCGTCGGCACGAACAGTGCCGGGTCAAGAATTGTGTGGAGCATGGCCCGCGACAAGGCATTCCCATATTCCGAATATCTAGCTCGGGTTAACCCGAGGCTCGGTATTCCATTGCGTGCCATTGGATTTGTGGTGGTGGTCGATCTAATTCTTGGTATGTTCACTTCTATTCGTCAATTATCTTCCAAGATGCGATTTTACTTTGACTTGACACTGAGCCTCATGCCATTTAGGTCTTATCGTCCTTGGAAGTGACCTCGCTTTTCAATCCATCATTTCCGGCGGTGGCCTGATGTTGCAGGTTAGCTATTTAGTGCCTGTACTTATTGTATGTATCTCAAATGTTGTGCGACATTTGAAGCCATCAATTAACATTCGGTTGCATAGGTTCTTGTTCGGGGGAGGAAAATTTTACCACCACGTCCTCATTTCGACCTGGGAAAATGGGGCTATGTGATAAACATTTTCAGTGTGGGTTGGTCTTTACTAATCTGTGCAGTATACCTGTGCCCCCTCTACGTACCAGTCACGATCCCCACCATAGATTACATGAACTGGAGTTGCCTGATTGTAGGCGCGACTATTTTGTTTCCAGGACTTTATTGGATTTTTGGCGCGCGATTTCGATATATCAAAGAACAAAACTCGGTTATGGAAGACAATGTTGTTGTCATCGATGGCGTGGTTTTAGGTGGGCTGGAAGCTATCAGAAGGGGTGAAGGGGCTCAGGTTGCTCCTACCAAGGAATGATTGATTGATTCAAGTTCGATTATGGACCGGAAAACAATCCGTCCATATGGGTAATGGAGCAAGTAAGGTCATATTTCTTACCTCACCAAATTATAAACTCTTTGTTAAACTTCGCTTCTTGCCTAAATTTTATCCAGCAATCCGCCCGACCGGATACAATACTAGCTTTGAGCCACCATTCTTTCAGAAACTCAAGCATTCGTGGCCTATCCAAGGGGCAAACCAATTTGATCAGGCTATGAAAGCGAGACTCTACCCACATCTGTCTATCTCTATTCCCCACACACTCGGTTCCGGCAATAAATAGTGGCCAGGGTTGATTCTGGGCAAAAGATAAAGGACTAGAAAGAGATGAAAGGGCCTCGAAAAGACACTCGCAATCACTTTCTATGACTTTTTCATCTCCATACGATGGACCAATTACCCGGTAACCAAATATTATAATGGCGTAGAACCACGCATCAACCACATGTACCACGTCCGCAAGCTTCTCTTTTGGCAGGCTCAAGTTGCTCTTGTCCAGCATGTAAAGTATTTCTTGTCTGATACTTGCGGCCTGAAACTCTAACTCGGAAACACCCATTGGTCTATTCGGATTACCTGCAGAAGCAGCATTTTCGGACCAAGGTGTCAGTAGGATAATTCGGTGCATCAGCTTAACAAATCCAATAAAGGGATCAGTGTTATTATTCAACGGTGGTCTCGCGATTGCCTCGTCCATGTCGATGCTCAACGTGAGACGTGGCCAAATTGTAGCGCAATAGAATTCCGATAATAGGAAATCATTACATGCATCAGGCTCTTGGAGCGAGACTTGCTTTTGGTGATATCCGTATATCAGAGCTTGTGCTGTTCTAAGATGCAGTTTCCATAGCGAATCCAAGGGGAAGTGCATCTCGAGGTGCCAAAGAAGCAATGTCGCTGCAAGCGACTCTCTGAAACGTTGAGAATACCCTTCCATAGTTTCTTCTTTGTAGGAACCACGGGCGAGACTTAGGTGGTGCGTCAAGAGAAACACCGTTTTCTGACGATAGGTCTGCGATATCTCAAAAGACAATCTCTTGTAGGGACTGTCCGACTGAAAGTTGACGTGCAAGTTTGCTGCCGCAAGGGCAAGTACAGCGTAAAGCACGCAAGGCGATCTTACTGCGAGGGGACATATAAATTGCCGCCACGGGTTCTGGGTATTATCTACCCAAACTAGCTGAGATGCAATGGAGTTTTCAAAGTGATGTAACAGGTGAGATCTTGCCATCGGCTTCCGGTACAGTGACGAAGGGTCGCTTGGTTGAAACGGTAAAGAGACCTCATTTTCGCTGCTGACGGATGGTAAAGAATGCCGATGTTTGTTGATAGCCGATTTTTCACCTGAATCATCAAGCATCAGATTTCTATGGCTTATATTCGGCCTTTTCTGTAATTCATCCTGCCGAGGCTTGGAAACGGGTTTCGGTCGCTTCTGGGAGGATCCGAAAATGAACTTGATCCTTCTAGAATACCCTGGGCATTCAAGAGATCTACTCGCACATTTGAGACAAGTAGGAAAGGCCCTGTCGCATTTTATTCGGCGAGATCTGCACTTCTGGCAGTCTTTGAATAATCAATATTAGCATCTTGGACGAGCGGTCAACTCTTCAACCCACCAGGGGACGTTGACAGTACCATTTCCTACAAATTGCAAAACTGACCTTTCTCCGGTGCCGTCATGATTCCGATTTTTTCTACTGTCAATAAGACATTGTTCGATTCGCATGTAACTTGAACTTGAAGGAAATGTTCGCTTGGGAGCGGGGAAGTCGAGGGCCGAAACAAGTCACATCAGAGCGCGTAATTTGCGTACTGCCCAGGAATAAACTTTCGCCTCAACTTTCCATTTTCCCTCATTTTTTCTAAACTCGGCATACGCTTTGAGACAAGTATTACCACTTTACTATCTACGAATACTGTTTCAATTCAAAATATTGAAACATCAATGCCAAGTGCACGAAAATCGAAAATCTGCTGCTGCATACAATAACGATCACAAGTCACATCTCGTCACCAGCAATGGCTGGCATTTCCTCTCGTAGAGATAAAATTTTCACATATCCACAGTTTCTTCATCCTCTACACCAAATAGAACACGCATGGGATCCTGGTATTTATAAAATCCAACACTTGGGGCACTGATTCCATATCCGAGCAGTCTCTGGACCTGGGGCGAAAATCTTTTTGCCATTTCAGGTGGCACAGCAAGCATTTGGTTCTCTGCCGGTCTGTACATTCCCTTGACCATAAACATTCCAATGACTTCTCGAATTTGATCACTTGAAGGCTATTTGTTAGTGGCATGCGTCAAAATGCGATAGTTTCCAGTGAGCATACATTGATTTGTTTGCGCCGCCCCCATGATAAACATTGCCGGTAAATATCAGGACATCCCCAACATCAAGTTCCGCTGGAATTGCTTCTTCTTTCCTTGGAATGCGTTCAGGGCTCCATTTATGAGATCCCGGTATTATTAAAGTTGCACCATTTTCATAGGTAGACTTCGTCACTGCCAGCAAGCAACCCAACATAATATCTTCCGTATGGTCTCTCGGGTGATAATCACTAAAATATGAATATATCAGTAAAGGTCTCGAATTTATTCGCAATTTTCAGAGATGTTCATAAAATCACCTATCATCCTTGTGTAAATCCTGGGCACGCGATCCTGGATGGATTTGGAACCCCACAGTGGAGGAAATTATGGGTTTGGTCGTCCATTTCTCTAGGGATTCCCCATGCCACCCGCAAAAGGTACTGGTGAGGATTGCGTTACAGACATCAATCCACAGTTTATTCGTCGCGTACTCCACGCATGCGTCTGAAATTCCAATCAACCCTGTAGCCCGTCGCGTGGTTTTTGGAAAGAATCCAGAAGGATCGGGGATATCCGCATCGAACACTGGCTTCAGTTCCGCCCGTATCCTATCCGTATGTTCTTTCGGGAAAAGCCCTTTGATAATGACTCCACCGTCGCTTTTCACTACCCCGACAACACTTTCAGTGGTTGTCTCTGTGTCGCTTGCGTTAAGCCTAGTAATTTTTCGAACATTCTTCTGGGCCGTCATGGTTATATCACTTGAATGGAATTATTTGATTATCTTTGAAGTCGGGGATGAAGTTATGTGTTTTGTATCGTGCTATCAGCCTTGGATTTATAGTTCAACTGATGTTACTTCTAACCTTAATTTCTTTGGGTCTACCATCTGTCCAGGCTGCTTCTCAATTTTCTTGCCATCTTGGGAATGTCTAAATTTCAGTGCCACATTATAGAACGAGAATACCAAAGCAATGAGGGGAATCCATACTATTCAATAGAAGTCAAATTGTGTTCTACTCAATGAGGCTTGAATCTCAAATTTCTTTCCTGAAATACCCTAGCAGACCATGATCTACTCCGCATTCACTATGTTGACCCCAAAAGTCACCGGACCGAGCTCCATCGGGTATGATCGAAGATAAGGGTATAGCTTCCTAAATAAATATTGGTTATCATCCTTCCAAGTATGGTTTAGTTCTCTGATTCCTTGCCTCATCGGGAAAGGCGCTATCTGCCCCCGCTTTCTATGCTGAACCTTAAACCCCGACCTTTAAATACATGATTGGTCTTTTCTGATTTGAAAATATGCTCGGTCGGAAGGTGAATACATCGAGGTTAATGCAAAATTACAAGCGTTGAAACGAAGCGGGGCCGAGCAGCACCCAGTCAGTAATCATACCATAGAAAGCCCCGTGCTGTAAGTATTCTAATAACTAGCTCGTCTACTCAAAGTACAAATCCAGCCTCAGTACAAAACACTTGTACAATAGTACTAGTAACGAAGCCGGCTATTCCAAATTGGTGCCCATGTGCATTTACTAACCAGTTGAAGACCATCAAAGTCTGTGACAATTTCCGAAAAATATAGTAGCTTCAAATATAATGTTACCGTGGATCCTAAATAAACTACTCTATAAGTTATTCAAGCCCATTATCATCGTTCCTTCTCATGGAGGCCCTCTGTTCAAAAGGACATTGAGTATAATAGACAGACACTCCAGGGCTGTCAAGTGGAACGTGGTTGTGAGCCATGTCAACCTAAAGACCGTTTTCTCGGTTGATGACATATCTCTTGCGGGTTTAATATCTCAATTCAAATAATGACAATTTTTATTGAATTGGGTCATAATATCTGGCTTTGCGAGGAATGAAACAGAGTATTAAATTTGCCATCAAAGAATTACAGCAGGGTATCACAAAATTTTTGAGTTGGGGAAAAATAGCATGCGAGCTCTATGTATGGGACAGCAAAATCCTATAACTGGTACTAAAGAACTTGGAGACTAACGCGATGATACTCTTCAAAGAGGCCATGTCCACTGTCACGCCTCTCTAAAAATACTAGGGATACCCCGGTCGCATCTTATGCCCTTGAGGCCCTAAGGCCGTAAGGCCGTAAGGCCCCACTTATAGTTACGTCCGTAGCATGAAGTCAGCAATTCCCCATCACATACATACACCAACTGTGTCATCAACAATACTTTTAGTATGTAGCAAGGCGCATCTTATTGACCAATAAACATGTCAATTCTTTTCTCATATTTGGTCCTTTTCTCCATGGCCACAGAACTAGCGCTGAGCTGTCACCTGTGCACACGCTAATGCACTTAGCCTGCGGCTGAGATGACGCTTCTTTGTTCCAAACAATCCCGCGCACATTTATCCCACATCATTACGCCTAGCTCGAGAGGCAGAAAGAGGCGAGCCATATACGCCCGTATAACGGTGTTGTTATTTGCTGTCAACCTTGAAGCGTGCCTCGGGCAGTCAGGCAGCCAACCCGTGCCTTCCCCTTATACACTCCTGCACTTCTGCACTTCTAGATAACTTCCCTCTTCTCTCTTCCATCTGATCACCACTATTATCTTCCCTCTCTTCCATCCCACATCTCCAGTAAGTTCTGGTTCTCACATTCAAAATGAAGGATTTCAGTCCCGAGAACAACCTGCTCCCTCACATCATCGACTATTATGCCCAAGAAGACCCAGACAGAGTCTACGCAGAGTACCCACGGTCGCCCAATACATACGATGATGGCTTTACCCAAGTCACAAACCATTCGTTTGCCAATGTCATTAACGGCATCGCATGGTGGCTCACAAACAATCTTGGTCCCGGCAATGGCGAAACATTGGCCTACATTGGTACCAACGACATTCGGTATCCCGCTCTGGTTATCGGGGCTATCAAAGCAGGATATCGCATATTCCTGGTATCCCCTCGCAATAGCATGCCAGCCTATAAATCTCTCTTCGAAAGTACCAAGTGCACACGAATCCTCACCCAGTCCCCTCGCCTACCTCCCGTCATAACGATCATTGACGGACTCTCAATGCAAGCGATTGCTATTCCAGGCGTCGATGAACTGTTATCGGTCGAACACCCGCATTTCGAATATTCCAAGACCTACCCCGAACATCGAAATGACACTATGGCTATTGTTCACACCTCGGGCTCCACTGGTATTCCGAAGCCCATCATCTGGCCGCTAGAAGTGGCGAACCAACACATTCGAATGTCAAGCTTGCAACCCCCTAGCGGATCGAGTACACTGGCAGAGATGTTCATAGGAAGCAAAATGTTCTTAACTCTCCCACCATTCCATGCGGCTGGGATTGGAATCATGATTTTCCTGGCAGTCCCGTCGAAGCTCACATTTGTGGTTCCAATTTCGGCATCTCTTCCTACAGCTACTTCCTTCTTAGAGGCCGCAAAACATACCGATCTCAAGTCGGCTGTTTTGCCCCCATTTATTCTCAATGACCTGGCCCATAGTGAGGAAATGCTTGAATTCTGCAGTCAGCATTTAGAACTCATACTGTATGGTGGCGGTGATCTCCCCCAGCCAATCGGCGAAAAGATTGCGAAAAAGATCAGGCTAGCCAACATGTACGGGGCCTCGGAGTTCGGGATTGTCAATGTACTGTTCTCTCATTCCAATCGTGATCATACCACAGATTGGAAATACATCTCACCCCACCCAAACTTGGGCGGGGAGTTTCGCCATGTGATGGATGATAAGTACGAACTGGTACTCGTGCGAAGTGAGGAGCGTGAAAAGCACCAGATGCCATTTAGCATCTTTCCAGAACTAACGGAATACCCAACACGAGATCTTTTCATGCGTCACCCAGATCCGACCAAATCCGACCTCTGGCGCTGGTGTGCCCGTCGCGACGACGTGATCGTTTTCCTCAACGGAGAAAAAACCAACCCGGTCTCAATGGAGCAACACATAACCGCGTCAAACAAAAATGTCATAGGTGTGTTGGTCGCGGGTGCTCAACGCTTCCAGGCCTCTCTCATAGTCGAGTACGGTGATAAGGCGCTGGATCCGAGTGAGCGGGCGAAAATCATCGAGGAACTCTGGTCCTCCATTCAAGAGGCCAATGCTGTTTGCCCTACACATGCGCAAATTTCTAGAAGTCATATTCTATTCACAGTCCCGGAGAAACCAATGTCTCGTGCCGGGAAAGGAACAATTCAACGCACTGCTACTCTGGCTTTGTACGAATCCGAATTGGAAGCGCTGTATGCTGATGCAGATTCATTGGTGGCGGTGCCTTCGGGCTTGGATGTTTTTTTCCGTGACAACGTTGGTCATAATGTTCACAGAATAGCTGACAGTATCCGTTCACTCCTGCGTTCTTTGTTTGGATGGCATGAGGATCAACTGAGCGACACGACTAACTTTTTTCATCTTGGGTTCGACTCCCTTATGACTATGACGGCGGCTCGCTGCTTCGCAAGTGGTTTCCGACTTTCGAACTTCACGCCGAATCTAATTTATCTGAATCCCACAGTCATTACTCTCGCTGAGGCGACTTCTCAGTTGATGCAGAATAATGAGAGATCGGAAGAACTTGCTAACGCAGAACGACTGCGAGAAAGACAAGCGTTGTTGAAGAAAATGATCAATCTTATTGAGCCGAAAACAAATCCCAAGGCTCCTCAGTTACAGACTGTTCTGCTTACTGGTTCAACCGGGACGCTCGGCGCCTACCTCCTTGATGCGCTTCTAAAGGATCCGGCTGTCAGCCACGTTCATTGTCTCAACCGAAGAGAAGACAGCCAATCTGTGCAACAGGAGAAGAGTACTTTCTACAATCTCAACTCTTCGTTCGACTCCGACCGAGTCAGCTTTTGGCAGGTTGATTTATCCCGAAATAACCTCGGATTGGACACCGGAACCTTCACCAAACTACAGAACACAGTGACAACCTTTGTCCACAATGCCTGGAACGTCAACTTCAATCTGTCACTCGCGTCATTCGAGCCTGATTTGCTGGGTGTTGTAAATTTGATCAATTTCGCAGCGTCCTCCAAAAATGCGCCAAATCTCTTCTTCATCTCTTCCGTGGGCTCCGTCCTTGGGGATCCTGGTGCCACGCCGGAGGCGCTTGTGACGACTGCCCACCCATCTGTGAACGGATATGGAAACAGCAAATACATAGCTGAGCATATGATATCTCATGCCGCAAAGCAACGCACCATGAGAGCATCGATCGCTCGCGTTGGCCAAATTGCCGGAGCCGCGAATGAACCAGGACTCTGGAACAAAAACGAATGGTTCCCCAGTCTAGTCATGAGCTCTCAGCAGGTTAATGCCATACCGAAGGATCTCGGTGCTCTTGGTAGGATTGATTGGGTACCTATTGACCTCCTGGCGGATGTACTCGTTGATCTGGCGCTCAATGAACCTTCGACCCCAGGCTCAGTGGAATTTTTCCACCCATTGAACGTCAACCCAACTACCTGGGAAGAGATCGCCCCCATCGTCTCAGGTGTCCTCGTTGATCTTGCGCTCAATGAATCTTCGGACCCAGGCTCAGAGGAATTTTCCTACCCATCGAAAGTTCTCCCAATGACTTGTGGAAACTTCGACCCCATTGTCCCGGAGCCCCAAAATTTGCCAAGCGGGGAGTCTTTTGAGACCATTCCTCTTTCCGATTGGATAAAGCGCGTACGAATGAATATGGAAGCTGCTTGTCGTGGAGACGGAGCTTCGGACGAAATGTTACGAAAGAATTTGGAGAAGAACCCCGCGGCGAAGCTCTTGGACTTTTTCGAGGCACTCGTTTTGACCCGTTGGCCCATTGCGCTTGATAATAGCAATACTGCTCTCAAGAGCCACAAGCTTCGTACAATAGATGGTATCAAGGAAGAATGGATTCGCAAATGGATCAGAGAATGGATGGTGTAAGCCGCTGAGCTAGTTTTCTAGTCCACTTGCTTCTTTCATTAATCGTTATCTTTCTGGCTTTTCAATTTTATCCCTATTTCTTTCCTTCGGAACGTAGATCAAGAGGAAGTCGATAACTATTCTATTAGTCTACCGAAGAATGAAACGCTCTCCTCTGCGCATGAAAGTAATGAGATGCGGGTACATCCTGGACCAAGATTTGGATCCGATGGTCAGGTATCTGAATAGTATTCTGTGACTCAACTTTCTCAGATTCAGTACATATCACTCCAATCAATGAGGCTATTTTTCACGTTACATCTACTTCTCACGATAACTGAAAAATTCAATCTCAAACCTTAAGCTTGTTCCTATGACGAGTCCCTGTCGGACCCGAAAGATCCCGAGGGGTAATCGATGCAACCATCGCTGGTAAGCGGTTACTCGACACAGTCATGAGACTAATAATAGATTCCACAGGATCATGACAGGCCCGATGTTGCATTTGCCACCGAAATAAGGTTTGGTCGAGATATCATGACTTAGTCCCGACAGAACGGGTAACGGAAAATACAACCGCGGCGACATAAGCTTGTCGAACGGTTGTCAATTTTCGCATGATAGAATCCAGTTTGGAGGAATACGAGGCATTTAGGCGGCGAACTTTTTGTGATGAACATTATATTAGGTTTGATATAAACCGATCTAAAACAACTGTCCGGAACGCCTGCCTTGGCGATCTTCTGCTAGAAACATCTGAACTAGTACATCCGAGTGTCCTGATACAACCACTTCAGGGACAGCAGCCATGAAGTGATTGTCAGAAACACTCAATTGAACAAATAAAGAGAACAGTCGAAGGGCCAGGGACAAAAAAATTCAAACCCATTAAAAAACAAAAGTATTAAAGGCGATCTGCTTATGCGAGCAGAGCCAGGCCGTAGGCAACGGAGCCCAGAGCAGCACCGGCCATGGGGACAGAGACCTTAGCACCGGGGTTGGAGGGAGTGAAACCGGTGGAGCTGGGGGAGGCAGGGGTGTTGCCAGCGCCGGAGGAGCCAGCGCCAGAGCCAGCGCCAGAGCCAGCGCCGGAGCCGGAGCCGGAGCCACCGCCGACACCAGAGCCACCGCCGACACCACCGCCGCCGACAACGTTGCCAGAGCTGGTGGGCTTGGTGGCGGGGACGGTGGAGGAGGGACAGACACCACCGGGGCAGGGAGCGGTGGAGGTGACAATGACGGTGCTGTTGTTGCCGGGGTGGCCACCGCCAGTCTGGATGGGGTGGGTACCAGTCTGGACACCGGTAACGTGGGCAGACATGGAGCTCTCCTTCTTGTTGACGGGAGGCTCAACCTGCTTGCGGGAAGTGGCCTGGACGCCAGCGGCGATAGCCAGGATGACAACGGGGGCGGAGAAGTGCATTTTGGTAGATTGAGTTGAAGCGATTGAATCAAGAAGAGAACTTGTCTGAACGAGTGATAAGGCTGAACGAGATAGTCAGTATCGAGACAGGTATTGCAATTTTGAGATATTGGAAAGCTTACCTAGGATGATATGCGATGGGAGATCTGAAGAGTGGAACAAACCAAGCTTTGGGGGGACCAGGAGGCCATTCTTATAGATATTGGGGACATCCAAATGCGGCCTGTTGGAATAGTCAAAAAAATTGATGATGACATGCAACAGCGGCGAAGAGAGAAATTTTTCTGCTGTTCCTTTCCATGATTTCCTGTGCCTCTCTGCCCTTGACTCGAGCCTTAGGACGAGTGTGGAACAGGACGAAACTGGGATGTTGGGGTTTCCGCATCCGGGGGTGGGGAGCTCGATGTCACTCTGGAGTGGAGCACAGAGAAGCCTGTTCGGCCGCAGATCCAAGCGCACCTCCAGAACGATGGTTCGACCGAAATCCGAGTTCATCGCGCGTTTTCGCCGCCAGCGACGATATGTCACGTGATGCATGTTCCCAAACAGGAAATTCGAGGTCGCATGCGGAAGGGCGTGAAGATCCTCGTACATCGCCAGGTGTGCGAGGGTACGGCGCCAATGGGGGATTCCTGATCGATCGTCGGTCGCTGGCTTGAACAATGGCATTTTTCCCGACTGTAGAATCCGTTGTCTATAGATCTGTTCTCGGAGGCGCCACTGACGGTGGTTCTCGAGATAGGGATCACGCAAGAATGCATGATCTCCCTGGCACGATTGGCGGGTATTATTCATCCAGATGAGCGCAGTGCCCAATTCCCCCAGTAGGACTCGGAGTATTGACTGAAGAAGGGAGAAAAAATTCAGTGGGATCCTCCTCAATATGAACTTGGAGTCATCACAGATATACTATAGAATGTACAGCAGAGGCAGTTAGGCATCAAGATCGGATGATTGTCCTGCAGTAATTTCCGCCCAGGTAATTTGATCAGGGCTGTCATTAGAGCCTAAGAAGCTTGTTTCTCTAGGTAAGAGCTCAGGAAATATGGAATCGAGACTCGAGTGATCAAGATTTCTGCCTCGATGCCTCCGTATACAGCAGGCCATTGGAGGCTTACTGGAGGTTTATTGGGCGTATCGTCCTCCGCGGACGCATCTCAGCTCAGTTTGGCACTGGGTGAATCTTGCGGCAGAGAGCCACCGCATGCGTCAATAACTGCCCGCAGAAATCCTTTGCATCGTGGGAAAGAAGCAATGCCAAGGAGGAGTGACAGCTACAGGGTTGCTCGCGCGTCGCGCAGGAATGTTGAGGCGTCGACCCCAGATTGAGGATCGTCGCTCATCCCGACAAATGCGTGAAAGCAAAACGAGGACGGAAGTTTTTTCCCGTTTCAGGGAACAGACCTATACAGGTTGACCCTTCTGTTTCCAGATACTCGCGGATCGAGTATCGCTCGTTGGGGGTTGCTTGCGAGCGTGAGCTGGAGGTAGCTTCCTTGACCACGGCAGATTGACAGATCAACAACTGTTGAAAACCGGAATTCTTAGACTATTCAGGGGTCGAATCAGCTTCAATCACTCAATATCTTGTCTTGTAGCGTCAAGGCGTATAGGCTCGTAATTGCACATGGCACATGGTTGGTTAAGTGCTGAGTAGACCATAGCAGTACCTGCTATTCGTATCCCAAAAAAGAAAAGTTCCAAGAAATCTGCAAGATAATTCGGGTCAAATTGAGTTGACAATGCCCAAGGTTGAGAGTGAAAGCGAGGTAACTACTAGTCATCCTTAGTAGGTTGATGTAAGTTGAAGTTGATGTTGAAGTTGAGTCTTGGCGGGTCTTGGGAGTTTGGGAGTTTGGGAGTTTTGGGAGTTTCCCCGGCCGCCCGCGCCGATCTTCCTTTTTTGCTGTCGCGGCTTCGGCTTCACTTTGCTTCTTCAACTTCATCACCCTTGAGATCACGGCAAGCCATGCCAAAACCCGACACCGCCCTACTCTCTCCATCCCATTATGACAACGATGCCGCATCCCTGCGGTCGCCGTCGGAGCAGGACTCCGACTCCGAGGATGACGAATTCCTCCGCCATCCCCGCAGCACCCTCGAACTAAGCAGTCACGATCGCGCTGTCCTCGAAGATGAAGATGAGTTAGAAAAGCTCTTGACACGTCGAGGTCCCGCCCATGGGATACGGAGGATGTTCAGTCCCGGTCCCAGTGGGGACAGCGTGCGGATTGGGAGGAGAGAGCGACGACGGGCTCGCAAAGAGGCCCGTCTATCGCGTCGGGAGAGAGTCAGCGAGGAGGGTGAACTGATGTATGAAATGGAAGAGGGAATTGGAGATGATACAGACTCCCTAACCAGTGGATCCTCGTGGGATCTGGACAAAAAGGAGGACCCTCTATATCAACCGGTAAATAAATATCCAGCACAAACACACCCTTGTTCCCTCTCGTCTTTCTCGCCCTTCACTTGAGCTAACATCAGCTCTACCTATCCAGCCATCGCGTCCACATTGGCTCAAACTTGCATTAGCCTCTGCCATCATACTCATTCTCTTCTTCATTCTTCTTCTCGGCGCATACAAAGCTTCAAGCGGCTTCCGAGCTTCACACCCACATCGAAACCCGCCATCCCTGGTCTCCAACGGCACTGCTCTATTCGCGCCCACAACCATTCTAGTCTCCCTAGACGGATTCCGAGCAGACTTCCTCGACCGCGGCATTACCCCATCTCTCAACGCGCTCGTTGCCGCCGGCGTTTCCCCGCAATACATGAACCCCAGCTTCCCCAGTGTCACCTTCCCGAATCACTTCACACTGGTCACCGGCTTATATCCCGAGAGTCATGGAATTGTGGGCAATACTTTTTGGGACCCGGAGCTCGAGGAGGAATTTTACTACACCCACTCGGCGGTCAGCATGCTGCCCAAATGGTGGAATGCAGAGCCGCTGTGGGAGACGGCCGAGAAGCAGGGAGCCAGAACTGCTATCCACATGTGGCCTGGCTCCGAGGCTCATATTGGAAGTGAAGAGCCCACTTACGTGGATAAATTCAATAGCACGGAAGCTTTATCGCGCAAGGTGAATCGGGTCCTGGAGCTCTTGGATCTCCCGGGCGCCGAGACCTCCCATCTCAACCCGGAACGACCTCAATTCATTGCGGCCTATGTCCCCGACGTCGACAGAGATGGTCACAAATTTGGACCTAACAGCACCGAAATCCGAGCCACAATTTCCCATGCGGATACAATGATCGGCGGCTTAATGGCTGGTCTAGAAAGTCGCAATCTCACAGACGTGGTCAATATTGTTGTCGTTTCAGATCATGGTATGGCCACCACGTCTACCGAGCGATTGGTCCAGTTGGAAGATCTTGTCGATCTGGATCTCGTCGAGCGCCTTGATGGGTGGCCATCGCGCGGTATACGCCCCAAGCGAGCAGAGGACCTACCGACTCTGCAAAAGCAGCTCGAGGAAGCCGCACCAAAGTATGCGCATGCTGTGGAGATTTACACCCATGAGACGATGCCGGAGCGTTACCACTTTACTCACAACGCTCGAATCGCACCTCTATGGGTGATCCCCAAGACCGGTTGGGCGATCGTTGAACGGCCGGAGTTTGATGCGAAGAAGGCCCTGGAAAAGGGTGACGTGTACCACCCCAATGGTATTCACGGCTATGATCACCAGCACCCATTAATGCGAGCCATCTTCATCGCACGCGGTCCAGCCTTCCCGCATCGGCCTAATAGCCGCGTTGAGCCTTTTCGTGAGTCCCTCGCCCATTTATCTTTGTCAAAAGAAAACATGAAAATTAACCTATTCCAGAAAATATCGAAGTGTACAACATCATGTGTGATTCGCTAGGCATCAAACCCATGCCGAATAACGGCACCCTCCGTCTACCGCTGAAGCCAGTCGGTCTCCATTCCGACGATGATGCACCGACCATCGAAACCCCATCTGACCCACCCGAGCCCGAAGTGACCAACACCACCAGCAGCAGCAACAACACCAATCCGACCGCAACAACCGCCGAGACTCCCGAACCGACGAGCGCAGCTTCTGACGCGCCGCCAACTTCCAATCCACAGAGCGAAGACGAGAAAGCGCCAACGTGGTGGGGGACGTTGTGGCATAAGTTCGGCAACAAGTTCAGCGATTTTAAGGAGTGGTCGAAGGAGTTGTTTGATGCTGAGCACGACAATCACCCGGATGGAGAGTCGGAGTCGAAGCCAGAGTCATGAGGGAATGGGGTGGGGTTGGGCTGGATGTTAGCATTTTGCATTTGCATTTTGATTGAAGTTGCTCTGGTTGAGCTGCTATTTCTGAGAGATACCCATGTTTATAATACATAATATATACTAAAGTGCCAGTACACTAACTACTGCATACACCTTGAAGATTTTCCAACGTTGAGGTGTTCAAGTTCCAGATTCAGTTGCCGGTTGCGGGTTTCTAAGACCCCCCTTGATACATGCCCGCCCACCTACAGGTACCTACTCCGACTGAGTCCCCAGGGCTATAGCCAGTAAATTTGTAAATACTACCAGTACGGTATTTAGCAAAATAGGTAGTAGTAGTACCGCGGCCGTTGGCTGTGCCCAGGTGGGCAAGTTGAAGATATATACTTCTACTAGAGTCCACGGGTGGTAGTATCTTTCGGAACTCACCTTGACACCAGACATCTACCTTGGCAGGTGCACAGGTGGTCATTACTTAGGGAAATATACTACACTTAATATGATGAAATTGACCATTGAAGCAGATCTTGTTGATTATACCTTGGTATCAATCAGGTGCTGGTATTATGCTTTCCAGTAACTTTGCTGATTCTGATTCAAGATCTTATAGCCAAAAATGAGTGTTCAGATATCAACCACCCCCAAGTGGTCGAGCAGTAACTCGACTATTTCATCTTCCTTGGTCTAGTGGTCATGATTTCCGCTTGTCATTAACACCGATAAGCGCGGGAGACCGGGGTTCGATTCCCCGAGGGAGAGTTTCTTTTTACTTCCAGTATTTACGTCTTTTTGCTTTTCTCCTTTCTCCTTTCTCTTTTCTCTTCTCTCCTTTCTCCTTTCTCCTTTCTCTTTTCGTCTGCCTCTTTTTTAATATATTTCAACGTGTCTAATTTATTGTTTCTTGCTTCAAAAAGTTTAAGTTGGCAATTTACACCTAGCCGTGCTAGCCATGTCACTTTTTACCGACTCCAAACAAGGGATCGCCAGCGACAACAAACCTGTCATTCCGGTGATTTCTCTGAAGCGCGGCGTCGGAATCTCCGCGACCGAGAGTCCATAGGTAAGACTGAAACTGCACCTGCGATGAGAAGGTTTTCTCCAGTAGCTTCAAGTCGAACGGATTTTCTTCGTTCCTTGATAGTTCCAATGCGGCGGTCACACCCCGTTGTATTTGCCAGCCGTTCATCCCTCGGGTAGTTTTCCAGGAACGCCATCCAGAGGCGACGGCTTGAATTCCTTCTCGAATAACTCCATTGTGAGACGCTGCCAGACTATGGAGAATTTTGATCTGGGAACTTTCATCCAGCGGCGGAAGATTGATTGCCAACGCCGTGCGAGTAATAAGATTCATATTCACGGCTCCAATTCGATCTGTGATCAGAAACACAAGACCGTGATGTCTTTCAAGAATTTGAATAATCGATAAGACGTTCGCATGTTGTGGCGAGTCTTGCTTGGTCTCTTCTTCGGACAAAAGCTCGACATTCTCCAGAGAGACTAGGGCATTCCAATGGCTGGCCATTTTCAGGATACCCCTCACTCTCCTTGGCCCGTCCTGCCCCGTCTTGAAGATATCTGCCACGGAGATACTGATCAGCGGCCGCCGGGTGTACTCTGCGGCCAATTTGACTGTGAATGTCTTGCCAACGCCTGGCCCTCCGTGAAGCATTACCAGAACAGACTCGTCAGAGATGGGCATCGAGTCTCGATATCTACCAATCATTCCACGAAGTATGTATTTCGAGTCGTCCGGAAGGAGAATGTCTTCGAAGATTTCTTCGCCTTTGCGCTGGAACTGTACATCTTGGATTGCCAACACATCGATTTCCTCTGGTAATAGTCAGTTAAATAACCTCGGAATACTCAACCCCAAAGACAGAATGCAACGTACTCCATGTGTTGTCAGTTAAATCGTAGCCCGAGATGGTAGGCGGACATGTAAGTGCCACAAATGGCTTTAGATTGGTATCCAAGATCGTCCTTAACTCGACGTCCAGTTTTGAAAGGTCATGATTCCCTGAGGGTCGAAGAGTTTGATCAATGACGACACGTTCCGGCTGCTACAAAGGGTAAGCTTCGTATACTCTGTAATTGGTGGGAGTTTCGCATACTTCGCTTGACTTATGTTCCATGAAATGAACAGCACTACCTAGCTTCCAATAACGCCGACCCCGCCGAATCAGCTGCATGCGATGCTGACTTTCATCCGCCAGATAGCCAGCAGGTATGTAACTCAGATCAACGATGTCGATCTCACGAGCAAAGAAGTGAATTCGAAAGTCGTAGAATCGCCTGACAAAAGTCTTGCCATTATGATCGACAGCCCAAACCCGAAGAACAAGTGGTCCATATGTACCAAATCGGCCCGGGTCCATCCCGGAAAGCTCAGACACAACAAATGCTTGTAGGACTTTATCTTTCCAGCAATAAATTGTGGAGTTGATCTGGTAAAGCAAGGGAAGCTGGGTAAAGCGGACACTTTTGCATCTGCGCTCTTGGATTTCGACAAATTTATGCGAAACTGGCATCAAGTATTCCTCCGTGATGGCGTTGGAAAGTTTCCTTGAATTCTGGGATTGAACGGCATATGAAAGAGTACCCAACGTCAACGCATTGTCCGTTCCTGCAAACTGAGAGGTATGGGAAAGCGATGCTGTGAGCAACACTTTGACAAGTAAAGTGGACTGTTTAACCAAAGTGTTTAACGCTTCGATAATAAAGTCGCGCTCCTCCACGCCATCCGCGGTTTTCTGTGAAGCTAGACTGTCGATGCTGTCAATGACGATGAATACACATGGCACTTGAGCATTTTGAAGAGAATCAACCAAAACCTTCCACAACACGCGAATATTGCTCGCACTCTCTCGGTCAAGGGAACAAGAAGCATTCGACCAAAGTTCAGCACGCTGCTTGAATAACTGAGTGAGCAGGGACTGAATCAGTGCTGGATAGTTACTGGCGCTGGTCCCATGGCTATCACCGCAGAAATGTCGCAGCACAATACTCGTGTCAAAGTGATTCTCTCCCAAAAGTAACACTGGCGCGACAAACGAGGCGCTGAACGTCTCTCGACGAAGAGAATTGTTCCCGTCCACCCACAGAAGCTGCGAGGATTGTGCTTCAACCCAATCCATGACATGATCCACTTTCAGTATATTGCGCTTTGTGGAACGATATTGATGCATTTCCGGGCGTTGTTCCTCCATTTTCAATTTCTGCGTCCGCGTATCCTCAAGTTTATTGAGATCAGTAAATAGCATGGCCAAACTGTCTTCCATGCTGTGAGGCTCTGGCGAGGGTCTAGAATCCTTGGCTGTATCCACGAGTGTACCATCCGCGCCGTGTTCCTCCATTTTAGCATCGACCCGCTGTTGGAAAAGGTGGCAGGTCTCTTCGAAATCGCTCGTCTTGGAAAACCTAATCGTGTTTTCTGTCATGAAATCCAGAATTTGCGAGACTTTTGTGAGGACTGTTTGACCAGTAAAATGGGTCGAAAAGTGAATGATATCGCGCACTTCGCTGTAGACCTGGTCTATGGACTGAACAATAGGTTCCAGTTGAGCCCAAGGCTTGGTGAACGCTTTAAAGGCATTCTCTAGATATAATCAGCAAGAATTTGCAAAAGTATTGTTTTCGCTTACTGATGCGACTCCTGCAATAAAATTTCAAAGCTTTGGCGACGAATCTTTGGAAGCAGTCATAGAATCTCCCAAGCGCTTGGACCAATTGCTCTGTTGGGTGATAGCTTGTGAGGTGGCCCATGATCTCGAATTTCGTTTTGATGATCTCCATGTTTTCTTTTACCTTCTCCTTCAGCTCCGCATGGTTGATCTGGGCCACTAGAAGTAACTTGACAGCACCATATACCAATCCAACATACTCTGGTGCTTGACTGGCAAATACATCCATGATCTGCGTATACGGGTATGCAACTTCGCTAACTTTCTGGCAGCCATTCTTAATGCGCCCCAGCATGCCTTGGCGTGATTTGTCTGGATATCGATTGTCATGGGCGCTTTGCGCTTGCTGGACAATCTTTAAAAGATTATGACGACTTTCTTCATAAGAGCGCATCTCTTCGGGTGAAGCCATTCTCAGAAACTCTATCAATCGTCGATCCAATTTTGTTTTTGAAGTTTGGACAATTTGCCTTGTCTCTTTAGTTATGAACATGTTCCGAAATAATTCTTCATTAACTCACTGCTTCAATACATCTGCAGACCAAGCGGGTTCATCCAGAGATCCTCCTTCGACTGACTTGCCGCTCGATATTTCCTCCGCACCATCATAATTGGGCGATTGATTGGCGTCAGTGGCATCATGCATGATCCTTCGCTGGAATCAAATATTTATGATCTCGAATTTATACGACCAAACCGAATTTAAATTCCGAATCCATCAAAAAAAAAAAAAACAAAAAACATGTATCGCAATAAAAGAAGTGCGTGAAGGCTCTTTTGAATCTTACCCCCTCCTAGTGTTGAGGTCAGGCCGCATCGATAAGTCAGCAATTTTAGCGTGGCAGTCAATAATTGGATGGGATTTTGAGGCGCAGGGCAGTAACTGAGTCGGTAATAGTACATCGAAGATCACCAGCCACAAATGGGAAAGCGGGGCTGGCCAAAAAACCCATCCTCGTATACGAGTAACTAGGGCTCACCCTGGTCAGACTTTGTTCATCCACAAATATCTAGATTGAATAGGCGATTTGGAAATAGGAAAACATAAATATCCTATAATTCTTCGGCTCACGCCAAAAACAAAGTCCTGGGCTACTTAAGGTGGCTAGTAGTAGACTTGTATATCTACCGCTAGTCATTTTGCCCCATTTTCTCGTTTCAACGATTTGTGACTTTGGTCTGTCATAAATTCGGGATTCAATCGGCATCTCTCCTCTGATATCTTTCTGCGGAGAAAATTGATACAAATTCATGAAATTAAAATGGTTATAAATGTTCGTATAAATAATAGTCCCTCACTGATGGATTAATTATTCAAAGTTAACGTTCCATGGTTCCTGTCATAAGTGACGCTTGAGACACCTTGCCAAATCTAATCTTACGACAAAATTATTGGTCTAAGTGGAAAAGAATTGATGTGAGCTAGAGATAGTTATAGTAGGACCACTTTGCTGAGCTGGCTCAAATGATCACGCCTTGGACGAGAGGTGTCGTACTATTAGTACCTGACCCAGCTTGCCAGTCGGAGCGGGCCAGTGCGATCTTGGGTTCTCGAAGGCGACTATGTGTCAAAAATGAACCAACTTTAATAGATAATGAAAGAATCACATAGCAAATATCCTCACAGAAAGAAATCCATGGCAAAGTATTGAACTCCGATTAAAGTAGAACATGAATTCACGCGCATATCAATGCTTGTTAATTCGTGGCTCATTATTTACAATATATGAAAATGCAATCCAAAGCGAATTTAGACTTGCAATATTGACCTTAGAATACTATTACGACCGAAGGTCATCTATTGGAAGGGAACTACGATAGATATAACGGATTAGGAGTTGAAAATCCATGCTACTGGTATCCTGCACTCCGAAAGGTACCTGGAAAACTTCACAATCCCGATTAGTCGAGCGTTCCAAGCATTTCCTGATGATTGACGGCCGAAGCCTCTTGGACAAGCGTAAGTCCAGCGCCTCTTCGTCAAGTCTGTACATGTATGGAGGCCTACAAAACAAGACCTGCCTGCTGGCCCCCGATACCATCTTCGGCCCTTACGATGTCGACGGAGAGCTTCATCGCCAGGATGTGCGAGAGGGCCAAGATGGTGTCAACCTGTACCTCAATCTCGGTTTGATTGATTTTGAGACCTGTGAGCCTCTGCCGGATGCTTGGCTTACCATCTGGGTATGTAGCTCTTCAAGTCTTTCTTTCCGGATTACGCTAGTACCGGCGGCTAATAGTTTCGAGGCTTGCAATGCCACTGGCACCTACTCTGGTTACACCGGAATTAATCCGGATACCGTGTCTGTTCTGGATGGATGGAGCACCAGGGAGGATGGAACCACCCATGACGAGACCTTCTTGCGAGGAATTTCCAAGACTAACGAGGCCGGAATTGCTGAGTTCCTCACTATCTTCCCCGGTTATTACGATAATCGAACCACCCACATTCATGCGACTGTGCAGCACAATGTGACCGGTGATGACACTAGCTACTCTGTTACCGCTATTCAGCACATTGGTCAGCTCTTTTTCCCCGAAGAATTGATCAACTCTGTGTACAAGTTGGCTCCCTACCACGCCCTCTTGTCAACTCTGAACAGAACTCTGAACTCCGAAGATTCAGTGTACAAGAGCGCTATGACTGACGGATACTCTGCTATGATTTCCACGGAACTTCTAGGTGAGACACTTGCTGATGGTCTTATTGGATATATCACCATTGTTGTCAACAAGAGTGCTGCCGCTATCGCTACCACTGGTACTCAAGTCAATGTCCAGGGTTATCCTCCCACTGTCTCATTGACCAGTGGTGCCCAAGCTGTGGCCAACACCAACGATCTTGCTCAGGAATACCGTGCGAATGGCATGAAGAAGGTCTAAGGCTACAATGCGCTTTCGCAGAGATTTGCTTGAGGCAAGATAAAAAGGAGTTATCGCCTCTGAACCAACATTTGTAATAATATTCCCAACAAACTTATAGAATGTATGATTCAAAGTGATCAAGTATTCCGTAAATCCAGATATGATTGTACGAGTCAAGCATCCACATTTTTGCTTCCATCCTCGCCGATCGGGGTAGATCTGCATGCTGTTTGTGTTTTTTGAACCTTCACTGGCTTCAGATGGAAGAATTCATAAATAAGCAGCATTGACAAAACAAATATTCATAGCTTTGTAAGCTAACTCAGAGCTACACACATCAGGAAATATTGATGAACGGAATAGTTTGTTCTCATAGTGACGAAGGTTTCTCCTTGAGAAATCTTAGTTGGCCGTGAAAGATAGCGAATAATAGGCCAAAAGATATAGTATTCGCGACGCATGAAGTCGGCAAGCAAAACCTCTAGAATGGGGATCATCCGAATCCATGAACAGATCATCAAATAGTCCCATAGTATAACTGAGACGTATCCATACACGCCAAATAGTGGACTGAGGAGCGTAGGTTACTTATTTAGTCGAGAGAAAAAGACTGAGAATTCCCCGGACATTGCCCAACTATGGGTCAAACGCTCGCGTTCGTGGCAATGCGAGATACGCTTCTATCCAGCATTTTGATGTAAGGCCTTGGCATGGACAGATAGCAAATTCCCCTGGCCATTTGCAATATCGATGATATAGACCATTTTCAAGATTATGGAATTCCCGAAGTGGATGCAGCTTAAAACACGCAGCACAGTATTTCCGGGTCGGTGTCTCTAGGTTGATTAGGAACTCTTTTTGGGTCTCCAAAGCCCTGGACGGGTTTGCGACATAATGTGGGAGCGAAAGTTCAGGGCTCCTGCAAACATCCCGGTGCTTTAGATAAAACTTTCTGCAACTCAAAGCTAGATAAGCCTGTGAGTAAGTTGAAAGATGATAGAGAATTATGTCTAGTAGTTCTGTGGGAAGATCAAGAATAGACACCGAATTCCTCACTGGTATAGGGTTGCCCAGAGTGGTATTTTCCATTAAGGGCCTGTCCATCAGAGCCTTATGGCCCGTGGCTCGATATTTGAGCAATGCGGTGCATGCTCTTGCCCGTCTCCAGAAGGAAGCACCAAGGCGATTCCCCATATTATTGCAAGTTCAAGTAAGATTACTCGAGGAGCCAGGAGAAGCCGTTTGGCAGTCTTGGGAGAGGAGTGCTGAAAAAAGGCGGACGAACAAGGCGAGGCCAGGAAAACACAAGCGTTTTCGGGTGAAAAAAAGATATGTCATTATGATTTCTTGAATGCCAGGTGCCAGGAATCGCGGCAGGGACCCGGAGGTAAGGTTCTGGCACCTTTAGATTTGGGTGGGGCCTACTATTGACCGCTTTTAATGATCTCCATGAGTGAATTTTAGAGATTAGTAGTATGCCATTCATAACCTTGGAAAGATGTTGGTCGTGACCCGTAGTTATGTTCCCCTTTGATTTTAATCATTTTCTGAGCTATCTGAGGACTCGCTTTCAGAGTCATCCCCAGGGAGCTCGCAAGATAAAGCATCGACGATCCACTCCTTATGTTCATGATCAGTGTCACTAGTGGCCAAGTCCCATGCAGTGAGACCATCATTGTTGCGCAAGCTCAAATCAAGATCAGCTTTAAGTACCTCCATGATGGTCTTTGGATCAGTCATTCCAAGTTCAACATCTACTGCTAGATGCAATGGGGTGTTGCCGTTGTTATCCGTTGCGGTGAAATCAGCCAGACCACTCAGTCTGAGAAGACGGACTCCGGTGGCATACATGCTTATTGCCGCGATATGCAGAGTGGTATAACCGCTGTCGTCTTTTAAGTTAGGATCAGAGCCAGCATCAAGTAGCATCTCGAAAACACCCATTGATTGATCAAAGCTATCACTGCATGTCATGTGAAGGGGGATTTGGCCAAATTGATCTTTGGACATCGGATCGGCCCCTTTATCAAGTAGAAGTCTGACTGTCCCTTCACAATTCTGGAATGCTGCTTGGTGTAGCATAGTACGACCAAGCGCGTCTTTGGAATCCACCCTAGATCCTCTCTCGAGGAACCAGCCCACCACGCGTTGACAGGTGTGAGGCTCCTGCTCTCCCCCCATGCAACAATAACAGCCGTCGTGAGGCCATTCCCCCTGAGATAATATAATGCGCCAGTCTCCGGTATTGATGATTTCCGGTGGAAGCAGCGGAAGATTTCTTGTTTCGTGACCATACTCCAGCACTCGAAAAATTGGATCGATACCATTAGAGTCGATACAGTCAATGCTGGCGCCCTCATCCAATAGAAGCCCCACCAAATCGTGCCCGCCAAATTTCAAAGCCCATTGAAGTGGAGCCCAACCATGGCGATCCCTGGTATGCACAGAGGCACCCCGGCTGATAAGCATACTAACCATAGACTCGCTCTTTCGCATCACGGCCAGGTGGAGCGGCAAATCACCGCATGGATCCATAAAGCTTGGATTTGCTCCATGCTTTAGCAATAAATTCAAGACTTGAATAGCACCCAGGAATGCAGCAATGCATAGTGGTGTACAGCAAACCCGGTGGGTGAATCCATCCGGAGGATCTCTGCTATCATGATATCGACTTTCGTTTATCATCTTTTGAAACTCTTCAAGTGGTATAGGTTTTGGCGAATTACAATTCGCATCCAGACCATTGGGATCGACCCCGTGTTTCAATAACGACTCCACATCGATGTCTTTACCTAGAGAAGCGGCAATCCATAATGGCATAAACCCGTACCGATCCCGCCGATAAGGGTCTGCACCACGTTTAAGCAAAGTACTGGTGACCTTTTTACAATCTTCCGACCGAGTCGAGTAGAGACGTCCGGGACCCCTCCAACCTTTGCCTAGAACATGAATGGGCGCTTCGCCATTGTCGTCAATGAAGTTGGGATCGAATTCACAGTCCAGAAGTGCGTTTACAGCACCCAATTTCCCATATGCAGAAGCAATATGCAACGCGGAGGTACCGTCTCGGTCAAGGTTATAAATATCAGCACGGCAGTTGGTAACCAGAAATTTGATTATTTCTCCGCCATTGCTGAGAGCCGCGGCGTGGATTGCTTTGTCGCCATCGGCGCATACGCCATTCACGTCCACCCCGTGATCCACAAGAACCTTTACTGAATCGATTTGGCCTGCTTCGATCGCTTCGCCAAATGCATTCTGGTAATACGGTTGCATGTTTTCACAAAATTTGTCTGCGTGTTCGCCGAGACACGTAATAATCTCAGGATGTCCATTGCGTGCTGCAATTTTCAAGGGCTCTTGGAAACTAGTCGTCACAGCATGCAAGCCATCAAATGCGCCCAACTCGAAAAGAATTTGAACAGTTCCTATGCGCCCGCGTGCCGCAGCCCATCTGAGTATACTGTCCTCCGTAGCATAAGAGAGATAGAGATGTCGGGTTAGCGCTTTGTAACAACACCGATTGGTTTGAGCCAAGGCGTTGATATCTTTCAGCGAGCTCACAAATTCTGCGATCGCTATGAAGATTTCATCTGGTAATCTAGATAGGCTCATATTGACGAGGAAATAAGATCATAGATGGCCATCAATCATAAGCCTGAATTTCAAGTTGAATAATGAGTCATTTTGGTGAGAGGTAGAGTTTGTGGGAAGAGCATGCTTTGGGGGCCGAAGCACCACCAAGATAAATAATAGATCACGTTTTCCAGTAAAAATTAGAGAAAATCCAGCAATACATTCCTTTATCAGCGGATGTCCAATACATACGACCATAGGGTGTGGAGAACAGGGCTTCCCGTCCGCTCAGCCGTACTTAAGCCACACGCCGGCAGGTTAGTAGTATGGTGGGTGACCACATGCGAATCCCTGCTGTTGTATGTCCGTGTTCACCCATTTCTTTTTGATTCGTCGGGCAAGTGCCCTTGCCGCTTTACTCTTCAGGCTGTTCAGGCCTTCACTTGAACGCCCTGAAGACCCCTGCACGGATGACGTGGCCACTCGGCTAAACCTGCCATGCTTTTTATTATCATCACGTCAAACCCCCTGCCACATACATACACTGCCCTGCTCCAGTCTAATGCTGGCGGGAGGATCATGTTGCCATCCCCACTTTCTAGCCCGGTATTGGCTACCTTATATCAAAAGACGCAGTGAAGATTCTGTCAGCAATAGACGAATAGTTAACAGTGTAGTCGTTCTCCTCACTGCCTTTCGAACTCGCCCCCTCCCTTTACCTGTAAGCGCTGGATCGGCCTGTTGCGTTCTATCTCTAACACTCATAGATAGAATATGAATTCTAGATCCCGGATCATCGCAAAGATCCCCTCGTCTTCCTTCACATTTCCTGGTTTGATTGGGATAAGGACTTCCGTTGCCAAGTTAAACTGCATTCTAGCTGACCTTCTGCGGCGGCCCGCTCGATGGGAAGAGCAGCGATCCAGGCGATCGTATAGGATTCGGGGCTGTCAAGGACTTTTAGGGATGCCATGGTGCAGAGGGGAGCATGCGAGGCTGCCGAATGAGGTTAGATGAAGGAGACACCTAACTGCAGAATATTGTTTATCACCGTCAGTCGAAAGGGCGCAACTGTGTCAATTGTTATACAGGAGTATCTAGCTGTAGATTAGGGAAGCAAACTGGAAAAGCACAAGGTGGGGGTTAGGCCACAACACCAGGTTCTCGCCTATAAAAAACTCAGGTAGAGAGAGGCTGTGGACAGTGAGCGCTTACGTGCAAACCCCTCTTGCTGGCTGGACGACATGATTGGGAGTGGTCAACGCCAAGCCTCCTACGATGCTCAGCGTTGTTGTGGGCCTGCAGGTGGTTATGCTAGAACAGCAGTCTTGGGCAGAAAGCGAGCCAGGTCGATTACTGACAAAACAGGCTTTGGTCGGGTCACGAAACATGAGGCTGTGGCCAAGACATTGTCTGCCTCTCAGATGGTGGGCAGGAGGCAGATTCCTAGGCTGAATAACAGGTGACCTCCACGGCGCCAAAGCAGGGCGGCAGATTGGCGGTAACCCACATACTACGGGCGGGACATACCGCGGTGATCTTCTATCGCATGTGGATCCACCACTTACCACGTTTTCCTTCACCAATCATCAGGGCTTAGTAACCGCTCACCTTCGGCGCGAAGAGCTTCCCCAAGCACGGAATAGAAAAAGGATGAAGTAAAATCTTAACTACAAGAAGTTGGCTGGAGGGAGCTGCGGAAAATGTCTTGTCATGCATTAAAGGCTTTTCGTGAATAAGAGATTTCGTTCGCCAAGATGTATATATTTAGAACGCTCCTATAATCCGCAACACCAGTCCTATATTAATACCTTATTTGGTCATAATTTGAAGATTGTTTTAAATACATCTCCCTTTCATATTTGCTAGTGCAGTATCTGGGATATGTCTTCTTACGCCTTTTCGGATATAGAGGGAAATATATGCCCTTACATCGACCGAGAAAAGAGCCAGTCAAGTCTCCCCAACTGGAGGACTCTGTGGGCAACGAGTTGGAAAATGGCAACGCAATTTCCACATTTCAAGTCCGGTTCGAGAGTTTTGAAAGATATATCCAACAGAGATGGTCCTCTCTTAAGTAGGTGAAGCTGATGACTGTCTTTATAAACAGAAATGGATCTGATTCTACGTGACGTATTTGCAACCAACATTCTTTGTTAGACGTCCAATAGCCGCTCGCGATTTACATAAAGCCGAACAATATCTACCCGATTGTAATGGTATGCGGAGACTGTCTCGCCAGAATTGTCTCGCCAGAGGATCGATGAAGATACCGTATACAATAAACCTGGATCCAAATTTGGACCTTAAGCCATGAGCACTCAGTTATGTAGAACCGGGCTGTCTAGAACGATATTCATCTGGAAGCTTCTTATATTTCTTGAGTTTTGGTCTGTCCATTGAGCTAAGGTGCGGGTTCTCTAATCCCAAATTTCCCCAGCCCCGGCAGAATCTTAGACGAGCAGCGCTACGTTGGAGACGCGCGTTGTCTGAGTATTGCGATGCTCAATTCTAAATAGCATCGAATATATTCGCTGCATTTTCAGTCAGCTTCGCAAGGTTCGAGAAAGCCCCTCTTTGCATTCCTAGAAGATGAATGTAACATAAACTGCTCTTGCTGAGCAGCAACACGAACGAGAGGGTCAAGCGGCATTATGGGCTTAGTAACTTTCACCGTAACTCTCCATGCGGTGCAGCTCTATTTGCCAACATCATCGTGGACTAATTTCCACTTAATGTGAACGTTTGCGGACCCACCTGGTTCCGACACGAGCATTTAGTTCAGCGTGCCAGTGACTTGTGAGTAGTCTGGCCACAGATTGTCGACAGGGCCGCGGATACCGTGTGTGGGACTCCAGGTTTCCGAGAAACGAATCATACCAGAAAAACACCTAAAAAGTCTCCCTCGCGCACGGGGATGATAGAACAGACGAGCAAAGAGCTCGTTGTTCGGCAGGAAGGTCAATGAAGATCTATCTCCACCAGACCCTGACACAAGTAATGTTGCACCCTTTCACTTCTTTACAGAGGATTCCTGTATACTGTGGCAGTCCACACCATACGCATGTTTGGAAGAGGTGGGTCGCATGATGGTTGTAGCCTTCTCCTCTTTCTCTCCCCTCTCACTAGTCAAAGCAAAATGTTCCTGCTGTAAGTTTCTTTTTTGCTTTTTTAACCTACGACAAAATGAATTCTGATGCAGCTTTAATGATCTGGAAGTGTTAAAAACGGACGATCTACTACTGAGGACTGATTATATGTCGTAATATCTCCAACAAGAGCAATATCAGATGCGCATTGGTGGCAAAAGACAAAAGTGAAGCACCAAGTCTTTGGAACCCGACAAAACCAACGTTTGGCTACGTCATTAGTATTTGAGGGTAAACAATTATAGCGTCACCATGTCTTATTGTCTACTTTGTCCTGCAGGACTGCCAGTCATAACGAAACAAGTCAGTTGGAACAAATCGCCATAATAGCTGTAAGAAAATTGGAGTCCATAATATAATGACTGTTATAGATATCAGTTCTTAAATTAAGAGTAACGGAAACCCAAATAAACAGACAAATAGTGTTGAAACAAACAGTCATTGGCAGGGATTGTCATCCAGTAAAAGCCACTAAATCTGGACCATCATGTAGATCGTTGATTACTACCTAGTCACATCACAGCACACTTGTCCCAGAAACCCCACGTGGATTCTTGAATTTGTGACTCTGGCTCTTGAAAGGGGTCATCATGCATGGCAGATAGTACCGAATCAAATATTTGGCCAAAGGCAGCGTACTCGGGATCATGAGAGTCCTCCTCAACGAATTCTGGCCCTGCGGTAAATACCTCAAAGTCATCATCAACGACGGCAAATCCGGCTAGGTTTTCATCGCTCGCTGACCAAGGTCTCCAATACAGTCCAGTCTCGCCGTATCCCACAATAACTCTTAGGCCACCAGGCAACGAAACCAATGCTTCAATGCACTGCGAATCCAGATGGTGAATAGAGACCCCGATACTTGTGGGATTCATGACGGATGATATGCGAGACCTGAGCGACTCTATGAAATTCCAGAGAGACATAGCAGAAGTTCCAACAATATCCATTGGTATTTTCAATAATCCCAAGAGAGACCCCAACCAATCCACCCCCTCCTCCGGCAAAAACTCATTGTTTCTACCAGGCCCCATCTTGACGAGCTCCGAGGATTGCATGTCGAGAAATTTTCCAGCCGTGGTTTTCTCAAGCGCAGTGTTCGCATGTAGCTCTTGGACAATCAATGGCGGCGCATACACTTGATCGGAAGGATACAAATGGGCAATCCTTTCCCTTGCGGTCTTTTGTCGAGCTGCTCCCTCAGTCTCAAGGTCAAAAACTTCCAGCGTTGGTTCTCCATTTTCGTATCGCCTCCCATGGTGATATAATTTGGCGCCTCTATCCATGAAGAGTGCCCATTTGGTTCTCCGCAAGCTTTCCACCAAGGCGTTACTTCTGATAACACCCTTGGGATTTTGGAGGTCCCACATTGTAGTGACGAACGTAATGGATGGTACGTAATCACGACCACAAAAAGCGTCCAAAAAAAGAAGGGCTTGTTTGATCTCCTCCGAAAAAGGCGCATTGACCGGGTGCACATACAATATACCTGCGTACATGACAGAGTCCCTCGTCATACGAAGTAGTCTTGCAATCTCTTGCAGGATAGCAGCATTGGAAATCTGGGGGTCATCCAAACCTGGAGTATCCACAAATAAATAGAGACTGCCCCCGATGACAGCCTTCCCAATCTGCCATTCCTTCGTGACTTGAAGAAATTATACTTAGCATTTAATCATATTTCGAAACATATTAGCCCACCTGAGTCAATCCCATCAGATGAATGTCCTGTTGAATTGGTAAGGGACTCGAAAAGACTAGATTTCCCTGATCGTAGATGCCCGAGTACGAGGATCATTTTCGTCCCAGTTCTGTTTATATTTCAGTAAATTATCAACTGACGAGATTCATGATATGCTACTGACCTTTCAAGCGCAAAGCGAAGCAATTTTTTGGTCATTCGCTTCACGAGTGCTTGGCGGTCTGTGGCTTGGGATCCCTCGGGCCAGTCGTTTGGTGCTTCCCGGTTCTGCATTCTGGAAACTTGTCTGATGTTCATCAAAGTAAAAAGAAAAGAAAAAAGAAAAAAACCGTTTGATGCCCGGAGTAGTGATGAATTTCAATTCCAAGGTCCCAATGGGATAAGAGATATGTTGCGGATGAGGTCGTTGGAAACATCATGACCCTTTTATAGATCAGTTCCCAGATTCATGTCTAATTAAGCCACGCGGTTACTCGAAGGAAATTTTCCGTAAACAGAAAATATGTTAAAGGGCTCCTATGCTTCAGTAGCTCTCCACGTAGAAGGCGAGACAACTCTACATCGTTACGGACCATCCATGCGCAAGTTGCACATAGTGCTAGCCCCGAACAGTAAAGTCTTTGCATGGTAGCGAACAAAAGTTTCATTAGCCCGACGTCGTGGCCTTGGCGAGAATTCCATTGGGTCATGGAATGAACCTGCCTCAGGAGGCTGAGTCACATGGATCTGTGTCGGAATATGTGGAGCTTTGTTATGTCATATGTTGTATTTAGTAACGTGATTGTAATATTCGGTAGATAGATTGTCCGAGCTACCATACAAAATCGTATGGTAACGGAGACGTTCACAATTAAGACTCTTTGCTATCTCATTCGTGTATGCTACTTGGGCCCACAGCTGCTCCAACAATCTGGCTGGAGTATCTGGGCGGGGTAGCCCAAGTGGCCATGTCTTGTCAGTGGTGCCAGTTGTCAAATTTCCGGGGCAAACCAATCCTCATGCAACTTCTTGGTCTCAGAAAGTTGCAAGGCGCTTCGTGTCTAGAGCCTTGATTGGTAAGACGATCACGGTCTTGCATACATTGTCTGGCCAGTATATCGGAGCCCCTGCAGTTGAGATCACAATTCTCGTTTCGTATTACAGATACCCAGCCCATACTTCTCCCTATTACTGCGCCTGTTAGTATGAGCACTCAACTGTTTGATTCTTGTAAAATTACAAATGCAGCGCCAATGCACGCCAAAACGGATCCAATCGATTGGCCAGGCATTTTACGTGTTCTCATGAACCTATGTGTTGTCGCTGGGCGATAAGAGACATTTACCCTGTAACCGGCTATGCAAAGACACGTGTATCCCTCCGCACAGACTGGCTGCATTAAATCTCAAAAGGCTACTTTTCGCCGGGCCGTGTCGAACTTGATTTCAGCATTCTTCGAACTCGGTGACCTTAAAGTGTTTAGATTTTTCTGAAACGATGACTCGTGCTCAAGCTATTGACTTCCAAATATGTCCTCGTGATGAACTCATCTCTCTCTATCTTATTGAGGACTTTGAAATATCTCAGCTCAGGTTGAAGGTAGAGCATAATTTGCCAAGCTGCGGCGCCATTCTCACGTAGGAAACCGCGACATAGAAAATAAATTTCATTCATGTCTGACAAAATTACTAGGGCCAGCCAATGGAAAAAACTTCTGGAGAATGAGAGAAACTTCAAGAATCTGAATGAGTTGGAAGTTGTTTCCATTAAGACTATGATCGGGGCCTCGCTCGAATCTTGGAGTTGCTTAATATTTGCTAGCGATGTTCTTTTGGATAATCGAGAGATTGAGCGACACTACAGGAGAAAAAAAGGAGTTCCGAAAGAGGAGCACCGATTTCCGTAGGGCCATTCAATTTGTCTTTTTGCCCTTCGGATTCACCATTTTGAGCGACCCAAATGTCTTTAAGGGCTTTCAGCGACTCCTATTTTACACCCGAGTGCACTTTGACTTTTGCTTCGACGCTGGCATATGGAAACCAGATGAACGTGGACTGTATGCTAGAACCCCAGAACTAAGAGCTTCACTTGCCCAGCTCAGCAAATTGCACAATCAGACTGTCGATGCTTTGAGACAAATCAATTCTAACAAGGCCGAAAGAGGACGAGCCTTAATACAAAGCGCGTCATCGCTTCACCTGCCAATTGTCTGTTCCTATCACCATCGCCAGTTCTCCGATATTTTAGCGATACTGTTATTGCTTCAACGAGGCGAACAAGTTGAAGTAATGCATGATATGAGGAGAGGCTTGAAGTCATTAGCAGCAAGCAATCTCCTCCCCAACGACCCTCGCAATATTATGTTTGAAGCTCTTGAGGATGCTCACTTACCTCTGGACTCAACCAGGCATCTTTATCTTGCATACGACTCTTACTGTCGCTATTTATGGTTTTCAAAGAATGATCGGACTCAACTAAAAGATCATTTCTCCTACAATCAAGCTAGTTTCCCAAGAGCTGATGCAGGAGAATTCTATGAAATATTCCGCGGGAAGCCTCTCGAGCTCGTTAAGCTTGATCTCGCCCGTGTTGATGGTGATCTTGGAGAGGAAAATCACGAGGTCTTCAGCATATGGCACACCGCAATTCGAAGCTTTGGCTATGAGCAGAGACACGAAGAAATGTTCAATTTGGCTCAGACTCTATCCATTCGTGTTGATCGCCTAGGGTATGAATTTGAATACCATCAGTGGCGGCAGCTGAACCTCGACTCCTCCCTCAGCTACTTTTTGCTTGGTGATGCCTACGAAAAACGAGGCGATTTTCAAAACGCTAGAGCAGCTTTTTATGAAGCATGCAGACTGCGAGATATAATTATCCCAGTCGACAATTACGACTCTGCGAGAATAGCTGCTCTGAGAGGACTAGAGTCTACCACTCAGAAACTAGAAGGTCGGTCGGTGGCTAATTTCTTATGCAAGCAGCTTTTGAACGGTATGTATCCAAGGGTCGAATGAATGAAGAGAATGTTTATTATCAACTTCAGCCATCTTACATGAGATACTAGTTGAATCTCGGATCTCAAGTAGGCTATTGTATAGTGCTCAATGTTCAAATTATGCGAATGTAGAGGCTTTTGGCGATGGAGCAGTTATTTCTACCCCCAATGACATGGTTTTAAACCCCAAATAGGTCTAGTTCCATTATTTGAATCATGTTTGGGCTTTGAACGGTAAATTTCTGTCTCAATTTGACAGTAGAGTAGAAATAGCTCATAGGCCCAATAATTAAAATCCCTATATCGCCAACTTAGCGGGCTTGCATTCTTGTCAAGGTGCTTGCATTCTTCCTCAAATTCCTCCTGGGTGGGTAGGATTTCGTACTGCAAATACGTTAGACACACTCTCGAGACGGGGAAGAGAGCTTACGTGATCCGATAGCCAGATCGAGTGGATAATCCGGGTGCGGCCCCGGGAATGGCGGACAACCGTGATGTACACACCGATTAAACCGGCGTTTCTTGCGATTTTGGAAAATATTTTCAAAGCTATTTCGAGTTGTTGATGAGTTGAGCTTTGGGGATATTAGTTGAGTTTAAAAAGCTTCTTCTCCAATATGTGTCTTGATTTTGCGCCTTTTATCAGTGAACCGCTGACGATCAAGCGAGACGCCGACGAGCGCCCCACGCTAGTGAATATTCTACTAACGGAATATTCAGTAGAGAGAATATTCTGATAGGTATAACTTTTTTGCTTCTGAATATTATAGAATTATAATTTTATGTCTTACTGAAAAATATAATATATAAATATTCTATTCTGATAAAATTAAGTTTAGGTTAAAAGTATATACCCCTAGAATTCTCAGCCAAAAACTTTCTCCCGTGAACAATATTCTTATCTCAAAATATTAAGCAAGGTAAAACTTTTCTATGTTATAATATTAATATCCACAAATATTCTCATATTATTAATATTATTAACTTTTAATTTTAAGGATTCTTAATATTCCTAGTCTCCAAACATTCCCAGTCTCCAAACATTCTATTTCCACTATATCTAGCTTAGACTAGTGGTCCTCACGCAGATTAGGAAGAGCAAAGATCAGGCTAAGTAACCTGAATATTACTACTACCAGTGCTCAGACTACAAGAGAAGAGTATATTCAGGCTCTAGTACAAAAATTCCAGTCGGAAAGCTATATCCGGTTTAACCCTGATAATTATATCAAGGTTCTTGTCGATGATGGTTTTTCTTGTAGTTTAAGCAATAATATTTTAACGAGTAATCAAGTCTTAGACCTTCCAGATAATAATAAGCTTACTATCCTTTAAGGGAAGTATTATGTACTTACTACTAAGAGATTTCTCTGTTATTTAGATAAATAGTAGATAGTAGACTTTTATACTAAAAGTGGGTAATTTCCTAGTCCTTGACTGCTATATATACTTATTTACTAGACCTACCATAGTTATATTAAGTAGCTCTCTATAAAGAGCACCCAAACACTTAACTATTTTATGATAGGGATATATATCAAAATATCCATATATACCCGTAGCTTAGGGATATTAATACTAAAATCAAGTGGTATAGAAGACTTAGTAAAACTGTACAGTAAGAGATAAATCAGCTGGAAAAAAGACTACAAGTATGTACAGAGAGAGTTCGACAGACTACTTAAGTTTAAAGACTTGTGGAAGTTTTTGAAAATTTTATATTTGGGTCGATAATTATCGATAAGATATTAAGAGGTTATCACTATAGCTTTAGGTTATTCTATTGTACTAACTAACAAGTTAATATAGGAGATAATATAGTATCTTAGCACTATTCACGACAAATAGGAGACAATAATAAGTAGATATCCTGGGTCTTTCCTTGATCCACAAACTATCTTTCTACTTAAAACACATATACCCTTTATTTCTTTGTATAATAAAGAGATAATTAAAGATATGATATAGCAGTGTCAGATATTTCCTAATTTACTAAGAGAAGAGACTCGTATAACTATTCTAGAGAAGATACTCCAGATAGATAAGAGGATTCTATTATTACATACTTTCACAAGAGATTTTTCTTTTTTGAGGTATACACTCTTGCCCTGAAGCAAGTACTGCCAACCTCTAAACGTTTAATAGCTGATAAGTTTATGAGAAGCTTTTCTGGTGTTAATCAAACTCCAGGGACCTGTAAGTTCTAGATCAGGGACTGTGAATTTACAAACCATGCAGGAAGCTATAATCTATGTCCAAAGCTCGGCTACCAGTAGTTATTTCTAGTAGTTATACGTGACTTTCCAAATTTGACCAAACTCTCGCCATACAAAAATTGCGGAAATGATATAACAGACAGGCGGGGCTTTGTTTCCGAAAGGGTCTCTAAATTGGCAGAGGTAGCAACCTTTTTAGGGTTCTCCAATAGTAAGATCTTACAGATACAATCGACAGATAGAGGAGCTCCCTATAAAACTGCTACATCTGAGTATCTTGCTCAGCTTCAACCAAGTGATCGATATATGGTGGATTCACAAAGAAGAGCAGAAATCGCACAAAATTTTGCAAATGAAATACCACATATAAGTGTCCATATGTCTACCAAGGCCAAGTTATGTACCTTACCCGACACAGTAAGAGCAAACGGTCGACGGGCCGCGAGTTTATTGTTGCCCGATTTCTGCCCGCTTGTGCAGGACACATTCTCTTTCTATACCTAGTATATATCCAGTTGTTTGCAGAGCTACTCTGTTGGGAACAAGGAGCTTCCTACCTCAGCACCCACTCAGAGAAGAACTTCTTATTTCAGTCTCTGTTGTTCAAGCAGCGCTGGCCAACGAGTCGATTTCATCAGCTGCTCACAACGGCTACCAGTAAAGTATGGCACCATCGGGTTCATCCGCGCTGGTACAGGCAGATATCCGTTGCGGTGGCGGAGAAGCACGTTCAAGGAAGTCGCACGTTTTCAACCGCTTTGATGACAAGGGTGCCCAGGCAAACCCGGACGTGGCCTTCGCCTGGCAAAGTGGGCATCGGGCTTTGCAGCGCGCCCAGATATACGGACTAGATGGTGCATTGCCCACCAAACTACAACCTGAATTACTACGAGCATATGCACGAGTGTCTTTTAATTCTTCAAGCATCAAAATCGTTTCCACTTGGACTCATATTGGAGAGAATTAAAAGAGTAGTAAGTAAAGAGAAAAAAGAACGAAGGGCATCTTCGTCCACCACCTGTCGACTATTTATGTGGTCCGGAGGTGGTGTTATTAGACTTCGTATGAATATCGCTCGTGACCTAGCCCCAGCCCGTCCCATTGCTGGCAGAGATATATGTCTACATCTCCTATCCGTGCTGGGATGTCGACCACAGTGTCCATTTTCTTGCAATTCTCCTATTTTGTTGGAATCATACGATTGCGATTAACGAGAATTATAGAAATATATTATAGGGTCGGAATGTAAAATTAAGGACGCCTATACTTCTTATAAGTTTCGAACTTCTGATCGATCACCGAACGTGACTTGGAACAAAAACTTCGTGGTGTCTTCACAATGCGTTGGGATATGTTTGAGAAGAACTCAAATAATTTCAAGATCGCTCCTCCCTCTTAGTGGGCTGCTCTTCTCCACCGATCTGCGAGCTTCCTCTTAAAACTTTCCAAGGGGCCTCTTCCAAACAACTTTGTAGGAACACTTTTTGAAGCACATATTTCAGGGCTTCGCGCTCCGAATCTTCGAAAGAATAAATTTTCATGTTGTGGCTGCTCGTGACTTCGAATGCAGAGACCCGCCAAAATAGTCGTTCTCTCAATTTCCCATCCTCGTATACGTCATCGTTCGCTAGTTCAATACGAACTTGACAAGGAGCCCCTCTCAACGCAGCAAAGTTCTCTAGAAGAAAAAAGTCAACCACGTGATGGGCCATCGTTGGTAAAGGGAAAAGAAAAAAAATGAGACACCTACTTTCGATCAATTGAATCCACTCTAAGATCACACATGCTACCAGGTTTGAGGTTTTCTTAGTCGCAAGAATCGGATGCACCTATAAGTGTATACATACGTTCGGTTCCCAACTTTTCATGAATTTCGACAGGTGCCTCCATAATCAGAGGCCAAAAACGTGGATTTCTTGGAAAATTGCCACAGTTTTGAAAAGGGAGTAGGGGATTTAATTTATCCCCGACAACTGAATCTCGTCTTCTTATGGTTGTTCAGCACGTGACATGTCATACCAGACGCCGCAGCTTGGGAGAGTAGGCTGATACTTGCCGGGAATGCGTGTTCAGCTGGTATTGGCGGATTGAGCCCTTCGTGCATTGACTTCGCTGACCGCATAATTAGGGGGTTGGGTCCATGAGGACCAGCACAGTGATCGAGACGTGCTGGGACGACATGTGTGAACTCCATTGACCACCGGTTGACCCACCCCCCCTGGGGGTTGGTCAACCTTACTTGTAAGGCATCAACGTATGCCGCCTAAGGTGACTATTATAGCAGTGCCGCACTCATATTACAATACTGCGCGCACCCCACCTAGCGGTGAGTGTTAAAATACCCCGGTTGCTGGGATAATAAATTATGTAGGTCTCCTTGACAGAAGACTACAGCGCCGCGAGGGCTGCAGGCGGGCCCGTAGCACTCCGTATATTTCAGGAGGAAGTAAAGCTATGCGGAAGCATACTTAGTATATACATGAGGGGTTCCGCGGTGGGCGGGAAGAAACCGCTGCGAAGAGAGCCCAACTCTCTTTCGAAACGGCAATGTTCCTTTCGAAAGAGAGGATATACGAGCAATATCTGTGTGCGATTATAAGCACGGAATATTGTGGACCCGACGCAAGGGGAGGGGCTCTCCGCAACAATCCCGAATAGAACATATCATTTACTAATTGAACATACATAATATTTTCTGGTGTCCACATAAAATGCCCTGTGTGATGAAATGCCCACCGGATATCTTTACATTCGATCACCATAACTTCCAATCTGCATACTTGATACTGCTTAAGAGCAGCAGAAACAATAATTATTTGATTTCCTATTCAATACCTCCTTTCGAACAAAGATAAAGAGATGTCGTTTTATCCGACGGTTTGTCCGTTTCGAGCGCGGCCCCGTCTCCAACTTCCTCGACTTCTTGCCGAATGCAACCGCTCCTTAGAACCTAAAATCCTCGGCGCCTCCTCACATATAGTATCATAGATGGATGGTCCAACTGACTTTTCAAGTGTATAGCCCCCTAATGGCCCGCATAGAACCACTATCGGGATGGCAAGGAGCACCCCAGGTCCTGTAAAGAGACCCAACCCAGCACCCAAAGCGGTCACAGCGCCAGGAATGCCCCAGATACATGCTGGACCTCCTACGGCGATGCTAGTTCCCTCTGCTATTGCGTTCCAGTGGTCCGGGTCGAGAATATTTGCAACGTCATGCAAGAGACTAGCAGGGGCTGCTGGTAGATTCAGTTTGACCTGGGCAGCGCCCTTGTACATCATCCCCTCAATTCGAAGAGGGTAGAGGTCCCCGGGGAAATGCAGCGGCTCCTTGATCTGTATTTCGGAACACGAGGGAATGAGCAGGTGGAAAATAATAGCCTTCGCACTCCCCGGGTCCTTGGCGAGCAACTTCCGTCTGACTTCAAGCATAAACAGACACATGTGATCAAGGTCATTGCCAGGTTTGTTCACAAACTCTGGTGGGAGCGGGTGCTCTGTGGTCAATCGGTCAAACGCCGGATGCCAGTTCGTGGAATTGTGGTAAACGAAGAAACGATGATTCTCCCGGTCTTTCTCGTCAATCCGATTGATCGTCATTTTGATAAAGTCGTAGACAGGCCGGGCGAACCCGTCTGAGCCACCGGAACCGCACACGGCGATGCAGTTACTGTCCCCGAGATGATCGGCGATGACGTTCAAGGCTTTGATTGCCTGCTGGGTCTGGGCGGCTTGAATTACTTTCAGCGAAGCGTTCCAGCATTCAAGATAGTTGACACGACTGACGGATGATGGTTCCGAAACGGTACCGGTATTGGCTTGTGGTACAGAGCTATCCGTAACCGCTACTGGTCCATTCTTCACCATATCACCCGAGGAATCGGGCGCCGCTGTCTCGAAGCCAACAACTGCCGAGTTTGAAGGACCAGCTAGAGCCAATGGCAAGTCCTTGGGTATTCCTGCGCTGAGCTGAGGCGAGACGGGCCCGACGTTTGGAGTGAGAGCGTTGAGCAAAGGCTGGGCGTCGGCCGGGGAAGGTTGAGGTACCTCCTTGAAGCGATGTGCTATCTTCGTACCAAGGCAGGCCATACGGACTAGGCTTAGAGCATCACGTTTTGTCAGGGCAATAGACAGCAGCTCTATGCCGTCCATGCCAATGATCTGCGCCATCTCGGTAGGATGCTTTACAAGCATTTCGTGGTGAAGCGCAAGGTATGCATCGTCAGGGGGGGAGGGAGGGGAACCGTTGCTGGGCCAGCATTTGAAGATCCCGTACCGGAAAACAGTATGTTTCGGCCATGTTGATAATGAAGAAGCAGAAGAAGGCCGTAATTGCGCTCTTTGAGAGCTAAGCGAGCGCGGACGGGTTGGGTCGTCAGCGAGAATGGGCGAGTTGATGTGACAGAGGAAGACCGATTCGGAAGGTTGACGGACGAGGCCGGGCAGCGATAAGTTCCGTCAACGTATTTGGTCAAGTCGGATACACGTATAAGACCGTAGAGGTCAGTCCAGGAGCTTTTAAAGACAGATGGTAGAGATCCGGCAGTTTAGAAGAGCGGCGGGGGATGACCCACGTTGTGTACTTCTGGACCTCTTAGCCCGCCACGGGATTCAGGAATGAGGCTGTGATGTGGCTGCTAATTTACTGTCCTTTCGGGCTATGTCTATTATGTATAGGTAGGTAAGGCGCTTAAATGGTTGGTTGGGAGGACACGGGGCATTTCAGTGCGGCTCAGCCAATCATCTAGCGCCCGGTGTATTGAGACTGGGGTATAAACATCCATCGACTGGATGTAATGATCCTAACTTAGTTTCCGTGTTTTGTCTTTTCCTTGAGTGTCCTATCTGGACTTGATGGCAGTTGGTTGAAGGTAATATCCATATAAAATGGTAGGCTCAGAGTTTTTAGCAACTATAGCGTCCCCGAGACGAAGCCCGCTTTTCCGAAAAAATCCGTCCTAACTAGTGCCTCTAACTCGGATGTTCGCACTAGCTATTTTTAGGAATATGTCTGTCCTTATTACGGTAGGGTTATGGCATTTGCCACCTAGGAATTCCCTGTTTCTTTTAATTTTTTTTTCTTGTAAGTCTCATGATCATAGACGAATCTGCTCCACCTTCGTTTGGAGAAGAGAGTCAAGTTTGCAGGACTCTTCTACTATATTGGTCGTTCGTATGCAGTTGCCTGGAATATACCTGCCAATGGATTCAGCGGATGGCAGTATAGGGACATGCCATTCAATGGGCTGAATAATCATGGGGTTTCGGTGGACCCGAGAACTATTGATTGCGTGGTACTTAACTAAATAGTAAGCCTACTGTAGTCAGCCTACTACGACAGCTAGACCTCGCCAAACGCGGGTTTCGGTTGGGTTTCCAATTTCCTTACCCGCCCACGGGCAACCCACCGCGGGTTTTGGCCTTTGTTGATTTATTAAGTGATGCTTCAATGTTCATGTTCTTGAGGGGAGTTGATTGTGTGTTGTATATTTAGACTGCGGCACTATCGTACGATCGATCGATAATTATCGTTATCGTCGGATATTTTGCGGATAGTGATAGTAATTTGATATCCAACTATCCGCAGACGATCGATACGATAATAGATTTTTGGACTGCGGATATCGTACGATAATCGTCGGATAATAAACAGGACAAACATGCCTAGAAGCACTGCTTAATTTGGATTGTATAGATTATGCACTTTCTCTGGTATTTGAGTGGTATTCATTGTGTAATATCTTGGATCAAGGGATTGTCTCCTCGGGTTCACTGATGCATTCTTTGAATAACTTATGAAGGCTAATATTATGTATACAGGAAGCTGGTCTCTTATTTTATATCTAGATTTGCTCAAAGAAATCAATTTTGCAGAATTGACTATGACCTATCAATCTCAAAACCAGCTGGCAGCTTTGGCTGTTTCCGGATCCTCCCTGATCGAACCTGGGTATCTTCAACCAACCAACGACAAAGAATGGGGCTGATCATCCTCACTAAGATCATGGAGTGTAACTACAGTATATAATCGCTTTTGTTGTGTTTGTTGACCTTGAGTAGCAGACTGTGTTGAGGATGCATCTTGCTCAATATCGGAATCATCTTATATCTCTGACTCTTTACAACCCTCTTCCTCATCGTCGCTTATTAGAACAATCTCATTACATAGTACTGTAGGCTTCCATGACTCCTACAGCAGAAGAGCATCTCCAAATTCAAGATACTCCTTGATCCTATTAAGTTCAGCTTGTTGTAGCTCAAACTTAGATAAGAAGGAGTGTAGCATCAGCTCTCGAATAGTTTCTGGTTTAAGACGTCCACGTTGGTAGTAGCAGATATCGCGAGCATAATTGAATAGTCGCTCAACACCTGCACCGCTAGCAGACGTTGCGAGAACATCTCATGCCATTGCCGCAAGCACTGGATACTTATACTCATGCTCTTTCCAAAATCTGCGAGGATTACCCTTGAAGGCCCTATTATGATAGTGAGTAGATAATAGTTATATAGTTAGAGAACTTACCTTGTGATAGATAATCAGCAACCTCATCGACTGATTAACCAACATCTGGCTGTAGAGCTGTCTGTGGATCAATAAGAAGAGTAAGATCATTATCCTCATCAATTATACCTTGCTGAGCTTACTCAGTAGTAGAATATCTTTGAGGCTGGATCCGCTCTTAGTATCGATCAAACTCCTTCTGCAGAATATCTCGATATTTCCTCATCCAGTCTACCTAGATATTATTATCATTACTGCCTCACCAGTCATTATTATCGAAGTATCGAAGCCGTTTGAAGGGACATAATATAGTTGCAATTACATAAACTGAACCATATAGATTATTGTCAGTTACTGTATAATATTTAGTAAGCTTCTTCTGTACTGAATAGATCACTTTGAGTATCTTCTTTTTCCAGAGAACAGCCTTCTGTTCTAGCTTCTCTTTTGTCTCATTAAGATAAGTAAAAAGCTGATTATATATACTGAATATAGAATAAACTATTATATCCTGAGTCTTTGATAGAATATTAGTCTTCTCAAAGAAGGGCTTAGTAATTATCAGAAGATATTCAACTTGACGCCATTCATTCATATCAAGTAGAAATTAAGGATATTGATAAGACTCGCAATAGCAATAGATATCCTTCTGTCGATACTGTCAAGATCGATCAAAAGATACTCGCTCTTTTTGTTCCTCATGGTGGAGAGCAGCGAAGAGTCAACCGAGTGAGGGATCAATAGCGGCAGCCAGGTGAAGAGGTGAAGAGGGCACGGTGAAGAAGAGCGAAAACCGTTCATTTTATCCATCGTCTGCACTCTGGCACCTCGTCAAATCTTTCCCTGCTGGAATTCACAAAGGCGACTTTTGCATGTCAGTTCCGGCCCTTCAGGTGAAGGGCTGAAGGGGCGCCCCGCTGGGGCGGCAGGCCGCCTAGGACAGAGTCGTGGGCGCTAGGTGACCACGGCCATACAATATCTGTTGTATGTTTTTGTTTCACCCATTTTTTTGATTCGTTGGGTTTAGTGCCCTTGCCGCTTTACCCTTCAGTCCCTTCAGCCCAGTCCCTTCAGCCCAGCACCTAAACCCATCACTCAAAAGAAAAGCCAGAGTACTGGCTATACACAAGCGGGACTGGAATCCTTATCTTCGATGATACCGATAAAAATAATTACAGCAACAGGAGTAATAAGATCTATAATGACTGGGAAAGCATAGATAAGTTATTGAATCTCGCCGACCATACCTTCCATCGCAATATCGACCAGCTCGTCCTGGAAGCTGGTGCCAAGCATACAGATATGCTCAAACTTGCTCTGGTCTGCCCTCCAACGATCTACGGTATATCACTATCTGATTATAACATACTACAGATCCCCCGCTTATGAAATAAGGCAAAGGAAGAGGACCCGTCTCAGGACGCGGACGACAAGTCTACGAGCTAGCAAAAGTGACGCTCCAATTGAAGAAGGGACCGAAATACGTTATCTACTGCGGATACTAACTACCAATAGTACTACTTGTACTAGGACTAGTTAGTATATAAAGCCTTAAATCTGACGGCCTTTGGCCATTTCGAAATCACAATTTCTCCTCAATCTACTTTCTAGCCTCTTCAGGGCATTGCATGCATTGTATATGGCAGTATGAGCATATCCTTTTTGGTATCTACAGAGGCCTTGGCCTCTAGGGGGAACAAACCTTCCTAGGCTTTGCGTATCATACTACTGGCACGACACCCTCAGGCACCCAAGTTGCCGGTGTTATGCTGATTTCTCGTTATATCCAATGTTTTTCTAAGCCCGCTACTGTATGACGCTGTCTGCTGTCCTATACTTCGTCTATAATTCCTTGTCTAGGGCGTAGACTAGTAATTTGCAATTTAAACGCCTTGCTCGCCAGTTAAACGGGTTCTCTGAGCCAACAGGGTGTAATATCGACGCTCTCTATCACCTGGCAGTAGGACTCCTGTATTAGCTACTACCACTCGCAGGTCTAGTGTCGTCGGTACCAGCGTAAGCAATATTATAATTGTACAGACCCTACCCTAACCATAGCAATCTATTGTAGACAAAGGTCATATAAACACTGGTCTTAGGCTCCTAGGCGGCACTATCTGATTGTTTACAATACTGTAATGAGCACTGGTACCTGAGGTATAGGTATACTGTATAGACGTACCGTATAGACGGTATATACCTACTCTCTCTTCCTCTTCCTTACCACCTGGATCTTTGTCTTGCTAAGTCTTACTTTAAAGATCTATATTAACCAGTCTGCCCTTTGTATTGTCTGTCCTCTCTGAGGTTCGGATTTTGTTTTGGCTAATCTGCTTCGCCTTCTCTTAGGAACCGCTGTCCCTGACCTTTGTTGTTATTTCCGTCCTCTCTGAGGTTCAGACTTTGTTTCGACTGTTTTGTCTTGTGTTCTCCCTAGAACCGGTATCTTGACTCTTATTATCCTTTCCGTCTTCTCTGAGGTTTAGGCTTTTGTTTGTATCTTTGACAGATATCGCCGCTCTTGACTCTAGTTACCCTATCCGTCTTCTCTGAGATCTGGACTTTTTTTCTTTTAATCTGTCGGTAAGGTTCCTTGGCAAGCAGCCTATCTCTGTTTTGTTTACTGATTATTGAATTAGCAATGGCAAACTCTGCTAATGTTCCTGATTTTTTCTGTAGTCTTCTTAGAGCAGATTACCCAAATAATCTCTATAATCAGCTTAAGCAGACTTGTTTCTGTACGCTTAGCATCGACGAAAAATATAAATATATACCTGTCTTAATAAGAGTCTGATTAGATTCTTAGCAGCTGTGCCTGGATATTAAATTTGGCCAGATACATACTGTTTTCCCTGTAGTATAGACAGATATACAGTTGATTCTTAAAGGTGACTTCCGTCAGTATAACACCTTTATTAAAGCAGGCCAGAAGTCTGCGATACCAGAACTAAAAAAGGACTACTAAGTATGTCTTTTCTGATTAAGCCTGTCTGAGAGCCCTATGTTTACTGGGCTATCGTAGGAACTAGAGGGTATATAGTTAGTGACCTAGAAGAAGCTTAAGGACATTAAGTAGGCTAGAACAACGGTCTATATCTGGACTGTATTCCCTAATAAGTACTGCTATAATTTTGAGGGAATTAAGAGCTATATAATTAACCTTATAGGGTATATATATAAAAGTCTTTAGGCCGACGGCAAAATGCGTTTGTTTTAGTATGCCGAGCAGAACCCTCTACCAGAGTTGAGTAAAGCACTACGTCGACCTATAATACCCTGGCTCTTTAACGACGATAGTCAGTACTAGATCTGGGATACCTACTTCGATTTCTTTCTAGACGAGGAGGATTACTGGTCTTGGTTAGTTAAGGCTATAATTATTGAGTAAAACGTTCAGTAGACAACGTATAATAATGTCTTCTGTAAGTATAAGACTTACGATGTTATCCTCAAACGTTCTATGTCTGGTAAGGCTTACTAGAAGCTCTACGTTTAGATAAACGTAAACCCGAAGCTAGCTCTGCTAGAAACTATCAAAGCTAAGTTTGAGGTAAACGTTGTAAACTTGACTCTTCTAAAAGATCGGAAACTGGTTATTAGCACTGATACTTATATAGGCTTAAGCCGAGCGGATTTTGCTATCTTGACCTAGGCCTACTTTGATCCTGCTTTAGACGGCTAGACCAAGAAGATTACGGCTATACTTACTATTAATCTAAAGTCGACTGTACTTCAGATCGACGTACTAGAGGTGGCTGGTCGAACTTCTACGTTTGGTGATAACCCTAAGAGCGACGGTTATAGGTTTTCCCTTAAACGTATTATTCTTGTATAAGGCTCAGAGGTATGCCGGATAAGTCTGTTCTACTTTGAGTTAAATATAAAGGACGTTTCTGTAGTCCTGCCTGAACTCTAGAAGGAGTAAATTAATTATATCCTTGGTAAATACGCTCTGGATAAATCTTAACGTTAAGCCGTTGAGAATTTGGTTTTTAAGGTCGTTGCTGATATTAGCCTGGTAAAAGGCCTACCGGGCAATGGCAAAATATAGATAACGTTAGTTATACTCCTTATCCTTATAAGCCTAGGAATAAAGGTTCTGATCAGCGCCGGGTCTAACCAGGCCGTTGATATGCTTTTGCTTGCTTTCTATAAGGCTTTAAAAGGGGATTTAAAGCTTGTAGGTTGGTATAGGCTGTGCTGCTGGTTTAGAACTTCTAGTTACTAAATAGGTGTTCTTTACTGTATTAGCAAGGCGAAACTATTGTAGGGCATTAATAACAAAAGCTCTTCTGTTGAGAAGGCCCTTATAGACTGCTAGATCGAGGTACTGGTGGTAAAAAAGACAACAGAGTACTATAACCAGCAGCCCGACGTAAAGAAGCTTATCGATCTGCTTGACTAGGATCGATAATGTGTTCTGGATAAGGATATGACGGTTTTACTTAGGAACTGTTATAAAAAAGTCCTGTGTAGGGTGATCGGCTAATATAAAGTAGTCGCCGCTATGCTTAACGCTTCTGGTAACGAGAACCTTAAGGCTGGGTTCTAACTGTATATGTTGCTTTGTAATAAGGTAGGTCAGTGCCTTAAAGGTGACAGTATAATACTACTTATAGGGTATCTGACGCTGTGTACTGTCGTTCTGATCGGAGACCCTGATTAGCTTCCCCCCAACGGTTGTATTCTTGTGCGAGAACGAAGGGGTAAACTTCCTTAGTTGCTCCCTTATGATCCGTCTCTTGGGGTGCTACCCTCTTAGCCTCCTTGTAATTAACTATCGGTACTACCCTGATATCTTGGATTGGTCTGTATCGGCTATCTATAAGAGTAAGATTACTGTTTGTATGGGGAATACTAAGGCTGAGCGTATAGGAAATATATGGCAGGCTTTTATAGCCTCCTGCCACTACTTTAAGAGACTTGTTAGGAAGCGGTAGATTATGATTGACGTCCCCGGAGTTGCTGAGCAACCGGAGGGCAGTACGTCCTGGTATAATGATGGCTATATTAACGTCGTAATGACTTTCCTTAAGGTACTGTACGCCGATGGATCTATCAACGATCCGATCGTGCCTGAGGACGTGGTGCTGATCTGCCCCTATAAAGCGCAGGTCAAACGAGTCATCAAGCGCTTTGCTTCGGCGGGGGTAGAGTACGACTGTTGTTTGACCGTCGACGGGTCGTAGGGTCAGGAGTTAAACGTGGTAATATTTATATTTACAAAGCTATGTACCTTTTCGACGACTGATGTTGGCTTCGTCTCCTACTACCAGCGGCTGAATATAGCCATGACTCGAGCGAGGAAGCTTCTAGTTGCCGTTGTGAATCTGCGTATCTGGAACCAGCATTTCTGCACTCAGGCGAAACTGGGCTCCGCCCGCTATCTCGCGAGCTTCCTCCAGGACGCAGTCGACAAGGGCCATGTGCTGCAATGGGTCGGCACCGAGACTGTGGAAAGACTCACCAACGACGCACCCCAACACCGGAAGACAACCAGCGTCTCCAGCGACTCTAGCGTCTCCGGCGTGTCCTACCCTGCTCCGCAGCCCCCAAAGAGGCCCGGTAGCCCCAACCACCCTGCCCCCCCCGGCGCCAAAGAAGGCCCCTGGCTCCTCCCGGCCTACGCGCCAACCGCCACCCAACCCTGCTGGCTCCTCCCAGCCCGCGCCACAGCGGCCCGCAAATCCCATCGGCTCTTCCCAGCCAGCGCGCCAGCGACCTCCCTTACCTCAAAAGAGGGACGACGAGTTTGCTCAGAGACGGAGGCAGATAGAGTTGCGTGAGGCTAGCGCAAAAGATGAAAAGAAATCCCTGCGTAAACAGCGGGCGGACCTTGATGCGCAAGAAGACGCCCTGGACGCCAGGTTGGCCGAAGTGGCCAAAGATATGGCCGCTTTAAAGTTGGAAGAAGATCGGGCCTATAAGACGAAGGGAACCTAGGCCCCATTCCTGACCATGTCGCCCCCAAGGGGCTTTCAGATACTGTATTTAGATCAATATAGTATTACTCAAGATTCTACGTTTCCCGTACTTACTTAAATTCTGTATTTACGCACCTGCAATATTCGAGTGGTCGCCACAAGGCAAAGGGCATGCAGCGAAGCAACACTAACAAATCTGAAGATAAGTAGCAGGATAACTTCAACCTTGAAAAAGAGCCTGAGGGCGTCCAAATAGCAAACTTGAATCTTCCAAGAATATACAATTGGAAGCAACGTGGCATTCTTATTATCAGTATAGCCTAGAATACTAACCTTGGAACTAGTACTAGTTAACAGATACTTATCCACCTACCTACTAGAAACAAAGCACACATTTCAACATCAAGTTGAAGCAAGTTTGCATCACTCTTTCCTCGTGTACCCTGTTAGTCAGTTAGTAGGAGTTAGTAGATTAGTTACTTAACTAGTACGTAGTACTACAATGTGACTAGGACAAGTTCATTGATGTTGAAACAAAATTGAATGGTTTAAAAATGAATTGAAAAGCAATTTGACAGAATTTCATACGATACAGCGAAAAAGAACTTGAAGCAAAAGCAAACTTGGTCAAAGATGTACCACGCTATGGGTACAAAGCAACACAGTATAATTCAGGGTCCAATCCCACCAGGGCCGGTATCCTTTACGGTTCCATAGGTTAGAGCAGGATATATCACATCATGCGGGCACAGATTCTGACATGCTCCCCATTTTACGTGGAGAAAGCGATCTTCGCGCTCGTCGACCAATGGACCTAAGCCATTCGCGTCCCCTGCGACGCACCTCTCGGTCTTCGCAAAGGCGCTGGTTCTGGAAGGCCTTGACGTTTCTCATAAGCTCTATGATAGCATCGCAAATCTCGGCCAATATATTCTTGGGCTTATCAGCCTCGATCAAAGCCGCCACCAGATAACGGAATGGTCGGTCAAAGGGCGGGCCTTGTTGTGGTAGGCGGGGCAAGTCGAAGGAATCTTCGAGTGTCGCAGCTATGGCTAACCACCTCTGGCTGACTTCAGATGCGGGGAATTTCTTCTCGATCGCATTCGCCCAAGCACCGTCATGCCACATGATGCAGATATCATTCCTTGGGACTGGAAGCCTGAACGTCTCGACAACGTAGTCTGCGAGAAGTGCCGCCTCCCATCGGAACCGAATAGTTGCCTCGAACATGCCCGCGTCTTCAGTGTCCAAGCCCAGCTCATAGAAGCGGAACAAACCACTACTCAAGGACACGTGGTCACTTAGGGTCCAGTCTCCTGGACAGGTACCGTGGAAAATCCTCGCCATCTCTTTGAGTCTCCCATGGGCCATGTGGTCCGTCATGGTGTCGACGATGTTTTGGTCATTCGCAGCTTGTACCCCACCTGTTTGGCTTGGAACTGGGGTGGTGAAATTGGGGTTTTGAGGGTCTGTGTTCCTTTCGTCACGCAAATTCGCTCGTCCTGTATAAGGATAGGATTTCAGTCTATCCCACCGTTCTCGAAAGTGAGCTAGTGGTATTCCAGTTCTTCCAGTCCAGGAATACTCCCAGTCGTCATTCTGAGCACTAAAGCTAAAGTGCTGAAATTCCCAAAGCCGTGTAACCGAGTTTTGGCAAGTATCCAACACTGACTGACAGAATGCGTTGTATGTGAGAGTTTGATGATTGGTCGGCGCATCTGGCTGGAGGGTATTTTCGTCACTTAAGTCGCTACGCTCATGGGCGTCTAGTAGAGGACTTGTAGCGCTAGATAGAGTTTCGATCATGGTACTCGCAAATATAGACCCACAGGTGCGGCCGATACTAGCCGATATACCCCAGGCACTAGAAAGACCCCGTTTGTGATCAGAAAAGTGACTAGCAGCTGTCAACGCAGTAGTGTTCAGCTCTGGAGTAACTGCCCACCCTCCGGAGTAGCAAGCCGTAGTTACCAGGGTAATACGTGCAGCTGGCTCAAGGACGGCTTTCAAAGCAAGAATACTTAGACCCTTCTTTCGCTCACCGTCATCTAGGAGGAGATGATGGTTTGGGAGTCCGTGGCAGAAAACCAGAAGGAGGAGTGGCGCGTTGGTTTTCTTGGCCAACTCCGATGCTCGCTTGGCCTCGGAAATGAATCTATCGATCATTTCAGATGAGCGGACCACAGTAACATCGGTCAGTTTGTTCTGGCGTAGCATTTCACCATCAAGGCAGACTTTCCGTTCCTCGTACGGATTTCCATGTAAGTAGGGCCCGTATTTCTCTACCAGTTGGTTTGGATCGGCTGCTGTGAGCCAAGTTTGTTCCTTGCCCTTGCCTTTCAGGAGATAGTTGAAGGCATAAAAGTCGGAGATGAACCATCCGTCATTCTTTATACCTGCAGTGGCGATGGTTGGGTGGGTAGCCGCGAGAACAATAGTGTCTCTGTTGACACATGGCAATGTTGAGGATATGAAAGTTGAAGGTAGCTGGTCTGGTGATTTTATGTGACCACCCTTGACAAGAGGCTGTTTCTGCACCGGTGTCGCCATAACATAGGTAGGCTGAGGGCTTTGGTATCTGTGAAGTTGAAATAAATGAGTGAACTGGTTTCAATCCCAACCTGGAAAAGTGGGTGTTGGGTCTACCATGGTCCGGGCTCTTCTTACCAAAGGAGAAGTGACTGAATAAGGTGCCGAACTCCAGAAGAGACGGACAACGGGTGAAGCAGAGATGTACGTAAGTACAGGTCGTTAATTCCAAACTACAGAGGAGATGGATTGCAGACGTAAATAACTCCTAATTCCAGAGGAGACGGACTGCCGCGGTAGATGATTCCGAACTCCAGAGGAGACGGAAAAGACGCAGACGCAAATAGACGTAGACACCGACACGGAGGTAGATGTAGATGTAGATGTTGATGATCAGCAAGAGGGGTGAATAGTGTGAGGAACAGTATCCAGAGAGAAGAAGTTCAATCAACGTCCTTTCCTTCTGAGCCTCTCTACCCGTTTTAAGATGTTGAGACCTGAGGGTTGAGGCTCTGATGCTGAGTCATCCCGTCACTACACATGTAGTTAGTTAGTAGATAGCCATCTCCATGGCAGCTTCGCTTTAAAACAGAAACTTGACACAAGACTACTCTCTTCTTCTGCAACTCAAAAAACACAAAATATGACCTCCCCGACATTCGCAATCATTGCTGGCGTCGTTCCGGGAACGGTGCGTTCATCTTTGTCTCGGGCTCCATCTTATATCCTAACAATAGCACAGGGCGCCTCCATAGCCAGGAAGTTTGCCAATGTCTATTCTGTGGTTCTTCTGGCTCGGAATCCGGCCAGCTATGAAGCCGTTCTCCTGAGAAAAAAATCTTGTGGCGGCCAGGCCGTGGGCATCAGCACCGACCTCGCCGATTCGAACATCGCCAAGTCTACTTTTGACCAGATCGCAGCGCAATACTCAGGCTCTACTCTTGCAGCAGCAGTCTTTAATTGTGGCAGCGGGTTTGTGCGGAAGCCGTTCCTGGAGCTGACGGAAGAGGATTATTCAGGTTCTCTTGCTTCGCAGGCGTATATATCTCCTATCTATTTCATCCCATTTCGTTCTGTGTCGAAGCTTGAAATCGAATAATGAGCTGAATTGGCCGTATCTACAGAAAAGGTGGCTTTAGTTTCGCCCAGGGGGGCTCTGCCACTCCTCCTCAAGGCACGAGATATATCGCAGCACCCGCCGACCTTGATCTTCACCGGGGCGATGGCTAGTATAAAAGGGTCCGCGGAGTGCGCAGCCTTTGCCTCCACCATGTTCGCGCTGCGCGCCTTGGCACAGTCACTTGCCCGTAAGTTCGGATCGCAGGGGGTACACGTGTCGCGCGCCATCATCGACGGGGTTATCGATATCCCGCGCACAAAGAGTTGGAAACTTGAGCATGAAGATGCTAAGCTGAGCCTTGGCGCTGTAAGTTGAATCTGCTTTGAAATTCGTTTGGCCAGCAAGTTGATGGACGAGCTCTAGATTGCGGAGGCGTACTGGCATTTGCATACGCAGCCACGGATGACCATTACGTTTGAGATGGATCTGCGGCCGTATGTGGAGAAGTGGTGAAGCATTTTTCATGGCTGGAGTATCAAATGCCTTCTTGGTCGTGTATCTTCGATCGGTGAGCTCTCAGCTCAAATTACGGTTTTATCACGGTTTCGAGAATCGTGATGATTGGAATAATCAAACTTTTATTCCTAATATTCCTAATATTTCTTCCCCTAAACGAATTTACCAATACATCCTTTGCATGTTAGTTCCAGCCCTTTTGGTGAAGGGCTGAAGAGGCGCCTCACTAGGGCAGCAAGCCACAAACTCGTATAGGTGGCCACCATCAACATACAATATTTATTTTTGTTCTTCTCCTTAAAACACCCCACGCGGTACAGCGCTCCATAGCTGCAGCCGAGCCAGTGCTTCTACTAGTGTTCCCTATAAGGCTCTGCCGCCCCCGCATTAAAGCTATTCCATCTATAGAAACTTGGGTTGATTGCAGCTACGGAGCGTCGTAACTAGAGAGAGTGGTATACGGTCATGTCATTTACGAATGAGCCACTACAGCTTGTAAACAACATCGAAATTATTTCTCCATGCCTCCTTATCCCAGTCTTCCAGAGCCCCGTCGATAACTGAGCTCGAGGTGTGGGTGCGTGTGCTTTTGCTTATCTTGAAGGTTAGTAGCTCGAAGTACAAATGAGGTAATAGATCAATCTTACTAGCGTCTTAATGATGATAAAAGTAACGGAAGCCAAATGGTTTCATGTATTCCCAAATGCGGTTTAGATGGCCTTCCTACAGGCCAGATCGACTAACTAGCGTGGAGCATCCATCTCTTTCACCATCTGAGACTGCTGAACTCCAAATCTTTCTCTTCCAGTCTTTTATCCAGGGCCTCCTGCTCGACCGCCATGTTGTCCCGATCCCACGCAAGCTGGTCAAACCTTATAGTCACTTCAGCGAGATCATAATCCATCTGCGTGTTGTTCAAGATGCTGCTTGGAGTACGCCGTCTCTTTCTTGGCGGCGAGGGAGACAGGCCGAATTCCGTGGGCCTCTTTGGTACATTGACAGAGGTCGCCATTTCTAATCCAACGAATAGTAAACCAAACGTAGAGAATCAAGCTGCTCTGAGAGCTTACTTACCACGATGAACGTAGAGAGAGGGATATGGAATAAGGATCTTCAGGAAGGGTGAAAGTTTGTTTGGCACAGGAGCGAGCGATTCTACAATGCGAGGCCAAGATCTGGAAACGTATGGTGCAATCAAAGCTAGGCACAGAAAAAGAAGCTGAAACCTTGAAATATCGAGATGTAGAGGAAGACTGACGAGGTCGGAGAGAAAAAGGAAGATGTAGAGGAGTTGGAGAGAGCCCTGGATTCAATAAAATTCACATGCGCCACCAGGCCAGGTGCTCCGAGTCTCTGCAGCACCTGGGCATCATGGCAGCGTTCTTTCCTTCCAAGGTTGGAAATATTCGGATTTTGCTGCCTAACCGCTTGATGCAATAATGCGTCTTGAGGACCAGTATAAATATAGGATCATGAAAGCCGATGTTGATAAAGAGGGGCAATGGAGATGATGATGACGATGACAATCATGATAGATGGTGGTGGTGGTAAGGAAATTATCCAAAATATCTTGGAAGAACATGAAGCAGCTATCTCGACAAAAGCCATGAAATCCTTTCCGCCTGAGGCATACCAGTCTCATCTTGAACTGATGTTAGACTGAGTATGCAGAATATATCACGGTAATTGATCTTGTAGTTTGATCCACTCTACTCTAGAGAGACTAAGATGTCTGATTCGGACAAGGGAGCTACTGACAGGGGATGAGGGTGACGAGGGTTGAGAGAGAAGATCGCGAGAATTAGGTATGTGTTGGATGAAAGACCAGCTGCCCAGGTGAGGCTGAAAAGACTAGATATACTAGTAGCGGTATGCAGTGACTATTCCTGTGCAGCATGAGGCTTATCTCCGAAGAAGCAAGCATCTTTTCTATGCACAGCCCATAGATAACTATAGAAGATAGTTACTGCAAGTGAAAACATGGTACAGTCTCAATTTATTCCAGGCGCTACCTTACTGGCCTACGTCGAATTTATACTAGTATGATATATTGACCGCGATCGAGAAATAGGTCTAACAGATAAATTTGTTAGTACTAGTTAGTAGTGGGTCATACTAGTTATCCAAGTCCTTTCAAGTTCATACTGCTGATGTGTACTACAACTACTTCCAAGGATATATTGATCTTTAATAATTTATCAAGGTAGCTTTAACACTAGGTATAGTGAAGTATTAAGGTGGAATTTAGGTATTTTCTATTAGTAACGGAACTTACGAAATACTTATAATACACACGGGGTGTTGGAAACCTTTCCCAATAACATTCACATTATGCAGCAGACCTTGAGTGTCTTAACCCAAGGTTGAAAAACACGCTCCGTTCCGAAGTACTCTGAGGAGATCAAACTTACGATTTATGATCTAGCGATTCACGGAGCTAGCACATTGAAGTCGTTCAAAAATTGATTATACTACTTCGTATGTGAGAAGAGAGGAATTTCAAATGTTAAATGTAACTGAAGTTGCTAGGCTGCCTCTAGATCCTGTCCAAAGAATGGGAGAATGGGCTTGAACTAGCGGTGTACAACATGATGTCTGCAGGTCTTGTGTAACACGAGATCGAAACTGTGTAACACAACATCCTTCTCATACCCCGCCAGTAGTATTTGATGAGTGAACAGTCCGGCCTCTTCATGAATTATTTATTTCATAATTCCTTCATAATACTCAGCTTCCCTAAATTCATCGTCAGCAATCAACAATGCCTGAATCAATTAGCTATTTGAGGGGAGGCCAAAAGCGGCTGGACGAAGCATGGGACTGATTTAACGCTGCTCAAGCGGCGCGTGAAGCTGAAATCCGTCGCCCAGCTAGGCAAATTGACGCCATAAGTGAAGAATAATACCGAAGAATATAATCTTCACAAGGAAAAATGAAAGATTATTTTGATGGACTGGCCTGAAGCTTGGAGCATCAATATAAACAGCTCAGTCAGAGCTACATCCGGGCTTTATCGAGAATTACTACCCAAACAATAGTGGACACTTTCCATTTTCGTCAAGAGGCAGAGGCTGAAGGTACAAATCAAATTGTTTGCTATTATTGGGTACACATTCACCACAGCAAGAAGCTGGCCTCCTGCGAAAGCCGGCTAATACTGAACGCTCTTGAAGAATGGGCATCTAGTTCGTTCTTATAAGACACCGCGATTGCCCTAATCCGCACTTAAATTATTGGTTTCGTCACTGCGCAGCCGTTCTAAGTATATTCATCCACTGCGTGAGAACACGCGATATTAGAACACATGGCTGTCTCGACAACCCAATCACCACTTGCCTAAATATGGCCCCGACAACGGGCATTGCGCCCCCGAACTGTCAATCCGGTATTGGTACCGTGATACTCGCCCGGAAAGACAAGAAGAATATTACACCTACACACTGCGAGGGAATCTGGATGTATTGCGACTATATCCGCGACTATATTGAGAAAGGAGCATCTCCTAATCAATTGTTCAGCCGGGAGAGGTTTGAGCAGTGGTTTGAGGGACTCGATTAGGCTGAGACAATTCAAGAAGATAACTTCGGCGTCGGTGATCAGAACGAGGATTAAAAGCATATTCGTAACCATTTTCTGCGTATTGTTAGCAAGTCATCTCTCCAGAGCACTAAAACACCTTAGCTATATACCTGGGTAGGTAGGCGTCATATTCAAACCTTGACTTATTTCTTTCGACATTCCAGATATACTAAAGACACATTTCCCTTTTTCCCTTAGACTAAATTATCTTAGAAAAGAATAGAAATTTCTTTCTGGGCAGATAATAGCGTGCGAAAACGCTTATCTTCTGGCATTTCTCAGTTGTAGACAAAAAGAAGAATGTTCAGGCTGACTAGGCATCAGGGAAACTTACTATATTTTATGTTGTTCACCACTAAATAACTGGATCACGTTCTTTATTACTGAAATATTTATCAAACAAAAAATCAGCCCCACTTAGTTCTTAAATACTTCCGATTCGCAATACTAGATCTCTCTTAAGTACTCAGCCGATTATTTTTTATTTTGCTTCTTCTTATCAGACATCGCCCAGGTTTATCAACACCCCCATCCAGAGTCTAGGAAAGCCTAGGCTTTATAGAAATATCTCTTAGACCGAATAACAAAGCACTAGTTTATCACCCAACATCCAATAAATACCTAAAGCACTATAGGGCAACTGCAAGACAAAGATCAGAGAAGTTGACACTTTATCAATTCAGATATCACTCTATTTACGCTGTTTCTAACATTACAATACCAGTATAGATAAGATATAATTTTCTACCTTATCATATACTATGTATACAACCTTGCGACATCTGCTTTGGTAAGGACCATAGAGACTGGTCTGCCATCAAAGATATTTGCAATCCCCGGGCCCGCAAAAGAGATGATTACAAGTTTTGGGGTGTTTTCGATAATTCATGATCAATTTTCCGCGTCTTCGGGGCTTTGCTTCACTGGTTCATGGATCCAGCAGAATGTTATTGATATCTTAGCACTGCCACCAGAATATCAACCCTGTTTCGTGGCAGTCAATGGCAATACTATCACCTTCTTCGATCCGCAGAATGGTCCTTTCTTTTTCAATTTTCAAAAAAGAGTGAAGAGAATCAGGGAATGAAAAAAGCATGGGTTTGAGAATGTCATCCATGACCTCCTCATTTTGTGAATGCCAAGTCTTTGTCGCAAACAAGAACTTGAAGTAATCCTCATTGCAATTCAACTTGAAACTCAAAAAAAACATGGGTGAAATGCCCAGAGTTCCGATGTTCCAAGGTTCAAATTTTTTTTTATATTTTTGAGCCATTCATTCCCAGTCATAAATGTAGCCCATCTAATGCCAGTGGGCGGGTGCCAAAAATGTAGTATACTAGTAGAAATCCAAGGTTGGAAAATCCACGTCCTACCTAGGTAAGCCATCATCTAGCAGCTCCAGAATATACAACCTTGTCTAAGGTCAAGTTGTGTTTCTTTCTCAGGGCTTGATTTGAAATCCTAGAATTAGATGACAGAATTATGGAAGGCATGGTCATGGATGCATTTTGACTTAGGTAGTGTGCGGAAAGCTGACCTTTGACGACCTGAAATAGCTCAATGGCTCAGGCATCAGTAGAATTCCGATTGAAACATTTGTTGGAAATGAAGGCAGCCTTGCCTTGGTCACATACAATCAATGATCAAACTCCGCAACAGCAGAACATGATGTTTTTCTCATCCGGTAATCTCTTAGACTGAGGAGATCAAGCCAAAAAGGTTCTTCAGATTTGGGCCTTGAGCAACTTTCACTGGCCCTTTGCCATCTTTGTAGGCAGTTGCTCGCCAGGTCCCGAGAGTGGACAACGGAGGCACGCGACTGTAAACAATTGTATATGGCAATAACCAGGATGATCGTAACGCACGGCCCTTAAACGCACGAAAATGAGACTTTTTCTATTCAGGGGTACCTGCTGGACACCGAAGAACCCCATTAGTTGGTAGTACAGAGAAAGACTTAGAATGTAGACGTGCACGTTTTCAGAAGACCTCAATTACCAAATATCCTCTTGCAAACGAAAATCTCGATATCCGTGGAATGCTCCCAGCGACCACGGTCAGACATGGCGCGGGGATTGAACCAGGCTGAAAAATCAATCCGGGGCGAAAATGAGACGGTCCGCTCCTCGAGCGGGGGGGGGGCCAATAACCTGCCTAATTCCTTTGTTTTCCCCCACTTTATTCGGCAGAGAGTGAACGCTTCCTGACCATTTTTCCGTCTAGAGTCTAGACCAGCAATCCTTCCCTCAATAAACACCAATGGAAGCGGGGGAAAATTCAAGTTGGCATACAATTACCTTTGTCGGCGAAGTTCCTGCGCCGATCTCCAAACAATGGGGATTGGAACTAGCTAATAATAATAGCCCATCACGCTACGCCCCCTACTTTTTGCATCTTTCAACCTACACGATTGAACCGGGGTAATTCATTCTGACCGAGTGAGACTGCGCTGCTTGTGAATAATTCCTTTCTTTCTTTTTTTTTTTCGCGACATGTGCTAATTTGAAGAAAGAACCCCGCTGCGCCAATTCCTCTCAGGCGGTTGCTTCAGTGCGACTTGCGGGGCGACATTCGCGCTCATCCGATCAGATCCACTTCGTCTTCAGATCATTGAAGATAGGGTCTTCATGGACACGCAGCACCTACTTGTCGAAGAAAGTTGCAATGGCTTCATCCTGCCCTGATCCGTTCATCGATGAATCTCGTTTTCCAAGTACCGGGGGTTGTGAGTTTATTGTCCCTAACCGAAAAAAGTGTCGCATCTCTATGCAATGCGTCTATTACGACTCTGTTCTGATGAAGTGGCAGCTGTGTCTAGTCGATGGTGCGAAGATCTCGGGGGCGTTTCCTGCTGTCTTCCATGTCCCATTGGATATTGGCGGTGGAAAGATGTCAATTGTATGTCATAAAAACAATACGGGCGCTTTTCTTTGACTAGCTAACTAATACTTGCTAGGGCTTGCCAACGATGTACGGCTTCCTCTGTGGCCGAGTATACCGGTTTTTATCGCGCTGGTCTGGCTATTGGCCACTTATGCTATATTCCCCGCGAACCTGACGGGTCGCCACTATCTCAATATCGCTCCTGTGATCGGGTTGATGTGCATATCGGTATCGGACTATCCTCCTATTTCATGACCTCCCGTGGATTGGTGAAAACTGACAATTCCAACTAGATCGCATTCATTGTACCCTCAAGAGGCCAGCCCAAGGAATGCTATAATCAAATCACCCCAAATGACATGCGAAATGATGCGATTTCTGCTCTCACAGGACTCGTGTTATTTTGGGGAGCATGGGTGGTAATAACAAGCAGTGAGCTGTTAATGCCTACTAGAACCATTCATCTCTAACATTTTGTTCTTACTAGCCTTTTTTCGATCCATCGCCTTACACCTCTCTGTATGCTGGGAGATCAAACCCGGCCAAATGTACAAATGCGCTTCCCTTACACTAATCTTTGTTGGATCATCCGCCCTCGTCGCCATTCTTCTATCAGTCTCAGGTGTGGAATACACATTTGGCCGAATATCATATCTCACCCCTGGGATTGACCGAGCAACATTTTGGGGTCCTCTTCTGGCAATATCCGCTGCATCTCTCTTGCTACAATTCATCACCGTCGCATACTGCGCTATACTCACTCTCAGACCATGGTTTAACTATCAGAGATTACGCTGGTCAGGATATACGCCATCCCGGGACGAAGAAAGAGTGCTTGGTGCCCAGCGAACAGCATCACGCGTGCGTAAGATAGTACAGCTACAATGGAGAAACAGTCTCATCACGGTGGTTATACTTGTTTACGTTTGCTTCTTGGCCGGTGTGCTCATGAAACTACGGCCATTTCACGATTATCCGAAAGCAGACAGAGTAGCCTGGTTTGAGTGTTTGAGATCATCGAATGGAACCAGAGACTCATGTCTTTCACTTGCCGCTCCGCTAGGACCCGATGAGCCGGCGGTGATAGCCGTTCTATCAATGCTTGTCGTAAGTTATTTGTCGCGGAATTTGGCCATCTCAAACTTGCTGACCTTGCAAAATATAGGTGAGTGGGACTTTAGCCATTGCTTTCTTCTTTCGATCATCTATGTATCGAGCCTGGAAAGGATTAATAACAAGGGAGGAGATACGGGCACTGACACCCATTGATCGATCGAGTTACCAATCCAGATCACAAGCCGATCAGCACGAAGTGGAGCTCGGCAGTCAGCCTTCAACTAATCGATTCAGCCAATTCACGTTCTTTCCAGCTAGCGATGCAGACAGCATTACCAAAAGTCAGACGATGCCTCATTACGTGACATGAATTGATTCATCGTTGGATAAAAACGTCCGTCTTGGGCTATGAAAATTGAAATGAAGTACTTAACAGAGTTCCCTAATCAGGAATACTTGTCTCATACAAAAATTTAATTATTATTTATATATTGTCTCATGTGAAATTATACTAGTACTGTGTCACGGCCGGTCGAGCGCGATCGGCAGTGCCGAGGTGTTGTTTTCCTTAGCGTCTCCTCAATAATAGCCCACTTTCTTACTACTTGCACCCGTTCATCTCCAGATGATGCTTTCATTTCGTCGTGGCCCTGGGAAATTCGTGATAACAATATCTGACCTTCTTGGGATTTTCCTAGTGAAGTCAACAGCATTCTTCGGACCCCACTCAAGGGATAGCCTGCGAGGCCCCAAAGTCCTGGAGAAAAAGTTAGCATTCTACTGTGATATGATACCTAACACATACCTGCCGGTGGCTTGAAAAATACCCCTCCTATTCCCTTTCCAATACCCTTGGCCATTCCTTTCGCCCCATTCTCCTGGTAGCCGTACCGAGGCTGGGTTACTAGGCCAGTGACTCCATCGTAGAACCCGTCGTACAATTCCTTTCGCAGAATTAGCAAGTCTTCCTAGCTCATCAAACATATTGTACTTCTTACCCGTCCGGCTGCTCGGAAGCCGCTCCGAACTCCAATAACCTTAGGTGTCGCTTTTACCATGCGATCATGGTAAAGCTTTGGCGCATTATGGAACCCCTTGGAGAGGCTAAGTGACAGATCTGTTGGAAGCCAAATCAGGAGGTTGATGAGCTTTTTCGACATCCTGCTTCCCTGGCTTACTGCCTCAGATATGAGTGTATGCCGCTTGGCAGCCTCGGTTCCGCCGCTCATTGTCATTGACTTTTCGAGTTGAAGGGTGCGGGTTCGGGAAAGGTCTGCGTCTGAAAAATTTGTCATTGGTTCGTCATTCGAGGAGCTTTCTGTCCCCGCATCATGTAAATCCTCCATCGATTCATCCGCGGCCTGGCTTTGGTCTGCTCGATGTTGGTCTGTTCGCTGTTGGCTTGCACTGCGTGACCCTCTATTTTCTTCGTCTCTAAAGAAATGATCCTGTCGATTTTTTCTACCCGAATGCCACTTGGAATGCGGATCATGGCGTTCGTTTGGATGACCCAAAGCCCGACCAGCTGAGACTAGGTCCATAACTACTCCCGTCGGAACGTCGGCAAGCCCAGTCACGAAGTTGGAAATGGCGCCAAATAAAACTTGCGCACTTGCACTGATAGGACCAGCGGGGTCTCGATAAGTGTCATATTCGACCGATCGATTTCTATCAACTTTGTTAATATTTGTTTTGCATCGCGCACCAGTGCGATGTGAAGAAACTTACAGGACAAGGTTATCGGGCTTCAAATTGCCCATTTCTACAAGAACTGCCGCAGCGAAGGCACTCAGACCGACGGTTGTATGCTTCAGATGCCAGACAGCTGGACGATTAGGACATATAGAGCATCGAAGCTGTTTCAGATCAAGATGTCGGTGAAAGCTTCGGACGCTATCTCTAACGCCTGATTCCCCTTTCATTTTTTCCGAGATCTCCAGAGCTTTTTCTTGCGTTGATGGTTCTAGAGCCTCAGCTATTGCGTTCCGTAAATTGGTTGCAGTTAGCTGTTTGTGAGGGATAGGTGCTGGTCCGGCCCCAGAATGTGCGACTATTTTACCCCAGAATTGTTGGTCCCCGAAAAACGGGATGATGATCGTTGGCCGGCCAAGTGCTAACCCTGCAGCCGTTGTCCCGGCGCCACCATGATGAACAACGCATGAAACATGGCGGAATAGCCAATCATGGGGAATGCTGTCAATGAGGAGAATATTATCAGGGACTTCTACCACATCGGATCCGAGGTTTCCCCAGCCCTTGGAAACAATAGCGCGCTGCCCGGAAGCTTCGATCGCTTCGAATACCGTGCGCGTCAATTTTATTTGATCTTCAACGACTATGGAACCAAATCCAACATAAATGGGAGTTGGTCCAGCCTTGAGGAACTCATTAATCGCATTAGGTGGCGTATAGTCAGATTTAGAGGGGAGAAAGCTGAAGCCGCAAATATCGATATGTTTTCCCCAGTCTTTTGGTTTGGAGAGTAAAGCAGGGGACCTAAACCAGATATACTTGATTAGAAGGATGAACGACAAATTTGATAAAGAAAGAAATATTCTGGGGTTTACCATAAATAAGAAAATGGGATTTCCAAACGGGGGAGTAAGCTCGGGGCGGTGATGCTGTCCAAGGCATCCAGGGATAAGACATTTTTTCGAAATTTATTCACAAGGTCGCCAAGGCCTTCCCAAATCATCATATCCATTATGGCGTAGGAGACGAAGGAAACAACAGTAGGCTTGCAGTCATTGTGGCTGATAATTGCGAGAGGGTGAGGGACAGACTGCGTGGGACTCCATGGCATCCTGGGTCATGTTAGCTTGATTCTGTCATATATAGAAGGAGATTCGCATTCTCGAATGGTTCAAGAAGAAAACCCGAATTGGAGGATAGCCTTACGTGAACATCATATGAAGCGGTATGCCGAGTCTTTGAGCGCAGTGTATATGAGCAAGGCTCGGAGGGTTAGCAATGATCGCGTCTGCGACGAAGGGCCGCCGTCGATAGTCCACTGCCTCACCCCACAGATCCTCCTTGATCTGGTGGAGATCGGTTCCATCTCCCATTTCGAAACAGGATCTCCAGCAACCGTTGATAATTTCCTTCATATCTCGGCGGCGTTTTTGAATAGCACCGCTGCGAATTGAACTCAGTCCGGGGAGAAGACCAGGATTCTTCACCATGAACGCCATCATCTCCGCCGGATCTCCACCGATATTAAAGAACTCCAACCCGCCATCGATAACAGGGTCCCGGAAGGCCAGATGTGTTGCTAGTCGTACTCGATGTCCATATTTCTGTAGTTCGGCTCCAATTGCGATGAACGGCTGGATATCACCACGGGACCCGATAACTTGAATGACGATGTTCAGATGTAGCGGAAAGTCGTTGCCGGCCTCTGGAGAAGTTGCATCGGAGCTTTCCTGATCTTCAAGTTCCTCGAGCTCGGACGGAATGGGTGTGCGCTGAATCTGATGTAGAAGTCCTGCGATGCTCGGTCTGTGCTGATTGATTCTGATATCGAGGCGACCATCACCTAAAGCGAATTGCGACGATGTTAGTGGATCTCTTTTATTGTACCTCGATTCCCGAGGTTAGGCTGTGGATATACCGAGAACGCGAACACCGGTGTCAAGGCCATCCCCGGTGAAATGTTGACGGTCGGCGTGCCCGTTATATGGCTCGCTGGTATCTTCAGGCCAGTCTTCGGACTGAATACCATCATTTGCTTCCGATCGTCTGGATGCTTTAGAGCCTCTCGAAGATGACCTTCTTGGTGCGACCATCTCGCTTGTCGAGTGGTACGCACGCAAGGGTTTAACGCGATAGCAGTCTTTTAAAGAACAGGGGTATTTTATTGGTCAAGGATCAGTTTTATGCACAAGAGAAAACAATCGCAAAGCTGTGAATATATTCAAATTTTAGTAGTCGATGATGTCATGTTCGTGCCGGCCGTTCCACGGTGGATCCGACTCGGCCCAGCCTTACCGATCGGTGTTTGTAGATCCCGAGGTAAAACCTCGGGAGTACAGCGTAGAACATAAAAGGCTGTCATGGGACGAGTGAGTGCTATATAGCTTGAGGATGTCACATCCGGTGGCTAGATCTCGATTAACCAACAACTGCCCGCGCCTCATGTACTTACAAAGTAGGCTCTGGCATGTTTCTATCATTTCCGATTTGACTCATATTTATAAGTGGCCCTCTTAGATGTGGGTCACTGAACGACCAGTGGAAGAGAGGCATCCTGGTAGGTAGTAATACTAGAGTTGAGGCCTTCAGCTGCAGTGTATCCGAGGCCGCCGTTGACTCGTTGGCGACATCGGCCGTTTTCTCCTGGTCCTGCCAATAGCTCATTTTTCTCCGAACAAATTATTCTGAGGCAGTGACATCTGCAAGGACAAAACGCAGTTCTCGGCTTGATGTATCAATGTGATGGTCGGACTAATTTCTCTCGGATGTTTTCCTGTGACTTCATTGCCGCGTATGAGCACGCCATATAGTGCAAGGCCCCTGACGAATATTGTCATTGAAATCCTACGCTATAGCATATCACACCTTTTGATAGATAGGCTACAGTTCTCTCTCTGTATGCATGTCGACATGCTCCCGCGTTATTTATTCATTGTATCATCTTTTGACACGGCACTTTGTGTACGCCACAAATCGTCCCACCCACCTCAACAAATGTCAATAGAGATCGGCAATTGCCTTATAAAAATCCAACAGGAAAAGACCAATGATAAGTATTTACGAGATTCTATGCCCACCACGCGATAAGGTCAATTTTATGATACTTATCTTAATTGGTGTCATTTTCTCGGCATTTTCTTATGTCGCATTTTTTCCCAGCTGCGGGCATACGCCATTGATATTTACCTGGTTCTCCACGACACCTTACGCCCCCATCAGCGTAATCGACGAGCGAAACTATCGACGTATCGCTGACCCAATTTGTATGTGTTGAGGCGCTGTTCTTAAGGCCACGGGAGCCTCAGGCACCAAGGTCGCCGTGTCGGCGCTTCCATCTGATCACCACCTCATTCGTGTCTATCTCTCTCCGCTAGCCTTAGCAGTATGGGCGATAACTATGGAATAACCTCTCAGAGGTTTTGCTCAGCGACATTCGGAGGATATCAAGTGACCAGACAGGTGCCGGTTCACGTGACAGAGGCATGTCCTATTAATAACCGTCTTTGACAGCATACAAAGCTTCCTCTCTTCCCTTTATTTTTTATTTTTATTAATTTTGTTTATTTTCAGCTTTGTTACTTTCGTTAACACTACACGATTGCGTTGGATTCGTCCCGAGCTCTTACAGTGGACAGTGTTCTGGAAATACTTTGGCCCTGGCCCTGCAGGCACTCAAATCTAGCCCCATGCTGAAAAATCGGACCGAGGCTTTTGGAAGGTCTAGTCTTGAAGAAGTGTTTGATCATAAAGTAATCACATATATCCACTTGCGTCTTACCTAGGGCCTGCTGATTCAAGTAACATCCATCAAGGCCCCTTGGCCATGGGGCGGGGGCCAGCATGAATTCGGGCCACAAAGGGAAGGAGCCCGTCTCCACACTGATTCTGCAACGGGTGCTATGAGGGGTTTATTCATCCTGACTCCGTACTTCCATGGGACAATGCATTGGGCACAGATACGAATTCCGTTAGAAACCTTGGAGAAAGACCACATAGGGGCGAAAATACATTTGGAAGGGCCTTGAAATGGCCCGCATTTGGGGGCGGAAAGGCCTTCAGTTCCAAGATGAGTTTGGCATGGTGGGATAGTGGTATCAAGATCAACACTCAAAGTTGGCGATCATTTCCGCTTTTAGTAAAAAACAGCGATGACTGGGCCAAGAAGAGAAGGGCTTCGGCTTGGAAAATATTGTTGTCATCATTGAAGAACTGCACATTTCCGTTTCTATTTTAATGGATTTTAACCTTTTTCTTGCTAAATGCTTCACTTCAATTTCGTGCGGTCTCAATGTTTCCAGATATCCCGGACCGAATGATCCAAGCTTGATTTCAGTATACTAGTATACTAATATTGATTGACTGTTGCGAATACAGAGGACCAATTGCATCGTCAATCCGCCCAGCATGGATAATGCAGGGGGAACGCCTGCGATGGTGACAACTGTGAGAGCAGTTGTGGGATTAATGGCGGCGTTGACATTCATCGTTTGCACAACCAGAGTATGACTTCCGACCGTATCAATTTGGATACTAGATACTAACCGGGATAGCTCTATCTGCGCGCATTTGTGCGCAAATCATTCGGAGTCGATGATTATCTTGTCATAAATGCACTTGTACGTGTATATTACGTCCTTTGTCGAGAAAGAAACTGACCTAACTGCCTATATAGATATGGGTATTATTCTTTTGTGCCCTATCGATAGCCCTCACTTTCTATGGGATTGGCTACCATCAGGTCAATGTACCTCTGGAGAAGCTCCGTATGATGTCATACGTAAGGTCCCATGTATATTGCAAGCGTCCGATTAGCCACTGATTCAGCTTATAGCTCGTTTGGATTTCCCTATGCACATATTTGTTTGTCGCCACCTCTGTGAAAATAAGCCTGGTGGCTTTCATAATGCGCATTTTCCCTGGGAAATTTATTCGGTACTATGGCTACGGCATTATTGGCTTTTTGTTGTCTTTGACAATATCAGGAGAGCTTCTGATGATTCTGCAATGCCGGCCTATACGTGCCGCATATGACATAACGATAACCGACAAGAAGTGTTTTACGAAAAACACTTTATTCGATATTGAGATTTACCAGGGTGTGCTAATGACCATTGTTGATATTGTCATCTTCACAATGCCAATCCCGAGTATTTGGAAGCTTCACATGCCACTGCGGAACCGGCTTGTGCTCATTGGCCTATTTTCTTTGGGTAAGTGATGCAGTGGGTATATAGCTACCAGAGGTGACGCTGACGCGATTCTGTATTTAGGCTTGGTTGCTTGCGCAGCTAGTCTGGCCCGGCTTCCAACTCTTGTTTCGTATCAGAGCGATAATAAGGATTTTTCCTGTAAGATGCATTTGCCATGATTTCCAGAAACAGAGCAGCTGGGTCGCTGACATTTTATCCAGCTGCGGGAGCTAGTTCATTGATATTGATGAATGTCGAATTCGGCCTTGGACTAATTTCTGGCTCGCTACCATCACTGCGTGTCTTGTTGAGGTCTTGGGTTAGATTTGGCTCGTCGAATAAAAGTCGAAGTCGAAGTCATGGTGAATGGTTTGGTGACTCAGAGCGGCCGTCATACCCTTTGATTGAGCAGAGTCGCTGGACACACAAGACGATAGGGAGTCCTATAGACTTGAAATCATTTCGGGAATTGTCTGGCGAAAGTCAAGACAGGTTTGTACAGCAGCCGCGGGATAGCGTCTAGTCTACCAGCTCAAAGTCGAAATACAAATAAATACAAATATTGCTACATGCAACTATCAACCTAAGGGTATTTATGATCATCCTAAATTCACTGGGCCTTCAGCACCCATAAAGTTTCGTAATTCAATTGAACCGCCTATAGCTAGAACGCCATCCATGGATGGGATCAATCGAAAATCAAAGCTCAATGAAAATGCAGGTCCGTAGGAGATATTTTTCAGCTGATCAAATCTATAATCAAATGTTCACAGAGCTAGAAAGGCATCAATCAACTCTGATGGTTGTTCAAAAAAGTCAAACATCACAATACCCAGCCTTTTCCCCTTAGATTGCTTCAAAAAAGGGACCAGCTGATGATTCACACCACCTTCTGGTGTCAGATCGGACCCATTGCCAGTGGCAATTATGCGGGGCCAGTCCGGTGGTGTGTTAGCCGTGTTTGTGCCGGATGCGAAAGTCCAAAACAGGCTATCTTCAAGTCCAGTAGTCGCTTTGAGAAGATGTCCCTTAGTGGCATTGAACTTCCACTTGATGTTCTCAACAGCACTGGATCCAGCCGGCGTAAGTGGCTGATAGTAGTCCTCAATAAATGCAGTCATATTCATTTTCGAATTGTAAACAAGGCTTATGTCTGGGCTGTTGTCCGTCCATAGACTTGGCGAGAAATGAAGGCCAGGGAGGGCCTTCGTATATGATGGATCTAGCTGGTCCAGATCAAATCGGCAAAGCAATATGATCTTTCCGCGTGCTTCTCCGAGGGTCCCTAACTGGTCTTTCCTTTGGAGGAAATAGTGTCGAGCCTCTGGTGAAACAAGAATATTGTACAGATTCAATTGCAGCTCTGCATTGTTGGATGTGTACTTTGCGGTCGAACTTTCGTGTTGAAATGATAAAAAGATCGTTTCGGATGGGTGATCATCGAGCCACTGATAGAAGCCAAATAGTACGTCATCCACAGTCGCAGTCTGAGACAACAGAGCAGGGCCGTGGTAAAAGACGAGAGTGGTATTTGTCGGGTCAAAGCTATAGCGGAGGTCGAAAGCTCGAATTCCCATATCAAGCATGTCTATGAAAGGCAAATCCTGACACCGAAAGGTTTCAGGGACCGGCACGATGACTTGATTCAAGTCTGTAATTCCCTTGAGAGATCGTTGGGTTGCCTGGTCATAGTTCCATGTAGCGCTGTCATGGGTCCCCGGGATGTTAAGATGGACGAGAGGCGTATTATCGGGATAAGTTTTCATCCACTCAGCCCTATCTGGTGCTCTGTTGATATAAGAGCCGAAGATGGGCGAGGCTTTATCGAGAACATTCTGCAAAGCGAGAGAAGCCAAAGGTGAGGATGATGCCAGGACAGACGGTAGCACGACCGCCGTGGCCAGACAACCCAAGATCACTGACATGGATGAGGGCAACGCGACCGGGCGGTAATTTTGGAATAGGGGGCTGTTTGAAGAGAGAGAGAAAATGTTATAGTTGAAAGGTCTTGGAATCCTTCATGTTGAGTTGAGTAATCCGTTAGCTTCGCTGGTGGATCCATTTTATTTGTTTCCAGCCCCCCTATCCCCTTCCGCGATACCACCCCTTGCATCGGCTAAATTGCGACAACATGACCGTTAGACGACAAACTCCGCAATCCAATCGAGGGGTCACATCCCAAAATCGCATATTGCGCCTCCCACGTGCAGCAAATGGCATGTCACCACTGGTTCGTTTCGGTGGGGCGCATCGGCTCGTTCGCGCCTGGCGCGACCGCCGAGGTGAGTATTAAAGACCATCCGTTAGGAAGTGACAGGCTTGACTTTGAATTTTGAAAAAAAAATTGTGTGATTCTTCAGCACTGAAAATATTCCGAAATCATGCGCGGTCCTACTATTGGTGCCCTCTTTGGGTACATGGGCTCTGTGATGGGCTTGTCACCTCTTGATACCTTCTATCCCCCTCTCAACCAGACCTCATATATCGCCAACACTTCGGCAGGGACGTATGGCGGACTTTACCAAGCCGGTCTTCATGGTCCGACTGGTGGAAAGCCATATGGAAGTTACGATTACTGTTCTATGCCCCATCCACGCGAATACCAACTCCCGAACCAGGCCGCCGATGGCAACGCTAAGCTGGTCAAGCTGGTCTACCTTCAGCGACACCAGCGTCGAACCCCTTACAATATTCTGCCTGGTGGAGAGGTGAGCAAAACTTGCCCCGTCTTCAAAAGTCAAATCAGCTAACGATGCATCGCCAGGACCAAGCGTATCACTGCGATAACGTTCGGCCATATCTCTATGGCGGGCCCAGCAGTGACAACGGAATGCAACCCGTGCCAGTCTATGCCCAGACTTATGAGGACCCCAATGATCCATTCAAGACTGGCGTGAGTGTTAACTCCACTTGCCAGTTTCCCCAGATCACCATTGGTGGCATTGAAGATGGATACCAACATGGCAAGGATCTTCGGAATGTTTACCGGAAGAAGCTTGGTCTAATTCCCGAGCGACCAAATGAGCGCGTTTGGTTTAGATCGAGTGAATCGCCTCTTACACAAGCTTCTGCTGGGGCTGTTCTTCGGGGTATCTGGCCAGATTACCAGGGTGCCTTGCCTCTTCACCAGATGGTAAGCTCGGTGGATACGGTTAATGAGGGCTATTCTTGCAATGCGGTCAGCTCTACCCTTAACAAGATAAAGTCCACTGCCCAGTGGACTGAACACATGAAAGTCACCGAAGAACTTCGATCCCGACTCGCCTCAATGCTCGGCGCTCAAGACAGTTCTTGGCAAGAGACCTTTGATCATTTCTGTGACAACTTTCAAGCGAGACTTTGTAATGGCTACCGACTGCCTTGCAGTGTCTCTAACTCTTCTGACTGTGTTACCATGCAAATGGCAGAAGAGGTATTCCGCGCTGGAGACTGGGAGTGGAACTATTACTGGCGCGCGAACGAGTATGCGACAAAATACATTCAGGTTGTCGAGGGTCTTTTCATTGGCGAAATTGTCTCCGACCTCAAGGCTGCCCTAGATGGTAGTTCTTCTATCGACTACAGTCACATATTCGTTCATGATGGTGATATCGGTCCCATTCTTGGTGCTTTGGGCATCAATGCCCTTCGATGGCCTGGCATGGCCTCAAATATTGCCTTTGAAGTCTGGTAAGTTCTGCCACCCGAGTAAAACCTTTTTCCCAGATGCTAAAAATTACCAGGGAGAAGGAAGACTCTCAATTTGCACGCGTACTCTATAGTGGACACCCAGTACAGACCATTCATGGGTCATTGGATTGGCTTCCGCTTTCCCAACTCATCAATATCATGAGCCCGTATGTGCCGGAAAATATTACTTCTCTCTGCGGTTGAAATAGTCAATTCAAATGCCCAGTGAATTTAAATATTTTGAGATCTTCGGCGATATCTCAGAGGTCTGCAATGTAACGAACTGGTGTTGTTATCATTCGTGGATGCCTCATGCCTACGGCACCACTCTAGGCATCCACGCCATACACCTGTGTATCTAGCCTTCCATCCTAGCTTCCTTCTTATTCTCCTCAAGCTATTACTTTCGTCGAACGCTACTATTTCCTTTGCTTGCTACGCTACGCCGCATCCTGATCTCTGTGAGTACCTGAGCTCCTCACATGCAACAAGATGCAGAAGTTGCTTCCTTCGGACATGAGTCATATGGCTTGACCCGAGGGTCTGTACATTATCAAATTTAAACCGGATTCTAATATTTTTCAAGTAATCCGGCGTGACCAACTCGCAAATGAATGTCCGGCGTCGCTCATGTTCAAGTAGTCATAATTATTTATCCTCGCAGTAAAAGTAGTCTTAGTACAATATCCGAAGAAAAAGCCGTCCTATGATCATTAATGCAATCCAATGCTCTATGAGAATTATTTCTAAATGCGTTCGCTGGTTGAATCTAAACCTCCCCTTTCTTCGCTGTGTCGCCTTCCACCCTGTTCTGTTGCTGCTTTTCGTCGGCAGTCAATTCGCTCTCTGCATTTTTGATTCTCACAAAGAACACAGCAATAAGTAGCCCAAGGATAGCTAGCCCTGTCTGGAACCAGAATACCGCCTTATAACTCTCGCGCTCTCCCAAGTGCTTGGTTTGAGTTTCCACGATGTCCGCGAAGCCAAGCATAACCGCGATCCCCATATGCATGGTACAGTAAGGGAGTGCCCCCGCGATACCTTGCCGGGACTTTGGCATTGTAGTCGTGATGAAAATGTTGGCAATATTGAACGAAATGTCGATGGCGATTGTGCCACAGATCATGGCGGGAAATACGTAAGCCCAGTAGTTGCCGCCGACCGGAACAACTGCGAATAATAGGCCTGATCCAACGTATCCGAGACATGAAATGATCATCAGAATTGTCCCAGAAACCTTGTGGAGAATAAAGCCACCCGTTACTGAAAGAAATAGGCCACCAACTGCCATTGGCACGGTCCAGGCGACAATCTGCAACGGGCTTGCACCCATGAATTCGGACATGCTGATTCCTGATTAGATTTCATCATAGACATATCTTGGGAGGGAATAAAACTCACTATAGAACACCATAAAGGAGAAATATGCCCAGGCTGCCGTATAGACAAAGCAGAGAGAAGAGGAGCGCTTTCAGGTGTTTCACATGGAACACATCTCCTGGCAGCAATGGGTTGTGCACCACCCAGCCTTCAATATAAGCGAATACCGCGAAAGTGATGACTCCTAAGCAAAAGAACACTGGAATATAGGGTGTTCGCCATCCATTGGGCGCGTATGAGCTTTCTGCAATCGAGAAAACCAGAAATGTAGACCCAACAATAGACAAAACGAGGCCGGCCCAATCCATTCGAATGCCGAGTTCCTTCTTCTCGGCATAATCCTTTGGAATCGAGAAGATAGCAGAGACGCCCATAACGGCGGAAAGGATAGCCCCGATAAAGAAATACCATCGCCAGCTGAGGTACTGACCGGCAAGGCCAGAAACGAAAAATCCCACGAAGAACCCTAGAGCAGCACAGGCGCCATAGAGAGCAAAGACGAGATTTTTTCGAGGACCAGGTCTGTATGTGCTACCGAGAATCATCATGCCGGAGGGCAGCAAAGCACCGAGTGCTAATCCTTGGCATGCGCGGAAGAAAATCAACATCAGCCATGACTGTGAGAACCCAGCAATGATTGAGGATATACAGAGCCAGATTGCACCGGCATTGAAGACTAGGTAACCTCCGTACATGTCGGTCAAACGCCCCCATATCAAAAGAGTAGCACAAATGACGAGCGAGAGAGCCGTGGTTGGCCATATCGTCGATGCTGCCGGAATATTCAATTCTCTTACGAGAATAGGGGTCAAGACGTTCGATCCGGTGATGAAGAACTCCTATACCTAAGTCAGCTTCGGTTTCGTCTAGATGGAATTACCCGTAGTGTTCCTTACAGCCAGAATCTGGCTCATGACGATCGAGAAAATGAAACATATCTCAGAGAAAAGACTAGCAAATATTTGTGGTCTTTCTCGACCTAGTTTCTCCATATCAGGCTCTGTGAACGTGACCGTTTGCTCTTCATCTGTCCGCACTTGGGGCGGACCATATGTGGCGGACGCCGGGGGAGTGGCGATTGACATTGTCCATCAAGAGAACAGTGGACAGTGGTGAATGATTATCATGAGCAGAAGCGAGGCTGCTAAGTCCAACGCCTACATTTATAGCGGCTTCACTACGACGGCGTAGTGAATTAAAAAATTTATAAGCGACTACTAGCGCCTCTACGATCAACTTCCCAAAGGGGCGAATAAAATGAAGAGCTTCGAGAACCGGAACCAATTCTCGGTCCTTATAGCTAAAGGTCGTCAGAGGGGCGTCAGATTTTGACGATTCCACGAGGCCCCTCTGCCAACAGCGATGAAGAGCCAGTAAAAGTGGCGGTTGAAGGCGGCGGCCAAGGTGATTTCCATTGCGCTAAACCTGATAAAGAAGTTGTCGGTAGTGGGGCAAAGTGAGCCTCGGAACAGTCGGACCCGCGCCGCAAACAACGCCGGCATAGAAACGTGGGGAATTCTCCGTCCGATCTCCCCGATCGATAAAGCCATTCGGATCAGGGCGACCGTTTCTAGCCATGAAGGTGGCCAAAAATGGCATGAATTGCCACGAGGGATGTATCAGCCCTACATACTTCCGGCCATTCTCCAGATTTTACCCCTTTCTGATCAATTCTACTCCCCATCTCCCGCAGCCTCCACTCACCGCATTTACTATACTCCAGTCAGGTCATCCACACTTTTAGGAGCTGCCAAATTCATCCAGCCATGCGGTCGCTAAATGCGCAGTCGGATCAAACCCGAATTCGTGGCAATCACGATTTTCTCGAGAACCTCACGTCGTGGGGCAAGAAAGTCCTCGGGCGTGTTATAGTTCGGAATATTTTGACAGGTATTTCAGAGGGATACATCCATGAATGAGGCTATATACTATATGACAATGAGCCAATTTAATTCTAATCCACTTTGTCGCCCGTATATACAATTTGGAGTTATTTCCGAACGGCACGCCTTGGTTCCTGATCTGCAAAGACCAAATGCCACCACGTCCAACCTTTCAAGTTTGGAATAACAAATGCCACCAAATTTTGATCACCTATGGCAGTCAACAAACAGATCTCAGAATTATTACTTAGCAAGTCTGTTCTGTAAAGTTGGATAAGTGTTTAGTCTATAGTTAGATAAACTCAAAGAATAGGAATCAGCCATTTATGTAAGAAACTAGGTAAGCAAAAGATATATAGACCCTGTTGAGGAAAAGGGGCCGATATGGTGTTATCTGATGAGACGAGAAAAGGACTCATACCTATAATAATTACGTTGACAAAGTCGTAATTGTAAATACTCGAAAGTTGAATGTGAGGAAAATGAATATAAAATTGAACTCTCGTGGGTGGAGTTAGATAAAATAACAAGTCCACATCAAAGATTTTCGCTCACTATCCTCTGAAAACTTAAGCTCCTCTACTACCTCCACACTCCTCTACCTCCACACTGTCCTGGTATATGTCCCGAAATCAGGATCAAGGCCCCAGCTCTCCAAAAGGCGGCAATAGCTTAGTAGTTGCAAACGCAGATGCTAAAACCAAGCTATCAGTAAACCAACTTGAAGCAAATCTAGCTTAATCCAGAAAGAAATATTGCTCACCTGTCGTCATCGCAGTGGCCGCCGTGGTAGCCCTCACCCTGGGCAATGCACTACAATATTTGTGAGACCCTGGAACTAGAGATTTATTTGTTAAGCCAAAGGAAACATACAGAAGCGCTGCACGCAGCATCACCGGCACCCCAGATATCGCCGAGCTGGCAAGAGGAGCGGGCCTGGATGTTCTCGGAGGGAGCAGCAAAGGCAACAGAGCCGAAGATGGCAACGGCGCTCATGAAGACGGTGGTGAACTGCATTTTGATGGCTTCGTTGGTTGAAAGATGGATGTCTTGGAAATCGAAACTTGGTTTGAAGTAGGTTTGGATGAGAATTCGATGGATTGTTATTGATGAGAAGAGAAGAGGACAGCAGGGGAGAGGGAGGTATTTATGCTCGAGATTCAAGATCTTTTGATCATTAAAATGAATACAGAGTACTTCCTCTTGAGGTATTCTCGTATTCACAGATAATGATCACCGCTCTGTTGCCTCAGCTTTTGCAGTAAAATGTAAGATCGGCGATAATCTCTAAGGATACGAAGTCGATCGAACAACAACGTTCGTGTTCGAGCGTACGATGCAACATTCCATCTCGTATGTACGTAGTGAAACCCAATTACACTGTACGCAGAGAGTTTCAAAAGAATTCCCACCATTTAAATTGAGAAAGTGGAGATGCCATGATTATAATCCTGCATCATCTTTGGATGCTCGTGATTTGCAACCAGAAAGGGCAAACACTACACTGTCTGGCCAGTGGTTGGATCTATTTTTGCATGCATTAGCGCTGAAATTGTTATTCCAATCACAGGACTCAAACAGCTGAGCGCTCATACAAACAGGGATAATAGCAAGGGGAAATATTGGTTGGGTATCTGTAATACGAACCAGAATTGTGATCCAACCGCAAGGGCTCCGATATATTGGCCTGACAGTGTCAGATCTGGGGCGAGATATACCCGCTTACACGAGGAGATGACCGATATCATTACTCGCCCGGTAGGCTACGCGACTTGGGATCTGCAGAGATCTACAGTGGCTTATACGAGCCGAGCCTCCGTCCACCTCGGAGATCTGAGCAATGATATGACTATGAGCCTTGGCGGACTAAGCGCCAAGATAATAAAACACCTCATTCCGAGGAGTATACGAGTGAATTCTTGTTGAGAACTGCGATCATAATCTTGCTGGGTTATATTTATCCTGCTTCGTATTCGAAAATAACAATAGACGGCGATCTGACGATCTTCCCCCTGGTGGGAGACCTGCCGAGAACTTCTTATCGATAGGCGAGAGGTGAGAGTTCGTGGTTTGCTTTTACACATGTACCTAATTTATTATTGTTTTTAATATCTATAGATATTTTGTATAATTACAAGGTCTCTTTGAGAATTCAAATAGATTGAATATGCCAAAGAAATGTAGAAGTTGTGTTGTAAATTGGAATTTGGTGGCAGCCGTTATTGAATGTGACATTCGGCCTACCTCTCTCAAAGGATCGCTTATAAATCCAGCAAAGCAACAACATGATAAAGTTTTTCAGTTTCGCTCTTTTGGTCTGTTTCTTTCCTTCACTGAAAGCAACCATACGATACTTGACAAATGCAGCTGGCACTATGAAAAGCCCAACACTCCCCAGTTAGAGACGGGCCATTGTCAAGGAACGCCCGAGGCAAGCGGTCATCACGTCTGTTCTCATGCCCGATGTACCTCCTGGATATTTGCTTGTACAGACGCAATACGTTGCGCTCAACCCAGCTGGTTGGGCCGATATCGACGGGGAAGAGTACATCGGCTGTGTTATCGGCCTCGACTACGCAGGGACTGTAGTTCAAGTTGGCGAGCAGGTGAACAGAGAGTTTAAAATTGGGGACCGAGTAGCAGGAATTTCGCACGGATGCAATATCCTGCATCCGAACTATGGAGCGTTCTCCGAGTACATTATCGTGAAAGCGGATGCCCGAATGAAGGTTCCGGAGACCATGAACCTGGAAAAAGCGGCGTCAATGGGTGTTGGTGTTATTACCGCGAATATGGGTCTTTACCGTCAGTTAGGGCCCCCACTACCTGGACCTGAGAATGTATTCAGCAACAAACCGGAGTGAATTTTGATCTATAGAGGATCTTCAGCAACTGGATCATTGGCTATTCAGTTTGCGAAGTTGTAAGAGGCCGCCATTCCAAAAGTCCCTTAATTTGGTTTTATACTAATACATGAAAATGCAGATCTAAGTTCAAGGTCGTCACCACTTGCTCTCCGCGCAATTTTGACCTAGTGCGCGATATGGGCGCAGATGTCTGGTTTGACTACGTCTGTTCTTGTCTTGAGAAAATCTGGAAGTTCTTATCACTAATCCCGATGAGCATCGTGATTCGGCATTTCGCTTTTGCCCTGAGGCTTGGGATCGTCGTCGCAGCTTAGAAGAGGCATCGTCGAGAGGTGATGGTATAAAATGCCTCGAATACCCTGGACGAACTTGGTTGCCATTGAATTATTCACTCGCATGGCAGAGAAATGGCCTTTATATAAGGTTGCATGACCTTGCAAGCTTAACTGTTCCCCGGCTTCCAGGTTACCTCCTAGAATACCTCACTATTGAAACCATCCAAGGGAAAATACAAGCGATGTCGGGCCGAGATTGAGCCAATAGTCTCTCGAACCAAAATTTTTCTTCGACTGGCGTGATGCGGTTAAAGCCATATCGTGGGGTAAGAAAGTTTGGGGTCGATCTAGATAACAGGGGTCATCAAAGAAAATTCGGCCCACGAGCCTAAATTTGGCATAGCGCATCAGCCAGTCAACTGAACAGGACCGTGAGGTCAAAGAGTTATCAGTCCGAGATAAGACCAATTGGATGCACGAGTCGCGTATGCCAGGCTGGCGTGCTGACTAGGCGGGGTAAATGATGTCGGACCGACAACAGACCAATTATATCCCCCCTGGCCAGCATCAGTGGGGGACTGTAGCAAGATAAAAGAATCGAGAAAGATTTCATTTTTTTTATTCGGACTCCTTTATTCAAATCATTCATTTATCTACTTGGATTACCTAAGGACCGATTCCCACCTACCTTGACCAACCTTTTTTGTTCGCTTGAATCTTATCGCAATCTTCAACATGTCATCCCCGTGGTGGAAAAATGCTTCCATCTATCAGATATATCCCGCCAGCTTCAAGGATACAAATGGCGACGGAATCGGCGACTTGCCAGGCATTCTGAGCAAGCTGGACTATATCAAGTCCCTAGGTGTTGATGCAATCTGGATATGTCCGATGTATGACAGTCCTCAATACGACATGGGCTACGACATTGCAAATTATGAAGATGTCTACGCACCTTACGGTACAGTCGCAGATGTCGAAGCTATTATCGCGGCAAGCCACGAGCGTGGTTTACGTATTCTGCTCGATCTAGTGATCAACCATACCTCCTATCTACATGATTGGTTTAAAGAATCACACTCTTCCAAGACCAGCTCCAAGCGAGATTGGTACATCTGGCGACCAGCAAAATATGACGCCGATGGAACCCGTCGTCCTCCTAATAACTGGCGCAGCTTCTTTGGCGGCAGCGCTTGGGAGTTCGATGATGCAACACAGGAGTATTATCTCCATCTATTTGCAGTTCAACAGCCTGATCTTAACTGGGAAAATCCAGAAACGCGAAAGGCAATCTACGACTCGGCGGTTACATTCTGGTTGGAAAAGGGAATTGACGGATTCCGCGTCGACACAGTCAATATGTATTCGAAGAGGTCATTTATCGATGCCCCAATTCTTGACAAGCGACTTGAATGGCAGCCGGCACATTCCCTATTCTGCAACGGTCCCCGAATCCATGAATTTCTGCGCGAATTAGGTCAGATATTAGCTAAATACGACGCAATGACAGTCGGCGAGCTACCTTATACTCCACAGATTACCGAGGTACTTAGCTATGTCTCAGCCCAAGAGAAACAGCTCAGCATGGTCTTTCAATTCGATGTGGTTGAAACCGGGACTGGTGATCCGACATTTAACACAACACCACGCAACTGGACCCTCCCAGCCCTTCGCAAGAGAATTGCACAAACTCAGGAACTTGTGCCCACTGATGGCTGGAGCACTTCCTTTCTCGAAAACCACGACCAGGCTCGATCGATATCGCGTTTTGGGAATGAGGAAACCCCTGAATACTGGGCACTCAGTGCGAAGATGCTCGCTATCCTTGTCACAACACTCTCCGGAACGGTTTACATCTATCAAGGACAGGAAATTGGGATGGTCAATTTCCCACTTGAGTGGGATATTGAAGAGTACAAGGATGTTAATAGTATAAATTATTACAAGTTCATCCAAGACTCGACAAAGAATGATCCGACCGCCGTGAAAAAGGCAAAGGAAGCGCTGGCCCATCTGGCTAGAGACCATTCGCGCATTCCGATGCAGTGGGATGGCACAGCAAATGCCGGGTTCACCACAGAGTCTGCAAAGCCCTGGATGCGCGTGCATGACAACTACTCCACTCTGAATGTCGAGAAACAACAGACCGATTCGAAGTCAGTTTTGGCCTTTTGGCAGGAAGCGCTCCGGGTGAGAAAGTCTTCGCCAAAGCTATTCGCACATGGTGTTTTCAGTGACACCGAACCATGTAATGAAAGTCTTTTCATCTTCGAGAAGACTGGTGATAGCCAGAAACTTCTTGTTTTACTCAACTTCACTACCGAAGCAAAGCCTATTGACATCGCGGAACGCCTGGGGGATACACCACGCAAGGCCATAATCAAGAACTATGAAGATGAGCCGCTAGATTCCTTGCGACCGTTGGAAGGCCGAGTATATCTCTTGGATAATTAGGAATATGAGATAGGTAGAGACGACATGCCCAAGTTTGGAATGCCGTCGGAAATTGATTGATAGCTACGGCGCTCCATAAGCGCAAGGGGTTCAGTAGTTGTTATAGAGGTATTTTGCCTGGCCGTCTTGAAACCACCTGTAACTTCATCAGTCTAAAATTACCAGTGTTCTACATTTAAACTTGGACAAAACTACAGTAGTAACACAAAAGTTTTTACTCCCTAATTGTCTACTATTATTGACTATCTTCTAGTAGCAGACTAGTAGCTACCTAAGATAGAGATAATTAGCCAATCTATTCTATCTTAGGTAGCAACTAGCCCCCCCTTAGAAAGAGAAATACTATGGGGGTCAGAACATTTGGAATTTTAGACTCAGAAGTTACGCTGCACCGAGTCAGGGACATAAGTACATCTGAGACCGAGATGGGTGCATTGTTGGCATTGCAGCGAGCTTTGCGCCGTTTGCAAGGATCGCAGGCTCTGGAAGCTCGCTGTTATGTCATGTCAATCGGGAGTGTAAATACCACGAAGGTAAATGCAGAGAGAATCTTGGAAATCGGTCTTGAATGGGGCAAAGGAGTGGGGGTGTGGTGGAAACAACAAAGAGACGACTGGGGTACAGACATCAGAGCGGTAGATTTGACACTCGATTTCATATTAAAACTCGAGGAATTATTTCTCACTTCCTTTTATCATGACAGCTCGGATTGAAGATCTTGGAATTAGAAAGAAGAAAACTATTGTGGAGTGATGATCTTCAAAGGTTCTTATCACTCACAGGGTCCTCTTGAAGCTGTTACCAAGGTACTTGGACCAGCATAATAAAAATGATGGAAACAAAAAAAGATTTGGCATAAGTTTAATTTTATTCTAGTCCTGTCTAAACTGTTGCTAAATATGAACCCGAATAATGAGGCTCCCGCTGGGGATACGACTCATTTAACCGATCCTAAGATCCAATCTCGACTGCGCAAGGTGTAAGAGAGATCAGCCATGCATTGACTACCCCTCATACCAATTGGCACTAGCTAGTCAGATCGCTTTGCTAATTCTTTGCAGTGCCGATTTCCAAGTCCTTCCTCTGCTCTTGATCGCGTTCGCTAGCTACCAGCTAGATCGAACCAACATTTCCAGTGCACTGACTGGCGGATTTGCTTCTGCAATTTCAGTCAATCAAAACACTGTCAATATCGGCAATCAACTTATGTTCTTGGGTGTGATTGTTCTAGAAATACCCTCAAATGTCATATTACACCGGGTAAGCTAAGACACCTCCTCTCTCAATTATTGCGATCTACTTTCAAGGGCGATTCTGATTACAAACTTGAACAAACAGATCGGTCCTCGCTATTGGATTGGGGGTCAAGTTCTGATATTTGGATTCATCGCCGCACTACAAGTCTTTATTCGTAATCGCACTGGCTTCCTTGTCACGAGGTCTATTCTTGGTCTTGCGGAAGCCGGATTTATCCCCGGGGCTATGTTTACGTTATCTCAATGGTATACCAGAGAGGAAATCACGCGACGGATCGCAATCTTCTTTTTCGGCATGTTTGGAGGCACGGCTGTGGGACCGCTCCTGGGCGCTGGTTTGCTCACATTGGACGGCAAGGGGAATCTTTCTGGATGGCAGTGGATATTTTTGGGTGAGATGGATCGATCAGTCACCGTATTGATTCTGAGTCTTCGAATTTTCTGACTTTCAATATATACCAGTGGAGGGAATCTGGACGATCACCGTTTCATTCACGCTGCTGTTATTTCTCCCCGAGAGAAATAGCTACGAACAACCCCTCGAGTCCGAGAAAGCGCCAGAGGGAATCGATTGCGCACCGAAAAATCTATCCGGATCGAAGATTCCACTGAAGGTCATCGTCGAAACTCTGACAAACGTCAGTAAATGGCCGCACTTTCTGGCAACAGCGTGCGTTTTCGCGACCTGGAGTCCATTGACTACTTACACCCCGAGCATAATAATGTCCCTTGGCTTTTCACGAGTGCAGTCGAACGCTTTGACCGCGATTGGAAATATGATGACTTTGCCAGTCGTCTTTTTTTTCGCGTGGCTCAGTGACAAAACTTGCAGACGGGGAATGACAGTGATGATCGCCATTATGGTATACCTAATCGCACTTATTTGTTTAAGGATTATCCAGCCACATGTCCATGTCTGGAGCAAATTCGGTCTTTGGACGACTGTGAATGCTCTCGCGGTTGGTTATCATCCCATCCATAATGCCTGGATACAAATGAATAGCAGAAGTCCGGAGGAGAGAAGTATTGAAGTGGCGTAAGTACAGCTCCTCGCTCAAGACTCGCTCGTAGCTAACTTTGGAACACCGACAGTATGTGTACGTTTGATTTTTTTTCTTCGATCCCGCAAAATAGTACTAATGAATTAGTCGTCATGTGCGCAACTGCCGGATTAATGGCTGGTACACAGATCTTCCGCCAGGAGGATTCTGAAGGATTCTATCCCAATGGGCTATTAATAATGATTGGGCTAGTCCTCATGGGGCTCATTCTAACCGCCCTGCAGGAAGTCATATATTATGTGCAGAATAGCCGGGTAGAAAAAGAGGCCAGGCTTACAGTGCTAAATATTTTATGAAAACCACACCGACGACGCAGAAAACCACTATCCCCCAATAGATCATAGACTTCTGAAGAATTTCGAAAATGGTGATGAAATAATGCGCCTTATCAGGAATGAATCCTCAGTCAATCTGGTCAAATCTGAAACGTGGGGTCGTAACCTCGGATACCCCTCGTATACTCCCGGCTAACGAGCGCCGATCAATGTAACCCCTGGCCACCGTACCTGTAGATAGCCTCGAATGGAGAAATAGCAAAAGGCAACGTGACACGGGAGTCATGTAGATCTAAATATCGGCAAAGAGGCGATTGGGTTTGCGTATAAATAGTACCAGTAACCAAGTGGTTGACAACGCACACGCAAACTTCTTGACACATTTCCACGATGCGGTGGATCGCAACTTCAACGCTTCTTGCCCCTCTCTTCCTGTGCCTCACACTGGCAGACGCAACCCAAGCTACCAGCTCCAATGACCTTTCCGTGGAAGTAGGACACCATGTCATTTTCTCATATCCGGGCCTCGAGCCCCCGCCTCATCTCTTCGATCTGATCAAACAAGGCAAAGTCGGAGGCATAATTCTATTCGGAGAAAACGTCAACAACAACCTCAGCAACGTAATCGGCAACTTCCAAACCGCATATCAACAAAGTCCCACATATGCGGGAGTCCCGTTACTTATCACGACAGACCAAGAGGGAGGTCAAATCCGCCGATTGCCCGGCGGCCCCGAACAGAGCGCGAAACAAGTAGGAGAGTCCGCGAATCCGAAAGAGGCAGCGACAAAAGCCGGTCAGGACGCAGCAGTTACTCTAAAGGAGTATAAAATGAACGCAAACCTAGCGCCTGTCTTAGATGTCTATCGAGAAGCGGGTGATTTCACAGACCAGTATGGTCGCTCCTTTAGCAATTCCTCAGCCGTGGTGAGTGAGTGTGGTTCGGCCTTTATTACCGCGCAACAGAGAGCAGGCGTACTCGCAACAGCGAAACATTTCCCCGGTCTGGGGGCTGCGTTGAAAGATTCGAATACCGATGAAGAACCTGTTACTATCGACTTGACACTTCGCCAGCTTCGTGCCGTCGATCAGCGACCTTATAAAGACGCTATTGCTGCTGGATTGGATATGGTTATGACTTCGTGGGCTGTTTATCCAGCGCTCGACGATAAATATCCTTCTGGGATGAGTAGGAAGTGGGTGCAGGGGGAATTGCGAGGTCGGTTGGGATTTGAGGGCGTTACGATTACTGATGCGATCGAGGCTGGGGCGCTCAAGTCGTTTGGGGATGATGCCGCTCGGGGACTTCTTGCTGCGCAGGCTGGGATGGATATTCTTTTAGCTTCTGGGAGGAATGTGAGTCAAGGTGAAGCCATTGTGAATGGATTGGTTGCTGCGTTGCAGAATGGTAATCTGCCCAAGGACTCCTTTCTGGAGGCTACTGATCGGATCTTGAGTATGAGGAAGAGGATTCAGGGTTAGGGGTTTGGGTATTTGCTTATTCTCCGTGCAGAGTGCAGAGTGCAGAAGCATAGTAATAAAGCGGACACCTTGGTAGAATCACGATCCACTCTGTTCACATTCGACAGTTGCGGAATACTCGTACTCCGTGCTATGATTGCTCATCGGCTCGAGGCAGCCAGGCTGATGAATTCGCGTAGTGGCCAACCGATCCTGCAACAAACTTTTCATGTCTCGAACTCTGTCTCGGCAAGCTTGCTACCCGAACGTGGGCCATGCTTGTGAATATTTGGGGGCCAAAGTAGATTTTGTCGGAATATTCCTCGCTGGCATCTCGTTTAGGGTGATATCGTTGCCTCTGGTGTATAGATCGGTCATTTCCAGTGCCCCTCGGCGGGGACAAAAAATTTGCCAGACGTTTAGTGTGCTCGGTAATGAGTGCTAGTGTGTTTATAGCGGGTAATTAAGAGGCGAGAGCGCTCTTCTGGAGTCGCTAAAGTGAGTACCTTGGATGCTAGAAGCGGGTACTTTGTTGGGAGTGGCCATTCATATAGAGCAGATTGAAAAGCGAGTGGATGTTGTATGGGTAGCTGGTTTACTTACTAGATAGGTTCGTTTATTTTTTCATCTGAAGGACTAATAGTTTCAAGTTGGTGTGTTTAACAAATCGGAGTGGTAGTAGTAGTAGTTGGTTGGTAGACTGGAATTTGAGGCTGTGGACCCGCCGTTTTCGGAGATTCACAGGGAAAATATACCAGCAAGTACGGAGTAGTACGGAGTATATAGGCAGCTATAATATATGTCAACCAGCAAATGGCAATATACTACCTAGTATAATCCGAAGAGAATACTACTAGTATTCTAAATAGTAAATAGTAAATATGAAATACTATACTACCTAGTAACTACTATAGTACTAGTTATACCATGCTATGCGATAACCTACTAGACTGCTCTGTTGTTGCACGCCACCGGATTAAGCTCCACTCCGCTGCTCCGCCCGGACTGACGCTATCTTCTCGCAATCCCCGATTGCACTTTTTATCCCCCTCCTCCCTTCCTCTTTCTCCTCCTCTTCTTCTTTCTTCAATTACGTTACTGGTACGGCCTTGCTCATTTCATCTTCGCACTATCCCCTGCGCCCCTGCGCGACTGAGCGCCCCCCCGCCATATCGCGACAGCTCTAACGCCATCATGGGTCTCTCCAAGACTCACAGGATTATCATCCTGCTGGTGATCGACTCGGCCTTTTTCCTGCTGGAATTGAGCACTGGTGCGTATCTCTTGCATACTCTCATATCACCTATCTCACCTACGATCTCCTCTAACTGACAACGTCTGCAGGTTATGCCGTCCACTCCCTTGCTCTCGTCGCCGACTCATTTCATATGGTACGCCCAACACCTTCGTCGCACCAACTCCCTCTCACCAGCTCCCTTTGCCTCTGCCTCTGCCTCTCCCTCCACTTCTTCCACCGAATCATATCTAACACTTCCCCTTCTAGCTCAACGATGTCATCTCTCTTTGTGTCGGTCTCTGGGCGGTCCGTGTCGCCAACAACGAAACAAACTCCAAGATGTACACTTATGGCGTAAGTCGGCCCGCATCAACATCCCGGAGTACAAAGACATCGTCTAATCATTGCTATTTCTTTTCGGTTAGTGGCAACGCGCGGAAACTCTCGGTGCCCTTGTGAATGGTGTCTTCTTGGTTGCACTGTGCATGTCGATCTTCCTGGAGGCCATTCAACGATTGGTCGAGCCCCAAGAGGTGCAGAATCCTAAGTTGGTCTGCATCGTCGGATGCTTGGGCCTTCTTTCCAACATGATCGGCCTTGTGCTCTTCCACGATCACTCTCACGGTCACGGCGGTCATGGTCACTCCCATGGCCATTCTCACGACGAGGAGGATGTGGAACAAGGTCACGAGCACGAGCATGGCCATGTCCACGACCACGACCATGAACATCAAAGTGACCCCATCGCCGCCGATCCTCGAGGGAGCGTTGCGGAGATCATGCCCGAGAACCTCGTCGGTGCCCGTGGTCCTGCCAGTCTCTCGCAGACCAGTTTTCCCGCCACCGAGCCCGCTTCTCCTAGCTCCCGCAAGCGTCGCCGGGAATCTCAAACTCGTGGCTCGCGCCGCTACAGCACTTCGACCGGGCGTGGCATCGTTAATGTGGAGGATATCTACGTTCACCCGGCGACTATGCGACAGGATATCATTGCTGCTAGTCGCGGCACCTTTGATATCGAGCAGTCCTCGGATTCCGACAGCCGCGATGACGAAACCCCCACCGAGCGATCCGGCCTGCTGCACAACCGCGACCGCGCCTCCAACTACACCGATGAACAAGATGGCCCCTTCAAGGTTTCCCCTCGCACCATCGAAGAGGATGTTCACAAGGACCACAACCACGCCCAACCCAAGCCGAAGAACAAGAAGGGCGGCCACAATCACGACCTCAACATGCGCGGTGTTTTCCTCCACGTCATGGGCGATGCCCTTGGCAACATTGGTGTGATTGCCTCTGCCCTCATCATCTGGCTCACTGACTACGAATGGCGATTCTACGTCGACCCCGGCATTTCCCTCCTTATCACCGTGATCATTCTGATTTCCGCCATTCCCCTCTGCAAGGCCGCCTCGCGTATTCTCCTGCAAGCTGTGCCGCAGGGCATGAGCGTCGACCACATCAAGGAGGACATTGAAGGTCTTCCCGGTGTCATTGGCTCTCACCATCTCCACGTCTGGCAGCTCAGCGATACTAAGATTGTCGCATCCATTCACATCCAGGTGGACACCCAAATCAAGGGCGAAGGCTCGGAGCGCTACATGCGTCTTGCGCGTCAGATCCGCCGCTGCTTGCACGCATATGGCATCCACTCTTCCACCATCCAGCCCGAGTTTGCCCCAGATAGCGATATCGACGAGATCCAGAACGGCACTCTGCCTTCTTCGTCTTCTCGTGTGGTGAATACCGATGCCAACCACTCCAGCAGTGCTGGCAGTCTTCGTGACGGCGACCCTAAGGCTTGTCTTCTGGAATGCGATGACAATTGCGGCCGTGTTGGTCAATGCTGTCCTAAAAAAACCCCTTAATCTTTGATTCGATTCGATTCGATTCGATTTGATTTGACGTGAACCATCTCCCGGCCATTCAATATTTCGGCCTCGTTTGTTATTTTCTTATTTTTTATTTCTTTTCGGTTTAGGTTTGCCAACCTCCTAACAAATCCTCATAACCTCATCAACCCATCCTCATGTACGCTTCCGTTGTTCATACTCTATATCCTCGAACCGAACACTGTATTCTTCCCCCCCCCCAACACACACCCGCGCACGCACGCATTCTCTCTTTGTCTTATCACCATCTTTCATACTTCCATATCACACGGGAATCACAAGAATGACTCCCATTCGGCGGAATGGACCGCTCGGTAGAGCCGCTCGCATGGCATTGGATTTGGATTTGGGTCTCTTTCGGCCTCTAGTCTTAGTCGATTAGTCGACTATCATACATGTACTAGTACTATTACCTATCTTTAATCCACCCGCAAATCCGCCTGCATTTTTTGACACTGCACCCTGCTAATGTGCATCGGGATACTCAATACACTGCTCTAGATAGGATACAGGATCGGCCCCACCAATCCAGTCCAGTCCAGTCAAGGTCAGCTTAAGTGAGATGGGGTTTGGAGTACCCTGTGTTATTGAAATAAAACTGTCAACCTGCATTCTCGTGTATGTTTGTCAAATATATCAATTGTATACAATTGTATAGATTGTCTCAGCTATTTCCGTCGCAACCACGTGACCGCCGATCACCCCTGGCCAGCCTGGTCTGCCCTACAAGCAGTCAAGGTGGTTCCTCTTGTTATCATCCCATCCCATCACACCCCATCCTTGTTCAACTTGCCTTGGGGAATTCCTCTATTCCCTCACTCCAATTCCCCTTCCTTTTTCTTCTTCTCCTCTCTTTTCTTAAGACTATGCAGCGTCACTCCTTTCGCTAATTTATTACCCCCCCCATCCTTTCGAGGCCCGAGCCAACGACAAAGCCTTGCCAAGCCCCCGGCCGAACAATGAGCTACGCCTATTCTCGCAGCACGGGTGCTTCGTCCCTCCCTTCTTATAAAAGTCCTTCTCCGCAATCGCCGACCTTCATAGACCAGGCCTGGGGCCGGCTTCCAGGCGCAAAACAATGGGTGGAGGATGGGGTGGCCGCAATCGGGTCTCGAAGATCCCGCGAGCGTGGTGATGCTCAGAGCTCCGCGACTAGGATCTTCAGGCGGATTTTCACAGTCGCCAATGCTGTGATATTGGTCTGGGTATGGACGCTGTGGTGGGGAGAGCGTACGGTCTTTCAAGAGCATATCGATGCATGTGTTTGGGATAATTGGGAGCATTGGGTAGGTCATACAGAGCTTTGGAGCCATACATACAATGCACTCTACACTCTCCGACACTCAGTTACCAACTTGGTTCAATTTGCTTATTTTTTTTTCTTCACCACTAGTCTCAACATGCCACCCCGCATCATATCGCTTTTGTCGCCGATCCACAGCTCGTTGATCCCCACACCTACCCCGGTCGTCCGTGGCCACTGTCGACCCTCACCGTCAAATATACCGATCAATATATGCGCCGCTCCTTTGCATCCATACAAGAAAGTTTGGTACCTGATTCGGTCCTTTTTTTGGGAGATCTGTTTGATGGCGGTAGAGAATGGGCTACAAGGACGACGACCAGCCCCGAAGGTCGCTACAAAAAGATCGACGATACCTTTTGGAGGAAGGAATACCGGCGATTCGTGAAGATCTTCATAGACCCCTGGCTGAAGCAAGATATTGCCCCGGTCGATGGCCGAGGTCGCAAAATGATCGCCAGCCTACCAGGAAACCACGATTTAGGATTTGGCAATGGAGTTCTTGAACCCGTGCGTGATCGCTTTCAGAGCTACTTCGGCGACAGCAATCGCGTTGACGTGATTGGAAACCATACCTTTGTCTCGATCGATACTGTCTCACTCAGCGCAATGGATCAACCGGACCCTTTAACGGGTAGTTCAACGCCCAACCCAACCGACGACCCAAACTTCCGCCCGATCTGGAAAGACGCAGACGAATTTCTGGATAAGATGCCTACCAACAAGGCCAGGGCGGAGATGGAAGAACTCATGATGCTGCAGAACAAGTCCGACACTATCAACGTCAAGTTTGACCATCAAGTTGTTGATGCTACCGAAAGCTCTATTTTCCACAAGCCCAACCCCAAGTCAAAGGGATTTCCTACCATTCTTCTCACCCATGTGCCGCTATATCGCCAACCGGCTACTCCCTGCGGTCCCCTCCGGGAACGCCACCCTCCGTCCGCGCCAAATCTCGAACAAGACGAACCGAATTCGTTAAGTATCTCAGGGGGCTATCAATACCAAAACGTATTGACGCCGAAGATCTCAACCGAGCTCGTCTCAAAGGCCGGACCAAATGTTGTCCAAGTCTACTCCGGCGACGACCACGACTACTGCGAAGTCATCCACCGCGAATTCAACGGCTCCCCAAATGAAATCACAGTCAAAAGTCTATCCTGGGCAATGGGCGTCCGACGACCCGGCTTCGTCCTAACAAGTCTCTGGAACCCAATCGACCCTATAACCGGCGAATCTATGCAAAACGCCGCCCCCCCTCACAATTCAAAACCACCTCTGCATTCTCCCCGACCAACTCGGCATATTCATTCACTATCTCTGCGTCCTGCTCGTCAGCATCATCATTCTTTCCCTCAATTCCTTCTACCACATCAAATTTTCACCCGAGGACCCCTTCGCCTCAGCCTCAGCCTCCATCCTCCCCCCTCTCTGAACGTCGCTCCCACTCCCCGCGACACCAGTACCAACCCTCCGGTACGTCTAGTTCCACATTATCCTCCCAAGGTCTCGCCAGCCGCAATGGAATCCGCTACGCGGGTGGTCCTGCTGCCCCCGGCGCGAAAAATCCACCAGACGCTCATCGCGCTCTAGATCGCGAAGAGATGAAAGACAAACCCATGTTCCGCCCCGCTCAGGCTAAGGGCCTTCGTCAAACGGCTGCGGTTGTAGGTCGGGATGTAATGCAATCGGTTAAATATGTTGCGGCTGTCGTGCTGGGCATGTATTTCTTCTTGATCTGGCGCTGGTAGTCAGGTACCGCTTGTGGTGGCGTGGTGATTCACTTGAAGTTTTGTTGTTTTGTTTTGTGTGTGCGGTTTAGCGGGTGTGCATAGAAATACATAATAGACACGGCTTTTTCTTTGCTCTGATTTGATCTCATTGAATTCTTACTGTTGCCATGGACTCTGTACTCCATACTACTACTAGTAGTAGTAGATCCTCTTTGTCCCGAGTCGGCATAACTCGGCAAGGCCTCAAGAGTGAGGTCGAGTGCGAGGTATAAGAAGTATGCTTAATGCCAGCAGGGCCAGAGTAGTATAACTTAAAAGCGCTTCAGGAATGCTATTCTCATCGAATTTTGTATCCGCACGTCTTGGACGTATCTAAGAAAATAAAATGGACCCCGTTTGAAATTCATCTGGATTGATATCCGGGGACGGTGATCTACGGCCACACCTCAACACTACTCCATCCTCCGGAGACACTCAACACACGACACCCCGTATTCCTCGGCACACAGGCACACCTCGGGGTCCAAGCCCGAACCCGAGACACTCGGCCCCAAACGCACCCCGCAGGGCAGACGGCCGACTCCTATTGAAAGTTCGTATATCCCCGAGTCCGCTGCGCACTAATGCAGTTGATTCGCCGAGACCGGGAAATTCTCGGAGAGCCACCGGATAGCCCGTCCAATCCGCGCCACGGTACGGGGGGGCAAGTAAATGCCGCAGTTCAGTCTTTAGGCTTCAGCCAAGACTACAACACGGGCCGGGGTGCCACTTGCGTCTGCCATTGCGTCTGCACGACATGTCTGGATTTGAACATGATCCGAGTCTTGCCAGTGATCATGATCTGGTTTGTTCCCGACTGTTGTGCCTGGCTACGGGGTATGTGTGTTCTGGTACTATAGACTGTAATATTGGAAATAAATAACTATCTACTCCGTACAGACTCGGTGTACAACGTAGTACGAGCATCCCCTAAATGGCATCTGTCATGCAATGCAACAATCGAGGTGGTAAGAGGGAGAGGGAAGTGGATCCTAGAAAGAAAGCCTCGAACAAGGTTTCAGGGGGCCAAGCAAAAAATAAGCCAAACGCCACTTTCCACCAGTGCTTGTACCTCAATCAGGTCCCGGTGAGCAGTGAAACGCGACACAGGGGTCCATGGTCGTGGTAGCACACGTCAGTTCTGACTTTGCTGTCATGTTCATGTGTTGATCCCATCCCCAGCAGTTGATCGGTGAGCGTCTGGAGATTCTGGGGAGAAATCAGTTTGGCTGGGGTTGTGGAGGGCGAAAATCCGGAGAATCGATGGCCAATCGTGGAGAAGGCATTGCTAGTGAGTCTACGGAGTATGTAGTCGTGCCTTACTCTACTTTACTCCATCCGTGGTTTGATGCTGTCCCATGTCATACATCTCGTATTATACTATACAGAGCACTGAGTACATTTTCACGTAATTGATTCCTGCTGACAAGACACTGCCAAATTGCCCTAGTCCTAGAAATAGACCTCCTACTACGCCTGAACCAGCAAGGGATGTCCGTTTGTCTTTTCCGGAATCCGGCTCGCCGATCCATTCTTGGCCCGTTTGCGGGTTCCTCGGCGCCATATCAACTCTTTCTGTAATACACAAAATCAATCATTTCGCAGTTTCTTTCTGATCTTGGTCAAACAAGGGATAAAATAGAAACCCCAATGCCTTCCGCTCACGCGAGAAAATGACTTGACTCCGATTAAAGTGGCAATTCCCGCAACCAGCAGCCAGCCCGTGAAACACGGCCGGATGCCGATCGCATTCCTGTTTACCCTGACTCTCCCTCCCCTTCTCGAACAATTCCGGCCGACCACGGTTTAGGGCAGAGAGCTAATCTGCCTTCCCACCCAATAATTCCTCGGCGACGCCCGAGATCTCCACTCCGAAGCGTGGCCGCATTGGCTCGGTGGCCATGTCTTCTCCACACGCTTTCGCCATCCCCAACCTTGTTCCTCTCTCTCCATGCGTTGGAAAACATGGAGGGATGGGGCTACTGAGTCCCTACCTGCCTTCCTGTTTGCCTGCCTGCCTGTCTTGTCTCGCTTTGGCCGCAATGGATCACTACTGGGGAATTGCCCCCCCACACCCACCTCCCCGGGCCTAGAGCGGGTATCGTATGGTATTTTTTCTTTTCTGTTCTATGTAGGGTCCTGGTTTTGGGGGGGTTTCTTGGATGAAGGACTGCTGAGGCTGATCCTGCCCGGATTTTGCTGGCTCTTGGCCCTCGTGGTTTTGTTTGCGGGTGTGGAGTACAAGAAGCACTGTTCATCCTCTTATTTTTCTTTTCTTTCTTTTGAAGTTTGTTGTTTGTCTTCATTTTCCCCCACAGTTTTCTTTACTTCGTGACTGTGTTGATTCTACTACACACTATACTATCATCACCAGTTTGATCAGTTACTCCCGCCCTCAACTCATCACACGACCACCCTCACTATGGGTTTCGCTATCAAGAAGCCCGATGATGCCGTCGGCTCAGCGGCACCGGCCATCGTCATCGGTCTATTTGTTGCCTTTGGCGGTGTTCTGTTTGGGTATGTTGCTATTCCTCCTACTGTGAGACGAACAGGGCATCATATACTAACCTGCTGGCTTTCTTCAGATATGATACAGGTACCATCAGTGGTATCCTCGCCATGAAGTACTGGCGAGAGTTGTTCTCGACCGGCTACACAAACCCCAAGGATAATCTCCCCGATGTAACTAGTTCGCAGTCTAGTATGATCGTCAGTCTCCTCTCCGCAGGCACATTCTTCGGTGCCCTCTTTGCTGCCCCGATGGCCGACCACTTCGGTCGTCGCCTTGCCATGATCCTCAACACCTTCGTTTTTGTCTTCGGTGTTATTCTGCAAACTGCCGCTACCGCGATCCCTCTGTTCGTGGCTGGTCGTTTTTTCGCTGGTCTTGGTGTCGGTCTGCTGTCCGCCACCATCCCTCTCTACCAGTCCGAGACTGCTCCCAAGTGGATTCGTGGTACTATTGTCGGCGCCTACCAATTGGCCATCACTTTTGGCCTGCTGCTTGCTGCCATCGTCAACAATTCCACCAAGGAACGCAATGATACCGGCTGCTACCGGATCCCGGTTGCCATTCAATTTGCCTGGGCTATTATCCTAGTTGGTGGAATGATCGTTCTGCCCGAGACTCCTCGCTTCCTCATCAAGCAAGACAGGCATGAGGAGGCCGCCAAAGCCCTTGCACGTCTCCGCCGCGTCGACGTCAACGACTCCGCTGTCATCGAGGAGCTATCTGAGATCCAAGCAAACCACGAGTTCGAGCTTCGTCTCGGCAAGGCTACCTACTGGGAGATCGTCCGCGGCTCCCTTGGCAAGCGTCTCGCCACTGGTTGCGCAGTTCAAGCTCTGCAGCAGCTCGCCGGTGTCAACTTCATCTGTACGTGACCTCGCCTCACCCTCAATCAACACAATTAATATCCAAATGCTAACTATACTCCTCACAGTCTACTACGGCACCACCTTCTTCCAAAACTCCGGCATCCAAAACTCCTTCATCATCACCCTAATCACCAACATCATCAACGTCGTCTCAACCTTCCCAGGTCTCTACATGGTCGAGAAATGGGGTCGTCCCCCCCTCCTCATGTTCGGAGCCATCGGCATGTGCGTCTCGCAACTGATCGTCGCAATCGTCGGCACAGCCACCTCCTCCGACGTCTCCAACAAAGTCCTAATCGCCTTCGTCTGCATCTACATCTTCTTCTTCGCCAGTTCCTGGGGTCCCGTCGCCTGGGTCGTCACCGGTGAATTATATCCCCTCAAGGCCCGCGCCAAGTGTCTCTCCATCACGACCGCAACAAACTGGCTCCTGAACTGGGCCATCGCCTACGCGACACCTTACATGGTGAACGATGGACCCGGCAACGCAAACCTCCAGTCTAAGGTCTTCTTTATCTGGGGCGGTTTCTGCTTTATCTGCGCTATCTTTGTTTACACCTGTATCTATGAGACCAAGGGTCTTTCCCTGGAACAGGTCGATGAGCTTTACGCTAAGGTCCCTGTTGCGTGGAAGTCTGTTGGCTGGGTTCCTTCGGTGCATTATACTGATGTTCGTGATGTTGCGGGTGCCGCCAAGGCGGGTAATCTGGCCGACCTCGAGATGGAGGCTAATGAGAAGCGGAGTGGTGAACATGCTACTCACTTTGAGAGCATTGCTTCTAAGACTGAGGTTTAGATGTGTTATTACATATATGATTGTTTAAATTGTTTGCGCCCTTTTATTTAAGGGTGTTTTTTGGGCATTGTTTTCTGCTGTTTTTTTTGGCGGAATGACTCGTGGATATTAATGCGTTTTTTTCCGAGTCTATGGATAAATTGTTCGATATGGCATAAACTGGATATACGATTGATGGAATATATCTATTTTCTTTTTTCTATCTCATTTTTCTTTTCTCTTGTAGTTTGTATTGGTAGATCGAAGTAGTATTTTTTTACGGATCACTCATCAACAATTCTCAAATTCGGAATTGGAGAAATACGTGAAACCCTGCCATCAATAGGCAGAGACCTTGAACGGGAGTCAGTGCGTGATTTTATAGATTATTCCACGAGAGAAACCGAGTTGATCGAGCCAAGAGGCAAGAAGAATGCGGCAAATCTCACCGCTCTTACATGTCGTCCTATCGTCTCGGCTGGCTTTGATACAGATAATTCATCCCAGCATGATTGTTCCTATTATTTCTGATCAGAATGCCCGCTTTAAACTATTCATGTGGTATTTGTAACCACAAATTCTCAACCAAGAACCACCTCCGGCGCCACGAAGCATCGCGTCAGTATATCCGACCGAGGTCTTTTGCCAACCTCATCTAACGTCTATACTTAAGCAGATGCTCCACATTCTCGTGCACAATGCGAATTTTGCGGCCGAGGGTATTCGCGAAAGTATGTTGATTTTTCTAGATTCATAGAAATTGATATTGGTCATGGGCTTACTGCCACAGCGATGCTCTTCGGAGACATTACCAAAGTTGCCTTGAAATAGGATCACAGATACCTATGCTGAACAAGCCCGGCCGCCGACGAAAGGCTTGCGACAGCTGCGCGAAGAACCGAATTGTCTGTAACGGTGGCTTATCCTGCCATTCATGTCGGTCTCGAGGAACTCATTGTTCCTACACCCGGCTTGAAGCTCACCCGAGTTCGCCATCTGACTCACGACCAGATACTTGTCGTGTATCAACCAGGAGCCAAGCTAATCGGAATGGAGACAACGAGCCTGAATTCCCCACGCCAAAAATTTCTGTTCCATTCTTACTGAACTACTCGGCCACGAGCAACCGCCATCCGGGGGAGGTCAATAACGTCCTCACAGCACTTGCAACTGCAGAGTCCAAAGATAAGACGCGAGATCCGGCCGTTCCAAGTTTACTCTTAGAGAATGATAGACCGGACCTGTTCTTTGAAGAGTCATGGAATCTTTTTTTGGGATCTCACGAAGACCAAGCTCGCTGTGAAACACCTTTCTTGCCTCGTGGCTTGGAAGACGATAACGAGTGTAAAAGCGCAGCGTCCCGAGTTCTTCAATCCATCACTTCTCGCCATGCCGATGCTAGTCAAGATGCCTTGTACGACCGAGCGAAGAAATTCCTCACGAAAGAAAATATACATGACTTCGTCGTCGCTTACTTCGATGGCACGGTTCGTCCACGATCACGAATTGTCTTGAAATCCTTCTTCGACCTTTCCTCTACCTCTACACCTTTACTTTTGGCAATGCTATTGATGGGAGCTATTTGCGCAGGATCCAAGGACGCGAAGTGCAACGCTATAGAATACGCGAATAAGGCGGAGGTCATTGTATTTGACGATCCCTCATTTCAACGCCTTGTCTATCAAAAGCGAGAATCTAGACTTGATATGTTGGGGAAAAGTGATATTGAGATCATCCAAGCGGCAATTCTGATGATTCTCATCCAAATATCCAGTCCCGACTCAGAAAGCAGACGCCGTATCCGAATTCATCGCTACCCTGCTTTGGTATCCGTCGCGCGGGCTACTGGCCTCACGCAAATAAAGAATATTTGGCATGATTCCGCTATATTCAGTCATGAAGTATTTCTTGGAAACGAACTCAGCATTAGGTCCGTGAAAAAGATTTATGCTGACGAACAACCCAAATGCTGACCCGAATCAGGATGATGGCATCTATCGCCATGATCGATACGCACTTTATCATGTTTTTCAATAGCCCACCGCTCCTTTCTCCCTTCGAACTTGGCTTTGACCTTCCGGCCGAAGATGCCGGGGTAGATATCTCGGACACTTCGACCTGGGAGGAGTGGGTCACAAACCAAAGGAAGTATCAGCGACCTCCGCCTTTGAATCAATTTATCCAAGAGCTTCTATCCGACAACTGGGCTGGAAAGGAAGACACGAGCTTCCAGAATTTGAACGTATTTGCTCTGTTCATAGTTATATCAAGTACGACTCTCAATTTTACCCATAAGCAGGACTTGTATGACTTGAAGCTAACTGCCTAACCTAACTCCGCTCAAGAATTTCACCCCATTATATTCAATATGCGATCGAGCTTGCTTTGGCCGGATGATCAAGTCAGTCAAATTGAAAGAGCTCTTTCGCGTTGGTTAGAACTATGGGAAAATTTGAAGCCCCGCTTGACAGAAGACGAGATATATCGATCCGGTTTCATGATTCACGCACCGGATCTAGTAGTCTTTGCCAGACTCCTTCTTCAAACGCCGCTAGCCGAGGCCAACGATATTGCAAAAGACTCGATGGCCCATATACATGGGCTTTTAAAAGGGCCTTCGGGCTAATGAAGAAAGGAAATTTCCAAGATTTCGGAATCTCAAGGAGAGAGAAAATTAAGATACGCGAAGGTGGTGATATGGGATGAAGCTATTTGAGACTATCTACATTGGAACGCGGGATGGCACACTAATGCCTGAGCCATGAGGCGTCAGAACTGAATAGTCACTGGCTCACGGGAAATTCCATGTTCAAGAGGTCAAACAGCCCGGTTTATTCTATGATATCATTCACAGCGAAATCCATGTCAAAGCGAGCGATGCACTTGTACTGCATGCAAGAACCAACCACGTCACCCTTCCACTGCTGTGCTTCGTGAGGCACCGGCCAGTGTCCCAGATCAAATGCTTTATACCGTTGAATCCGTGCCATGTGAAAGGCATCGAGAGGACAAACTTCAGAGCTGCCTTCACAATGATTGGCAGAGATCCAAATGCGGTTACCACGGAAGTTGAGTCAAAGTGTATCCCCATCGCCGGAGCAGCCAGGTAGAACGTGAAACAAGCATACAGGCTTCCTGAGAGGAGAACCCCGGAAATTCGCTGCAAGGCCGAAGCCGATGAAACATAGTTCCATTTGTATATTGTCATGTGTGGTGATATAGGGCGGCGTAGTCGTTGGGCGATGAGAGGGCTCTGGGGTGTGGTTGTGGGTGCAATCTTATTCGTTGAGTTGCGCTTCCTTTGATAGATATTTAGTAATCCCACTCATTATTTTATTAACATATGGGGCAGCTAGCCTGTCACATACTGGAGATTCAAAACATTCAACCTTCGCATTTCCAGAAGCCTCATCTCGGGTCGTCGAAGGTACGTAGAAGCTATAGAAAACGAACGAACATTAGAAGCCGTTTCAAGGTGATATCTGACACCGTAGAACTTGCCAATTATCATTTTGTAAAAGGGGAGAAAAAGTAATCAAGAGTCCAATGCTATGAGACCATCAACAGAGACAAATATGACATTTAACTAGTAGACTCCGGCTATCCACCGGAAAATACCCACCGCTAGGGAAATATCCACAACAGCCCCCCCACGCCAACGTGATCTGGCATTGAGTAAATCTCCGCCTTTGATATTTAATTTACTGAATCGGAAGCTAGAGCAGCATGTGCTCTCCAGGAGCAATAGTTGAATCTCCTGGGACCGTTAACTGTCGTGCCCAGGGCCCTTCGCACTAGTTCCCAGGGAGAAGTGGATCCTATGAGTGCTATACGTTGATCCTAGGACCGTAGCGTAGACTCCTCGGATGCTGCCACTAGCCCCAGGAGACATAAGCTGCATGAATCTGCCCCATGCTATGTTACTCTTGGCTTCGCCCCAGGAATATGATGTCGCTACGTTCTTCTAAGAATCGCGGTTAGAAGGCTGTATCTGTCTAACCCTGATAAAAGATTCTTTCGACTCTTCATCCGCGGAGATAAGGCGATCCAGGATATGGCAGTCCAAGAGTGTCGTCTCAGCATGCTACTACTCCTATAGGTCATGGTAGACATGTATCATATAAGATAATAGTTTATCCGTATAATTTCCAAATAAGCATTGGGTTGAATCATTTTCCAACGGGTGATCCTCGCCGATCGATCTCTCTCAAATCTTGCGGAAATGAATCTGATTGATAAATTTCCGAACTCCTCATTTTCCGTCCGATCCAGGCTCTCCAGAATATATAGAACTCAAATATGCGAGGCGCTTGCTAGAAATCATTTTAGAAAGGAAAGAAACCGGCTAGTGCTCATAGCTCATATATAAAATAAACCAGAATGTTGCCTGTTTTGCTTTTATCCAGCTCGTTTCTTCCCATTCATTGATAGGAAACTTCTACCAAATCAGCCACCTCGCCAAATTCCATCTCAAACTTTCCACAGTTTACCTGCTGCTTAATCTTCCGATATAATGCCTTCAAAGCCTCGCGATCTTCGTCATCGCACTGTGGCCAACCCTCCTTCTCTGATGCCCACTTTGATGAAAAAGTTTGAGAGGGCCCTATACCGCCATCAAACGCCATGTACCGTTCTTGCATCAATACCGGCACAAGTTCCAGCTCTTTCTCAAAAGGTATCTCATACCCCAAATTCCCTGAGTTCCATGCCTCACTGTGACCAATTGCAAAACGACGGAGATGTGGAAGGCCTGTCTCAAATGAGGCAAAGTAGTCATTCCATCGGTGTGAATAATCGTAGTGCCAGGAATCGCTCAAGCGCTCACTAGCTTGAAATTTCATTTTGGATTTCGGTAGCGGACATTTGGCAAGCTGGGACTCGAGATCTAGGATTCTCACTCGGAATATAATCGGACAATCGTCAAGGTAAAGTTCTTGGAGTGTTGACGAGTGCGATAGGATCCAATCGAGTTGTTGGTCTTCGAAAAAGGAGAAGTTGCCCAGAGTAAGCGACTGCAAATTTGGGCAGTGAATCCCTTCGAGGCTGAGTTTGGGGTAGAATCCCCAGTAAAGGTTGGAGTACAGAGACAGCTTCCGAAGTGATCCCATGGTGGGTTTCAGCCAGATTGACGGCAGTATACGTGCGTGGAATTCTAGCACTTCATCTTTCTGTCAGATATTTCCCCAAATTAGCACGAACAACTATACATAAGCTTGAACAGACTGGAGTAGGTACGAACCTCGATTTCATTTTCAGGACACGCAGGTACAAACTCATGCATAACGTTCAGTCTTAGCGAACTGAGCTTGCTCAGTACTTGCTGGAAATCTGTGCTCAATGGTGTTATGTTATGCTGATTCTGAATCCCCAGTTCTTTTAAGGGTTGCTTTAAAGACACCAGCGCCGTACCCAACCATTTTATGATGGTTGCTCGGTCATCAACTGACTGGGAGGGTCCATGGCCAAAATCATCCTCGAATGAGCAGTATTGGTCGAAGCGCAGCACGACGCTTTCGAGATTCGGGAATTTCGGAAGCATAGGTAGGAGCTCCTTCCATTTGAAAGGTAGCTCAAGTTCTTCGTCATCTCCGTACTCCTGATGTACTACATATTAGCCAAATATTGAATATATGACAGTATTGTTCCATCTCAGTTTGACATCTCACTTACAGAGTCGACCTCGACAGTATTGAAGCGGATCTTGCGCACATGTCCTTTTAACTGCGGGTGGGCTACGATTGACTCGAAAGCCTCACAGCTTTTATCGTCGGTGTACAGTGAGAGCGTGGAGAACACATTCTTGGTTGCCAATGCGGATAGCATGTGGTTTGTTAGTCTTAGGGCCTTAAGGGTTTCCGTGTCCAAGAGAGATGTGATGATTGCAAGCAGCTCCGCGGGGAAATTGAATGATGCCATGTTCTTGGTTGCAGTAAAACTTTCGACTCTCTATCAGAAAAGGGCGTGTCAAATCTTCTTATCAAAGTTCGATTACGACATACTAGCCCCGATATGATTTTGTTGGCGCTGTTTTCTAGGCATCCTTAGGCAGAAGGGTGGCGGGGGTTAGCTTGTGGAAAATCCCACATGTCTCAACATTTTCAGATGTAGCCGAGTGACGCTAGGCCCGAACTGACATCTCAAGCCGCGGACCGAGAATATGGCCAAAAAAAGACCTAAGGACAGAGAGCAATAGACGTCTCAAAAGACTTTTAAAGTGATCTGATAGCCAAATCCTAAATATATTCCGGCCCGTCAGGGGGTTACCCGCATAGAAAAGTCTTGGCAAGGGGGGGGTTACGAGTTGATACGTAACCCCCCCCCCCCCCAACTAGATCACCCTTACTGCAAGTAGTTTTTCTTACCCTGACTGCAAGCAATTTCCTTCGTACGATTTACTCCAGATTTTCAGAAGTTTTAAGTTCACATGTAACCCATCGCCAGTTTGATTCGTGATTGGTGGTGGACCCGCGGGTTCATATGCGGCTTCTGTCCTAGCTCGGGAGGGAATCGAGACAGTAGTGCTTGAGGCAGAAAACTTCCCTCGATACCATATTGGGGAGAGTCTGCCGCCATCTGTACGTCATTTTCTGGATTTTGTAGAGCTGTATGATGGCTTCAATGCCCACTGATTCTTGCGGAAGGTTTGTACTTTGTATCACCCTCTCGTGCAGGTATTAGTTACTCTGACTGACGGAATACTAAATAGAACGGCGCAACATTCAAATTCAACTCTAAGCAACCAGGGTGTAAGTGCTGTTTCAATTCAGGGAACTGTTGATGCGGGTGGGAGGCTGTCGCAAGCAGAAGTGGACCGGTCGGTGGAGTTTTGCACGAAAGTGATTCCAAAGGTCGAGAGCGGGTATTTGGCGAATCTGGATAGTCGTTCCACGGCTGATTTTACCTCTAGAGGGGCGGCTGCCATATACTCGGGTAGCAGGCATTGTGATGAAGTTATGAAGAAAATGGTTCGCATGAATCGGGTTCTTGACTTGAATAGTTTTACTGCGGATCCTGTCAATGGAATGATGCCGAATGTTGAACGGGGCACACTAGGGCTTGTCAAGCAGGTGCCAGCGTGAATTATGGACATAGTATGGTAGGCAAGATTAATTTGACAGTTATGTTGATAATGGCCTAGTACTTAAGTTTAGGTGGCTCAACCCCCACAACCCTTACCCTTTATGAATCCAGTCTTCCGGTGTATAATATCTTTGGATAAGTACAAATATGAGCTATAGATATCTACCTAGGTACTAAAGTAGAATACTTTGCATTCAGACAATCACCTGCCAGTGTACACCCGGGCACCTGAGCCTGAGTTTCAAATTGATGGCCTTTTCACCGTGCAATATTTCAAAAATATACACTTGGAAATAGTCTCTGTAGTATTCGGAGGATCAAAATATCGAGGTATTTCCCGGCCTCTTATTTTCTGGGATGTTTCCAATGTTCTAGCATAGTAGTAGTAGTAGTAGTATCTGTAACTCTCTGTATTTCAAGTGCGTTTGTTTCTATTTAAAGATTTCTGCCTCAGGCAGCCACAAAATATACACCCGCCTTTCACGTGACCTAAACTCCCCGAAGCCGAGGGATTCCCCTAGCAAGTTCAACTTCCCCGCCAGGTTGTTGCACAGTTCAATTCGGAACTACCTGATCTCCTCATAGCAGGATGCACGATGTGTTCTAGCTTTTCAATGTCGGTTACTTGATCTCGCGCCCATGTCGGTCACAATTCCTCTGGAGACACTCGTTACTCCCTCTGCCGGGGGTACTCGAAGTAAACACATTCTCGAGACGACCCACAAGACGACATTCGATCGATATTCCTCTTTAAAATGCGGCAGCAAAGATGAGATATATGGGCAAGTCGAGTCGGGGGGGCCAGGTGACAGATGCTGAAAAGCACGGCCAGGACTGTCACATGGTTCTTCCAGGAGACTCAGGTAAACATCCTCTCTTTCCACCGCTACCGTCCTACTGCCCTCCGACACCAGCTCGAAAAATGTGGTACTATTTACGAAGGACTGTCTCGTTCTTTCTCTCGCTCGGGTTTTTGACCCTCATCTTCCTCGGCGCATTGACGTGTACTGCTGCCACGGCGGTATCCGACGCGATATCTCGACTGAAGGGCCACAAGAAACCTGCGGCAAGGGTCTTCGAAGCCGAGGAACATATTCGCAGATTGGCGCGAGCGGAGTCGGCCAGGAAGTGGGATATCCGGCAGCAGAAGAAGCATGTGGATGAAGAGCAAGGACCCCAAGAATGCCCACCACTGGAAGGAGGGAAAGATCAGATCATATGCGACGTCGCCTACTACGCCAGACGGGTCGGTCTCGATGTGGAATCTTTCCGGGTTCAAACCGAGGACGGCTTCATAATTAGCTTGTGGCATGTGTACAACCCTCAGGAGTATGCGGCGCTCTCTGCGGAGCAAAGGCGCGAACGTGGACCCTCGGTATTTGGCGAACAGAAAAAGTTTGATTCTCCACGCGCAAATTCTAATCGCCGATATCCCGTACTTCTGATTCATGGCCTTCTCCAAAGCTCCGGTACCTACTGCACCAATGATGATGACAGCCTTGCCTTCTATCTCTGCAAATCCGGTTACGATGTCTGGTTGGGAAATAACCGGTGTGGATTACACCCCGAACATACCAGCCTGTCGACTTCTGATCCGCGAATGTGGTCATGGGATATTCGACACCTCGGTACTCTCGACCTAGCAGCTCTGACCTCGCGTGTGCTCTACGAGACAGGCTTCGAAAAGCTTGGCCTAGTGTGTCACTCACAGGGAACGACCCAAACGTTTGTCGCCCTGGCGAAAGAACATCGCCCCGAACTTGGAGAGCGGTTATCAGTATTCTGTGCTCTTGCACCGGCTGCATATGCTGGGCCTCTCGTCAGTAAATCATATTTCCGCTTCATGTCGATCATGTCGCCAGATATGTTCCGCCTCTTCTTTGGAATCCATTCTTTCATCCCACTCATGATGACTGTACGCCGAGTTATCCACCCCAAAATATACGGAACGCTCGCTTATTGGGTATTTTCGTTCCTATTCGGCTGGTCCGATGCACGCTGGGAACGCGATCTTCGCCACCGCATGTTTCAATTCGCACCTGTATACGTCAGTGCAGAGACCATGCGGTGGTGGCTTGGAAGTGAAAGTTTTGCAAAGCATAGATGTATTCTATCGACGACGGATGAGATGGAAAACGATCGTCAATGTGGTAGGAAAACCGGCACTGACCACGGCGATGATCCCGCCGATGCCTGTCTTGGTGGCCCGCAAAATAATTATTGGTTCGGTCCCCAAGTTCCTCCATTTGCGTTATGGATTGGTGGTTCCGATTCCCTGGTGGATGGTCGGAAGCTTCTTGATCGGTTGCAATCTGACTCCGAGCCGCATGTGCGACTCGTTCATTCGAAGATCATTGATGAGTATGAACATCTTGATGTCTTGTGGGCTATGGACGCAATTGAGAAGGTGGGGAAGGAGGTTCGCCAGGTCCTTTGGACGACGATGCCCGAGGAAGCACGCAAGGTCTGCCGTGTTCCCCGTGACATCAACCAGACCCTTCTGGAAACGGAATAATGATCGTCAAGCTTGGATTTTGATTGAATATTGATATCACTCTCACTGAAAGCTGCCATGCGAATTCTTGTACATAAATAAAGAAACATTGAAAGGGCCTTCAGACTAGGGTACTTCTTCAACTTGACTGCCATTCGCATAATCCAATTTCTAGTACTTTAGTATGTAACCCTAACACGCAAGGAGCTCGAATGGCCAACGTTGTGCGAGAGCGATAGGTCATAAATGCCTGGCCGTGGTGCAATTCCATCTTGAAGGGACAATGTGGATTTTCTAGAAAGGACTCTTCGCCTTGTTCTACTTGCAAGGTTCGGAATGTCGATACAAATCTGCAGAGAAAGGGGAAGTCAGGCAAACGAGTCCGCTTGAATACCTGGGGGCCTTTGCCTTTGTGGACGAGCCGAGGACCAGGTCTCCGATTGATAGAAGCTATGTCAATCCGTGAGAACATGGCAGGTGTCCAAAGGTCTTGAAAATATTGCGGCATATGGCTTGTTACGATGCACCGGTGAATGGCACACCTGCTTGTACTGAACGCATTCAGATGAGCCAACATAAGGTCCACTGAAAGATATCCTAGCCTAGGCACCGGATTTGACCCTTGAACCTCCCCTAGCCGTGGCAGTGTGTTGGGAAGCGAGACCTAGACCTCGCGCATGTAAATTATGGGATCTTGAGCATATATTCCGGTAAGTAATGTCAGTGGGATGGTCACCAAAATAAGGACTCGACCTTAACCAAGGAGTGTTCATGCCCGAATAGGACGTCAAGGGCCCCTAGTTGGAATAATTTTGAGTGCATCTGGCCATAGCGCATCCAGACACTTTCACAAGACTGTCCCTGGGCATCATATCCATGGCATTACTGGTATCCGTAGACAATGTTTTGTTTCCCTTAGATAGCTCGATGGTATGGTACGCCCAGGTCTTTGCTAGACCGGTAGTCTTTCCTGCTAGTTGGCAACGACATCGGGAAGTATTTGCACCGAGTAAACTTGTCGAGCTTTATTGCTGATTATTCTTTGACGAGATCCGACCGTGGCAATCAGCGAGGATCTTCTGGCACCGACGGGAGAGCCCGAAAGCAGTTCATCAAAGGTGAAAGCTTCAACTTGGGCAATTATGCGACCGGCGAGTCGTGTTGATAAGCTCTAACGTCTCCATTCACATGCCTGATGCACAAAGGTGAGCCCCATTTGTAACGAGGGTTATTCGGTTCGATTTGGAGAGGGAGGAGGGCGGGTAGTAGGGGGAGGGGAGATATTGAGTGGCGAGGTTCTCCCTGGGTGTCATTCAGGAAACGTTGAGAGGGCAAAAGCGACCGAATCGAAGGGGCTGGCCATCAAATGACGGTCGCAAAGTAGCATTCCATAGACTAGCGTGTCCTTGGAACCTATAGTATAGTGTTAGCAGGCTTCAAATCAGCTAGAACTGGCTCTGATGGAATCAAATGGATGCTAGGACACTCTGTCTCACCGGGATTTGCCCCTCTATCGTGAATCAAATAAGCCAAGCGTGAGGGTGGAGTCATTTACCCCGGATTGGATCCATCGCCCCAGATTTCCGCTGTGGGCCCAACCCGCACTGCCTCTCCACACTGTCGATATGCCCACAACCTGAAGAATGCACCCTGGAACAACATCAAAGAGACATCGTTTAGAAGGAAAGGTCTTGCTGGTACTTATTAAATGCCAAATCAGACCATACCTTAATCTAAAAATTAAGCTTGTCTCCCCCGGTGGTATGATTCCAGGGGAAGCAACCTATGGCCACGGAGGGGAATCGCTTGGGCGTCAAGTCGCTGAATCATGATGCACACGAGTTGGGCAATCAAGGATGGTGCTGCATATCTGGACCAATCGTTTGTCGATGTACTCGGTACGTTATGTGAGAGATGATGTGGAGGGGGAGGGTGGGTTACTCTGGACGGCATCAGCCCATCCCTGAAGATGTACCTCTTTGAATTTCCCACTCATCTTCCTCGATTATTCAATGCCTGAGGAGAGAAATGTATAAGAACCCCATGATATAATTGCATGATAGCCCGCATAGTGTCTTTTCCCTCGATTGTCTACAACTCTGGGATAAATCTATGATCTGGATTGACCTCATCGTTGACTTCGCTGGCTGAAACTCTCGCGACCATCGCCACCTGGAGTACAGGGATGCCCCGGATGTCACCCCCCGCCACTGTTAACCCTGTAAACCTTGTGAACCCCGCATTCAGCTGTCATCTGATCTGTGCTATATAAGCTGTAGTGGGTTGGAAAACTAACTCTTTCTCTCCGTCTCATCATCAACCTCTCCACTCTACACGTCCATATCCATCGGTCTCATCTCAAATTATCAAATTTCCATCATAAACCAACACCTACAACCGACAAGATGTCTGCTCCTGTTGGTCCTCTTCTTGCCTCGCTCAGAACCCTCCCAGAGCGTTCTCGCCAGGGTGTGAACAACCTTCGCCAAAGGCTTTTCCAGCAGGGTATGTCTTATTCCAAAACGTCTCCATCATCACGCTCAGGTCACGATAACTAACAGAACCTAGGTGAGAAACCCAAGAAGGAAGGTCACTTCCTGCGAACCTCTTTCAGTGTTCACCGTCCTGTTTGGATCACCGCTGCCGGTGGCGCGTACACAAGTGTGGCAGCCGTGCTTCTCACCATGCGATACCTCAGACGCGCCGTTCGATAAACATGACTGTCGAACGTGCTGCCCTGCCCCTCATCACCACAACACTTACTTTCACGCTACATACCCTTTCATTCACGACTTTCTTTCTTTTATCTCACACGACTACTACTCACGCACCCTACTGGTTATGGATTCGAATCAGAGGATGCTAGTCGGTTCTTTCTTTTGTTTAACCATGTCCGGTCAACTTGTATCGCCATAGATTGGCACAGACTCGGATTGGAGTTAAGGGCTACTTTACCCTGAATACAAATACAACTATTTTGATTAAGCATATTCCTCTAAACTGATGCATCAGTAATGATGACATGATTGTGGGGTATTCAATAAACATCACGTAGCAACGCAGTAATTTCCAAAGCCAAGAATGTACATCGCTACAGTCATAATAAGAGCCTGATTGAGTCTTTCCCCTCGAGGCAGTCGATAGTTAGTGGTATGCTTGCGTCATGTTTGAAATCGCAGTGCGTATTTCGAATATTCGCTATCCTCGGCCTTTGTTTCTTGTTCGTCAATAACTATGTACATCATGCTACATACACATAATCAGCCCATCTTGACGAATCTAAGTCCACTCGGAGCCCAGACTTGCATCTAAGACTAGCTGAAACGAAAACATCAAGGGGGAATGCGAGCCAGGTCCTCGATAGCCCCGTGGCAGTGTAACAAAGTACCCCTAGTCTTGAAAGAAGTCGGTGCAGAACCCGCCCCGCCCCCAGCGCTTCCAGACTAGGCATCTTCGCAGACGACCTATCACACCACGCTTCTTACTCAGGGCGTCGTCATTACTGTCAAGCGATGATCTCATGAGTCTAGCGCTTGCCCAAGAAGGCTGTATTCATTGTGTTGGAAAGACACTAGCACCTTGGCAACCCCGCACTGTGCGATCGTATATTATTGGCCTTTATCACGGATGAGTCTGGCAAATCGAATGACTCCGGGGATATTACAGTATTTAAAAGGAGAAGGGTTACAATGAAAGGGGTGCTCTTCTGAGATGCAGTGTGGGAGGGGTCTGAGCGCAGGGCGGAGAGATGCTTTCGTCACCTTGCGGTCACTTTGGGGGTTAATTTGGGCGACTGACAGATCTGGAATGGGGGTTATTGGAGGTTAATTTTCATTATTGTACTAGCACATCTAATGCTTTGGCTGGGTGAAAATACAATATTAGCCTCAAGGTCCTCACTATTGTGACGCACAAGGCCGAGGTTTAGAGGCAAGCTTAAAACAATGACAGGAGTTACTAGTATTCCCTGGTAGCTGTGTGAGCAGGAGCTTAGACATTGTATTGTTCAATCGTACTATCGTCGTGACGTTGAAGAACGTATCAATTCTACCGTGACAAAATTGCAAGTTTTCGTATGATCAAGATATACACAATCGTGTGCTGTGTGGTGCCATATAAATGATCGCCAAGAAAGCAATTTATCAATACAATTGTTCTTACTATTGAAATAGATATATTGCGTGTCCCAGAATAGTAGGAGGCTACGGCAAGAATCTCAACATAACTCTGTCCTCTAATTCAGTCCATAATGGAGTCCAGTTTCGGGTTGGAGAGGAACTTCGTGAAATCAACAGGTACTATCATAATTTCCATGGACAAAACGTCATTCTCTTCAAGTTGTTAGTGGCATATTCTATTGCAAAATTATCTTGATTTTCGATATTTTATTGGTAATGGCGACTCCAAGATTTCAGGCTATCGCAAAGGTCGCCCACTTCATCGATAGTTAACTGGTGGATTCCAAGTACGTACTAGTACATATGTGACTAGAGTGGAACCAAGTGATTATAAATAACTTGAAAATGACCCATGAGGGTACTTAACGAGCGCAGCGGAGTTGCTCAAAGACACTATGTCTGTTGCAAGAATAGAACAACTTGGCTACATCTTTAGCTTTGCCTACGGATGCTTGTTTTGAGTGACTTTTAGACTGATCGCAAGTCAACTTGCTAACAAGTAAATTTCTAGAGATAGCCTTGCGATTCAATTAATTCGCATTCTGCATTTATTGCACTTCTTACTAAACACAACTCAACTCAGGGTTCGGAGCCGTGATTAATTTCCCACCTCAGCTCCAGCCTTGCGACCGGCATGATATGCAGCCAAGTCTTCCACCTTGACTATACAACCCGTTGCCAAGCTATCCATTTTTGCGTTCACTCTAAAGGGCATGCCGTCTATGCATAGAGGTGGTTTGTCAAGCGATTCGATGATCACACTAGATTGGATTTAGAAAAACCCCCTCTTGTCTCCGAAGCCTTAATTCGCGATCCAGTTTTTCTAAATATCAGCGATCGAAGTTTTCCATATCCCCATAATGAAATGGGCGAAGAGAATGATCCTTTATAGTTGAAGGAAAGATGGAATGGTAATTTTGGGCCTTCTTCTAATCCTCTACTATTTGAGTAGTATAGTGCGACAGGGCTGAGATGTTGTTGAGCTCAGTGAGGGGTTGCGGGATCTCCGGGACGCCATCTTCTAAATTTATCTCCCGGGGGCTATCTGGATGCAACATATGCCCCTCTTCATGTAAAGCTCTTATTATATCCATTCCTCAACAAGCTAGAAAGAACGTTCTCAAGAATCGACCCATACGGCAACATCTTTAAGTGGTGGACATAATTTCTTTTCAACTAGACCCTCAAGCCACCTTCCAGTTCAGTTCCCAAGAGTAGTCGATCCGGCTAAACTCGTCAGTGTTTTTGATGTCAAAGCGTTTTCTATAGGGCTGTATTATATGATATTCCCCTCATGCGGAGAGGGGCACGTGGATACTGAGAAGACGCAAGTGAGGGACCGGGGGACCTTCGAAGCATGTCGCTAAGCCTGTGCTGTCCCACTTAAGATACCCGAGAAGGCTAGCTAAGCAGTTGCTTGATTGCCTGCGGCTGTAATTGGATGTCTTGGCTGGCATTCAAATCTTGCTTGTAAGTTGCGATTTCTATACATAAGTACCTTACGCCGCTAAACTGACGGCTTTTCTACGTTTCTGACGAATTGGTAGATCTTCATGAGATTCGTACTCGAGAATTCAATAATCACCGGACAACTCCTTTCTTCCGACTAATTGTGTCATGGAGCGAGCTGCGTTAAGACTGATTCTCAATTTGAAGTGCCATTTATTGGACCGGATTCCACGGTACCTGGTGGGTCCTACTGTTGACTTTGATCGAGGACCCATTTTTAGAGCCACGTCATTTGCGGGCCAAATGATTAAGCTAACCTCTTCCTCGTCACAAGCGGTGGCTCTACTCCGGCTTTGATCAATCACAGATCAGTATTCCGAAACACCAAAGTTCCTGGTTAGCGGAATGGGAATAATTGTTTCTGACAATCATACCAGCTGCACGAGCAAGCTGCGTAGAACAGATTATGGATGCAGGCTTCAGAGTTGAAGTGCAGCTAAACTGGAAAGTTCCGTTTTCGTCAATTCTGGCCGACTATCCTGACTGTTATACTTGGTAGCAAAGATACTACTGTCTACTTCCCTATGACATGGACAATGTCTTAAAGTGGGGATAAATGCACGGGCAAAGATACTATCCCCGATTCATAGAATCTCCGGTCTATACCCCTGCTCCTTATTCTGCTCTATTCTTATTGTGTCCTAGTCGAGAGGAGCTATGGACCTACTGGATGCTTCCTGAAGCCTAGATTTATCACGCGGTCCCCTCACGAGGGGAACTTGATGAATCTCCAAAAAACTTGTACTGTTAGTAGGTTTGGATTTGGATGAGGGGACGCAGATCCGTATAGCCATGGGTTTGCCCTGGGTGGAGTCTTTTGTGCTGGGAATCAAATATATAAAAGCCGGCATAACCCAGTGTCTTTCCATTCATTTATAATCTACGGACTTCTCATCAATTAAAACAGGCTGCGAAACTCCAGCCTGCGGTTCTGCCAACATGAAGCTCCAAGTTTCGTCTTCTGTTGCTTCTCTGCTTATATTCCTTCTTCCACTATCTGATGCATTCCCTGCACGCCGAGCAGATGAATCAGCGAGCAACCCTGGCTTGAAAGGGTCAAAGACCTTGATCGGGTACTCACCTTCTGAAAAGGTCGGCAGCACAACGACTCCCGACATCAAGTACAGCCTCCTCCCTGGACAAACCAATGATCCTGACATCGGCACTTGGCTCGACTTCTCGAAAGTTGATAACCCCCAGCCAATTCGGGGAGATACAGGGGGAGACGATCCTGGTCCACGTGAGTGATGAAGCCGCTAACTTGAAATATGACACTCATCATTTCCCAGGAAACTTGAACTACGATAGGATTCACAGTGACAAACTTGCTCCTCCTGGCACAGACCACGGAGCAACCATCAATGCGCAGTGGCCCATGGGTAGATTTCCCTCTGACAACAATGATAGCATATACTAATTCATGGAATAGGTCTCAGTCACAATCGGTTAGGATTTCTTGAAATTTCTATCAAATTTGGCAAAGCTAACTTTTTAGGCTTGGAATCGATAACGCTGGCTGGGCTCGCCAAGAAAATACGGTAGTGATGCCAGCTGCTACCGAGATGGGTGAGTAAACCTTTCTAGCTCGTTTGTATCTTAGCTCTCTAATCTTTTTTTTTTTTTTTGCAAAAGCCGGTGTCGATATGCGCCTGGAACCAGCTGCATACCGAGAACTCCATTGGCACGTCGCTAGTGAATGGTCTCTCATTTTGAATGGGTCTTGCCGGATCCAGGTATGCACTCTATCTTTTGAGATTGACTAAAAATGTGGATTAACTAACTTGGCAGGCTGTGAATGAAAATGGTGAGACTTTTGTCGATGACCTTACCGCGGGAGATGTCTGGTTCTTCCCACCGTAAGCCCTGAAAACCACGAGTCCAAAGACCATACATTGACCAATTTATTTCTAGCGGAATCCCTCATTCAATCCAAGCTTTGGATGATGGGGTCGAGTTCCTCCTTGTCTTTGACGATGGTGACTTCAATGAAGACAATACCTTCCTCGCCACCGAGGTCTTCCTTCATAGTCCCGTAGGTACCTGAAAGTCTAATTATTGGTCGACTCAACAAACTGACAACCCTTGCAGAAGGAAGTCCTGGCCAAGAACCTCGGAGTTGCGGTCGCTGATTTTGAAGATATTCCCGATGATGAACTCTATATTTTCAAGGGCACACCAGCACCTAAAGATATTGAGGAGCAAAACGTGACTACATCTTCCGGGGTTGTCCCTCGAACCAAAAGCTACTCGTACCACTTTTCCGAACAAGAACCTCATGAGGTCGCCGGAGGTTCCGTTAAGATTGTGGACCCATCAACCTTCCCCCTCGCCAGCAACTTCTCCGCGGCGATCGTCACTGTTCACCCTGGAGGTATGCGTGAGATCCATTGGCACCCGTCCAGCGACGAATGGACCTTTTTCATTAAAGGACAGGGCCGTGCAACCCTCTTCACTGCCCCAGAAGCCGCAAATACCTTCGACTTCATGGCAGGTGATGTTGGGTATTTTCCCCAGTCAAATAGTCACTATATCGAGAACACTGGGGAGGAGGATCTGGTATTCCTTGAAGTTTTGCAGGCGTCGGAGTTCACAGGTATGATCGATTCAACTCCTTTGGTGGGGTAAACTTGCTAATCGTTTTCCAGATGTTGCTCTCGGCCAATGGATTGCATCCACTCCCAAGCAGATCATCTCCGACACTCTGAAGTTGAGTGACAGCACACTAAGCAAGTTGAAGACTGAAAAACAATATGTTGTTGCTGGCTCGACTAGTAATGAATGAGGGATTTTGAGCCGGTGACTGAAGCATTCTGTATCTCCAATCGCAGATCACATCCTTTGTGCATATCTTCATACTTTATAGCAACAGAAAATAGTACTCCGTTCGAAATAAACAATCATTGTTGTAGCGACATTAACTTCAAGTTGACAATTCAATCTCGTCTTGAGATAAAAGGTTGATAGGAAAAAGTGAGGTTTTAGAAGTGAATAGTATTGTTTGTATATTATATAAACAACCTGAAGAGAAGAAGGCATTGTCATCCATGGATGTAATAAACAAATAAAATCGATCGAGTACAAAAGGCACCACCCCTGCTCCACGTAGCTTTCTTCAAAGTCTCATCTCAAACCTTATAAGGAGGAGGGAGATCTTCCGAGCGATCAGAATCCTCACTTTCAGCGCTCTCGGCTGAATCAATTCGATCCAAATCGTGAACTGGTAGCGGGCCCTTTGATTTAGAATCGAGCTCCGGTACAGCAGGTATGTTTGAAGATGGCCCGGCAGCACGACTCGACTGTAGACGCAAACGTTAGCACGACGTAGAGAAATGAGATATAAAAAAGGAATACCCACACTGGCAGTGAGACGTGGATCGTCTTTTCGAATCGCGACGGGTTCTTTATCTCCAATCTTCCCGATAAGCTGGCCCCTTTTCCACACTCCAAACTTGAGAACCATGCCCTCGAAAGAGGATCGAGAAATTATACAATCCTCCACATCGCAATCCTTGACTTTCGCCCTTCGAAGTTGACTGTGTGAGATGGTCGATCCTGTCACAGCACTGGTCGTGATGGTACTCGCATCTCGGACCGTAGAAGTTTTGATGGTACTTCGATGTGCGGAGCTCTTTTCAAGAAGGGTACTTTCTGTTACCTCACTGCGCTTAACCGAAGTCACGCCGTGGAAGTGAGACTTCTTCCCTGTTGAGCGAGACGCTGAGCGCACCTGCACCAAAACGCAGTCGTCAAAGGTGCTACGCTTCACGTAGGAGCTAGTAACGGCACAGTTGCGCAGATTGCTGCGCGTGATAGTATTATCATCGTTAGTTGTAATATTGCCGCCAAATTGGGTTGCATGTTGAGAGTTGTTATCCATCATGATCTGTTCACCTCTGAGAGTAGTTGTTGCTGTTGTTCAAAGTCTGCGCTTGATCAATGCCGAAAATCGAAGGTCAGAGGAATGCGGACAGGACATATGGGTGTGGGGCTGAGAATACGAGAAGCTTGCCAATGTGGTGGAACTCGGCTGCCTGGACTCTCGTTCAGCTCGGCAGGACTGGCCCTCGTTATCCCCGACGAAGTTAATTTGCGCCGGTCTTGAGGAGGGGAATGACTGAACAGAGGGAAATATGAGTGGTTACTGATAGTTCGGAGGTGGTGCAGGGAGGCGGGGAGAAATGGATGATATCGTCAGCAGCCTTGTTGCCTGAGGCCGCTTTACGATCAATTTCCTAACAGCAACTTTTACATTCTATAATGGCGATCGCATCTGGAAGCGATCGATTTCCCATTTTATACCAGGAACGGGGTTGTAGAGGAAAAATACTATCAAATTTAGGCTACAAGGGAACGATCTAGCGTCGCGTCTGCTACAGTGGTGTTGCAAAAGTTTTTGGGACATTGAAAACACCCGGAGATAGTATCATGATGGTCTGGTGCACATTCTGAGCGCGCAGGGTCTTGGAAGACTTATGGATGTATTTTGAAGCTCTTAGTAACAGGTCTTTCCGGGGTATATCAATATTCTAACACTACTAGTACAAACTATACAACCTTGGAAGATTCTTTTGCCAGGTATCGCACAATAAAAACAGATGCAAGACGCTAAGAAAGAATATTTTTACAGCTCATCAGTCCCATAAATTCGTGCATATCCTGAACGGGTCATGACTCATGACTTAATCGAGGACTTGCGCCGTGGCAAGTTCTGCAGCATCTGTTTAAGCTGTTTCAGAGGAGTGGGCTTCGTCAGAAATTCGTTTACTCCGCTGATCGCTGCCTCCTGTTGCGTCTCGGCGGATAGGAACGCAGTCAAAATAATAATGGTGGTCGGCTCCAATTCGCACATCTTCTCGAAATGGCGCATTTCGCGAGTTGCCGAAAGTCCGTCCATGATGGGCATCGATATGTCTAGGCAAGAGTTAGGAGAAACTTGAAGCGGCAGAGCTAGCTCTTGCGGTAAAATACCCATAATAACTGCATCAAATCTCTCGGCCTTGTACTTGTTCAACGCTTCAAGGCCATTGACTGTGGTTTTATAAGGGAGTTTCGCGTTCTTGACGCATGCCTCGATGATCTGAACATACTATTATTAGCCTTATTCAAACCGGTCATATGGTCCATGCGTACCTTCAGATTCACTGGGTTATCTTCGACGAGAAGCACATTCGGTCTATCATTTGGGAGGGTGCCAACATCATCATCCTTGCGGGCTTTATCCATTTCTGAGCCCGTCGAACCCAAGTTGTTGAGGCTCATTCCATAGATTTGTTGAATCTCGTGACTCTCAACAAGCGGTGGAGATATAGCATTTTCATCGAACTCAATTCCTTCATTGTCGAGGCAATAATTGAAGACCTTTTTTAAGGTCTTGGGACACACTCTGGTGTAGATATAATGTTAGCCTCATCGAATAAATCACGCAAGACGTCGTCGTCACTTACGGCTGTGAGAGGAAAATCGCCCGATCTTGTGAATTCTCTTTCACCACTTTCCAGTTACCTGTATGACCACTCAACACTATCAACGGGTATGCGTGCTGGGGTTCCATTGACTGTCGGATGTCGGAATTCTCAGGGCTATGAGCAAATTGCCGATATTCATGTTCAGTAACAATTAAGAAATCGGGGCGATTTTGCTGCAGCTCGCTATTGTCGAGCACTTCCAGGTCGAACCAGTCTTGCACCATCCGAGTCAAACTAGATTTGATATCACTAAACACTTGCTGCTTGATACCAAGATCACCTCGCTCAAAGCTTTTGGTGAAGAATGAGACGCTCTTTCCTTTCAGGCGTTTTTGCAGGTCAAGGAACGGACACATTGACGTGGGAATCGACTCGGCTCCAGAAATGGGAAGGACAACGTCAACTTCGGTTCCTTCGCCAATTTTGCTCCGAATCTCAATTTTTCCATTGAGTGATTTGACAATCTGGTGTACAAGACTCAGACCCACTCCAAGACCTGGTGATTGATTATCCTCTTGGATGAAGGGAGTGTAGAGACCGTGAAGCAGATAATCCTGCGACATGCCCCGTCCAGAATCAGTAATAGTGATGCGGACAGCTGGCACTAGGCTTTCACCATGTAAGCTAATCGTATCCTTTTTCATGAAGAGACTGACGTAGCCCGCCTCGGTATATTTCAGGGCATTTCCGAACAAATTCATGACTATCCGGCGCCATGCCGCGCTATAGACTGAGTAATGCCAGTTTTCTTGCCACTCTATATCAACTACCGTCAGCAGTCGAGGTCGATCGTCTCCATTCTCAGACACTTGAGAACATTTGCGGTATCGTTTCCGTGATTCGGGTGCATAATTCTCCTCTCTGTCTAGAAAGTCTCGTCCGGCAATTAAGCCTTCGGCAACTTCTTGCACCAGAGAGCTGAGGTTTTGGTCTTGTGTGGCACCAGGAACTGTTGCTTTTGCTTTCGAACGGTTTGTTTTCCCATCTTCTCCGCCACTGCCCCGGGGCTGCGTTAGAGTATTTATTTTGGCGTAGTCAAACAGGTGATTGAGTGTATCAAGCAATGTCCGACCACAGCTGTGGACTGTTTCGACAAGCCCCCTTTGGGTGTACGTGTTGACCGAATCCCGTAATAACTCGGCGGTACCGAGCACACCGTGCAGTGGAGAGCGTAGTTCGTGCGAGATAGACGATATGAAAGCCCCTTTTGCTCGATCGGCAGCTTCCAAATCCGTTTTAGACACCTCGGCCATCACGCTGTTGCTAAAAGCAGCCATGTATGTCAGGTCCTTTGGTTCTGATAAAACTCGGCCAGGGTCATTAGACCAAATCAGGTTCACGGTAAACCATCGACTTCGCTGGAAGTCCCAAACCGGATAGATACCAATACATCTGGCGTCGGGCAACGCCCTGTGGAGGTACTTGATGTCCATGGTTTCTTGGCGGATATCCTTTTCTCTAGTGGATCCTTCGACAACCTTCTTTCCACCGACGTAATGGGCCTGGCTCATATCATCTGCCAAGCCCTCATAGCTCGCTGCGATAGTTCCATCATCCTCGATGTGAAAGATTTTCCCGCGAGGATACCTTTCAATGAGATGGCTAATGAAGGCACCTGGCAAAGAAAAATAGTGTCGTGCTTGTTGATCAATTTCATCACTCGAGGCTGATGACGATGTCGAATACCCCAAGACTAAACTCTTAGGCCCTGAATTCTCGGCTCCCATGGATTCCCAATGGGTTTGCGTCTCATATTCGATCTCGAAATCACTGGGGTCGCTCTCGCTTTTCCCATCTGGGGGACCAATCATCTGACGTCGAGCATACACACTTGCATCAAGAAACATAACCCCTTCCACGTCTAACGCCTGATTCATCAAGCACGAAGCCCTGTCAAGTACGTGTTGGACGCTGAATGGAGCTAGCTTCTCCTGCAGCTGGCTTGTGGTGGGCGAGAGAGGCGGTCGCTGCTCGTTTTCCCCCTTCTCCTTTGATACTCTCAGCTTGCTCTCGTCGCATTCGAATTTCTGAATAGGCGATCGACTCCGACTGCTTTGCGCGACTTTTTCTGCAACTCCTCCCTTCTCGTTTTTCCCCTGGCCAATGGAATTACTATTAGCATAATCAGGCGGGTATGCTTCTAACGCCGACTCTTCTGGGATTTTGGAGATGGCGTCTGAGAGCTGAAAGCTTTCTAGCTTTCGGTTGATCTCGGCAAGCTGATTGCCGGCCTTGTTCTCGACATGATCGCGACTGTCAATTCCTTCGGCAAGATCTGATTTCCCTTGCACGAATAACCCGAGTGCTCTGATCATTCTTTCTTCGCGATCTTCCTCGCGCATAGCTCTCTGCGATATGAGGTGATCCATGATGGTTAGACTGAGTTCCTGTAAGAACTGTGTTTGCTCCTCGGTCATGGCTACTCGTGGCTCATCGTCCAAAACAGCAATGCTCCCGATCACATAGTCGCCGGGTGATATTATGGGGACGGAGACATAAAAACGATTATGAGGCGGGCCAGTAACAGATGCATCGGACTGAAATCGGTGATCTTGGGTGAGGTTGGGGACAGCAAAATATTCAACCTCTCCCTTCGTTGCAAACGTCTGCATCGCCACATTGCACATTGTGATACTTTCTCGTGGAAGCTGTTGAACGCCTCGCCAAAGACTCTTGTCATCATTCTTGGCGCCACGAAGACTAAGTCGAGGAGTTGCTTCGGCGACAACATGCTGAGTAGTCCGATCGAAAAGCGAAATGAGAGCTCTTTTCGCATTCAAGCGTAAGCTTGCCAATTGTGCGAATACTGTCAGAACATTGTCGCGCGATGCATTCGGCCCATTGCCGGATGACTCTTGAGCAAACTTTTCCGATGTCGAGTAGCCCCAGTACGGGAGGTACCTTTTGCAATTGGTGAGTCACAGTAAAAATAAAAAAGACAAGACTAGGGAATCATACAAGTGCATTTCCCGTTCTCGAGCGGCGTCGACATTATGGGCATATTTGCGTGGGCCACCAGGGCCTCTAGTCATGCTAGGGCTCATGGACTTGGAATTTGCAGATTTTGGGGGGAAATAATTGGAGGTTCGTGGTTTCGTTGCCATTTAGTGGTTTTTCGAGTGTAGAAATCATCCCTGTTGAGTGACAATAATTAGCCACCTAAAGTGGTGATGGTTAGTTTAAAGCTGAACGACAGCCATGGCGTCATAGTTTACACCGTTCAGATAAACTGGGGCACTTTGGTTTCGGGTAGACATTTTAGCGCGTGGACCGAGTGCCAGGGACGATTATGACCCGATCAGCCGGTTTGCTGCTCAGTTCAGTTTTTTCCCCAGACTTCCATCCCTGACGTCACGATCCACATTCCTCAAGTGGATCGTCTTTGGTGTGCGAAAGGTGCAAAGGTGTGAAAGACGCTTAAGCTATGACAACCTTGGAAGCCAGTCACTGGCCCGGACGTCTCGAATTACGTCGCTCGATAAGCGCAGGCAGTTAAGTAGTTGTATATGGGGGTATTTTACCGTGGCGTTGCAAAGGTTTTAAACCTCCTACTGCCCACCATTATTAACTCCCTTCTAATAGCAGACAAGTAGCTACCTGAGATGGAATAGAATGGCAACCCCAATCCATCTTAGGTGACTACTAGTCCGCCATTAGGAAGACGGAGACCAGGACGGTCAAAAAAGGGTTGGAAATTTTTGCTGTGCCACGTTACTATACCTCTAAACACCCCGATATGCAAGTACTAACCACCCTACCCTTATCTAGCGCCGTATCGAATGCATAGCCATCGGTCGCAGCCAAGACTACCCCATATACCGATCAATTTCATTTCCCAGGCGCGTAGGATTATAAAAGCGACCTGGGATGATCGTATGTCTCGCCAGTCATTCCATAGGGGATCCACCCCACAGTAGAGAAGTGTTGGTGTTAACAGTGTTGGTTACTGTTGGTTACAATGACATGCTCCAGCCCCATCTCTTCTGCCATCTGACCATTCTACACTGGCATGCATCACCCGGGATTCCCCGGCCACTCACCCAGATTGAAATCCATATTTCCACCAAGCATCTCTTTCGTTCCCCCCAGTATTGGATGGTCATAATCAAAGAAGCTTTTCAGGTGCAATAAGCATTGGGATTTCCACTCTCATTTTTGGAAAAATAACTTGAATTGTAACGGTTGTCGAAACTGACGACACAACGGAGCATAAAAAGAACAACATAAGATAATAGGAAAATTCCGCATGGCTTTTTGCTTTTCACTCCCTTTCAAACCGACCACTCGGTGATCTAGTGCCTGTGAGGATGCTCAGATACTCACAGAGATCAACGTACGGCGTAGCATACGAAGCAAAGGAAGCAGTAGCGGTTTGACGAAAGTAATAGCTTGAGGAGAATAAGAAGGAAGCTAGGATAGAAGGGTAGATACACAGGTGTATGGCGTGGATGTCTAGAGTGGTGCCGTAGGCATAAGGCATCCACGAATGGTAACAACACCAGTTCGTTACAGTGCCGACCAGAGATTATTCGAAACCCGCGCAGTCAATGCAATAACACTGACCTTGAAATCACAACTGCAAATACAATGAGCTCTGCCAGACTCAGACTAAAGTATGCTCTTCCAGTCGTTCCGATGGCAGTTTTATTCAAGTTTTTGATCTTTCACCTAGGCACGTTCATCGTCCACTCTAATTCCAAGACATTTCCAAGTTCGGAAGGGCTCTTCAACTTCAAGTTCTTCAAGTTCATATCTTAGGCGAGCGATTTGTATGTGGAGCGACCGTCTCCCATATAATTCACAAACTTGGAAATCTCTCAAAAATTAGTCGAATTTTCCGAGTCCTCCCGAGGCCAAAACACCCGAACCCTGCGATATATCTTGAAAGCCCCGTTCTGCGACTACTAGTATCCTTTTTTTTTTCGGAGTGTACCCAGTAAGCTTTAATGCATAGCCTTGGATATAGGCGCCTTTCTCAAAATTCCGATCTCCAGTTTAAGTCAGGCGAAGGATATTGACTTCGCATCCTATTAAAAAACCTTGGACTACCCAATTGGAAGTTACAATTGTTCCAAGGTTGTTTCCCATGCCGTCGGAAAATTTCAGTGGATTTCGGGCACTCGATGCATCAACTTTTCCCGCTGTTGATCCCTAAATGTAGTACACATAACCTTGCAGATCAACGTTTCAGACCCTTGGAAATTCCCCTAACCTTGCATTAAATCTTTTTAACATGAAAATTGATGAGTAGTTCAAAACGATTCTTATTACATAAAAATATAAAGTTAAAGGGCTGTGCTCCCTGAATAATGTACATCTGCTAGTGGGTCATCCATGAGTGGAGGGAATTATCTCTCTTCAAATTCCACATGGAGTACTATATACTGTTCGCTAGGCCAGCAAATTTACTTCTTGAGAGCGGCGCAACCAAGGGCCACGGTGCCACCCTGTAATCAGTCGGTTAGAATAGGTTGCTTAAACTACTGATTCGCTTTGGAAATCACGTACCAAAAGGTTAGCCTCAGTGCAGCACTGGGGCTCGGTGGTGCAGACGGAAGCCTCGTATGGGTCGCCTGGTACCGCATTAGCTATCGTTCTACTAGTAATATTGGTGATTCATCAGTACTTACAAAGCAGACCGATGGAGCCAACGATGTTGGCGGCATCAATGCCGAGGTCCTCCAGGATGGGATCCACGATGTGGTCCAACGGAGTGGTGAGGGTACCACAGCAAAGCAGTGGGCCAACACACTCCGAAGTCTCAGACTCGTTCTCGTGTTTGCTGCCTGCCAGAGCAGCAGCGGCGTCATGCACCTTTGTGTCGGTGGAATCGCCGCGGCGCATCACGTTGGAAGAGAGAGATCCTTCCATGGGAGTGGCGGCAACCACGCCGGCGCCGACGAGGGAGAGGACAGAGATCATAGAGAAACGCATCTTGATGTATAAGGATGACTGGGAGTTGAAATAGAGGTTCAAAGTTGGAAGTTTGTTTGAATGATGAAATTGAGAGTGAATCAAGCGTGATCTGATATCCTCAATGCGCGAGATGTTGTGCCCTTCTTATACCCTTCGCAAAAGCCCCTGTGCTTCATAGCCGGGCTCCTCAATTACCCCTATCCTCCGTCCTGAGTAGTAACCATGTACATTGACAGAACGTCTTATCAGTCACCTCGGATGTCTTAGGTTGTCATAGTGTGAGCTATAGACCAGGAGTTTCTATGACAAGAGTCAATCCCAGCGGACAAAAGAAAAAGCAAAAGTATAGATAGAGCATTGTCCACTCGGAGAGGCACCATTAGGAGTGTGTGGATCAAATAAATTTGAGAGTACGCAGGAACAATAGCGTCACCCGGTGGCAGAGCCAGGAATTCGCCCATAGATCAAGTCCGTGATCGACAACCGAGGCCGGCGATACCTGTGCTTGCCCTAAGCGACCTTCTCTTGGCCGTCGATCACTACTGGTCCAAGCGCGATCTTGGGGCAATTATGTTCGAGCATAAACTAAGAACTCCTGTCGGAGCCAATAGTTAGCGGGGCTTGCATTTCCATCGTTGTTCCTGGTGGTCGGATCGAAGGGTGTTCTTATCAGTGGAGCCGCATTCCGGGGGGGGCCGAATCCTGGTTTGGCGAGTCAAGTTAGTATCCAGTGATATCTATCGAATGGCCGTGCTAATGCCAAGAGGCTGATCCACTGCAAGGAACAGGGAGATTCCGGCGAACGAGCTTGTGGAGGTGCTCACAATTGATAAGGTGGACAAAAGCAAATCTGCACTGTCACCTCTTCATACCCACCTAGGGACAAAAATGGATGTATCGAGGAATTTGTCATGGGCGCGTAGTGCGGGAGGAAGATGGAATCGGAGGCGGAGTCACGTCCATCCGAGCAGCTGGTGATAAGCTTCCTTTCGTTGATTGCAGGAAAGAAGTCACTCCCGTACCGAGTTCAGCGAACAAGGAATCCCCGGGTCCGGAGCTGTGGTTCACTCAGATCGGCACTACATAGTGAATCTGTCGGGAGGCATTGGCAGTCTGTAGCCGAGTTCATTAATTGTAGTGGCTACGTCTATACCGGGGCCCCAGAAAGGGAGATGTGAAAATTGAATCATTTCACCCAGTCCAAATAGACACTTTCTAAGTCACCAATCATGCCAATCATCCTCTATTTCTTATATCTCTGAATCTACGAGTATTCTCAAGTATACTCGAGTATACTCGGAATGGGGCAAGATATGCACGTGACCTCCCGTGACTGTGGCTTGACCCGTGACTGTGGCTGGTAACTCCCGTCGTTGTTGTGGCTGTGGATGTGGCGGTGCCTCGCGACACAAAAACTTCCCGCAAATCCTCCCCCCACCAAGCCAAACCTCCTCCACCCATCTTCAATCGCTACAAAAATGGCTCCGACTTCGATTGCGGATCTCGTGGCCGCCCTCCCCTCGGAGGAATCCTGGGGCCCTGCCTCCTCCGCCGATAACATGCTGAACGGCGTCCCCTATGCCCCTTTCTCCAAGGGAGACAAGTTGGGCCGTATGGCCGACTGGACTGCTGAGTCTAAGGACCGTGAGCGCCAGGGTCGTCAGCAGTACAACCGCAACTTCAGAGGTATGTTTTGTTCTCCTCTATTTCTATTTTTTATGTTTTATTTTGTCTTGTTTTGGTTTTGGCCAATTTTTTCTTTGCTGGCTAGATGATCGACTTTGAGAACCCACACTAACTATTTTTCTTTCGTCAATAAAGACCAACAGGTCTATGGTGCCGGCTCCGGCAGTCTGTTCACCGTTGCCACTGCCGAGGACGAGTCCTCCTTCTCCGTCGTTGACAACACCCGCACCTCGACCAAGCGTACCTTCGGCCGTGGCGGTGGTACCGTTTTCCGTGGCCGTGGTGGCCAGCGTGGTGGTATGGGCCAGCGTGGTGGCCGCGGCGGTGCTTTCCAGCGTGCCGGTGGTGGTCGTGGCAATGACCGCTTCTACGACAACCGTGGTGGCCGTGGTGGTCGTGGCGGCGGCCGTCGTTTCGGCTGGAAGGACTACGACAAGCCCCAGCGCACCCGTGAGCCTTCGGTCAACATCCGCCCTGAGTGGCAGATGCTGGAGGAGGTGGACTTCACCCGTCTGTCCAAGCTGAACCTCGACGCCCCCGAGGGCGAGGACCTCGAGACCTACGGTTTCCTCCACTACTACGATCGCTCTTACGACAAGCCTCCCGTCAAGAACGCCGAGCGCAGAATCCAGGCCCTCGACCGCGCCGCTTACAATGTGACCACCTCCCAGGATCCCATCATCCACCAGCTGGCCGAGAAGAACGCCGCCACCGTCTTCGCTACCTCCGACATCCTCTCCATGCTCATGTGCGCCACCCGCTCCGTCTACTCCTGGGACATTGTCATTGTCCACCAGGGCGACAAGATCTACCTTGACAAGCGCAACGGCGCCTCCTCGACCTGGTCACCGTCAACGAGAACGCCTACGACGCCCCTCTCGAGGTCTCCGAGACCTCCGCCAAGCACGACCAGATCAACACCCCCTCCGCCCTGGCCATGGAGGCTACTTTCATCAACCACAACTTCGCCCTGCAGACCGTCACCGAGAACGACGAGGCCAAGGTCTCCTTCGCTCAACCCAACCCCTTCTACAACGAGGCCGAGGAGACCGAGCCCCTCGCCTCCAAGGGCTACAAGTACCGCAAGTTCAACCTCGGTCTCGAGCGCGACGAGGAACCCCTCCAGATGGTCGTCCGTACCGAAGTCGACGCCGTCATGAAGAACCCCACCGGCGGCGCGGACCAACAACTCATCGTCAAGGCCCTGAACGAGTTCGACAACAAGGCCCCCGGCTCCGGCAACGCCCTGGACTGGCGCTCCAAGCTCGTCTCCCAGCGCGGTGCTGTCCTCGCCACCGAGATGAAGAACAACTCCTGCAAGCTCGCCCGCTGGACCACCCAGGCTATCCTGGCCCAGGCCGACGGCATGAAGCTCGGATTCGTGTCTCGCGCCAACCCCCGCTCCGCTGCTGGTCACGTCGTTCTTGGCGTCGTCGGCTACAAGCCTAAAGAGTTCGCTACCCAGATGAACCTGAACCTGGGTAACGGATGGGGTATCGTTCGCACGATCGTTGACCGTATTCGTGAGCTTGATGCCAATGAGCCTGCCGAGTCGGTTAAGAAGTACGTCCTCATCAAGGATCCTAACAAGTCTGTTCTGCGTCTGTACAGCGTTCCTGCTACTACCTTTGAGGAAGATGAGGAGGCCGAGATTGAGCAGGAGGAGAAGGCTGAGGAGTCTGAGGAGTAGAGAGAGATATCCATTCGATAATGTGCTTTTTCTGTCTGGACTAGATCCGAGTCCTATATTACTATTTCTTTTTTCTTCTCTTTGGATGTGCATATGTTGAAAAGTTTGATAACGACGATCTGTTACGATTGTGCTTGAATTCAATGTTTCCACGTCAAATTGTCTAGTCGAGTAGATGTGTTCCAGCCGTATTACTACTATTAATACCTACCTTTAGTAATACTATTTAGTAGTGAGCACTAGCTAACCAGTGTATCATTATGAAGCACCTTGGAATCTGCCATGCAAGATGGCCAAGTCATCACCACCAGAAATGGTTCGACATTTGAACTAAGATGCCCTATTTGCCAGGAACTAACTAATCTAAAGCAAGATCAGAGGGATATATTGAATTCATACCAGTGCAGACCAAACAGATAATAAATCTTAATGAGCACCAAGATTCTCACGCTTTAGTCCAAAAGCCTAGGAAAAGAAACAACTGATAAGATAGAAGTAGGATACTCCAGCGGTACACTGGTACACACAGCACCCGTCTGACTGTTTTCAAATATGTACATTTCCAAAGCAGGATAAGAGAAGAGAAAGAGAATCAAGAAGATGAAGATGAAGACGAGTGACACAGAAGAGAAGAGAAGAAAAGGTAAAAGAAGTATCATATGAAAACCTCAATGGATGGAAGAGGGTGGAAGCGGAGATAGAATGAAAATATAGGAAAGGGAATCAGAGAATTTCTCAAAGAGAAAAAAAAAAGTTGTTTGAAGAGAGATATCAAGAAGAGAAGTAGAAGGAAAAGAAAAAGGTCGGCCTTCAACCATAGAAACCGAATCTCAACGGTTTAAGCTAGAATAGTACACACAACAAGAACACGCCAAAAGCAAAGGGATTTTCCAGACATGAAATTTCGTAATCGTTTCTTAATTTTCGCAAAGCTCGCTTTTGATTGGGGGCTCCAGGGAGTCTGGAGGATTCAGTCAAATCAAGAGTAAATCGCATCGTCGCGTTGGCGAATCACGCTCAAATCAACATTGGTGCCTAGAACACTGCTCAAGCAATCGATCAGCTCGAAATCTTCGACGACGGCCCCGAAGCCGTAGCAGCGGACTTTAGTGTTGAGTGTTTCGATGATGATCTTGATGTCATCGCGGCTGAGGGACGGGTAGAGCTCATGGTTCTTCAGGCACTGTAGAGCCATGATGGGAGTGATTTGACCATCGGTAACGAGCTGGCGACTCAGGTTGAGGAGCGTGCCGAGGTTGGCGAGCGGTAGGTCTGGCGCTTTGTGGGGATAGGGTTGTTCGGGTGTTGTGTTTGTTATATAGCTGGGCGGTGGGCAGGTAGCCATCAAGGCGTGACCTGAAAAGGGCATATCCTCATCGTCGGCCTCGGTGACGGAGCGACGACAGAGATAGTCGGTGTGTTCACGGCAAGGACCTTCCAGACTATTTGTAGGTTAGCAGTGTACAGATGGAGTTGAAAGGGGACAACGGGAGCGGGGCGCTCGGGGACTGGGGAAGAAGGATGTGGCGTACGTTAGAATAAAGTCAATCTGGAGCTGTGGGTCACTCTCAAAGGCACCGCTCATCGCAGGGACCGGAGGAGCTGCTTGGCAAGCGGACCGATCCATCGCACCCATACTGTC